ATTTATATTTGGTCAAAAAATGAAGTTTTTAGGGTGTCATTAGTATTTTACATGTTCCTCTACGTTTGCTCATTCGTTTGACTTCCAAAGCGTCTAAAAATATAGAGAAATGTTTTCTCTATAGACCAATTCATACGGTTACGCAATCCCACCAAGCAATTATTAATACTAAGATATTTAAGAAAACGATGATTGACTAAAATGAGAAGTTTTTAGTATTTTGACTATAGCCAAGTCGGATCATGCCATCCCAAAATAGTTCATATATTTTCTGAAAGTCGTTGAAATTCTGCATTTCCTATGGTATTGCTTATTCAGACAAAAGTTGAGCGAAAATAATTATACTCTACATCACAAATGTTGACATTGGACAGTTTTCTGTGTTCAATCGGATGCAAGATCAACTGAGTATATTCTGTATGATTGCCCAAATCCAAAAGTATGATTTTAGATTCGTGATCAACATGAAAAGTTGATCACAAAAATATCATTTGATTAAATACAAAGCTAGTTCAATTAAAAAACACCTACAGCATAGCAATAATTTGAAGCATTTTTTCGAATACTTTCTGGTATGTCTTTTTAATCATTTACTAAAAGAACTAGAAATAAGATTTTTTCTTTACTTATAATCTCTGAACACTTAGCTTGAAAATCTGCTATTTACTTTTCTCGGGTTTTATTTTATTGTTAAGTTAATTAGACTTTTCACGATGTCGTCGAAAATTCATATAAATGCGTTAAAACTGCTATCATTTGTGGGTGCTTCTATCATCACCAGTTATCCTGATAACAAAAGGATTTACAGATTTAGAATCAGCATATGAAACTACGTATCATCGAGCACTTTTTAGAAAAAAAAATCTTCAAAAAACGACCCTGGGGTGGAATACAGCAAAATTTTCGAAAAACTAATGATTTCACGTAGTTTCATACGCTGATTCTAAAATAAATGATAGCAGTTTTAACACATTTATATCGATTTTCGACAGAATCAAGAAAAGTTCAATTTTCTCAACGATAAATCATGAACCGAGAAACATAGCAGATTTTCAAGCTAAGTGTTCAGAAATTCTAAATAAAGTAAAATTCTTATTTCTAGATTTCTGACTTAATGATTAGAGAGACATACCAGAAAGTATTCCAAAAAATTCTTCAAACTATTGCTATGCAGTAGGCATTTTTTTTAGCTTAGATAACTTTGTATTTAATCAAATGATCCTTTTATGGTCAAATTTTTGTGTTGATCACGAATCTGAAATCATATTTTTGATTCGAGCAATCATATAAAATATAGTCAACTAATCAAGGATCTGATTGAATACAGAAAAATATTCAATGTCAACATTTGTGGTGTAGAGTAACTATTTTGCTCAACTTTTATCTAAATAAGCAATACTATAGAAGATGCAGAATTTCAAGGATGTGGGTGTGTGGATATGACTGTACTCTTAACACACCCACACCCACACGCAAAAGTATTGTCATGTGAGTTATTGCTAATGACTTCACAATCGTTGTTTGTGCTAGATCAGGAATTTCTTTTGTAATAACGTAACTCGTCGCCTGAAGTAAAAATGAGTCTATTTTTAAATAAAAAAATTACAAGTACACATACTTCTAGTGTAATATCATCTAGGCTGATTTCCCGTTCCACCAGTTGTCAATATTAAATTCGGTCGTAATTCATTACACAATTTCAACAATATTTCCTAGAATTAAAAAAACCAGATCAACCTATCATTTAAAAGATAAAAACTACATACCTTGACAAGCAGCTAGTCCTGAATGATCTTTTGTTGAATCATCATAACAAGTGGAATTCATTGAAATAAACTAAAATATGGTTATAATCAGTTATTCGTTTGATTTAAGGAATGAACATGTGAAATAAATAAGTTCTTATCAAACACGTATACATGATCATAGAGTTCTTCTAAACAAAAACAAACATAAGAATAAAACATAGTTGATTGTATAACATAGAAAATCGATCCTCTAATTTTTGTGTTTTTCTTTTTCAATCATGCACCATGTTCTTCATCAAATAAGGATGCTAGCAAATTTGTATTTAATTTAGATAATACTTTCTTGTTGCATATATTTTAAATCGTCAACATCACGTCAAAATTCTTCTTTATTCAAACAATTTGTTTCTAAGGATTTGAAACGGGATAGAAGTTCAATAATACCTGATATTATCTACATATATGAAAATCATGATAGAATTGAATTTATTGGAAAGGACAAAGAAATCACCTGTTCAAATTTTCAATACCTATTGGAGCTTGTTTTATACAGTCATTTTCAACAATCGATGTTGCTTCACCAATAATAACATTCAAATAAAAATCAACAGTAGACAGCGGTGGTCGAGATACTTTATTTTTATATGTACTAATTCATATTTGAGGGTGTGGGTGTGGGCAAATTCAAAGAAAAATTTCGAGAACAAAAGTACCGCATCGTCATAAAATTTAAATCCTATCTATTTTTTTCTATAGCAATTGATAGAAAAAGATGAATTCTTTGTCTATTAAATTAATAGGTGATTTCGTCACTACGAAAGTAAGATGAATCTTATACGCTCTACCATCGTCATTTGCCATGAATTTACTTCATTTAGTTATTAAAATATTATCCAAAAAAAAATAATATCTGAAGCTTATGAAGATCGAATCGATTAACTGTAGATTCTAGATTAAAAAAAACTGATGAAAAAGTATCTTCTATTCTATTAGCCCTTATATTGGAATCGGAAAGCAAGAAACTGTTTCACTGCCATCAATAAATCATTACAGCGTATCATTCTATCAGCTTAGTTAAGTTCCTGAGTTTCATGAAGATTGAAAGAAAGGCAGTCTCTACCTGTTAACTCAGATGAGTAGTAGTGTATATTTACCGATTAAAGCGGAGTCTCTGTTATTTGTTGATTATGACAGAAAGTTTAAAAATAGTTAAGAGATATTTCTTTATTGGTATCGCCTGATTATAGGATATCCTTCATCATAATTCTATATAAAATATATCTAATATTTCGATGATCTTAAAAGATTTGCTTATTATCGGAGTAATAAAGTAAATTTAATGAGTTCTAAAAGGAAAACGAAATCCAAAACGTTTTTTGAATATATTCTCATCCTAGTTACTTCTCCAATAATAAGCAAGAAAAGCAAGAAAATAAAATGCTTGCATACAGAAAAAAAGTATAGAGATACTCCCACGCTCGCCGTCGAATGTACTGAAGATTTCAGCTTAGAAAAACACTTTCAGAAATCAAAAATGAAAAAAGAAAATAGAACGAACGTAGAATATTTTAGGTCATGATTCGAGTTTTTCCTGAATGGATCCGATTAAAGCAGTGATCAACTTAGATTACCTGCTCTCACGTCAGAGTAAATATTGATACGATTCACCAGATGCATATATTTCCTTCCTTCAAGAATAGTAAATTCTTTGAATATGTGTTTATCATTTAGCTTATATGTAGACTATGAAAAATACGACACTACGTGCATTGTTCACTGATAAATTAAATGGACAGTAGTATTTGACAGAGAGGCTTCGAATAAACGAACGTTTCACCACTCTTTAGGAATAATACTCTGTACCTATGGTTTGCAAAGGTATAAAACAATATCATTAATTGTTCCGTTGTTGTAATGGTATTGTTCACAATACACACAGTAACACAGAAAGAACGATGACGGACATTGATCAATAAAGATGATAAAATAAGGTTAAATATCACGTATAAACAATCAATTTCAGCCTATCTAGGGGAGTAGAGTAGTATCCAATGAACTCCATCGAAAACGTTATAGCTCAATGGTCTTAACAGCATAGATATTTTGCTTTAGAAATGAGTAAAATTCTCACATAAAATATATTATTATGTTGTATTTTTTTGCAAAACATTATCAAATGTTCTAAATGACACCGCTCATTTTTCATCCACATAATACGAAGTTCACTTGAAAAGTGAAATATTTATATGATTACAAGTAACACTTGCCTGTAGACTCGCTCAGCTCTTTCTCGTAGAGATAGTGCATTCTGAAGCTTAGCTTTTGTAGAATTTCGCTCAAAAGAAATTTATAAAAAGAAAAGCGAAACGGTGTTATCAGCGAGATTAACACATAATTTTTAACAAAGTCAAAAAACACTGTTTCCATGGAAATCTGTGCTGTAAAAAGTCGCTCTCTGACTCATCTACTTAAATTTAACTAAGAAAGGTTTATTATCTTGCATGGTAAACTAGGAATATGGTGGACAAACTATGAGTCATCGAACTTTAACTTTCAAGCTTGTATTCAGGCGTCTTTAAGTGACTCTCATGTAATTTTTCAAATCGTTTTTCTCATTCAGTATCTCTTATGAGATGTCACATTACAGTCTTCCCCTACAAATAGGTACCTGAGATGTTATCGATTAGCAATAATTTCATATTTGGATCGCGCTTGTAAGGATAAAATCTAATTCAAATGGTATTCTTATTTATAGGTTTCAATCACTAAGCAATATATTACTTATGAAACTGTCAATGAGATTTTTAGTAATTGAATCTAAATAAAAGATTATCCAACAATCCACAATAGCTAATACGTTGGATACACTTATCACTGCAGAAAGACATGGAAAATATCATTGCTGAATTATTACGTCAGCACTTGTATTATTTGTTTATTATTTATCAAACATGGTCACCCATTTCAGTAGAAGAAAGATTAAAAATCAAGTGTTTTTTTCTTGAATATAAGTAGTGAACTAGCTTTTCATTCGTCATACTGTTTTTGATTAATTATTTCAATGTAATTATCATGTGAAAGATGAAGAAAGTAAAATATTAAAGAATGACAATTAAAAATTGACTAATGGTGCATAGTTGAATTAGTCAATATGACAGTAACTGTTACATTTGGATTACAACAGGATAAAAAAAATGACATTATAATTAAGTATGCGAGTTATCATAGGAATAGCTGTATTGTCTAAATTTGTTACACAGGGTTTTCCTTGACAGCTTCAAATATTAGACTCTTCCATGTTACAATTCCACTTGTTGTCTCATCAAAATAATAATATGCATCATCAGCTTGACACCATTCACTTGAACATTTCTTTGGTGGTTTACCACTGTTAGGTTCAGGTTGCTGAATTCCTTCATATCTCCACCAACAATTATTAAAGGCACATGTTGTGGGCTCAACAAAATGTCTGCATATCGGGCACATTGTTGTAGTCTCATCTGGATCAGCTACAACATTAAATTTTTTGTAACCGATTCGCATAACAACACTTTGACCTTCAGCTGCACATCCAGGAGTTAAGCATTTACCTTCAAGACATAGACCACGAATACTTCTTCGCCATTGTGGAGCTTTATCCGACCATTCTGTTCGTTTTAAACCTTTACTATTATTTGCATCGATAAATCGCGAACCCTTAAAATTTAGATCACCTCGATGAATTTCACCAAGACAAATTGAGTCTAATTGAGTGTCATCTTTTAAATTATAGTACGACAGTGTTTTCTCATCTTCCTCAAGTTCTTCTTTGTTAAATATAAGACATAAAATTAGTAAATCTTCTTCACAATTTGTCTTTTCACAAAAAAGTTCTTTCAATCGTCTAATGGTTGTCGAGGGCTCTACCTCGAACGTATAGGTCCGTGCCATTCCAATGACAGTTTTAATATGAATCTTCATGATATTACTTCCACTACAAAAACTAAGCTGTATGTTTTTATTCTCTAAAATGAGCTTACCTTGCAGTCAAGATAATTATCAAAAGAATTTTGCTTATTTGTACGTTGCTTTTGAAGATATCTGTACTCTAAAATTGAAAAACAAATGGAGCTATTTTAACAGTCAAATTCGATAACGTTCACTTTTACACTATCATAGATAACATGAAGTATTATTTAACGAATTTTTTCATGATATTATACTTGTCAAACAGTTCAATTCGAGCAGTTTATCTTTAATTACTAATATTAAGTGAAATGTAATCGCCTTACTATACACTATTCCTGAGTACTAACAATAGTTCTCATTTACCTTAGCAATTATGATGAACTTGATCAAAAACAAATCAACGTGTAAAGAAGTAGAGAAATTTTTATTCTACCTCAAATCATTCGAGTTTTAATGTTAACCTCTTTTAAAAATATCATTGTTTTTGTTATACTTGGAATTTTCTTTTTTCTTCCTTTATAGTATGCAAATAAGCATGTTGTGTGTGTGTGTGTGTGTTTTCATCTGCGCCCTTACGAATTATAAAAGCTATACAACAATAGCAAAAGAACTCATCGAAAACACAAGGACAACCATGACTACGAAAACTATGACGTAGTTAATAGTAAACAATTGATTGTTAAGTTTTATTCATAAGTAAGTCAATGAAAACCTCAAATGACATACCATAAATCATAGAAATTTTGTTGGAAAACACTCTGCTTAGCAAAATTCCAATGCGATCGATTGGCGGTACTTTTTTCGCTATTTTCGAATGAATTATAACATTCTGCTATAATTCTTCACATCTTGATTCATTGGGTTTCTATGCCACAGATAAATAGATTAAGTAGTAGGAAATTTTTGCACAAGAATAAAATCACAGAATAATCTATAATCTAATTTAATTTAATTGCACCTCTTTCTATTATTGTTGCGTGATGGCATGTGGAATGTGTCAGGAGACCGAGATGTCGATGTCGACTGAAGAAAAATTAGTCGGAAAGTTTCCTCTTTTTAACACAAACTCATTGTGACATATTATGATACAACAGAGTAAAAGTAGATCTTCTTGGTTATTGGTAATGACTTTTACTATAGAAAGATGTTGAAGAAATTTCAAAAACGTTTTTCAGTCCGATGAGAGATTCTCTAATAGTTTTTAGTATCAAGTAGACAAAGTTTCAGCTCAAACAATTCGATTCTATTTAAAAAAAAGTGCCTCGTTTTCGAAGATAAATTATCATTACATATTTGACTCTATTTTAGTCGTAAATGTGTTGATGACATCTTCTTTCACTTCCATGTAAATTTGAGGAAAACAATGAACATCTATTCTATACATGGATTTGTCCATGAGAAAAGCTAGTCAATCTGAGAGTCTGATAGAATTAAGCGAAATCAGAAAAATAACTCTACAAAATAAAATGACTGTTATTTGTAAATGATCGAGGAGTTCATCGATATTATGTGTCAAAGAATAATTGACATAGCCTATAATTAAAAGTAATAACTTTCGATCTGTAGTCATCTGATAAATAATTCATTTTTCTAATATTTATTTCAGCAGTGATTCAAATTATATGATCTCTAGAAACACCGCAGAAAAATGAATCCTTCCATTGAAAATAAAATGTTCAAATCTGTTTTAAATTAAGATTGATTATTTATTTGCCAGAAACACTAGAATTAACAAGAAGCAAAACAAAAGGTCTACATACATCAGACTAAGACAAAAAAAAAAAGATTATGCACACAAGAAAAATATATTGAAAAACAAAACGAATGGTAGACAAGTGAATATACATCTGACAAAAGATGTTGATATATCTGCTCTAAGCACAAAAAGAAAACGATAAGTGAAAATGATGAATGAATTGAAAACTAAACATAAGCTCATACAAATCAAAGATCAAGATAAATAAGAAATACTGTTCAACGTACATATATTCTTATTTACTAGAGTTGTGATTCAACGAGACCTGCATATTGAGATTCTAATGTATTAAATTTAGAATTCGAATCTCGATTTGATTTATTTAATGCTGGTATCACACTTGTGACATTTGTTCGATCATGATTCGTATGTTGTACTTTAGCTTGTCGTCGTGGATCAACGGCTTGATTTGGTTTCATAATATCTTCACGATATTGATAATCTTCTTCGTAACCAGTAGGAAATATCATTTCATCTTCAAATTCATCGACTATAGCAGATTCAAGTGGAGATGGTCGATAAACCTAAATGATGAAGAAAAAAATCAGTATAACAAAAACAAACACAAACATAAAGACTATTTCATTATACCTGTTCATAAAGTTGACGATCTGATCGGCAACTATCATAAAATGGATCATTTCGTCGCAGCAATGTTGAAGACATTGAACCAGCACCAACGCTTCTCAGCGGTGTTGCATCTACTATGCGTACTTCATTGTACATTGGTGGACCCAGTTGTGATCTTGAATCGATCATATCATATGGATCATATACTCCATTTGTAACATATCGATTTTCATCACCATTTTTTTCTTTATAAATATTTCCATTTTCTACTAATAAACCATTGTGATTATTCATACTATCAAATAATAATGCTTTGTTTTTTTTCATTTGCTGTTGTTTTGATTGATAACAACGTAGAATACAACATAAACATAATAGAGTGAGAAGAAATAAAAATAGAAATAGAAATATTCCAATAGTCCATAGAAGAAATGAATTATAAATTAAGGAAGTTTGTCGAACTCGCAATTCATATGATAGATGTTCGTTGTCAGAACGTCCTTGATTACGTATAGCAGCAACACAATTATATGTTCCATTATGTTCAGCGCCTATATTTGATATTGTTAGTGTTGTTGTTTTATTAAGACATGTTGCAGGTGATAAATCTATCGAAGATGTTGATACGCACGAATAACGAATTACATATGAACCCGTATGAATATCAGGTTCATTGACACCTGATATCATTTTACCGATAATCTTATTTTGAAATGTCCACCAAATTTCAGGGGCAGGATCAGAATACACCTAAAATAATATATCCGTCGAATAGAATGATGAAACAAAACAATTCAAATGTAATCAACTATAAAATTATCGAATTATTGTAAAGGATAGAAAAAAGAAATTATTTTTATTACTCGATCGAACTGGTTCGCGGATTCAATGAGAAGATACGAATTCTTATAATTGAATCGAAAGCAACAACGTATAAATAACTCGATGATAATATATCTATGTTTGTAACGCTCAAGCTCAAATTGAATATTACAATCCTATACAATATTTTATTTAGACTCTAAAATCAATAATAATTTTTGCACATTGTTAACAAGTATATGATTTATCATTTAGAACATTATTTAATAAGTCGGGCACTACTCATAATCTATGAAAATCTACGCTCTACAAACAATTCTAACGTAGATGATATTGTGTATATTTGATGTACTTACATCGCATCGAAGTGTTACAAGTTCTCCAGTGGCTGCTATGAAAATTCTCATATCAGGCTTTGATAGAATTGGTCCGCAAACAAATTGTGCATCACTTAACGTAGTAATTTTTCTATCTGCTAAAGCTTTAGGCGTTTCACATTTAGGTTCATCATGATAAATAGGATATTGAAGACGATTTAATGCATTACGTAACCAACGAAGACGACAATCGCATTCGAAAGGATTTGAACTTAATTTAAAATGGAAATTATTTGGAAATTTTATATTATTAGTTAAGCTTTTTAACATATTTGAATTGATAAATAATTTTTTTAAATTCTTTAAAGAATTGACGATAGTCATATCAATATGTTGTAGACGATTAAATGATAAATTCAATTCTTCTAAACGATTATAAGCTCGTACATCGGATATGGTTAAACGTTGGATATGGTTATGTGATAAGATTAATTTTCTAAATTTTAAAAATCAAAAAGTTCTTCTTATGCTTTTTGCCAACAAATAAAATATACATACACAAGATTACTGTACTCTTCATTTTTAGTAGACAGCATTGGCATTTGATCAAGTTCATTATTTGATAAATCAATATATTCAATTGCTCGTTCAATTAATACTAACGCTTGATGATCTATTAGCCGTAATTTACCTTGAACAATGTATAAATAACGTAAATCACTTAATTGATAATGAACATTTCCATATGAAAATTGTAGAAGATCAGCCGATAAACTATTTAATCGATGATTTGTTATTGTTAAATTTGTAATGATACCACCACGTCTTAGTTTTAAGTCTGATTGTAAATTAAGTTGTTCATGGATACATTGTTGATAACCAGTTAATGAATGAACATTGTCACATACCATTGTCATTCCTGTTCCATCTAAATGGCATGAACATGACAAGGATCGACCATGTGCCATTCCAGTTGAAATTATCAATGGTAAATACCATACTATGACAAATATGAATAATTTCATATGAGCATTTAATAGACACTTAACGAATATTGAACTAAAATAAATATACATATGCATAGATTTTCGTAAATTAGTAATACAAAAAGAAAACCTAGACATGCAATCTGTATTAGCATGTGTCAGACATAGACTATAGTATAACAATAGGAATGTATTAACCGTATCATACGAAAATGATCATATTTTTCTTCGCAGACTAAATTATCATTTACTTTCAGTCAATGTTTACCAACGAAATGTCCATTTGAATAATTAATACTTTTCTATCTTAAGCTTATTTTAAAAAGAATAAAATAAAATTGATTTGACAACTATTAAAATGTCGGACATTTTCGTATCGTAAAAAAAAACAAAGGAAATCTGATAAGAAAAATTTCACTAGCACGAAACGACATGTTACTTTTATATCGAATGTGAACGATCGAAATCATTTCTTTCTCGAATATATATATATAGTTATATGCTTATATTGACTAGTTTAATCTATTGATTGATAAGCACGAGAGACTAACATCATCATGTTGCGATTCATTTATCAACTAGACATTTTATGAAAAAATACACATACTTTAATTATCAAAAAGAAAACATTTCAACTTAAATTGATCGCTGTTAATTTAAAAGAAATCAAACGAGACTCACTAGATGTAATAATATATATATATATGTACGATACGAGAGAAAAAAGTTCTTATCATAAGTATAAGTCTTCATTTTGGAGAGTTTTTTTTCTATTATCAATAATGACCATCTCTAGACAATCGATAATTTTTGTAGGTTCATTGAGGTGGCAAAAAGAAATTAAATTCAATCATTGGATTAAAAAAAACATGACGTAGATATGATCGAAGTCTATATACTCACATAAGATTGTCTATCGATTTGTCTCTATCAACATGATGCTACTCAATAATTCATTCAACGTCGTTTCAACATCTATAAAGAGAACAAAGAAAATATATGCAATAATGACCGACCGACTGAATGAAATTATCTTGAAACAAAGCCACTCAGTATTCTTCCTGTTTGAATAGAAAGGAAAACAAGACAGTCATTTAATGTTTGAAAGAGACAGAAAGAAGGCATTTTTTTTCTTCTTTCCATCACTATGCATACTCTAGGATGGACAGAAGAGTAACTATAGATTGATCGACGATCGGACAGAATAAGGCGAAGAAGAAGAAAAAAAGACGATTGAGGGCAACACCTTTGAACGGGGTCAAAATACAGAACAACAGTATGAAATAGAGAAAGCGCAAAAGAAGGGAAAGGACAACGAGAGGAGCTTACAAATGATTATCAATATATGTCAAACGGAAATATTGTTCAATAAAAGTCAAGTACTTATTATGTCTAGTCTGTATATATGATCATGATTCTTTTCTTCGTTTTAATCAAGATCAGATCAATTAGTTGTTCGATATAGGAAAAACAAAAAGGAAGAATACAAAAGCACATATGGACTGTTAATGAGCAGCACTTGCGGCGCCACCAATTCGTATAGTAATGTTATTACAGACCGATCCATAAACAATAAGGCTCTGGTGTATAATATGCACCGATTATTGTCTGTCCGTAGAACGGTACCGTATGGACGTTTCTTGTTTGTTGATGAGGGAGTACATCGTTCAAATACAAGAGTAGATTGATTTCAGATGTTGACAACAAAATGGATTTAGGCAGAAATAGACAGAGAAGAAGAAAAACAAGATATAGGATCTAGTACCATACTTTCATGCAACAGGATGATGTTCAAACGAGTTATGATGAATGATTTTTATTGATAATGATATGCGCGCTTTGTTTATCAGTATATATATATAATGTTATTAAGAATGCGATCAGCGAAATAACTGGCAATAGCTCTTTTTTTCTTATTCTTCGCCGTGAAATAATAACAAATGAACTATTTGACACAAAGGCATAGTCGTCGAGTAGCGTAAAGTAACAAACTTTTCTAATATTATGCAACAATCAAATGATCTCACAGAAAAAAAAAACGAGATACGGAGATTTTTTGATGATAGCAGAACATCACTATATATATATATATATGAATACGATCATGAATGATAAGAGATCTTATACACACATGTTGTTTCTCACTGCAGTCAAAGAAATAATAGGAACGTTCAATCTCATGTAACAATTTATTGGCGAAGAAAAATTCGACAAGATAGAAAAAGAAAGCGAAGGAAGACAAAGGAATTTTGGCAGCTATGATCATTGGTTGTATGCTGTAAACAATAATATTAAATTGTGAGACACTGAAGTTTTCTAGCTGTAAAAAATTAAAATATAAATATTTTTCGATCTATTTCGAATTCTTCTTATTTTTCTTTCATAAAGATGCATATTAAACTAATTTGTTAAAGCGCCATCTACCTTGCAACCCTTATATATAATATATATATCTCGGATATGATTAAAAAATTCAATTCAATTCAATTCATTTTATTTTATTAAAAAAGATGTGGTACTTAGTACTAAAACGATTATTTCAAGTAATACTATTCTGTATATGGAGCGTAACATTAATTTATCTGATACTTCTTTCAGTTTTTACTTTTATAATTTTTAATATATTTTTAATCATATTCCTATTTTGGTTTATATTAACATTATTTGGATGGTCTTTTACGTTGATTCCCATCGTAAAATTTGTTTTCATACCATGGCATCATCGACAATGTCGTCTATGGACAAAAAATAAGCAACTGAAACATTCCAGTATTGCTTTTTTCCATCCATATTCAAAAAATGGCAACAATAGTGAACGAATTTTATGGACTGCAATTGAATCAATTCTTAAAAAATATAAAAATGATATTCAAATAATTATATATACAGGTGATAGAGATGTCACAACGGAAGAAATGCTTCACTGCGTAAAACAACGGTTTGGTATCGACATGGAAAGGTATTCATCATCGATAACATTGATTTATCTTCGAAGTCGAGTTTTAATTGAAGCGAACTATTTTAAACTATGGTCTTCATTAGGACAAAAAATTGGTTCAATCATTCTTGGTTTCGAAGCGTTAATACGTTTTATACCTGATGTTTATATTGATTCGATGGGTTATCCATTTACTTATCCATGTTTTTATTATCTTGCTTCAGTTACAATTATGTCCTATGTTCAATATCCAACCATCAGTAGTAATCTAATCGAACAACTCAATGAAGAAAATAATAATAATGAATTCATTATAAAGAAATCATTATTGTTTAAGTTAAAATTAATTTCTTATCAAATATATTCCTACATTTATGGTTGGTGTGGTAGATGTTCAAGTATTATTTATTGTAATTCATCTTGGACAAAAAAACATATTGAATCTATATGGGGATTATCTTGCATTCATCTTGTTTATCCTCCATGTGATATCAAGCAATCTTTAGAGATGCCATTTATTGATATAGATGAAAAAGAAACGATAACAACAATTGTTTCTGTTGGAGAATTTCGACCAGAAAAAAATCATCAACTGCAAATTCAAGCTTTTCATCAACTTTTACAAAAGTATATTTTTCTTTGATAGAAATTTTGTTTTCAATAAATTATTTTCATTTAGAAAACCTGAATATCATGAGAAACTAAAATTAATATTAATTGGTAGTATTCGACATTATGAAGATAGCAAATATATTGAACAATTGAAATTACTTATTGATAATTTAAATATTAGTAATCAAGTTCTATTTAAATTAGATATGAACGTCCAAGAATTAAAAAATCAATTGAATCACGCTGTGATAGGTTTAAGTACAATGCGTAATGAACATTTTGGAATAGGTTTGTATAATATGAATAGTATTTAGAAGTGAATCAATTGCCTTTAGAGATTTTCATGGTCGATCCATTAGAAAACTATCATATTTGATTTAGAACTCATATGTTCTAAGCTTTGAAAAGTTATACAATGCTTTTAAACAGAAGAAACTATTTAGCTCGTTTATTTTTAGATATTGTCGAAATGATGGCTGCAGGTGCCATTGTTGTTGCTTATAAATCGGGTGGACCACAAATGGATATTATTGAAGAAGGAAAAACTGGATTTTTCGCTTCAGACATTGATTCTTATGCAACCGTGATGGAAACTATACTTGATATGAAATCAGTTGAACGCCGTCAAATACAAGAACAAGCACGTCAAAGTGTTGAGCGATTTAGTACATTAAATTTTGAACGACTATTTTTAGAACCGCTTGATAAGATTTTATTTGTAAAATAAATTATTTCTATTCAGCCTTTTTATTATGAACTAAAAAAACGAAAAGAAAAAAGATATTTGATATTGTTTTTTATTTTAGTATGGCATCGAAAGTAATTGGAAAATGTGAAGAAAAATTTATTATTCGATGTTTAAGAGATCGACAAGTAAACGAAATAAAGAACAAAATTGATTATATGATTTAATTTTATCTATTCTTTTCTTAGAGACTTGACCATCGACTTCCATTTGTGACTCGTGATATTAAAATTGAATTCCGCGAAGAATATGGTTCAGCAGTTGTCTCACTCGGTTTAACGAAGTTTGTGAGTTATTAATAATCAGTTTGTTTATGTAATACTATTCTCTAGAGTATTGGCACAAACATGTTGTAAAATTGTTAAACCAAAAGAAACTCGACCCAATGAAGGTCGATTGAGATTACAATTAAAAAATAGTCACAATATGGTATTTAATTTTGAAACTGGAAGGTAAATGTTTGTATAGGAAAAGGTATGTTGGATCACCGATATTTTTTTTTCATTATGTTTCATAGACAAACTCAATGGACAACACTTATGAGTAGGCATTTATTACAAAATATTCGTGATTCAGGTTGTGTTGATATGGAATCATTATGTATTCTTGCTCATGAACATGTAAGAATATTGGCGTTTTTTATTTTGTTTTTAAATAGCGAATTAATTTTTTCGTAAGGTTTGGGAAATTAGTGTCAATTTACACGTAGTTGACTACGATGGAAATATTCTTGATTGTGCCAATTTAGCTGCTTTGTGTGCTCTTGCTCATTTTCGGTATGATTTGCATGAGTTATTTTTTGCTGAATAAATTCTTTTTTGTTTAAGATATCCAGCAGTAACAGTCACGGGAACTGATGTACATGTGGTAAAGATTTTTGTATTTTGAATTTTTGAAATTCTTTGAATTCGAATTTTATTTAGCATTCACTTACTGAAAGAAATCCACAACCAATTCGTATTCTTCATTATCCAATAATGATCAGTTTTGCTCTATTCGAAAATGGGTTTGTTTTCATAGGTGAAAATAAAATATCTTCTATTTTTTGTTCGATTTGAAATTCTAGTGAATATATGTTAATTGATGCATGCGAAGCTGAAGAAAAAGTAATGGAAGGTTTATTTGCTATTGGCATGAATCAGCATAAAGAATTAAGCACATTGGCTATGTTTGGTGAAATCTGTCTGACTCGTGATCAAGTTCGTTCATGCTTGTTGTATTTTTCTTTTGTGAAACTTTTTTCTTTCAATGAATTTTAGATTGAAAATTGTATTTCATTAGCTCATCATCTTGTACGTGATATTACAACAGAAATGAGAAGTACACTGGAAAAAAATCGAGAAGAACAACTACAGCTGATTCAAGCTATAAATCATCGTTAAAACAACCTTATTTGTTATTTACTGGCAATACCAGTTTGGTGTTTGTTAATAAAAATTAAAAAAAAGAATCAATGAATATGTTGAAAAAAAATCTCATTTATTCTTGTGTCTCTTTGGCATCAATCGTATAGGCAATATTGTCATCATATGAAATAGAATGTTAGAGTGTTGAGAACAACAATATATGTATTCACATGCTAACTGTTCGTTTGATCAAAGGTTATCTTCATTTGCAAGTTTCAAAGCATAATGAGCAAGCAAGCGAGTTGTATCGACAACAGGTTTTCCAAGATTATTTTCGTTATAAACGATAGGTAGCTCGGTACACCCAAGAATAACGGCGTCACAATCATATTTATTTATATCCTGCTGAATATCTTGTACTGTAGTGAAATTTATTTTCGATGGAATAATTTCATTTCTTATTAAACGTTCAATTTTCTCACATACATCATCGGTCGGAATAATTGGAGTGATGTTCTTCGAATTGAGAACATTATCATATAGTCCATCTTGCATTGTTGTTTTAGTGCCAAGAACTAGAACTCTAGAGAAGCCCTTTCTTTCACATTCATCAGCAACAATTTTGATTAAATTGATAACTGGTAATCGGGATTGTTTTTCGATGAGATCTATTGCGAAATGTGGAGTATTTGATGGAATGATGATAAAATCAGCACCCACTTTTTCAAGTAATTTAATCGATTCATATATTTTATTTCCCAAGCTGATCCAATCTTTTCTACGAATGCAGTCAGAATATTGATCATAAGAAAAAGCATGCATTGTAAATTCGGGATGTTTTCCTGATGTATCAAGTTTAGCTGCTTGGGCCACGATTTCATTTGCACATAAACATGCACCGACTGTTGTAATATCGACGATTCCTATATGTTTCATTCTTTGTCAAATAGAAATAATTCTTGTACGATTTGTGATTTCTGCAAAAATAAAAGTAAAAAAAATTGCACATAATTCAAACATTTTTTGACAAGAAACACTTCTATGTAGAATCATGAATATGCTTGTCAGAATTGAGTGATCTGGTGGTGTGACTATTTTAACATTGACATAGAAGAGATCTTTGCAACAATTCCACTAGGCTGTTGAGTATATTTAGTATGTTCACAATGCTATGCGGTGATATTTCATTGCTTTGAGTTAGACATCAACTTACTCTATAGGAATTACTGTCGGCGCACTGTTGAACAGTCGAAAAATCGACAGGATAACATTATGAATAAGTTAGTCACAGTAGTCAGAAAGACTTTTTAATTGATAATCTTTGCTTTTAATTAATAAAACAAAATTATTTCAACTCTAAATTCAGTCAACATTTGATTTCTACACACTAGTATAAATTTTTTGCTGATTCATCATTCTTTCATTTCAGTATTGACTTGACGCTTTTCTTTGATAGTATGTAAAAGAAAACAGCTGATTTATTTTATCAAATTCTGTCGTTCTCCTTTTCTCTATTAAAGTTGTTTTCTTCGAAAACAACACCAGAGATTCAAATGTTCTTGAAAACAACATATAACTTTTTCTACACAGCAGTGTCAACAGAACATATCTACATTAAATCAACTTCTGTTTGATGCATGATACGTTGTTAGCTCTGTTTAAGGGGATGTTAATACTTTAATACTTAGAGCTGAACTTTACTATGTTAAATATATGAAACAGTGTTTCCAATGGCAAATGTACACAGCAGAAGCAAAATGTACAGAACATCTGCTACTTTTGATGTACACTTCGGCATATTTTACCGACGAAAATGAAATGTACACGTACACTTTGCTCATATCATACAGAGTGTACGGTACATTTTGTTTTAGATTTCCATTGGAAACACGGATATGAAATGAGCTTACATCAAATTAATTGATTATGCAGCTGGTTCAAGCCAGTATTTGTTTGATCAGAATATATTTAATCAAGTCGTTGAAGATGAAAACAAAAGAGATGGAAAGACGACGTTAGAAGAACGAATTGATCCGTGGACTGGTGAACAGTGAATAAGCGTTCGTTTCTAAAACTTAGGCAATGCAACACACTTATGCATTATATTATACACACGCGTTCTGCGTATAAAACCTGACTTAAATATAACGCATTTTCAATTTTATGATGAGAAAAAATACATATATTGGGTGTATATTTTTTTTGTATAAAAGAGTCATCATTGTTGAGGTTACGCCAATCGCAACGTGTCAATATCAATGTGTGTGACACTTTCATTCTTTTTCACATCGTTGAATTTTTTCGCGAGTTTAATATAAATCTCTACGGATAATCTTCGATTTAATTTTTATATTATAGCTTTTCAAACAATTAAATTTTGATTATTCTCTCATCGAATAAAACAGCTTACCAACACCAACAAGAGATGTGTTCACTAAAAAGATGTTGTAATCTACAATTTTTTGAGATTAAACACCAAGTTCGTTTCTATAACTTTGCGTCAGATTATAACGTTGTGAAACAAGAGATAAATAGAAAAAAATTAGATCCAGTTTCAAATGAAACAAAAAAACTGTTATTGATCATGAATATTTTTTTAATTATGTATAAATTAAAAAGGAAGGAAGGTTGGCTGGTAAAAAGCCAACTACAGCACCACCATGAGCTACTAGATTAGGAGACTTCTCAAATATAAAGATTCATCTGAAGATAATAAACCACAAGGAATACCTGCATAAACAGTACTCATTACATGTATCGCTACCATGCTAAGCCTTCTCAGTGAATCATACAAAATTAGTGACATCTATATTATGTTTTTATCATTAAACCCAAAATCCTTTTGCATATTTCTTAGTTGGCGTATTTTAGTTAGAAATAAATTAGAATCTTAATTCGTAGTGCGTGTGTATGTAGTAAGTGTAGCTCAGAAACAAATGTATGATACGATACCAATCCGTTACACCAGACCACAGATCAAATGGCATATATATTGGAAAACCAATCATGTGAGTTGATTGACCAATATGACATGACGTAACAGAACAAGAACAATCAGATTAACGGAGATATAGAGTTAGACGTTTAGCGTCTGTTAACGACATCTGCAGATGCTAACATACGTCTGATTTGATTTTGAATATAAATGAAAACACTTGAATAACTGTAAACAGTTCGAAAATAAAAGAAAAAATACCTTCATATCGGAGCAAGTCAAATAGCAAACGAAATAATCTACGTACCAACGCAACCTTGCTGATAAACAGAAATAAAAAAGAAAAAGTTCCACAAATTCATTTCTTTTTCTTTGGGCCGATAACAGCATGAAAGTAGCTTTCTTTTTTAATTTTCTCATTTATATTCGAAGTCGAATTATGCAGCTACATGTTTCATGACTATGATGCTTGATTTGATAGACCAGATGTGGGTGGAAGTGTAAATCAGTCTCTTTACTTTTCACTGAAGAGTGCTCACTGGCCTACACTACAGAATCGTACTTATAGGAAAATTCATTCTTTAGAAAAGACGAAATTATTCTTTTCAAATTTATATGCATACAACACGCTAATGTATAAATAATGTTTGAGAAAAAAAGCTCCGTCTCGTCAGTGTCCACCGGTTGCCGTGCCAGGCCGCGACGAAGAAGCAGTATTTGTGATAAGAGCCAAAGGTGATTGTACTCCATTAATTATTAAACTTGCTTTTCCCAGCCAACAATAGTCGGACCCATCTGGTCCATGGATTTGAACGCCAGTGAACAGTGCATATTGACGCTCTTTGAATTTTTCTGCATCATGCTTAGCATGTCTTTCTAAATCAAGGGTAATTGTTTCATAAGCAGCCATTGTCACCGCAAGTAAATCTGGAGCATTTTTGGGATCGGTCGAAAGACCGGTCGCCTTAATTATGTGCTTCTTTAACATACTCATTTCAATATCCTCTTCATCAAAATGAAGATTCAACTTATTCGAAGCAATTTCCGAAGTAAACGCAGCGAGTGCTCCACATGCCGTTGTTTTTTCGTTCATGCCACTGCGTGTTCTATAAACAGTACCAATCGTTCCTTCATGATCAATGGCAATATGTGTAAAACAGTAATAAACAATACGAGCAGTTTCAGGTGCATGATGATGCGCAGCAGCGAAGCCAGTTTTACCACAAAACAACATGCCACCGAGGGAACCACAAATGAATGCTTGACCCCACATAGCTTCAACTTCTTCTTCAAAAGGGCTGGTGATTTCATCGCGACACAAACCAACACAAACGAAAGTATTCACATGAGGATAGAAGCCTTTAGGAACCAATGTTTGCTTCGTGCGAAAGATAAATTCTTCTAGATTATAAGCCTTAGGAAATGCTCTTTGTAAAGTAGACTGAAAAGTATCAACAATAGGTGCACTCATCATCGGCATTGGGTGATGACAATTAGGACACGTATTGCCCGAATTGATTTCATGCGAAACATGCGTAGTCGTATGAGTAGCTGATCTGGGCTTTGAAGAAGCAGAGTTCATTATGCGTGACATTTATCTAGAATTAATTACACATATGAAGAAGCAATATTTTTTGTTTTGTTGATGTATCATAGTACTATTCGGATGCTTACGTTGTCACCTACTCATACTAGGTACCGACATTTTCAATAGAAGACTGAGCAACAAATTTCTTTACGCATGTGCCTTGCATCGGTGAAGTACTACTCTTGTGCATAAAATTTTATTTCTCTTCCTGTTTTTCAAAATAGAAATAATTTATGACAGTGAGCGTCGTATTGCTTACAACTTGACACTGAAGATGTCTATCAGAAGCTTACAATAGCTGAAATAGCTGTACATTCTTGAAACGTTTCTCATGAAGCTCGATATTCATCACGATTACACTAGACTTTTGTGCTATTAAATGAATGAGAATGCGTATACTATCAAATCGACCCACTGAGTGCTTTTCTACTGATTATCTCGAAATTAAAAAGAATGAGAGTACTTCTTTCAGTCTACATTTTGATATGAGTTTATGGATGTAATGTTTGCGGTAGAATCCGCTGGCTTCCACTCTACTTCCCTTTTTTGGTTGAAATGACTATTCATATATGATATTTATCGTTCTTTCTATTTAGACTATGTTTTTGTAAATAATCTTGCTCTCCTTAATTATTCATCTTCATGCATGCATTCTCTCTCTTTTTCTTATGATACCTGATTGTATATATCAACGTATGTTTTTCATATGAAAAACAGAACCAAGTATAATACCATCATAAATATACTCTTTCTATCAGAAAATATCACAATTAGTAAACTATTACACATGTCAGACTTATGGTCACCACGAAATTTGAAACTTTGATGGTCTCAAACTTGTGTTAACATAGGTTCACTATGAAGAATAGTACCCTAGTGAAACATCTTGTAAGTAAGATCTTGAAATCTTGGGATTGGTAGGTAAGATCTTATCAAGATCTTTAAAAGATAATTCGCTTGTTCAGATCTTGTCCTATCTGATAAATCTGTACCTAAGATCTTAGCAAGATCATGGCAACGATTTCTTTTACTATTATCTTCTCACAAAATCTTGAATAAAACAGAAAGCGACATCATTAGTTTATTTAGATAGGCTATCTAGTCGTTCACCGTTTTTTTATGCATACAGAACAGAATATAAGCAACATGATTGAACATGCAAAAACATAACTTTACAAAATAAGTTTTTTCCTAAACTATTTCTCGACTATTGATTAATCGAGAGGATGCTGATCTCGATCGATGGTCGAGAGAGGACTACCCTAAATTGGTCTGGCGAATATCGGACCAACTTAAAGCCGGTCAGATCTTAGCATCTGACTTGCTTGAGCTATTCGGGACAGGAATAGTTAATATTAAAATATATTGAAAAAATACCAAACACACTTTCAGAATGCATCATTCAAGATGTTATGAATTCTTATTTAAGATCTGTAATAAGATCTTGGGTACAAGATAATACAGTTATCTTGTACCTAAATTTTCAAGATCTGTTCACTTATCTGTACCCAAGATCTTGGCCAAGATCTTACTTACAAGATGTTTCACTAGGGTAAACAGAAATACAAGATTCTTACAATATAAGTCAAATAATTCTTTTCACGAGTTCGACTCAGTCTATACGATTATTTTGAGCCGTGCTATCTCGCTTGCTAAATCAACACTTATCGATATGAATGATATGTAAATGTAACAAACCACACCCACACCCTAGCTACTATGAAAGCGAACGTTGCATTCCAAAATAAAAAATTATGATATCGAATAGAGTCGAACATCATCCTACATTCTGGCTTAGTCTATTATTTTCGACAGGAATCTATTGATCAAAAGTAAAATCGATGCTAGGATTTCAAAACACTGCAACTCATCGATTGAAAGAAACTACTAAGCCACTCATGCATACAAGGCCGCTTCGTTAACAAAGATGACCCAGTACGGTAGGAATGCTTACAGTGTAATTGTGAAAAATAACGCTATGTATAGAAGAAATTTTGATAAACAGTACCTTAATGCGTTTATAACGACGTTCTATGTGTGTTTCGAAACCGAATAATGAAGCAAGACTGTTTACCACTAATATATTTTTATACTCTATTGAATCGCGGATGAGGCGCAAAAAAAATAAACTGTGGGTGAAAACACGAAGAGTCACTTATTTCTACTGCATCAATAATTTCTGACGACTTTAATCATACTCGTTTCACCGTTGAAGGGGATATGTATGGGTGTCTTTGTTTGTGCTAGCTGCTGATGAAGAAAGGAATTCGAAAAAGAAGTGACGAAAAAGAAGCAACAGAAAGCACACAGTAACGAAAGTGAAAAATACGATACAAAACTCGCTGATTTTTGCTGCATACAAATGAGTCAACTGCGGTTGGTGCGTTCACTTAACAACCATGGCGCGTTTCGACGTTGAATGAATTTTTCAGTGTTTCGGTAACTAGATAGGATTTACCATAACATGACTGTTACAATTGGTATTGATATATGTTCGTTGTATTTCTCTCGCTGTATACACATATGGTCAGCTATAGATATATTTTTATTCATGTTGTTAGGCATTGACCTGAAGCGATTTTTTTGTTTTTCTTTCTATACTTTCGAACTTTCATTAATCAAAAAATTGTTGTTCGTTTTCTCTTCGTGTGGAAGTAAAAAGCACTATTTGTTGAGCTTAAAGTTGATTTAAACGGGCATTATTGCACTACACTGGTGTATTATACACATATAAATATGTTTTAATTATTCACAAAAAGTATAAGAGAATAAAAAGTAATCATCCACATACAAGAACTTTAATTTCAGATATCGCAGTTAGGGATCTAGATTTAATTATATGTTGGTCATTTCACGGCTCTTTTATATGACACAAACCTAACGTTGCACAAGGAACTATAGGAATGTTTTATTCTAGTTAATGCAACAGGGGTCAGGAACTATCATGCACTTGATGATACAAAATCAATTACAAAGTAATTCAAAACAGTACATCATAGTATAGTCAAGATTTTCATTATAATTTCTATCAGTAATTATGATAAAGTATACTAGGGTCTCGATGTGGATGCTATAAAACCATGTTAGATCCTATAGACTCTGATAGACTCTTGCCGGTCCTAAAAGAACCTATAATCAAGTTTAATAGAATTATGCACGCTTAGAAAAATTGTACATGATTATATATGATGATCCTACGAGAACGACGGCTCTTGATTCTCGCTTCCAGCACGATCCTATTTACATATATAGATATGCGTGCAGTAAAAAAGTATTCGAAGGCACGTTGTCTATAATTTATGTAAATTTTATAATTATTTTGAAGCTCATTTGTATCATGAACTGAAATGATATATTTGTCTATCCCAAAAAGTTCTTCTGTCGTAAAAGAATCGCCAGTTTATTCTTACGAATGACAAATGGCTTGATACAAAACAAGTTTAAACTTGTTTTGTCCTCAACTTTCAAACAGCTGTAAAAATAATACTTGAATCTCATCCCAATTCAACATATATAGGTCTTACTCTGGGCTGAATTACGAATTGAAAATTATGTCACGGGCATGTTTAGGTTATTTGAAAAGGCGAACCATCATCGTGTGGGTATTGACACATCTATAGCGTTTATTTATATGTTTTAATGAAGAGAACTGAAAAATTGAGAGAAAATAAATTCACTAACTGCGTTTGTATGGTTCACAGTAAAACCTTTTATCTTATTTACATATAAAATGACATGGAAACCTAGTGAATTGTAGAATTATGTAGTCCATATAAGCATCAAAGTTGACTTTCTCAGAGAGTACACCTTTGCTTTTGTCCTTACGATTCTCTTCATTCTATTCAGCAAAATGCAGTCATAATAATTATTGACAATTGAAAAATAATTATTAATCAAGTATTATCACTTGTTATCGATTTTCGTAGAAATAGCAAAAACGATATTTCACGGAAGATGAAAATAAAATTTTACTTACACATATCTTAACTACGTTGATCAATTTACGATATGTAATTTTTGATTCATCTTCAAGTCCACTGGAATTACACGTCTCTTTAGAAAATTTTAATGATTATCTTCATTTTGCTTGATGAACATTTCAATCAATTGCGCACACGTTATGTTCGTATTGCTCTTATTTGCTCTTTCTATTTAATAATTAATATCTATTTAACTTAAATGAATTATTATTATTGCTTTCTCCAGAAAAAAAACACCTAATCTACGATCTTTTTTGCTGTATAGTAATGTGCAAACAAGTGTTTATGATGATTTAACTAAATTACTTCTAGATCGTATGTCGACTTTAGAAGGACTTAATTTATCTCTTTCAGTTAACAGCAAAAGAAAACATATTTTGACAGAAATAATTTTAACAAAAATATCATGAATCATATTCCACGATTAAGTAAAGTTACATTTAATATTCACTCAACTATTCGTATTCATAATGAAATTGATTTGCTATCAGATAAAGACAATCATACATACTAAAGATAATCAAATTATCTCTTGTGTTGATTATTTTCCAAAAGCAAAAAATTGCCAATGTCATATTTATTCATATCTATACAATGTAAAACACTATCATAATATAACAACAAGTTTTCCAATACGTAAATATTCTGATTGTTATCAATTTATTATTTTTATATAAAACATAGTCAAAAATCAACTGATTTACATAGATTTAAAACATGAGAGATGGAAATGATAGGTAATCAAAATAAATATCGAAGAAAAAAAACTACAATTGAACAGCAATCGTAGACATCGAAAAAAAAATATTATTGAATTTTACCAATGAAAGATTTAATAGATGAAAACTATGTACGCGGATAAAATTAGGACGGTTCATATTCTTATTTTTTCATTTAATTAATGTTGAAAAGTAAAAACTCATGTATCAAAGTCAGTGCCGTAACTAGAAACTATTGATTAGTGAATAATTTCTCAGTGAAACTGTTTTTTACACAAGCTAGTATTTATTGAAAACAAGCTTTCAATATAATTAATTAACTGAGGCCGTTTTGACGTTCGTGATGGCATATTTCACAAATGTATTTTTTAACATTTACAATATCTAATGATCTTAATGGCAAATCGGCAGAGCATCTATTTCTACATGTTTATTAATAAATGTTGTCACAAGTCCACAAAAATTTAGTGAGACATACGGTAGGTGAATAAAATTTGAATTCAAACGATAGAATAGTATAGTACATAAAAATCGTAATTATAAATATACATATCTTGTTATCTTACATAATGGATGTGCTCAGACGGCCTAGTGCCCAGTGGTGACACCATGGGGACTGAGTGAGGCTCGGTAAAGATTGAGGGTAGGGTGTGGGCGATAGCTTTTTCTCCGTTTCATGCCAACGCGTACACCCAAGATCCAAATATGCCTCCAAATAAATTTCATAAATTTTCCACACAACAACCTCATATGAAATTGATTGTTTTAGTTCTCATCGATTGCATAACATTAATAAAAATGATCGATTTCTTTTTACAAATCAATACAAAGTGGTGATTTTACTGAAACATCTATTATCATATAATGATAATGCAATAGCATGCCATTCGGTTGCACCGGTTACGTTTTCCACTGATTTGTTTATCCAATTTTAGATGATATTGCCCATTCATCTTGCTAATCGAATTGCACATATTTGGATAGATATTCATAATCATATATACAACAATAATGGTATCTATTAATTATTGCTAACAACGATTCGAATATATATATTTATCATCATTTTACGGATGTTTATTGTCAAATGGTTCATTTGACACATACAAAAGAAAAACACCAATTCGTGTATTTGTATTTATATACATGATAACTAGACAACAGACACTATGATCATAGTCGCATCGTTCTTTCATCATTTCTTTCGAGATTATCTCAATTTCTTATAAAACAAAACAAAAAGTAACTACTAGCTCAAGGGTGGTCGATTGCATGTCTCTGACCCGGAACAACATACTGACTTCGATATTCTTATAATTGGATACAGAGAAACAAAACGAATACAAATTACTCGATCATTATATATCAATATCAATATGATTGAATCGAATGAAACTGCAAAGATTTGCCGCCCATATAATATCCTAATTCACAACATACCGACAAATACGTTTGTCAGGACGAGAAAATCATTAGTCTATGGTTCACTATAGATAGAAAGTAATGAGTCGGTTGTAAATCTATCTATTTCACCCAACTAGCTTGTATGGTTTATGTGCCGATTTTTATCATTATTTTCAATTTACTTTACGTAAAACAAACTTCTTTTTGTTAATATATACACATCTGATTGTATTCACACATTCATTCGAGAATCCCTCGTCGATCAAATAATCATTATATGAATTCTTTTTTTGTTTTCTAAATATTTAGCCGTTGTGCCGACTTGAATTTCGTAACAAACAGTGTCGGCATTAAGCAAAGAAAAAGTAAAATGAAAGCAGCTCATCTTTCATTTATTAATCAGCAACGATTGATACATTGATGTTTTCAACACGTGTCTTCTTCACAAACACATTTATCTTGAGACGAACAGCGAACAAGTGTTATTTTGACATTCTATTCGAATAGTCTAAATCTATTATGAATACAGTTGTTTCAATGGTCGAGATCACAAGCTTCATAATAAAATTGAGAGAGAAACCGAAGAAAAAAAAAGTTATTCTTGAAGAGAATATCACATAGATATATTTATGCATATTATATCCATCTGACTTTTTCGAAATTGTCTAATGAAGTGATATACGCGTGATTGGCAAGCAAATATAACGCCGTTTCGCTTGTCTGCCATCATACTTAAATATCAACAATGAATATAGGAAAAGACGAAGAGAGAAAGAAAATAATGTTATTGTGAATACGATGTGTCTCTTTAAATGTCATCGAGTCAATTTGCTCTCTATATTATAAAGCTTCGTATAGTACTCAGTCAATGATATTTGATCGTCTTCATCATATTGTACAATGATTTTTTTCTTTTTGTACATAGAGATATAACGTATAAGAAATCGTTTGGAATTAAGTAGCCCAGCAAACTATTGTTGGATTGTAAGATAAAGTACTGTCAGATTTTCCAATGAATGAATTGAAAATAATAAATAAAAAGGATGATTCTAAGATGTTTGATCAAGTCAATCTCTGTTTATGTAGCTATTTAGAATAATGAAAAAGATACTCTTAATCTTCTTTTTTCTCTTTCTTTAGATAGAGTGCTTAACAAATTGGTTACTATCTTTTCATACATGCATTGAATCTATTGATTGGTCTATAATTTTCTCTTATCTATATATTTATTGGTCGAAATATTTATATATATATATCATTCTGACGCTACTCATCTTTCTCTTACTTTCTCTCTTTCTCTCTCTCTCTCTCTCTATCAAATATCAAGGCACGATAAGCTCGTGCACCGTATACAAAAAGGAACCCCAACGAGATAGGAGGGAGAGAACTAAAACTCTTAATATTTGCTATACAACAGTTGGCAGAAGTAAAAGAACGAAGAGAAGAAAAAAAAGAAGAGAAATAAATGCTAATGCAAACCCCCCTAAAAAGCAATGAAAAGAGAGAGATAGAGAAATAGATCGAGTGATAAAAAGAAAAAAAGCTACGCAGTACGTATAATTGAAAATAGGAAAGTCTAAAGTGAATTCAAGTGAAACCGAGTGCAACGGAAATACCGAATCGGCCCGCGAATCAACGTACAAACACGGTACATTGAGCGTGGCAAAAGTAGATCAACCTACCTTCTCTATTTACTACTATCTAACAACTTACAATAATCACAATGGGTATGTAAATTGTCTATAGATGAATGACGATTGTATATATGAGATAGCAAAAAACTATTTCATCACTATTTTTCTTTCGTTGAGATATATCTGTCTTATACCTAAGTGACAGTAGGAGCATCCACTATGATGATGACAGTTTGCAAATATGTATCGAGAGAAAAAAACAAATTGCAATAGATCATTACAATAATAGTATCAAACAAAATTCAACTAGAATATTTTGATTTCGATTATTATCTGCTCTTCTAAATTAAATATTACCATCAATAACCTATTCAAATAGAATCTGAAGGAAGTAATATTATTAAGTGATTAGGCGAGAAGAAAACATGATTGATGATAGAATATCATTTATATGTTTTTTTTGTGACAGACAGATATTTGTATGTTAATTTTTTAAAATTATTCTAGCAGATTATTCATTTAATGATAACTGTTCAAGTCAAAGTTATGGAGAAGTCAATCAACTTGGTGGTGTTTTTGTCAATGGACGACCATTACCTACTCCGATTCGTTTACGTATTGTTGAAATGGCTAATCTAGGAGTTCGCCCATGTGATATTAGTCGCCGTTTAAAAGTTTCACATGGATGTGTTAGTAAAATTCTTGCTCGCTATCATGAAACAGGTAAGTTTCTATTTGCTAATATTGTTGCCTTCTTTTGTATTTTATGTTGTGTTTGTTTTTTGCTTTTGTTGGAGGTTCTGTATTACCAGGTGCAATCGGTGGCAGTAAACCACGTGTAACAACGCCACGCGTTGTTGGTCGCATACGTGATTATAAAGTAAAGGATCCTGGTATGTTCGCTTGGGAAATACGAGAAAAATTATTGTTGGATAATGTATGCGATAAATTTAATGTACCATCAGTATCGTCAATTTCACGAATTTTACGTAATAAAATTGGTCCACTATCCCAACCGTGTAATAGAAGTGGAGAAGGAAATAGTGAACATAGTGATTCAAATTCGTCTCCACCTGTCCCATCAACATCGTCACTAATATCGAATACGATGCCTACATCGACAGTCTCAATAACAAAACATGATTTATCACCAGTTAATACACCATCAGCATTGTCATCATCTGAATCGCTATGTAAAATCGAACCACCGGCATGGTTACCTTATGATCAATCGTCGACATCACATGCTCATCGTTATTTTTATCCAAACGTAGCATACCATTCAACATTACAACATCAATTTGAATCCGCCATGAAATCACCGTACGCAACAGGAACTTCTATTGTACCGAATCCTGAAAGTCCATTTTCACATTCACCTCATTATTATCAACAAAATTATCATCATCATTCACAACAACAACAACAACAACACCAACAACAACACCAACAGCAGCAGCAGCAGCAGCAGCAGCAACAACAACAACAGAATACATCATTTAATAATGCGACGAGTTATGCATCATTTTTTAATCCTTTTCCTTATTCACAAACAAGCAATTTTGCTGTTGCGACACCCTACTATTCTTCTTCATATAGTTTACCATTGACACCGCAAGCTTCATAGAACAAGACAATAAAAAAACGTTTTTTTCTGTATTGTTTTCTTTTTTTTTTGTTTTTCTGACAAATTATGTGTGCATGTGTGTTTTCTTCTCTAGCAAAAAATGAAACTTAATAATATAATGAGTCAAATGAAGAAGATATTTATTATTTTATCTTGGATTCTAACTAGTAGACATCGATATCTGTAGAAAATATTTTGATGTAAAATGTGGTGTGCCGTAGAAAGACCGAAAGGAAAAATGTCGAAAATTTGCACTAAAATGTTTTTATTCTTGAAATCATAATAGCATCATAGCATAAATCATAGACAAATAAGAGTTATAAAGAAAGATACACATATCCAATATTTACCAGTTGTTGTTGTTTTATTCATTTTGAAAATATATTTATCTGATACAAGGAAAGGTTTTCCTTTTTACGACTGAATAAATGAAATAGCTGGAGTTGGCGGATGATTCTCACCAGATAAAAATGAGCAAGCTGTAGTCATCATGATAGAATTTTAATCGTTGTATACTATTTTACGCCCATTTTAGCTAGTTTTCATAAGATATTACTTATCAATGGTTAACAGTGTCAAACCAATGGAATAATGAGATTAACAACAATGAACAATAAACTATTAGAACCTTCATTTAGTAGAGACGTCCCTTTTTTCTATCTTTTCTGTTTTCGACATTTTTCCCTTTCGATATTTTTCTTTCGGCCTTTCTACGGCCAACCTAAAATGTCGCTTGATTGTTTTTAAATTTTAGCAGATACATAACGCGCTTCATAATCATTATCCGAGAAGTGTCACACAACAGAATGTTATTCTATTATCGAATGATTAGCGAATAGTCAGTCGATAGATTTTATTTTGTCTGATAAGATACTTTCAATTTCTGATCGACAGTGGTCCATGATAATTATGTCTATTGAATATAATCAGTAGTAAACAGGTGAATATAAATTTTAATTGATAAGGATGAAAAATAAAAGTCATTAATCTCCAATATAGTGATCTATCAGTTGTTGGCATTTATATAATTCTTTTTTCGATTAAGCGAGTGATCGTTATTTCCAATCGAAAAATATGTTTGTTGAAAGGGCAAACATTTATCGTTCTATTGATGGCGAGATTGAAAACAATGAATATATTACGAATCAATATGATACATAGAAAAACACAGAAGTCATTAATTTGATTTTGAATTGAATTTTAATTTACAAAAAAGAAAGAGAAAGAGGAATTAGATTCTTCACCTGTTGAGAATCATATCTTATTTCATTGATAAATTGAAGTGTTTAAAGGAAATTATAATTTATTCTCTTGTACAGATATGTAAAAAGAGCCAAAATAAAAAATAAAAAGAAACAGATGAGATAAACAGCACATGATTCGTTTTAAAATAAATCATGTATTGATCATGTGCCCGATTGAGAAATTGACTGACACTCGTTTTATATGTGTCTCGCAATGAATTTTGTCAGCTACCAATATTATCGTCGAACTAAATTGAGAAAAACAAAATAGAAAGAAAAATAAGAGTTTACCAAATCATAATTTGGTGGAACTGAAGAGAATTTCTTTTTTAAATAAAAACCAGCATTGTTCTCAGAGAAATCAATTTTTGCTATTCGACAAGAAGTTTAGTACGAAGAAGATATACATGTAAAAAAAACATATTTGTTTTTATATCGCTAATATGCAGCGACAAGTTCGATTCGAAAATTCTGTTTTTACAACATTATCTGATAATTAATAAAAGATATATAGAATGGTTACCTTCAGAAACTATTGTTCTCGTGCTCGTCGTATAATTGTTGTACGTCGTTCGGGTGAGCCTTCATGTGGATTTCTATTACGAACAGTTCGATATCTTGACGCATACGATGGGCGACGTACATATTCTAGTCTACATAGTAAAAATCATTCAAAATATATATTTATTATAAATCTGTTAGTAACGAACATTTCATCATCAGCTGGATCAACATAAGCTCGAACAACATGACGATTACTTGGTGGACTAGTCTGATGAGAAATAGAAAAAATAGAGTTTCATCGATGTAGATAAATATGAATAGATTTTACTCGATGAATTCTATCTTCATCTTCAACGACAACAACACGTTTTCCGTTCGACTGTCCTTGTTGTTGTCGATCACGTTGATATAATTGTCGTGTAAGTTTTTCATTTTCACGTGCTAAAGTTTCATGATGACTTCGAATTTTTTGCGTTGTAGCGCCATTCAATCGACCACTAATCAAACGAGAAAAATAAAGATACTCTAATAATATCGGTATCAAAAAATAAAATGAAAGATACTTACTGAGTATCTTGTCTTTCGTAGGCTTCTATACTTCCTGATGAACGTAGAGATGCTTGTGAACCTAATATGAAATGTATTACAATCAATGGATCAGTGATTGTTTACTTATTGAATTAATTTTTTTACCTAAATCATTTCGATTTTTAAGCTTGGGTAAATTATTATTTGTTTGACCGCCTAATTTATGTCTCAACTCAAGATTTTCATCTTTTAATTTACGAACTTCAAGTTTTAAACGATTGATGACATTTTCTTTTGAATCAGTTTTTATGAGTGGAGCATTTTCAATATTTTTTGCACGATTAGCATAACGTAATGTACTTAAACTTTCATTTTCGCATAGAATTGATGGTGAAACACAAGCTAACTAGAAACAAAGAAACATAAATTCAAAAACAAAACAGCTTAAGAATTTTATTAAAAAATAAATATACCATTAGTGTTATGCCATGTCCACCTAAGCTGTCTGCTAAAAGTCTAGTTAGTTTTGATTCACGATAAGGTACATGACCGTTGCGCATTCTAGGATCACTTAATGCCGAAATACATGTTCCTAAGAAAGAAAAAAGTTTTTATTTCATTTTGAAAAGATTATAGAAATTTTTTATTTTGATTACCAAGTGTTAGTAAACTTTTATTGATATTGTTTGTTTCGACCAATTGTTTGCCTTTTGAATGACTTGCTTTAACTTTTTCACTACCTAAAAGACAAAAAAAAGAATCTTTCAAATGTATTCACTTTCTTGAGGAAACGCGTACATCCTATGTACCGCAGTATATAGCATATGTACAGTTAGAAGTGTCATAGCTCTGTATCTTATAGCTGTTATGTGATTGTTCTCATCGAGTTTTTCGTAAAATGTTCAATGATTTATCTCGCAAAACAAATATCTACGTATGCGAATCTATTAAAATACTTTCGGATATTATGAATTCTGCTCTTGGCAGAATATACAGCTGCACAGTGATATAATTTATATTTACCAGCTAAATCAACGAAAGTTAATTTTCCCTGTCGCGTCATTTGTTCTTGTGGGTCATCATAACCTTGTAAATCTTGTTCAATTTGTATTGAAAGCATAGCGTGACTACGACTTGACATATCATTGAGCTGATGTGATGCCATAGCTCGATTTAATTCACCTATATGAGTCATAAATAATTTTAAAATGTTCATATTTTATTTTTAATATTCACTATCTATACAAACCTTCTTCAAGTATAGTTAATAGTTCATCAATAGTTTCAATATATGTTTGATAAAGATTTTCAACAAAAAATCCATCTTCAATTGAACCACGTACTTGTAAAGGATCTGGATTTTCTGGACGAATTAAATCACGAATCTAATTGAAAATATGTTTTTAATTAGAAAGAAATAAGAATCTTTCTTAAAACTATATGTATACTTGTTCGTTATATATTTCACAATAAGCTACACGAATATAATATGGAGAATTTGTTCTTTCGGTTTTTTCTCGTAAGCGATCAAATAAATAACTTATCGCACGTGGTGCTATACCAAAATTATTTGTACGATAATTAGTATCCATACGAAACTATTTTTTTTAATAGACATTAATTTCTATATTTATGTATGAAAACAAAATAAATAAATAAATACATACAATTGCAGCACCACCTGGACCAACCATAGTATGTGTTTTTCCACTACCTGTTTGTCCATAGGCAAAACAAGTTGCAACATATCTAAATATATGCAATCATAATTGAATGTATTTCAAGATATTTCACAATATAATTTACCCTTCAATAGCTAAATCAACTAAACGTTTAATTCCACTATATTGAAATACTTCTTCTTGTGTTGATGCTTCGTCGAATACACTATCGAACGTAAATCGACGATTATGTTGACCTCCTTCGGCCTAACCAATTAAAATATTTTCTCTCTATTAATATTAATGAACAATAAAACATACAATAATAGAATTTTCACCTTCACAGCGCAATACAGTTGACGGATCTTTTGGATTTTCGAGTTCACGATCATTCAATGGTCGAACTCTGAAAATAAAAGTAATCATCACATAAGAAATTTAAAGTTCAGAACTAACCGAACAATAACACGTATACGATCTTTTTCCGGAACGATAAAATCTGTAGCTTCATTTCGATAGATACTAGAATAGAAAATAAATAGAAATTAGTTCTTTTTTGTCAATCATTTTTCTAACTATTGATATAACACAAATATTGATCGAAGGTTCTATTACTTATCACAGAAGATAGATTTTATAAAGAATATTCATTAAGTTGCGATTTCAAACGAGTCTATATATATATATATATATATACCTATCACAAGTTAGAAGACTTCTTTCCGTCATGTTCCAGTTCGAAATCGTCGAATTAGTTAGATCGGGATGAATATTACGATAAATATTTCTAGTATTTGATGATGGAATTTCAACAGCTTCGATTGCAGGCAACGCGTTAGATGATTTACTTGGTGTTATTCTACCGTTATAAGTATGGTTAGTTTCACAAACATGTTTACCATGTGGTATATCTGATTCAGATGGTGTTGCTTCAGTAATGATGATTTTAATATTACTATTATTATTTGCTGGAATTTCAATACGTGGTGTATTCGAAGTCGAAGTAGGATACATTGGATACGATCCTATAGTGTACGTCGTGATAGGCAACTTAGGCATTTTATGTTGTTTTTCCTTCAATAGGAAATGATTCGGAATAGAAAAATATTTTCCAATACTTAGTTTTCTCTCTCTCTCTCTCTCTCTTTCTCTATGATTTACTCATACGTTATAATAAAAACAATTCATTTTTTTTCTCTCGCTATATTTTTCAATTGCTCTTGATAATAATCGATCACTGTTAATTTCAATCGGTTGCCAATAAAAGAAGAAAATATATATGCGCATCTTTGATAAAAGCCAATCTTTTAGTTTTTCATAGATAATAAAAGCAAACAAAAGAGAAAATTTTCAAGTCATTTTCTTTTATTTTTATCATGATTAGAAAACAAAAGTATTATTGAACTAATAATCTAAATACAAATAGTCTGATTATTTTTAATTTACCTTGATAGAAGACTATTAATAGGGAATTTTGAAGTACCATAAGGCAATTAGGCGAAAGTTAATTCATAATGGCAACTCTATTCTTTTCTCAAAGTCATACTTTATCGATCAATAAGGCAGATGTTAGTGTGACAAGAAAAGAACGCAATCGTTTCTCTTTTTTAAACGACGCAAAAGAATCGAGCCGAATGATAGATGAAAACAAATCAGAAAAGGATATCAATTCAAATTTATTCATACAAATCACATTTCTTTTGTTTAGTTAAGAGAATAACAAGAATTCACTTATTAATCTACTTACGTTCTTTGATTATGCGTGGAATTATTCGGTACATTTTCGTCATAGTAGTGTTGTGTTGATTTTTCATGACCATCAGATTTATTTGGCTCTTGTACATATTCATAGCCACCGTCTGGTCGTGATTTTGGATAGTATGGATAATAAATATATTCATCGTAGTCGTCGTCTTCTGGTACTGATTGTTGCTGTTGCTGATTAGCAACTCGTTTCGATGAAGTCGCCATTTTACCTTCAATTTTCTCTTATAATTCTATTCAACCACCATGCGTATGTGTGTATGTGTGTCTCGCTTTTTTTCCACTGCTGCCATAACAAATATGTTTATACATGATTCTTTACAAGGAAAAAATTCAAGCATTTTTTTTCATTTTCAGTCTGCTTTTTTGTGTTGTTCATAGAAAAAATCCCTATTGAAAAAAAAAACGAAAAGAACGAGTTATAGAAAAGATGATGAAGAAAAAACGAAAGAGGAGCATTCGGCTTAGTTGTGAGAAGAAAAAAAGGAAACCTTCGTTTAAAAAAACGATGTTTACATAAAAAATGCAATTACTTTTAACGAATAAATATTGACAAATAGGGTGAGATAAAATTGATCTAACAAAAGCAATTCAATAAACGTAGACAAAAAAAATTAAAGGAACCGGGCTTGGCCGGGGATTGAACCCGGGACCTCTCGCACCCTAAGCGAGAATCATACCACTAGACCACCAAGCCATGTCACTGTTTAGTAAGATATCGGTCAATATGCCGGTATAGATAATAATAATGGCATCAAAAAATTGTTCTTAGTTTGTCTTTGACTCTATTACTCGATCAATTGGTGACTGAGGAACACAATCAAGTATAAATCCTTTCAATCCTTTTCAATTATCATAATAAAACATACTTGACAGAGTTTTAAGGCTTCTATAATCAATTTTTTTCCAATAAGTTCACTTTATTCATAGGCATATGTGGCATGAACATTAATTAAATAATTCATCGGAACAGAATAAAAATGAGAGAGAGAGAGAGGAGAAGAAAAATCAATTCATGTCCAAATATAAATGAGAAATAAAAGAAAAAGAAAACAACTGTGAAGAATATATTAGCATTTAGAATGCAATTATTATTGTTTTTTTAACATCAATCATTTAGCGTTTTTCAGATATTGGAATTGTATTAGGTTTTCGTCGAATAGAAACATTCGATAATACAGATGAAATTGATTTTGGTGATGAAGTTTGTGATTCTTTCGGTGAAATTTTCATTTGACATTTTCGATCGCGCAGCCACGTTCGCACATTAAATTTTTTTATAAACGTCGATGAAGATGAACGTTGATTCGTTGTAAGTATTTTTGAGTTCGTTAACAGTTTATATTTTAATCGAAATTGTAATGGTGATAATTTTTCTAATTGATTTGTTATGCATTCGAATAAATCATTATTACTATTAACAAGTACAAATGCTGATGACTCATAATATGTACTTAATAGCGTACGATTCGAAATAAAATGTGTTAACCATGAAGTAAGTTCATGAAGACTAAACAAATAAGAATAAAGAAAAAAAATTAATATTTCAAGTTGTCGAATTCTGTCTATCTATTTTACTTCAATAAATGATAGATAAACGAATTAAATCTTTCAATCCAATCAGTAGTCGATGGTAGATCGGCTTGTGCTTTCATTTTAGCTTCATTGAATTGACTTAATTTCGATGTTGCTAAATCAATTAAACGCCATAGATTCATTTTTTTCGAAAACAAAGAACCAGAATATTGTCTTAGGCCATCGTCCAATAGTTCACGTAATAATGAACATAGATCTTGACGTAGCGTTCGATCTAATTCATAATTTGTCTGATTATTTAAATAATAAGACTGAAAGTAATAGATAAAAACAAAAGCTTTCACAGAAAAAAAAAGAATACTGATTTGATTCTACCTTAGGATCACTACATTTTATTTCTAATATATGAAGAATTGTGTTTGCAAATGCATCAATTAAATATTTATCATTTTGATTTTTAAATGAGAATGGTTTCGCTTGACTCTCAGGAATATTTTCCATAAAATTTATCAGATGATCTCCATTTTTTTCATCATCTGATAGATTAAATTCATTTGGCGGACTATCTATTAAACATTCTTGTAGTATCAAATCACAATAATCTAAAACATAAAATTTGATAACGAAAACAAGAGGACGATCATCAACGAATGATAGTCGTTACCTTGATTTGAATGATTAGGACTTGTTGACGGGGTAATAAGTCTTCGAACGATTTCATCACAGAAACTAACATTTTTCTTCGTTTGAAGATCCTGTTCAGAAGAAGTACACGACTCATTTTTTGTTCGAATTTTTAGTAGAAGATTTTGTTCGTGTGATGATGATGTATTCGGCGCTGAGTAACGTCTACTTTTCGATGTATCATTTTCATGAGGAACAAATCTATCAGGTAATGTAACAATATCTGCAGTAGTCGTATTACCATCATTAGAATGGTTGATTGTCGTTGGCGAATTTGTTAGTTGTTCAGTTTTAGTACGTTTTAGACATGATTTAAGAGGATATGGAGATACACATGTTTGAGTGTGATGTGTTTGATTCGTTGAACTATTACTAAAATATCCACTACTAGATATACTTGAGCATGTCGATGAAAATGCTTCATTTTCTTCTGTTGAAATTTTACTTGGAGAATGTTTTATATTTTGACTACGTTTTATTACTGTTTTATGCGTTTGTAAATTTTTTATTGTCGATAATGGTGAATGTACTGTTGTAGATTGATTAGGAACTTTAATGCTAAAATAGAAAATAGTACATTTGGCCTTTTTTATTAACGATAATGGTTCCGATAATGTGTCTTTCATCGCTGTACACGAATGTTTCGTATGATTTCTTAATGGTGATAATAATGTTGAGGTTTCTTTAGCGTAATATGTAAGAAAATCAAGATTTGGTAATGAATGATGAGTTTTAAACGATGAATGACTAGGATTATTTAATTGATGATTAGGATCTTTTTGACAAACAACAATCGATGTTTGGAGGCATTGGTCAATTTGATTTTGACATTGTTCGTTATCTAATTTAATTTTTGATTTTAAAATTATCTGTTCTTGTTGCATGGAATTTGAACACGATGATGATTTCGATGAATCACATATACTTTTATCACTGAAATTGTCATATAAATGGCATGGATGTTGTTGAGATTTTGTACGCTGAAATAACTGATACAGTGTTAATGGATTTGATAAATGATGATCAATGTGCGATGTATTTCTTGATGATGAATTACTATGATTTGAAGATTTACATTTTATTTCATGCCATGATGTTTGTTGTCGATCCGTTGATGATATTCTATCAATTTGTTTCAAATCCATTGACCATTCCAATAGGCGTTTTTCTTGTCGAGTTTTTTGTTTATTATGTTCAAATGTAAGTTGATGATAATTAGGATTTTCATATAAATCCCAATGAAAACCTTCATATTGACTATTATGAAACGATGATGAGAGTTGTCGACAATCATTTTCATATGAAGAAAATATTGACCGATGACCACTAAGCCAAAGTTCCTCCTCCTCATCATCATTGGAATGTTCATCAGGATGGTCAATAGAGAATTCTTGCTGTTCCATTGATATATCAACAAGCTTTAAATAACTATCAATTGAATCAAGTAATTGTGAAACTAATGTTGTTTGATAATTTATATTGAACATACAATCAACTACGAGAGAAGAAAACAATTATTACATTACTGATGTTTTCCTTTCTGTGCTCAAAACTTCTATCTTTAAAGATGATAAGCTGAACAAATAGAAGCCAAAATGTAAATCTTATTATCAACAACTCAAGCAATAGAAACACATATAAGAATTTACTCTAATATTTGGATAATAAAGTATAAGACTTGACTTGTTATGTCTTTCTTCTTGTCAATAAATATAAATGTAACGATAGAACAAATAAGTGATGATAGAAAAGCAAAAACGGATACGCAAGGCTTTTCATCATGACATTGACTTTCCTTTCGATAACGAATAATGAAGGATATGAAAAAGGCGAACCGAAAGATTATGTGAATTAATGATGAGCCTGCAGATGTTTTCTCAAATGGTTATTTTGACACATGTAAACCTTGAAATGCTTGACTACGCCCATAGAATAAGGAGTGAGAGAGAGAGAGAGAGAGAGAGAAAGAAATGACAAAGTAAGATACACTTGGTAAAAACATGCTTTTTCTATTTAGAGTTCGTTATATACACATAAGTAATCATAAAAACGCTTGATTGCTTTTTCTTAAAGAAGTACAAGACTAAATACTCAGAGTTAAATCACCAGCGATAGACATACCTTCATTCATGCGTATACTAATTATACTTTTCTAGTCTCGGCCTTTCGTTTTTTTTTGCTATACATTAATACTTCTCTTGTCACATATTGATCGTTACTATCAAGCGTACACTTTCGTATATAATTTGCATTTGTTTATGCATTTTGACCTCAAGGACAAAAGACAAACACTTACTATATGTATATATGTATATATATACATGGAGATGAACGATCTACAGCTTGTTCCATTGAAACATGTACAATTTTTCTTTTGTTGTTTTAGATATAAATTTTACCTTCAAAAGGCTCTGTTTATAGAAATTAACTAATTGACCTATAAAATAGAAAACTTTCAGCATTACTCAATTGAACTTCGTTACTTTAATTGACTGGTCTAAATGAATGTGAATGAGAACAGCTGCGAATCAAACGACGATGTATGTATACATTCAGTTGATATTCGTCTCTTATAATTAATAGAGAAATGAGAAAGAAACCTCCTACAATAGTAGCCAACTGGTACTGTCTGATTACACAATTGAGTACATTTATTAAATAGAAGAATAAAGTACTTACTTATTGTCGTCTATTAATCTATATGAGTGACATTAAATTGTAGTTTATACTATCCTAGGTGACACGTAGAAAAAAAATTGACATGATTAATTGCTTGTGTATGGGTGGATATCTCATTGTCGTTGTGTTTTTTTTTGACGAAGCTGGGAAATTTAGAGCGTGCACGTTATTCTGAGCATACATACAATAGAAAAAAAAGAAACAGTAGAGTAGAAGGAGAAAAAGGGAAAACGAGGAAGAGAAGAAAATCGACATTAGACACTACTAACGCATCACCCTTGCTTGAGATGCTTGATTCAATCAAGGGACAATCCATTATGTATTCTCTTTTCTTTCTTTTCTCACTTATTCGGACGGCCAATAATAGATTTATCTTTACCCATTCTTTCTTTTCTTTCTTGACGATGAATTTGGATCGGATGTCCGGCAACACATTGTTGCACTTTGTTAGGAGTTTTTTTGCAACTCATCTGTCAAAATGTATGCTGAGGATAACTAAGAGTATTGTTGTTCAATCATCGTTCTCTTCCCTCGAATCAATTATTTCATATTAGAAGAAGAAGAAGAAGAAAAGAGTAAATATACATATATCTTCTTGTCTGCATTAGTATATAAACAGTCAGGAAATCGAGTCCATCAATCGCTAGCATTTCTCGAACAACCAGTGTATTATATTGTCGTATTGTATAAATGGACGCACATGTTAATTCTACGCACGAAGACCATATGATGATAATCTTACGTGGATGATTTTCAAGATACGCATTTTGTTAACATGTATTTGGTTGCCAAGTGAAGTACGATATTAAGTTTCAAGCGTGTTTTTATCCGCTAGTTACATATTTCTTATATTTAATTTGATCTCAATTCTTTTCCATTGGCCCACTGTGTTAGTCACTTGATAGTAACAATAACAAAATAAATTATTGAACATAGTACATATCTTTTCTCTTAGTTATGAAACTTAAAAAATAACTTCTCAAATCATATAAACATTAAAGAATTATTGATTCATATTATTTTTACAAAACAAAATACAAACAACAATGGTCATCATTATTATTCAGATCATTATGCATAAATATATATAAATAAAAACTTCTATGGAATAACAGCGACGTTCATTTTGCCGTTATTTAAATTGTATTTGGCACGAATTTGATTACGTACTTCATTACGTTCTATTTGAGCTTCGTCAAATTGGCGTTGTCTCTCAGCTTTTTGTTGTTCATGCTGCTCGTCTTCTCGTGCATATGCTTTTCGGCGTGACCATCTGGCACATTGATTACACTTTCGACATAAGCAACAAATCTAAACATAGAAAAAAATAATAAATGGACAGAAAATCAAAATAATTTAATTGATTTCTTACCAACACGATTACAACAATCACAACGATAACTACAATTATCACTACTATTGGAATCAGAGCATCTGAACTCAATGCAGCCATTGACAATTATTAAATAGAGACTATCTAAAATTTCAGACAGCATTTATTTTTGAATAAAATTTCTTCTATATTTCATGTCACTATTTTGTTTTGTAAAAGAAAAACTCTAGCAGTGTATATGACTCATGGATGACTAGCAAGAAAAAAAATATATTATTCAAGAATTTTCTCAAGGTTGCAAAATTTCTGGCATTAATTATATAAATTTATCTGACAGACTGATTAACTTCATATTACATCGGAAGAAAGAAGCAAAACGTCATATCATGTTTGTCGTGTATATGAAATAAATTCATCGCCATTTGCTTTACTTACTTGGCTCAAATATCTACCTAGCAACAAAATTTTATAATAAAATCATTTTTTCATTTCTGCGAGCCGAGTTCTTTTTCTTCTTCTTTAAAAAGAAGTGATTTCCGTTCGTTTGATGAAGAAAAAATTACTAATCATTAAAAAGTGTGACTCATCAGTCAGCTCAAATGGAAAACAAAAAGAAAAAATAATGATTATGGTGCATTGTAAGAAACCGATTTTTATTTCTTACGTAATATTTGATCCATCAATCAATCGAATAAAATATGTAATCGAGTGAAAATACAGATGAGAAGGATAGGTTCTTTTTTGAATTGTAAATGTGATATTGACTCAAGGCAAAGAAGCAATCACACACACACACACACACTCCTTTTTAGTCAACATAGTGGACAACAGAAATTTAATCGATGATATTGTTTTTGTTAAACACTATGCTATTCTTAGCGAACAGACAAATATCAATTATTTGATTCGATTGAAAGAAAAATCATGGACAAATATTCAAAGCATTTTTTTTCTTCTAATTATTTCGAATATTGAAAGTAGTGATGATCGGTTTACTAGGAAAATAGCTTCTATTAACTCATTACATAATAATTTACATATGCATCAAGTGATTCAAGACAGCCTTGTAGAGAAATTACGATTAAAGAATTTTTATAAACAATTCTAATGGTATCACGATATTGATTAGGATCATCGTTTTCCAATTGATAACAAGGACAATGGTCTAGACAATATTGAATACTAATCTTCACGACATATTCATCATAGTATAATGAAAATTCTTCGTGTCAAAAGAAAGAGATAATTGAAGACAATATAAACAAAACGAATCAAGTAGATTGGTTACTAGAAAATTTCTCTATAATAATTAGATATTTATTATTCATCTACAAGGACAAACTATATCATCGACAATGTTTCAATTCCTCAAATATAGCTATGTATGTGTGAGAATTGTGGTGAAGTTAACATTTTATGATAATTCTATAACGTTCCTTTGAAATAATACAAATGATCTCATGTATCTAACCGAATGATTACATTCGATTCTTTAAAGGGAAAAAAGGTTGTTCTTGAAACAATTCAAAACTTATTTATTCAAATTTAACAAATGATAGAATGCAAGTATGAAACGAAAAATTTTCGTTTTTTTTTAATTTGAAATTATCACGTTTGTTAGTCTTTAAACTATGATGTGCAATATTTAGGCATTATGTTTCCGAAACTAGATAGTTTATCATCTTTGTTCAGAATGAATTCTTTGCCAGATCACATAGAGATTATATTTTTATAAAGAAGTTGACACAGTGTGTTAGCTGTAATTAGATTTGAGCTACTTCTCTCTAAATTATATGTTCCTACTGATACTCAAGGATGTCAGATTTCTCTCTCTCTCTCTCTCTCTCTCTCTTTATTATCTGTATAAAATCATACCCCAAAGACATCCCATCTTATCTTTCCTATTCCGTTGTGACAGTGTTACTTAGTTCTCCTCATTCATCTGATTAAATACCAAAGATATTTGCAGAGGTTTAATCAGGCACGTTGGTAAATCTTCGATTTGCAGCAATCAATGAAATTAAAAATAACCTTTTTTATGGTAAAAATAATAATATGAACGATTTGTACTCCTGTTCCATAAAAATTTCAACTGTTTTGAAATACATCGATTGTAATACTGAGTCAATGAACAAATTATTTACATATGATCGAACATTCCATGAGAAAATCTTTTTAAAAACATCAGATAAATATTCACCAATATCATCAATACAAATAAAATGATGACCTTCTATGATTTCTCTTGATCATATTTTCCAAAATATGACTTTCTTGTTTACTTTCAATATCCAACTATTGAAAGATACTTGTCATAACTGGAATGTTTTCTAAACGAATACTACTAGATATAGTAGTAGTCTACTACTGATAAACGTTAGTATCTATGTCTAGTAGTTACTTATTTCATTGATACTCGATTTAAATACATTTCCATAGCTGTCTGCCGACCGAGAGATAGTTTTCAGTGATAAGAATACAAAGACTGTGTTGACATTTTTAGAATAATTTGTTTTAACCTTTTGTTTTCTTTTGATATTGTAATGAATAAGAAGAATCATTATAGAAATGATGCCGATGATTTTTTCTTCTTCTTTATTGATTGTTTTAGTATAAAGTATATCTTCTTAAGATACAATCACAAAACGTTTTTACTGATTTATGTAATCATATCAATACATTTCTTTTGTTTGATTGTTCTCTAGTTCATTAATCATGTATTTTTCTTTTCTTTCTTTGAAATATGGTAAGATTTTCATTGAATTTGTTTTCTTTGTTGTAGCTGCCTATGGTAAGATCAAGAAATTTTCTTTTGTTCGAATTGCAGCAGTATGCGGTAGGAATGTATACTACGGATGTACTGATTCTCAATATGATTCATTTTTTTTCCAACTATGTCATTATCTTACTCATTATTAAACTAACTTTTGTCATACATTTCATATATAAACACAGATGGTCAATAAACAGTTCGGATCTCAGCATGCAGGACTATTAGTAATAATACTCGTAGTCACTGTGGCACCGCGGTAAATATTATTGAAGGCCGTTACAAATCTGTATGAATATCAATGTCTAACAACGTAACATGATTACTCAATAAATCGAATGAATTAGTAGCAATATAACTTATAGTTCACTATAGTCGTAGTAGTGAAATTCGAAACATCTTTTATTTAAATAGTGTTGTAATGCTACAGAGGCATTTTTTAAAATATTGCAATAATAATAAAAGAAATTCATTTTGTACGATAAAATCATCTTGATCATTGTGTCGAATGGAGCTTTGTCTTATTGGTTTTGACCACAAGCATTTCTATCAACATCATACATCTTTTATCTTCGGATATATTTTTAGTGCTTTAATATTGTTATAGTATAGGTGATGAAAAATAAAATGAAGTGTGAAAAAGCTGCCATTCAATTAGACACATCTATTTTATATTGATATATTGAGTGATGAACTATTAAAGTTATTTAAGACGAAGAAAAGTCTTATACCGCATGGACACAATAATCTTCTAAGTAGTAAAACCGCTTTCAAATCTCCTTAGATTAAATACATGTAGTAATTCAAATTTTCTTCGAACACTTATGACATTTAGATAAGTTCTAATGATAGAAATTGTTCGCTGGAAGATTCTTGTCACAATATTAATATATAATCGACTTTTAGTTTCAATACGAATAATTAAAAAACAAAGAAACTGTGCAACCACTCATTTTGATTAATTATTAAGTTTATTCTTTTGTTTTCTTTTTGTTTGTTAAATAAAAGAACAACATACTAATAAAAAAAAAACAATATACACAAATATTTGTTGATATTGCATCTCGTTCATAGGAATATTTAAATGCTCAATAGACATGAACCATTCCATAGAGAAATGTCCAAAAAAGTACGTAGGTAAGTAAACCATTAAAAAATCCGTTAATAAATATACACTTTAAACTAGTAAAACATTTTCGGTGTTCATTTCTAATATATAAATAAATGAGAAAAGAAAGAAAAAGCATTGAAAAAGCGTAGAAAATAAATCCTTTGTAAGATGTTAAACCGAGAATTCCAGCTACACAACCGGATAAAGCGCTAACAGATGTGCGACATTGTTCAAGACTGTTTTCATTAAAGCGAACAGCTGCTTCACTGTATAAAACTGGTTCGATATTGCGAACCTCATTCTCTTTGGATAACGATGATGATTTTGAGGATGTGGTTGAACGAGAATTCGTCGCTGAGCGACGAATTTGCATTTCATTGTTAGTCGACATGATTTCTTTGGATTAGATGCTTTCAAAATAAATATACATCTAAAAAAAATACAGAATGTTTAATGTTCGGAATGTCATAAATACTTGTAAGCAATAAAACATATTAAATATTCAAATTGGTTATTAAAAAAAATATATATAAGCAAAATGTTCAAAAAAAAAACGTTAAAATATATCAAAACAGGTCTTATGAACTTGTGCGTTTGTATAGATAGAGATAAGCTAAATCTTTTGGAGGATGTTCAGACATTGCAACAGTTTCGTCGTTAAATATTGCCCATCGGCCATCTTTATGAATATGTGCAACATAGTGGCCACATGATGTATTATTACCAATATGGGAAATAAATGCAACAAGATGATATTTAGCGGAACCATCGCGAAAACGCGAATTTTTTTGAATAACATGTTCGAATAGTGAAGGTTCAGGTAAGGCTTCAGTTAATGAATGTGATGTCGAAGCTTTTTCAGGATTGCTAAGTGCCCAATCAATGGCTGCTTCGACATTATTATTTGTTTCAGTTAATGCATGAATGGCATGTGACCGAGATACGCCCATTGACATAAGGATACCCAAACTTTCTTCATCTGCCTATAGTGAACAAAGAAAATGAAATGTTTATTTTTTTATGGCTGCTTTTTTGCGATTTATAACTCACAGTAGGTGTCGATGATTTATTTGATACAAGATATGGTGTATCAAAATCAGGATCCACTTGATGTTCAAATACCCAATTCATTGCGGCTTCGATACTATTATTTCCTGTATTAACTAATGCTTTCTTACAACCTTCAATTGAAAAACCCATACTAACAAGTTGTTCTAAAAGATCTTCATTGATTTGTTCTTTCGGAAGTAGAGTAGCCTTTTCATCGTCTAAATATTTGAAAATGAATTGAGAAAAACAGAAATAGTCAGTTTTTAAATGTTACCATCTGGCATCGGTGTTTCACCAGATAGTAAACCAGTTGCACGTAGTGAGCTAAGATCAATTTCATCGGGTACGTCCATTGAGACATCTATTTTTCTTGGCGTCCAATCATCATTGTATGTATATTTTTTTAATTGAATGAGAAAATAATCTGGAAAGGTCAAAAATCGTTGTGTTTTTCGAATCGTTGCTTTTGGTCGTTCTCGATTTATTCTAAAATCTTCGACGATTTCTGGCTCAGCCCATCGAGCAATAGCTTGTGTCAGTGGAACGATTGGACGTACAACTGGTAATTCATTTGTTCTAAGTCCTTGTTTTTCCATATCTGCTTTTGTTTTGTTATAATGAAGAACTTCATGCATATTTTTTGCAGCATCCAACGGAACATTCATTCGAAACATAATATCATCTCGAGTTAAATATCTAACTTGAGTTGTTTCTGGACAATAGAGACGTTCTTCTAATTGAAATTGAAAACACGTACTCGGATCAAGTGATGCATCCGGCGTTGGATCATTTATACAATGTTTATGTACTTGTTCAAGAAAATATTCTAAGAATTCTGCAGCATCTTGTTGTTGCTTGGTACCGAATTCTGGGTGACCATGGCCAATGAGAGAACGAAACATTTGTGGTCGAACAATTGATGGTGGTTGAAATGGAAAATACTCATCAGAAGGAATTTGCCGAGAATAAAGACCAGATAATAAGCCAAATGCTAGTTTAGCTGTTTGTGCATTAAAATCATGTACTGGATCTTTAGCATGATCAAAATAAAATTCACAATTTTTATAATACTTTTCTTGAAAATCTTTTATTGTAAATAAAACTTGCATTGCAGAATTCATGTAACAGGAATTTCCAAGATTTTTCATACCAGTATATCCTAAAAACAATAAACTACATGCATATTCATATGTGAATAACATGATTTGAAAACGTATGTCAATCAAACTACAAAATATCTGGATTTCCCTCATAGTCTGTTGAGTCATCATTGATTTATATTACTTCAGATACATGTTGTTTCTATGAATAATTTACCTGCTCCATATAGAGGTTGTAATTTTGAATTTGCTTCTTCAATCATAGATGCTTCACCGTATTTCTGATTGATTTCAATTTCTAAATCAGCCATCGATCGATCAGTTTTTTCCATCTTCATCATATTAATTCCCCAATGTGATAGATGTACGGCAAGATTTGGATCTTCAACCATATCATCTTCATCATAAGAATAAACATCTGCACCTTTGTTCGTTATTGTTCCTAAAATAAATTACCATCTTTTAAGACAATACACGAAAAAAAAAAGATTCTATTGTACTAACCAAGTTTAACAGCTAATGGATATCTTGTTTTATAATAATGATCAACTGCATGATTATTTCCGCCGGTACCATCAAAAAATTTCCTTCCACATAAAATAGCACCATCAGTTAAATTTAACCATAGGTTATCTTTTAAATCACATTGTTCACATTTCCATCCATTTGGCGGAATTTTTCTACCATTATTTAATTGTTCTAATGTTTGTGCGTGTTTTGATTCTTGACGAATTTCTCCATTCCAAGTTGCGTTCATCGATGTGCGTTCTTCTTTCAAAAATGCTGATTCAGCAGCAATAATAGCATCAGCTGATTGCTTAACATGTTCAGGTAATGTACTAGCTTGATCTGGATATGGAATAATGACATTTGGATGTATATAAATTGCGTATCTTTCTTCAAATGTAAATCGTTTTGGTCCATTAACATCAAATCCACCTTCAACACCAATAGCCATTTTTGTTACTCTAGTTGGTTCAACATTCGGATCCACTGGTACCGGTATTCGTCTTCGTGATATATGTAAAAAGATATTCTTCCCTGGATTAAGATGGCAATGTCTTGCAACATGATCTTTTCCAACTCCATAAAATGTTGACATACAAATGAAAAGTCCATTTTCCGAGGCAGGACTATCAAATGAATAGAGGCATTCATCCTTATATACACTATCGTTGCTAGTAGGTATGCGAACATCTTGATAAATATCTGCCATTGTTAATCGATCTGAAATTAAAAAGAATATTTAAAAAAAAATGTTTATAGACGAGATTATAATACTGATCTATAACGGATATACAAATATACCGACGACTAGACAAATATTTTAATTATGACAAAAAAGACACACAAAATTATCCTTGATATCTTCGTTTTGTTCATTAGATGCTTTAGTTTGTCAACATTGTCCATGAATAAATTTCTAATTATTAACTTGATAATGAACAGCTACATTATTATTATTTTATTCATCGTGATTCTCCTGTGTTTCGTCATCTTCGTCTTCTACTACTTGATCAGGTGGATTTTCTTCATCGGAAGATGATAAACATTGGTTATGATCAGAATTACTTTCATCTTCACTCGATGATCGTGATACACAACAATTCTTTTCTTTGGCAGGCTAAAATTTTTGATTCAATATATATTGAGAATTTTTTTAAAAAATAATTTATTTCAACCTTTGGAGATCGATTAGTAGTTTTTATTGTAGTATTAACTTTTTCCGAAGCAACATCAAGTGCACTTAAAATTTTGCACATTTGGGCTTCTGTCGAAGCAAGACGCTCTTGTAATTGAACAATTTCAGTATTATCTATTAGTAATTAGAAACAAAACAATTAATTATGATATAATAAACTTGTACAAGGTAGGATAACTAGCAAGATGTTAGCCAAGAAGATTTACTACATTGAACTATATAGTACATTTGTCAATCATCATTCATGAACTCAGATTAGTCCAAATAGATTAAACAATATGAAAATTCTTCTTATTCATAGTGCAACGTAGGCAAAAAATCAAATCAAAATTATATCATCGTTATAAATACTCACCTAAACTTTCTCGATTTTCTTTAGCAACGAGTTTTGAACTGATAAACGATAGAGATTTCTTCATTTCTTCAAGAGCATAATGCACTAGAAAATATTTTATTTAAAAGGCAACATAAACATGCGTCTAAGATAAATTACTTTGTTTTTGTTCGTCAGTCATAACTCGTTCGGCTTCTAAAGCTTTTTGTTTTTTAAGTTTTAAAAATTCAACATAATCTGGATCTAGCCCTAAAAATAGTTTTTGTATTTAACCTTAACCGATAATTGATAGAAAGAGTTGTTTATTTACCACTGTAGAAATCTTCTTTATTATCTTCACCTTCACTATCTTTATCAAGTAAATCATATTCATTTTTTCGTTTTTCACTATTCCATGGAAGATTTTCATTTGAGTACCGATTTTTACGCTTATTTCCATCACAATCTTTTTTTGACCAATACTAAATAAATAAGACATACGTCAAGATAAAGTCAAACTATTTGACTGACATACTTTGAAACATGTATAAATAAAAAAAACTCCAATACCAACAGTATACATTGGTAGGGCAAGAGTTACAATTGATTTTGAACCACTTTGTTCAGATGATCCTGGATGGCGACCATTTGCGCCGGGATGATGCATTCGCATATTTGGATGTGCCCCACGCATATGTGGTGGAGTACCCTAAATTATGAACAAACAGTTGATTATGAAACTATTTTTTTTGTATTCATTAAAACAAACGGAAATGTGCTCGATGCTATCGCTATTTTCATTGTTAGGCACTACCGGTGTTGGTCGTTGAAAACCTATATCGAACAAGAAATAATTCAATATTTCATAATTAAGGAAAATTTAATTTACGTTCGTCAAAATCATGTAACTGCGATACTGCTGGTTTTGATCGAAATAGCGGTAAAAATATTCGTGGTACTAATACAGCAAAACATCCGAATACGATAGCGAAGACAACACTTGGTCGAGTTAGAAGAGACATTGTACAGTTTAATCAAAAATGTTTGTAGAAATAATTATTGCACAGATTTATGAGATTGGCATTGAGTCAAGCGGAAGACGGAGCTACCAGTGCTACATTTTTTTTTGCATCGATTCCTTTCAACACGATTGGAAGCAAAACACGTCGATTTTGACGATAGTATCATAGATGTCGTCGATCATCGGTTTGGGAAATCTACCAGAAAGTATATATACTTCATGCGTTCATCAATGCAAAATCGTTATAAAAAAAAATTTGTGTGACCACATTGATCACATAGACTCGAATGAACTAAGAATGTACAGAGAAAATTTTCCAGATTTAACACTATCGCTGCAGACAGTCACGTAGCAATATTAGCATTATTTTGCTTAAGTTGCTTGCTTGCTTGCTTTCAGAAACACTAGAAAAATCGCTTGTTTTTATGAACTCGCACCTCAGTTGCAACTTCGCTTACTAATAGCTACGTCTTAATAAGAAGAGCTTATTGTGTAAATTTCTGGTTGTATTTTTTGTTCCTGTCTAAAGTACGACCACGGTAAAAGCATGTCTTTTACGGCATTCGTATACGTTGATAGATTGGATGTTTCCATTGAAATTTGAAAATCAATTTTATTCAAGTGCCTTCGGAGCACCATAATATCAAACTAGAACAAAAAAGATTTCTTTGTTTTGATGAATGTCTCACTCAGTAACAGGATAAAATGAACTTTTGTCACGATGTCTGTAGCTCATTGTAGCTTGCACGCTACGTAGAGTACTAACTCAACGACAATTCATTAGTTTCTTCATTTCAGTAGGCAATGTGAAATGAACTTTTAACAATCAACATCATGATAATGTAATATTTTCTATCGCTTATTCTCGATAGACACTACTACACAAATCAAATAATTCATTCAATCATTATATTGCTTTTAGCCATATGAGAAAAAGAAAAAAAATTATTATTAAAATAACTTTGTAGCATTTATTTTAATCACTGATTGCATATTTTAGTAGTAGATTTTTATCAAGCTTTTCATGTGTAAAGAATAGATAATGTTGAATATCATAAAAATGTTCACAATAGCTTTATATTGCATAATCTCGTGAGAAAAATAAACAAACCACAACGTGTAATCGCGCTTGTCATGTGACTGATTATAGGAAACAAATGTTTGAAAGACATTTCCGTTAATCAATAGAAATTAGTTCGTAGAAATACTTCAAATTTTTATTATTAATGCGATGCGAAGCATTGCATTTCTGTAGTTCGTCGCGAGTTTTCATTTTCTTTTTCTTTCTCGGCGTACGCATCTTTTCATCATTTTGTAACCCGATGATCTCAAGTACCGAAAATCATAGAAAACTCATTGAAACGGGAGATGAAAGTATCGAGATCGAAATTCTGACATGTTTTTTCTATTCTTCAGTTTGATATTCCGTTCACTCAAAAATATGGCTTCAAAATGACGAAAATGAAAGAAATTTGTTGCGAGATAATTAAAGTGGCGTCATCAACATATGTTAGCCACTATAGTCTATTCATTTACACCTGGTCTAAGATAATGAATCATGGAGATAATTAATCGATCAGTCGAAATCGACCTTTAGGAGTGTATCGCTAAGTAAGAATAGAGTTTTCTCAGTGATGAATTTCATCGTGTCGACATAAAAAGTATTCAAGATTTCTCTGAATTGATGATTTTTTTGTGAAGATCCAAAATTTTGCTTCGCATCATATTTCGTCTACGAGTAAAACTCGAATACCATCTAGTTTTCTCAAGTAGAAATATATGTAGCATGAAAACATGTTGGTAAATATTTTACAATATTCAATTATATCAGTAATAGATCACTAGTTCAAGTATCTAATTCCATGAACTATCAACAAAACAGTAATATCGATTAAAGCACTGGTCGATTTTATAAGACATCTTTAAATATTCCTCTTAGTTGCTATTCCTATAATTTATACTTGACGCTTTGGATTCTTTTTGTGAAGCACAATGCAAAGGAGTGCTAAAATATAGAGAGAAAAAATTTAGATCAAATACTCTCTCGCTCTGCTGATAGATAATTACAAATGGAAATGGCAGACCATAGCCAACGCGGTAGAAGAGGACTGCCACAAACATAACTGTAATCTCAGTGATATTGTTCAATGTCGATGTTGGCCATGATAGATGATGTTTTATTCCTTTCAGTCTCTGCTCCAGAATTTGTGAGAAATTGTCGATTTGAGGTTAAAGATCATTTCTTAATTAGATTCTATTATACTACAGCATCAACTTCGTCCTTGCTTGTCTGAAAGATTAAGAAACAAAGTAGTACGGAAACACATTCTCGTGACTAGCAACAGTAGCTAAATAATGGTTGACATTCTTATCTTAGAGGTATTAGACTAACAGCTATTTATGATAGACTATGAAAAATTAAAAAACGAAGAACGGGATTCTTATTCATATGATGATGTTATTCATCTAAAATAGTTTTTGATTTAGATGTCTAAGAACTATTCATCTAGATCATTCATATCTCTTCGCTTGAATTATATCTTATTGTTCTATTTATTATTCACATTTTAATAATGAGATTCATTGCAAATATTCTATCATCCATCTGCTGCAAAAGCGACATTAAATATTGATGAACATTGTAAGGTGCGCGTAATTCACAGTTTCCACAAGTTTTATTTTTCGTTTAAACACATATGGTTGGATTCGTCGTGTGATGCTAATCATGAATCTGACCTTACTTTTTTTTTAAATTTTTTTCGTGAAGAAAAGTGTAAAATTGTGAGGAGACCTAAAAAATGTGAAAAATTTATCTTTTTGAAATGTAGGAAATATTTTTTTTCCTTTCTTTTCTTCTGATTTTTCAGGTCTTATTCGGATTCTTCGTATGAGACTGAGCCTAGAAATCTTAACTAGTTAAGATTTCTAGGCTCAGTCTCATAAGAAGAATCCGAATAAGACCTGAAAAATCAGAAGAAAAGAAAAGAAAAAAATATTTCCTACATTTTAAAAAGATAAATTTTTCACATTTTTTAGATCTCCTCACAATTTTACACTTTTCTTCACGAAAAAAATTTAAAAAAAAGCAAGATCAGATTCATGATCAGCATCGCACGACGAATCCAACCATATGTGTTTAAACGAAAAATAAAACTTGTGGAAACTGTGAATTACGCGCACCTTACATTATTTGCTGATGAATTTTTTTTTCAATTAAAACTAGTAGATTTCAAATTATTAATCGTACTTATGCTGAATATTAAACATGAGACATCTGCTTCTGATGTTTGTATTATTGCTATTGAGAAAATGTTTTTTCTCTTCTTCAGATTGACCACGTTTTCTTAATCCGTTCCCATTATAAAGCACTTGAAATTTCTAATACAATCGGAATGTTTGTGGTTCAAATCAATTTTTTTGCTTTAGGAAATAGAGCTGTTTTAATTGATTCAACAAATATATGTCAGCATTTTCGCGTGAAAATTTTCAGTACGATATTATGTTACTGAAAGCTTGCGCCTAGAAAATTGAGAAGATTAAAGGCTTATCGACAAATTGATAAGCGCTTTAATGTAAGAAGATCTAAAGTGAGTTTTATCAAAAGAAATATTTGCTAGTCTAATAATCCAACGACGTTTCCTTATGCTCATAGTTGAAATCAGTAGGGTTAATTAACTTCCAGCTGAATGGCTTCAGTGACAATGTGGTGAATTTTTTGAGACCATCCCTTTATTATACATTAGTTTTTAGTGTTGAATATATGTTTTTACAAAAAGAAAAGTTCATTGAAGCTCATACTTTATTCCTGTACGAATAAGTTTTATTATGGGTAGAAGATAAAAAATTATGCTTCAAAGTATATTTTGACATTTCCTAATCTATTCATCATCCATGTCTCAGTGTTTTTTGTGCCACAATTCACCCAATGCTCTATAATTATAATGAGAAGAAAAATCTTCATGATCGCACATGATTTCTTGTGTTGACATTTATTAATGGCGCTTTGGATTTTTAGTCATAAGGCAGCCGCATAAAAAAAAGTCACTCGAATCTTTCTAAATAATTAAAAGTATGAAATTCAAAACCAAAGAAAAATAAAATAAAAGAGATCCTTTTTATAAAAATATGACGATAGATCAATGAACTAATGTTGTAGTACACTGTTCTTAGATCGAATCATGAGCTGTCGGAAGGGCGAAGGATAGGAAAGAGAAAAAAGATAGATTTTCATATCAATACTTCATAATATATAGGCAGCAGTTTCCGAGAGAGATCTAACTTCCTGAAGAAGTCACGTTAGTAATCGATTGGTAAAGGCATTCGGCTCGAGAGAGAAAAACATAACCCTATTATCTTCATTGTGTAGCTATGTCTTTTCATTGTGTCATGTGAAGTGACAGAGAACAAGATTAGGAAAGCGAAATTAATTAAATGTATAGGAGACCATTACAGTAAAGGTGGTTTCAACAAGAATTAATAAAATGAACATTGAGCAATAAAAACTAATAAAACATTTTGACATGCTGACAAACGAATGTTACATGCGAAACGTTGACGTTGCCTGCAAATATCTATGATTTTGATGCTCTCATATTAATTGAATATCTAAACTGTATCGTGCTTGTTAATAAACTATCCACAAAATCTCAATGATTGGAAAAAGAAAAACGAATATTTATATGAATTTTCAGAACGCAGTCTATGTGAATATTAATTTTTGGTAATATTTTTATTGGCTTATTCTGTCTAGATAAAGAACCATTATACACATAATCGAGAGAGAGAGAGAGAGAGAGTCAACTAGCATAAAATGTTCATAAAAAATTATTTTTATTGTTCAGAATCTGATGACGATGATGATGATGATTTCCAATCTTTCGTATCGTCCACTACGTAAAGATAGAATTTCAGTGAGAAAATTAATATTAAAAAAAAAGCATATATTTTTAACATACTTGCAATGGCTTGATCGTTAACACCTTTTTTAATTCCATAATGCTTCAATGTATGTTTTCCTTTGAGCACTTTATTACGAAAAATAAGACGATATCCTCGTTCATTTCGTGGTTTTAATCGTCGTTTTAATTCATGTTTCAAATCGTGGATACGAGTCTTTTCATTCAAGACAAAAGTCACTGATAGCCCATCAGATTTTCGTACGACCGTTAAACTAACTTGATCTGTTGATCTGTTAAACATCGGTTCAGCTGACGAGAACATTAATAATGCTACTTGCTCTATTTTTTAGGTTTTTATTTTGTTACGAGTTTGTCTATAAATACTGCCGATAAAATGAAAAAGAAAGGGAAGAAAATGTTATCGTCTTTTTTCTCCCACGAGAGAAGAAAAGCAAAGCGGTTTCATAAAGAAGTATGAGACATGATGGTTATATATTTCATATTTGAACTGGGGAATTGGATGAATCTACATCACGCAAAAAAAGAAAAAAAAAGAATAGAGCAGAAGCCTCTCGTCGCGTTAGATTTAATGACTTTAGAATACTATTATTTGGTACAAACAAAACCATTAATTTAATAAGAAAATAATTTCAGTAGAAGAAAAAAAGATTAGTTTTTCATTTCGATGAGTTTTCTTAGCTTTAGAAGTAAAACTAGATGATCACCTAGAACTAGTTTTTATTGGTGAAAAATTAATAGTAAATCAAATTTAATATAGATTCAAATCATACATACAATTTTCGAATAATGATATATGGCTATTTATCGGTTTTATGACATCAACTATCATCTTATATTTCATAAAAGAAAGTTTTTTTGCCCTGATCAACTTCAATGATTCTGGGACTGTAGTCTTGAATTTCCGGTCGGAATCGGTCACACGCCAATCATCTGCGAAATGACAGCATTAACATTCATAAATGAATGCAAAAACCCTTCAAATCCGTTTCTTGAAATGACTTAACATATTTTTATATTCTACGTTCTTGTTTTTTTTACACATCTTTCGATCGATTAAAAAAACAGAAAGAAAATTAAAAGTCATCTCCTATTTGTCAACATGAAAAAAAACTAAACTAATCCCTCGATATCAATAAGTATATATTGATGTATTACTCAGTTATTCAATATAGAAATAAATGAAAATTCATGATGATCGCGTCTTTGTTATGCAAAACTAGGAAAAATTTAAAATAAGTTAGTTTTAGTTATTATTTCTTTTTCTGTGTGAATTAGACACCTGGGATTTGTCTATATCTTAGTGCTGCGAATAAGATATGATGATCACAGCATACTAATTCATCATAGATCTAAATAATAAATAATAAAATTACTATTCAAATAAAATTATTATTATTACCATTCCAAATTCAATCATATCTTCAATAAATTCATTATCTCGATCATCAATAACATCATGAATTGTTTTTGTCGATATGTTGTGGAATTATTGAAAACGGTGAACTTGCTATTTCTTTTGGGGTATTTACACAATCTGAATCAGCTACACAATGAATTTTTGCTTAGAAAACAAAATAACAATATAAAATTATTTCTTTGTTTTTGAAACATAATTTTTCATATTTTTATTTTGCCCATGGCTTGTCCTAGATGTTGAACAACTTCTTCTATATATCATTGAAATCATCGATGTTGGACCAATCAAGATCTTCAGAATGAGCTGTTACTGCATCAACTATACATGGTATTGAATGTAAAGTTGCATAGCCTAACCATTTTGGTGTTGATACTTGCATTGCATATGAACATAAAACATTGCGTAAACCATCATGTTGACAATATTGTTCAAATTCTTGATTTTTAACAACATATGAAATAGCTGATTTTTGTGCTGGCTTCATATAGAGAATAATATCATTTTCTAATGTTTTAGTTTGGCCTTCAATTAAAAATGAATAAGAAAATTTTCCAGCTCAACCAAGGGGGAAAAGCGGACTCCGTCTATCCGGGACACGGTGACAATCCATACAGTCCAGAGGATACGAGTTTTTTCAAAGAGTTTTTAATGTTTTTTTTTGTCATTTATTTCTAGTACGAAGACATTTTTTCATAGAGTGAAATGGATTTAATGTAAGAGCAGTAACAATTCTATTTGTACAGTGCCAGCTAAATCTACTTGTTTAACGTTCATCAGATCTGTGAAAAATATTTGATCGAGCCAATAGGTATATAAATCGTCTCACATAAGTAACGACTGAACTTGTTTTTAATCGAAATTGTTTGACTTTGTTCACTCTCATATATGCATAGGAAACTAATTTTAAGAAAGACGGTAAAACAGTTGTGAAAAAATATCGTTCCGCCGTTAAGGTGTTTAAATATTTTGAGAACCTAATTGCGAAAAGCTAGTCTTTTTGTGATTATGACTGCATACGTTTCCCAACAACAAAACATTCATTTGGCGCAAACTGTTTCGCATACATACATACATCTCAAGCTTATCTATCTTTCATATAAAAATAAAGTCAAATGAATGAAATATGAATAGATAGATCAGTATTGCGGCGTTTACAAAGATATTGTCATATTTATACGTTTTGTGGATACATATGTCTCGTAATTCGATCACACTACACAGCTAGAACTCTATTCATAAAAAACATCTTGTTGAAAACTTTCTTTAGCAGAGATCTTGGCTCTCTACGTAGTTTCTATGACCTATGAAACTGTTCAAAAACATCAGCATTTTTGATCAAAGACATGGTTTTTAAAGAACCTGACCTCCTAAGATGCCTGATCAGCCAATGTCTGGTTAATAAAGTTTTAGAAGAAGCTCATAATGAGATGAAATGACTCTGTTCCTTGCTATTCCATCGGATAAGATGGGGCAATTTTCTTATAGCATCGAATTTTTTTCTTGTTTTATAAAAATAGTCTGAGTTTTTTTATTGAGATGTTTTCAGCACGTACTCTATAGAAACGCAGCCTAAGAAAATTTATTATAGCCTCATTGTTCGTCTTTTTCTTCAAAACAGACTTGTTGCTTACTGACTTTTTTCGGTTAATTTTGAAAAGAAATTTTAAAATCTGTTTTCAGAAGTTTAAGTAATAACATCTAAAATTTGGTTTTGTGCATTTCTAAATATTTCATAATAGCTTATATTTCTAACATTCTACTGCACAGCTATTGCTTTTTATGAATAAAAGACTTGGCCATAAAGAGTCCTCAGTTTAAATGAATGTTGAACAGAAATATTTTATTAGCTTTCGATTGAAAACGAACTAATGTGTATATAGGAGATTCTGATGGATTATGCATAGATCCTAAAGTAATTAATTTCAAAACAATTAGCAAAGATCTATAGAAACCGATTAAAATGCACCAGCATAGTAAAAAAAACTCTAGTGACTCTTAACACTAGAAAACTATCAAAAATCGCCGGAAACAAATACTTCATGATAAAAAGATGCGCTGGAGAGGAGAATCTATTTCTTTCCAATGTTTAAACATATTAAAATAAAATCCTCTAATAGAAAAGAAAATAGGTTAAAAGTTCCTACTGAATTGATTAAACTCAGATTTTAAGTGTCGATGAATTCACTTTTGTATTTATGAGGGTTTGTCAAGATCATAATACCTTAGATTCGCAGTTTGATTCTTCTCTAAATCAATACAATAAATGCGATCAGTATAATGATTTGATGTTCAATAAACAGGTTCCTACATGCACGAATTGAGGAAACTCAGATGATTAAACAAAAAGTCGTAGAAGTCGATTCTAGATTTGAAGTAAATATTTTTATTAGACGAGTTGTCCCATGGAACACTTTCTCCCTCCAATTATGAGACCTGACTTTAAAGTACAAACCGAGCATTAGAAAGTAATGCAAAAAATTGGCCTGGCATCTTGCAGAATGATCCATCGACCCTTATTGAAGAATATTCAATAATAACTGATTGTCTGTAGCAAAATATGCTCCGATTCATTCAAAAATTCATAGGAAAACTGCACTATGTGAAATAAATTTCATCTAATATAAACCAGTGCCTGAGGATTTATCCAGTTCCATAAAATCTTTTGAAAATGATAAAAAATTCATTCTGAGACTTCCTTGCACGTCTGTGCTTCTTATTGAGAACAAGTTTCTACGATATCCTCGTATCCTCCCATGTAAATTTTCAGAAAATGTTTTTCTTTTTCGTTTTAGACGAGTAGTCTTTGAGAGAACCTATAGAAGATTATATACTGATTTCTATTGAATAGCTTTTATTTCACTCTATGAAAATTTTCTGTTAATTTTCAAGTGAAGTCGAGTCTATTTTCAGAAGAAAAAGGGTCACCTGTAAGTATCTTACAATTAGCCACCAAAACATATGCTAGGAGATTCCATGTTAACTCTTGCAGAACTTTATGGTGTAAGTGTGAGTTTGGGTAAATGGAAGACTGCCGCCCACACCCACACCCCAAAACGCTTCCACTGTTAATTTCATTCAAGTTTTTGTTAGAGAAACCATTTTGAACACCGCTCGGAGTTTGTAGTTTTTGCATTATCCAGGAAAGCATTCACAAGTAGGACACTTTTTCTATTACAATCAAATCAATATTACAATTCAATTTCGGTCTCAGTAGTTTTGATGATAAGAAAGTTGAATAGATCCTACGGTTTAGATCATTTCCATATAGTAATCAAATCTTTTTCTTCGTTCGTTTAATGTCTTTTCTTTTGATGAAATATTATAGACTCCTCAATATTATAGTAATTCAATTTTGAAGAACTATTGAAAGTATTTACTATCGGCATTTGTTCTCCATATAATTTACTTTTTTAATTAATAATTATTCATCAAAATGATAAACTAATATATAGTCGAATCAATGTATAGAAAAAAAGATGAGGAAAAATGTTAAAATATTCATTGAATTTGATCAAACTTCAAAAACAAATCTATAAATAAATCTATACAAATGTATATGTATACATAAATCATCAACCATCAAATGAATCTTTCAACATAGCTATTTTTATAGTTTTACATCTTTACTCTGCCATACTTCCATTAAAATCACCACATGCTATAAAATCGCAACTGATTTGCATAATATCATTAATCATGCAAAACATCAAGATATTTTCATTCCATTCAATATTTTAACTAATCAACGGGTTTTATTTTGTTTACTTATTTTGCATAACACGTGTTTATCTGTTTCTTTATTCACAGTCCGACTGATACGAACAGTGTATATTATCTTCACTGCTTTCATCCTTACATACAAAAAAAAGTGACATATATTTTATTTGTTCTCATGACAGATAAAACTAAAAAACCTATTTGGCTTGATTGTGATCCTGGACATGATGATGCACTTGCTATTATTCTAGCTGCATATCATCCGTCACTTGAACTGATTGGTATTTCGACTGTTGTTGGAAATCAAACACTTGATCGAACAACACAAAATGCATATAAAGTGGCGTATATCGCTGGTCTTCCAAGTCATATTCCAATAATACGAGGTTGTGGCGAATCACTTTGTCGACATGTTACTACATGTCCAGAAATTCATGGTCAAACAGGTTTAGGTGGAGCTGATGTTCCAGAACATCCCGAATATAAAACTTTAACTAAACAACAGGATGAAAATTATCTATGGAATATCTATCAAAAAATCATTAGCGTTGGACGACCCGTAACATTAATAGCTACTGGCCAATTAACAAATGTAGCTTTATTATTAAAAGTTTTTCCTCAGGTATTTTAGTGTCAAAAAAGAAAATATTCATTTTTTCATTTAATTTCATTTCTTTGATCTAGATAAAAGATTCATTATTAGAAATCGTTCTAATGGGTGGTTGTATTGGCATTGGAAATATTACACCTGGTTCAGAATTTAATATTATGAATGATCCTGATGCAGCTCATATTGTTTTTACATCTCCACATGTCCCACGTCTTGTTATGGTACCATTAGAATTAACACATACTGTTTGTGTTACACCAGAAATTAGTGAACGATTACGTTCATTGGACTCTCCATTCTCATCAATGCTCAATCATTTACTTCAATTTTTTGTTTCAACTTATAAACAAGTCTTTCAATTTGATTCACCACCATTGCATGATCCATGTGCAATAGCTTATGTTGCTGATAGAGATTTATTTGAAGAAAAAGTGATGCATGTAGATATCGAACGAACAAGTGAATTTTGCCAAGGAAGAACTGTTTGCGATCTATACGACATGCATCGAAAAGAGAAAAATTGTGTTGTTGCAATGAAAATTAAAGTTGAAGAATTCTGGAATACTATGTTAAATGCTATTGAATTAGCAGATAAGAATAGTCCACTGAATAAAACAAAATAAATTTCGTAGTTTATTTTTCTGTCATTCTTTTTTTTCATTTTGAATTAGAAATAGTTAAAATGACAGAGAAATGAAATCTACATCGAATTATGAAATTGAAAAATAAATTATCTATTACTTTGTAATATCTTTGCATATAAATTTGAATTTAGCACAGATATCATATTGATTAGTCTTTCTGAAGTAGAGTGCATGATTGAAATCACATTTTTCTGTATAATACAATATATAATACGGGGCTGGTCATAAATATATTTATAATGAAAAATTTACTTATCTCTACTCTATTCACAAGTATTGAGAGAACTACTTGAAGTATTTTTTTCTAGACAAAATAGATTATGAGCAATATTTTCAACTATCGATATTCATTTGAATGTTGATCATACTACACAAATGTAGAGCACAGGAATATCGTATAGGATGAATTATAAAGTAATTCAAATCTGTATGCAATTGAATACAATTTCTATAATTCTTTCAGTTATTTTAGACATTACTAACGTTCGAATTAATAAAAATTGACACCGAGCTGAGGGTGTAGGTGATAGTCTTCCCTTTGCCCAAACCCACACCCACACCCTGAATATTTTCGGTTTCCAATATGTACAAAATCCTCTAAGAATTTTTCAGGAAGCGGATTTACTTTTCGAGAAGATATATATAAGGATAATGAGATGAGCATAAGGGTACAGTTGTAACGGTAAGGATATAGTTGTTAAGGATACAAGCAAAAGCGTACAGGAAGAACGGTAAAAGCACTAAACACTTTCCTATATTTTTGGAATGTTTATCGCTGTTTGGAAGTGTGTGAGAGAGAAATCGTCGCTGATAACCGTTGCAATAGCTTATATTGCTGATAAAAATTTATTTGAACAAAAAGTGATGCATGTAGATATCGAACGAACAAGTGAATTTTGTCAAGGAAGAACTGTTTGCGATCTATACGACATGCATCGAAAAGAAAAAATCTGTGTTGTGGTAATGAAAATGAAACAAGTTGAACTATTTTGGAAAATGATGTTAAATGCTATTGACAGTGACGGATCTACCAGTTGGGGTACCCGGCGATCGCCCCTCCCCCCTCTTAAGAAATTGTTTTCGATTTTCCCCAGCAGAAATGAAATAGAAAATAGTCGTTCTGCCTCAACTAGACTTGAAAAACTGTTTTTTGGCCAGGACGGCCACTCCCTAACAGATTTTCTGAACCCGCCGCTGACTGCTGAATTAGCACATAAGAAAAGTTCATTGAATGCAACTAGCTGATTTCATTTTAATTTCTAATAACTTTGATACTTCTTCATTTTAGTGTTTTTTCATTCAAATGATTGTTCAAGTTAACAAAATTATAAATTATAATTCAATTTCAAACAGAAGGTGACTTCTACTAATGAAAAAATACGAAAGATATCATTTTAAATAGAATGATAAGGAACTCATGAGCAACCTGGCCATTAAAACTTAAGCATAGGATTAAATCAGAACGAAATTTGATCTTTCAATTTCAAACAAGTAGACAACTATTGTTTAGAGCATCGATATGAAATTATCAATTCTAATGTTTTTTTAATCTTTTCTCGATGTTGCTTGTCAACCGAACAATATATATTCATTAAAAATCTTGATATTTCATGTGAGAATGAAATTTATTCAAACTAATGTTTTCTTTTAATGCCAAGTCAATAAATGATCAACATATTCAAGTTATTTATTAGTAGTCATAATAAATTTATATTTTGTTCTATAATTTCTATGCACAATTCTATCAAAGAAATTTCGAAAAGGAAGCTTAAAATGAAATTTTATTTAATATTGAAACAAAAATTAATCATTTTTTTTTTCATTTGAAAATCATAGCTAATTCAATTTCTTATCTTCTATTTTACGAACGAACTATAAGAGTTATTTTTTGACAAAGTTTTGTTCGGTGTATTTTTTTTATAGAATTTTATTAATGATTGTTTGATAGATTACTGAAGTTCTTCTATTTTTAAAATATCAATTGCGAACACTGACGTTTCCTTTTTTGTAAAAAGTTCATTTCTTCACCTGACATTCGTCAGTTAGGCCGTCGTTTTCTTCTCGTGAACTGAACAGAACGCAAAGAAAGCGAAGAAGAAAAAAGCATTTAAACTACTGGAGGTTTATTTCCTTTCCTTTCTTTTCTCTCTTCATCTCTCTCGCTGACTTTTTCATTTTCTTTTTCTGTGTTGTTGTTCGTGGTATTTTATCATTATCGTTCTCCATATTCAATCTTTACGTATTTGCCTCTATATTGGTGTTTCTATACAAATCCCTATTACAGCATATATTCCCGTCAACGGAGCACGCCAGTGTCCACTGACCAGGTCTAATTTACTATTCGTTGTTATACTCAAATAACAACAACGAGGTGAGATGTAAGTCGAATATGGTCGTCATTTTAATTTAACAATAAGAAAAATAATAATACTAAAAACTCGTCTATTTGTTTAGGTCTCACTTGAATAATCATGAACCATTGTGTATTGTACACGGTTGTTCAAATGGTTTACAATCTAATGCATCCATACAATATTTTGGTGTACCAGTTCATATTGGAAATATTTCTGCAGCTTGGTATAAAAATACAATGCGCACTGATCTACGTCCATCACATATACATCGTGTATGTGAACAACATTTTGAAGAGTCATGTTTTGATTATGTTGGAAATGGAACTAAAGTTCTTAAACCAAAATCATTACCAACATTATTTGATTTAGAAGTTTTCTATAAAATGATTTCATTTCAAGATAAATTACAAGAAAAAACAAATAAAAAAACAAATATTACATTTCATACAAGTAATCCTGAAATTGATGGACGAACATTAGAGCCAATATTGAAATTAGAAAGTGGCCATGTTAAAACACGTTTAGCACCAACAATGACAGGAAATTCTTTTCAACAAGAACAATTAGATAAAAATCAACAGTCATCATTTATTGTTAATAAAACAACATTAAATCATCATGACAATGTAAGAAGAAGATGAAGAAAAACAATTTCATTTTTTCAAATTTTATTTTATAGTTTTACACTATTTATTAATTGTTTTAGTTTGAGAATAAAGCATCAAATCGTTGTCATGTTGATGGTTGTATACATAATTATGTTGCACGTCGCCATCGTGTACAATTATATAAAATTCCACGCGATTCAACTATTGCTCGTCAATGGCTTGATGCTTGTGGTTTTGAACATTTATCAGTTTCACCATTAACATCGACATTTAAAGTTTGTCGTGAACATTTTACACCGAATGATTTCGAAGCACCAACAACATTACGACCTAATGCAGTACCATCATTATTTACAACACATTCTCGATCATTGATGGATAAACAAAATCAATCGCCAACAAAACGATTTCGATCTGATATGGCTAGTATGCGTACAAAACAAACAATTACTAATGTTAATTATAATAAACAACGAACTACACAGTTACCTTATCGTAATAATAATAATAATAATAATAATAATAATAATAATAATAATTTGCAAAAACAACAAGAACAATCGAATCAAACTCTTTCATTATCACCTAACTGTGAAAATTTTGATGATAGTAATAAAGAATTAAATATTGATGCAAAACAAAATGACACAAATTTAAATATGTTTTGTTTTGAAGAACAATTATCAGAATATCAAATGGCACATTGTCCTGTCAAAGTACGTGTATTTCTAGTATAAAATCTTAACATTTATTATGACCGCGTTTCTAACACAAAATAGCTTTATAATCGTTTTACAAACTAATTTAATGTGAAATTGATTTCATACATTTTTATTTATCAAACAATAATTGTACTAATACCTTTCACTTCATACTAAATAATCTCAACAAATTAATATTGATTAATATTTCTAAGGGTTTTTTTTACCCATGTCATCATATACAATATAGGACGAAAAAAATAATGATTTATTTTTGTCTTCTAATGAATAATGAATTAATTACCTATAAGTTACGTAAAGAGAAAGTGCCTAATAGTTATTTAAAAAAAGTCAATATGATCTTTAGTTTCAATCTCTGAAAACTCTTTCTCGAGTATTTTATATCCTTGTATTTCGATAAACATTTTTTATGCTAATTATTATCAAATGCATTAAAACTATATACGCATATATATTTTAACTTCTGACAAATTCTAGCAAGATTTACTTGAATAAGCCATAAATAAATATTAATTCAATGAATAATAAAAATGAAATATTATTTGATAGGCTCTTGATCGAACCGATACAACTAGTGGTGCAGCAATGAAACCGCGTAATCCTGTTGGCCGTCCACGTATACATCCACGTTATCCACCATCACAAACATCACCAGCACTACCACAATCATCACAACTTCGTCGTTCAACATATGTTGATGATGATGCAGAGGAATTCGGAGATTTAGATGATTGGAATGCAGATGAAACTGATCAAAATGATACAGTACGTGATCGTGATTGGATTAATCGTCAACAAGATGATCGATTACCATGGTCAAAACGACCTAATCCAACAGTTAACACGTATTCATCAGCATACCAACGAGGTAATAGTACAAATTCTTATCGAAATGTCCGACAACCAATGCCATTGCAACAACAACAACAGCAGCAACAGCAGCAACGTTCTACGAATAGTAATCAACAACGACCAACACGCGGTCAATTTTATCAAACACAATTTGTTAAACCAGAACCAACACGCAAAGCAACTATCCCTTTTCTACAACCAGCTTTTGCGTCCAATGCTGCAATACAATATCCACGTGATCAACCACTACCTCGTCTTAAACCAGGCACAGTTAGAACAAGAGGTAAATCACTCGTTTCATCTTTAAATTAAAAATTGTAATTCTATTTTCGTTTAGAAGAAGGTCTTGAAGTTGAACTTGGTAAATATTTTTATAGAAAATCAATAAAATATTTTTTTTCTTGTTCTAGAACTTACATATAAACGAGCTCTATCAAAATATTATGGTCAGAAACCCGGTCGAAATTTACCACTATCTGAGTATGGAGATTTTCGAACTCAAGTATGAATAAACGATACATTTTTTTGTTTTATTTTATTTGTATGAATAAATCTCTTTATTCTAGTGTCCTGTTTGTGATGATCAAATATTTGAAAATAATATTCAATTGATAAATCACTTATATCAACATTTTGATCAACAACAACAGCAAAATAACGATGAACGTCAGTTTCAATCGAATTCACCATTTGAGCAAATCACTACAAAATGTTCACATTGTCAATCAGAATTTTCTAATCCATATTTTCTTGCTATACATATTGATGATAAACATATGCTTGAAATGAATGAATATCAATGTCGTATATGTGAACAACGTCATACATCGTTATTAGAATTAATAGCACATTTAAATCTTTGCCATTGTGGCTTAGAAATGCCGTATTTTTGTGAAGTATGTTCATTTCGTACTTCAATGCATGCTGATATGATCTATCATATTGATGAAGTACATAAAGGTACAAGATATTTCTTTTGTCCATACTGTTTTCTTGCTATTGAATTACCGTTTATGACCAATTCATCCCATACATTAAATGGTTCATTAGCATATAAACATTTATTACTTCATTTTAATAAAGTTGACCAAGGACGTATAGTACAATCAAAATTTAAGCATTGTAGAAAATGTATTTTACATATTGCATCAATGAAAGATCATTTACAACGTGATCATTTAAATATTGTTGATGGAATAAAAGCCACTTATTACGAAGAAGGAAATAATCGTAAATAATTCTTGTTTTTTTTCTCTCCAAGTAAATAATATTAAAATAATCCATTCTTTTTTCTTTTTTTCTAGCAGATAAACAAAGTGATGAAGATGAACAAGATGATGATCCAATTATGGATACATCTTCTTCATTACCAGCGGAAAAGTCTTCAACAGCAAGATATATTACTCCGGCGAAAAGTGGAGAATAAATGTTTTTTTTCTTCTTTTCTCTATATGTATATTATGAGCATTGTCTATTGGTTTGATCTTGTAGATCAAACATTGTTTTTTATGTCTATGAGGAGTGGTGTTAAGACATTTATCATTTTTGGTTCTTTGCAGAATATAAGTTTGCGCATGTCTATTTCTTTTACTTTTCATTAATATATAGAATGCAATTTGAATGTCAATATAAGAAACGAATGGGACGCATAAAAATAACTGACAAACTAAAACATAACATCATATGTGCATCTAAAATACGTAAACATATTTTTCCCCATACGGTCGTCTATGTTACCTTTTTTCTTTTAGGCATAACTTCAAAATTTCTTAAAATCAATGTCTGATTAACACATGAAAGATTCAGTTTTTATCAGATAGTTGAAAATTTGATTTGATTGAGAATCATGCGTATAACCAAGTTTTGTTTTTGAGAGTTTGATGAGTTCAATTGTTAACTAATTGGATTGAATGAACATTGATATTTTTTCTAACATGCAGATATGATGCGTATGATTAAGAACAAGTTAAAAACTTAATATATTTTTTCAGTGTCATGAATTCATGAAAATAATGCTCCAACGCTAATACTAGTTATATTTTCTCTTGATTATACTGTTGGATTTTATCTCAATAGGCTAAGATATATTGAAAACATGAAATACCCGAGCTAGTTGTTATTGCTATATATGGAAGTAAAAGCTAATATTTTGAAAATAGACATTCAAGTATTTATCAACAACATTAATGCTTGTTCTACTCATTAATACTCGTATTTATCTAACCGTCAAAAGTAGATAGTATGGCATATAATTGATTATTTTCAATCAGTTCTAGTTTGATCTACTTCATCAGAAAAAAGAACGAACTATTATATGTGTCAATATTATTTAAAGTCTCGATATTTCCGAAAATTTTATAATAAATACTAATTTGAATAAAAACACTTTAATGCGTTTTGTAATATCATTAAATCAACAGATAGCTTTCTATATTATTAAATGAAGATTAATAAAAGAACAAAACGTTTGAGAATATCAATCTAACAACTGATAACTGCATTATCTTGAATCTCTGTTGATGATTCACACTACAGATATGATATATCTTATCAAGAGATGTAACTATTTCATTGTATTTTATTTTCCATTTCGTTGCAGATGTTAAATTTAGTCATTATTTTCATTGTTGTTACTTGTATAAATTCTGTTAGAAGTGAATGTCCATGTCCGGATATTTCTCTATGTGCACCGCTTCAAACTGGACCTCGTCATGAAAAGGTCGCTTTTATGGTATCAGATTCTAATTGGCGTTCATATGATTATTCACAATTGACCACAATTGTTATATGTACGAATGACATTGATCCTCAACTGCTTTGTTTGGCGCATTCACGCCAAGTTCGTCTTGTATGGATCGCTAATTATGATGTAAAACAATTAAGTAATGCGACAGCTCGAACTGAATGGGTCAATCGACAAGTTGATAATGTCAAAAGAACTTACACGGATGGTGTTAATCTTGATATGGAAGATGAAATTCCTTATACTAGCGATGCAGCACATAAATATACAGAACTTGTTCAAGAACTATCTAATCTTATACATGTACAAGTACCTGGATCAATGGTAAGAATTTTCAGATATTTACGGCATTGTATACAGAATTAGTTAAATATACAAGACCAGTATATATATATATATTTTTTTCTTCTTCTTGTAACATATCACATGATAGTTTTAATAAAGTTCTCAATGAAATAGCTTTCGATATTTCAATTATCCATCATGAATGTTAGTTTGCTCTAAAATTAAATATAGTATTTGTTTAGTTTCTGAAAATTTTAGTGCACTCCTTATACATTCTTTTTGTACAGTTATTAATTTTCCCATTGAGAGCGATATTCCATTTTTCAGCAATAGTCCGATAAATTCTCGTTAAATAGGTCAATTGTTTTAGGCAATACGGCAGACGTTACAATGATTCGTCAGTGTGTTCAGGATTTGACGTACTTTTAAATTGCACTGTCGAAAATTCATTGTTACAGTCTTCGGAGACCGAAAATTAATCATCTTAAGTTTTTCAGTGGCTTTACTCGTCTATTGACTTTTTGATACTGTTAAAAGATATTGACCTTTTATTTTTTATTTGTAACATATAAATACATATAATTCTGAAATTGAATATAAAGGTCAGCGTCGACGTTGCGTGGAGTGCACCATGTATTGATGGTCGTTGTTATGATTATGCGGGTTTAGCAAGAGCCAGCGATTTTCTATTTGTCATGGCGTATGATTTACGATCACAAATCTACGATTTAAACGATTGTGTAGCTTCAGCAAACTCACCAATCGTTCAAGTTGCCGCCGGTTTAACTAATTTTACACAAATATTTCAAATTCCACCATCAAAACTTGTTCTCGGTGGTAAGTCATTTATCAATTCAAACTGTCACCGAAGCACTTGTTTGTGTCTTTTAGTACCTTGGTATTGCTATGATTATAAATGTTTATCGTTTGACTCGAATATGACTTGTGTATGCGATTCTAATTCTTTTCATTATAATATTCGTTTTTTACTTCTTCTATTCGATAGACAATTGAACATGTACCTTTTCGTGGTGCACCATGTTCAGATGCAGCTGGTGTTCAACGCGATTATCAATATTGTCGAGTATTGTTACGCATGAATTCAACATCTGGTCGCCTAATTGATAACCGAACAGGTGCAGTTTTTTTCAATTATGTTAATCAACAAGATACATATGTACATCAAGTTTGGATGGATGATCCCGAAACTCTTACAATTAAATATAATCTTGCAAATGACCGACGTTTACTTGGTATTGGCATGTGGAATGTGGATTGTCTTGATTATGCTTCGAGTGCAAGCAAAGAAGCACAACAAGATACGACAGACATGTGGAATGCTATGAAAATATTTCACAGTGTACATAGAAAGACTTGAAAAATCACGTTTCTTTTTCTTTTTCTTTTTCTTTTTCTTGAATAGAATCAATAATAATTTATGTTACATTTCTTTTTCATTTAAAAACAAAAACATCATTTGTAATAATCGTCGATGATGTGCGTTCGTGTGTTAAACTCCGATATCTATGAAATGATTTTGTATAGAGTCATAGTAAACGGATTGAATGATATTCCCTTTTTTTTACAGTACTGACTGATAATACTAATAGAGAATCTCTCTCGTACCTATAAAACTATTGAATTTGTAATTGTAGAGTGGTGTTTTTTTTATATTGATCTAAAACTTCTAATGATTCACACTTACTCAGTGAGCCAACGATGCGTATCTAACAAAGCACAAAATGATGCATATTAGTTTTTAAATTAAAGCTGACCTTAGAATATTCATTTTTTACTTTAATTCTCGAAAAGCATAGTTTTTAAAAATAAATAAAGAAAAACATTCGCTACCATATAGCTACTAATATCAAGTCTTATTCTACACAGAAATAGTATTATAAACGTTGAAAAGATTGTGTCAATATCGAGCATATCATTCTTCATGTATTGGTGATTAATACTTTATCATTGTCATCGACGCAAGACAAATCAGATTTTGATAACAAAGAAAACAAGTTGAATAGTTTCGCAGCATAAAATATTCGCCATCGAATAAAAATAAATATGGCGAATATGCAGCCTTCGGTTGAATATTAACGAGATATACAACGTCATATTTAACTAATAAAAAACACATTAATCAAAATGATCACATACTTGATATCATTGAAAATGTTATATATTTAACATAGGGTCTTTTCGTTTAAAGAATAACTTCACGTTTCCGATTCACTGAGAAAATCTAAAACTGTACAAATAATTTTCTTGAAAACGTTTCAATGAACGCTTCTCATTGTTCAGAATATTCTTACGTGAGGTTTGAATATCATTTCACTAAAATTGAATTCATATTTAGGCGTGAAATGTGAAATAAATATGTTGAGAACACATTTTTATAAGATCTAATTCCGCAGTGTCCTTCAAAATTGATTACTACATGAAACTCCGACATACTCTATCTGCACATAAAAGTTCTAGAGAATAAATATTGACTTGGAATAAAAAAGAATTATAAATTATCTTCGAAGCTGAGAAAATAATCTTCTCCTTAAAATATTTATCTTTTGACGATTCATATCATTAGCATTACAGATAGGAAAAGTGAAAATAATATTGGTCTAACTACCATAAGATATTTTTTATTTACTATTCATCTGTGATACGATTTTGAATCAATCTTGTCTCTCAACAAAAATAAATCTACGAATGGGAGATCGTTAACATCTACTGAATTAATTTTAATCTGCAGTTCATAAATATTGAACTATAAACAGACATGTCAATATTTCTATCCTTCGCTCTGAAATAGTTAGTAGTTACATTGATTAAGATATAATTTGATTAATTTTAATGTGATAAGTACTGTCATTTGTGAAATAAATTAGAAGATCAGTGTAGCATAACTATTGAATTAATACAGTTTCGCCAACTCTAACTTCTTCGAATAAAAATCTTGACCGAAAAATATCGAATCGAATTGGATCCATTCTAGATATAGAATTTTATCCTAACTAACTAGTTTAATAGTGACTTGATTAATTATTAGTCCCATCTGACTTGCTAGTCAACGAACTCGGAAACTAACTGACTTGGAAACCATCTGCGTGTGGGTGTGGGTTATCAACTCAGTTTGCTCCCAAGTCAGTTGGTTACCAACTCAGCTGGTTATCAAGTCAGATGAGGTTAATTAATCAAGTCACTATTAAACTAGTTAGTTAGGATAAAATTCTATATCTACAATGGATCAAATTTGATTCGATATTTTTCGGTCAAGATTTTTATTCGGCGAAGTTGGAATTTACCTAATTACGTGCTATATTTCATCAGAATTTCCTTTGATTTTTCAGGGCTTTCATAGAATAATATGTTAACATCTGATATATGTGTCTGGAAAATAGCAGATCTTTAGTTGCGGAATCGCATGCCAGAAAACAATAGTAGATAATTGTAACTTATTTAATTTATGTTTTCAAAGAATGATATCAAAAGATGTCTAGTGGTAGAAGTTTTGAGCTGAGAATCTTAAAAGATTCATGCCAATAACATATTGTGAAAGATTGAAAATTCGTGAATAATTGTAAAAACTCTATTACTATCACAAATGTGAATAAAAATATGGTTGAAAATTAAAACGTGATTGAAGATGATCTATTTAGAACTCGAACAATACCATTGCTGAATTTCGAAGAAAATATAATATTTCTATAGAATTAATCATAATAAAGTAGATAGAAATTTATTAGTCCAAAATTTTTATTTGTAATGTGTCAGTATTTATGAAACTACTAAAAAGAGATTAAGTATATAAGTTAGTATATACAAACAGTTAACCTAAAAAGAGTTGTAAAATCTTCAAGATGTTATAATAATGTGTGAATAGTTAAGCATTTGTATGTCGATAATAAGGATCGGAATGATAAGGCGGTGGAACATATCGTTGATGAGGACCACTTCGTTCAATTTGTACTGGAATAGGCACAAATTTTGTTGATGGATCTTCTTGTTGTTGATAATATGACGGCTGATTGCCATCGTCGCGTATTGTTCGAACGACTACACGTGGTTGTTGTTCTTGTAAAGGAATCATATCTGGATAACGTGGATCATACTGAGGTTGCGATCGGCTTGGCAAAAGTCTTGCTTCATCATCAAAAGGCATATTGGCTCGTTCACCATCTGGTCCGGTTGTTCGTTGCTTTGAAAATGATTTATTATTATCTATATTGTAATATACTGGTCGACTTTCTTTGGATGTTGTTGTTGGGCCTGCTCGATATTCACCGGTTTTATCACCAGCAGATTGATTTGTACGAGTTGGATTAGGATATTGATCATCTGTGAAATCTTTTGGGCTACCTAATATATCCGATGCATTACCAACCACTTTTGAATCCAATTGTAATAAACGCTGCTTTTCATTTGTATATGGATCGGTATTAGCTGTTGTTGGAATTTGTTTTAGTGAGGCGTCTTTTTTCTTCTTTAGTTCGTTGAGAATATGTTCACGTTTTTGTTTACGTCTATATTATAAAATATCAGGCCTGATATAGAAAACAACTAGATAAATTAATACAAACCTCAATTGACGTAAAATAAATGTTATAGCAAAAAGAAGAACTACTAATCCAACGGATAAAGGTATAATAATCCAATTAAGTTTATTTGTATTACGTTCATACAATTGAACGTTACCAACACTAAAAACAGTTCCTGATGTTACTTCTTTCACTTTGTCAATACTTCGTTTAATAGCATCTAAAAATTTAATTTAGAATTAAAAACATAATAACTTTAGTTCTTCAGATATTTATACCAGTCATTAATAATTTATCGATATTATGGATACTACCATAATCATCTTTACATAAACCTCGTATACTTAAATCAAGAAAGCGTGAATCTTGTACTGGATAGCCAACTTGTTGTTCAAAATCACTGATATTATAAAAAGAAATTTTGATTTAAAACAAAAGAGCCGGAATTCGTAATGGCATTTTCTTACATTGACGAGCATCGAATGCCTTTTTTTTCATCCGTATATTTCAATTCAGCATCCAGTACTTTCTCCATTTTATCTAGCATTGCCGGTTTCCACTGAAATCAAAAGTAATTATTTATATTAGAAAGAAAGAATATTTATATCTGACAAACCTCATTCAATTTAACATCCATCAATCGAATTAACATGTATGGACTTTCTTCTGAAGAAATTATCAAATAAATAAATAAATACGAAATTGAATATAAAAAACTGACCGGCGAATTTCTGTGCATGAATATAAGAAATCCATGAGACCAATAAAAGGAATACATAGAGATATTCCATGTTTTTGAATCGAATAAATTCTAGAAATTTAGAAAGAAAAACCATGTAATATAACCTTGAAAGGTTTTTTTATAGGACACAACAAGCAGAAGGTTATTGACAAGGTTTTTTTTTACTTGTAAAGTATAGTTGTGTTATGAGCGAAGAGGGCGAAGAAAAGAAAAGAAAAAAAATGTGGTTGGTTCTCGATCGCGTTTTTTCTATTCTTCACTATGGCGGAAGCTTGCTTCATTCTCTCCTGTGTTGCATATCAACTGAAAGCAAGAGAAAAAATGCATAAACCATAAGAAGAGAGAAAAAAAAAGAAACTATAGATTACGATAGAAAAGCTTTTTTTTTTTATTGTGGATGATTAGTATAGGTGTCCGGGAAAGCAACGAACGAAAATACATGATACTTATTTTGCTTTTTCTTCTATATACTTAAATTTATTGTTGTGCTACTTCAATGAATAAGAACAAAAAAAAACAATATTACCGGAGGTGTCCATTGCGTATTACTTTGACCGCACACAAAAAGAAATAAATAAATACTGGAAGTAATCCATGTTGACAATGGCAACCACGTAAATTATCATTTGTGTATCAAATAAAATACATAAAAAGATTGATAATTAAAAGCATATGTTAGCCATAGGGATCCAATGAAAGTAATTATTGAGATGGAAATAACAAAAAAGTGCTGCTGGTGAAAATTGAACCCGATAATGGCAACTTATTGCGAAGATCATTGCAATCAAAAAGATGTACATTTAATAGTATAGCAAAGAAGGAAACTCATCATCAATTTATGTTATATTAATAGCAAAATGAAAGATAAAATTCACAGAAACAAAATCTCGAAAAACGTATAGCTGCATCATGATTGTATTAAAATTGCTTTTGCAGTTTGTTAAATCAATTAGAAAAGCTTTTTTCTATTTTCTAAATCCTGTTTCATGTCATCGTTGATTCACAATGTTGAGACACATTTCACAATTGACTGAACATGCGATTATAGGTATCTCGAATATATACGGAGATAATCACCTGATAATCAACGTCATAAGCTGAAAGATATCTCAATAATATTTGAAATGCTGGATAGAATACTTGTTCATATTATAACCAAAGTAAATTTCCCGGAAATCTCGATACATGGTAATACATTTTTACTATTGGTTTATTGTATCTTATATCTTCGGGACTTGCAAGAACTTTTGCAACCTGAATAAAAAAACAGGTATTCGAGGGTGTCTTATGCGTTCAATATTATTGGAATTCAAACAAAATTTTACAGCGAAAACTTATTCTTCAAAAAAAAGCATGTACTGAATAATATAAATCAATTGCAAGCAGAGATGGACAACTCCCAACCCTTTCGCGCTTCAGCTCCGCTTTAACGGAAAAGCTTTTTTCCTATTTTTCTTGAAGTTAGATGATATTCAATGAATTTCACTTTTCACTTCAGTATACGCATATATATAAATAGAGAATATAGGAAAAAAATGATTAATAATATAATTAATAAAAAAACTAATTATCAATACATTTAACAAAAAATGAATCGCCAATACATTTAAGTTACCTTGATTACAAAATGAAAATTATTTCTAATAATAAATAGACTAGTGAACTATAATAATTGTCGATTGCTTTTTTTTAGTAAAGTTAACATTGAAAACATACTCTTCGAGAGTTGATGTGAGTTTAGTTTAGACCAAGATGAGATAAAAATCAAGAACCACACCCTAGTTTGTTCCTTCAACTTTCAGTTGAATGAAAAATATTGTGCTTTTCTATCATTAGTCAAATCTCTCACATTTTATTTGCTTTAGTTTTCTCTTTGTGCCGGCGTCGTGTTCGTACATTCTCTAAGTAACAATAGCGAAGTCCAATCAGCCATAGAAAAGTCAACTAAATGAGCGGTCAGCCGTTATCTCAAGCGTTGCCATTGATTAAAATGCAGCAATGGTATATTCATCACATTGAATACTAGACGACGAGCTTTTCTGCCATTAATTCCCTCGTCTTCATTCACAGAAGAAAATCTATGTAAAAATGTTACTGATAAGAAAGATTAAAATTTTACTAACTAAATTGATTATGATTCATGCATATCGATGAATATCAGCTGAAGATTTTTCATGAATCACCAACAAATTCGACTAAAATCGATGTTTTTATCAAATTTGAATCAATTATAATCGAAATCAATCGGAAAAGGAGCGTCTGGTTGGAGCTAGAGGGAAAAAGGCCGCTCCGACTCCGCTCCAGCTCCACCGTTCTGATGAGTCGCTCCGCTTCGAAGTCGGAGCTACCCATCTCTGATTGCAAGAAGTAAAAGATATATGAATATGAAACAAGAATACATTGGCGACAAAGTCGAAGGCGATTAGAAATGTTCAGTTCTTCTGGATTCTATATTAATTAAGAAAAAACATAATTCTAAGAATGAATCTTTTAATTTTCTGGCAGAAAATTAACGAGAACACATTCAGTATGTGATCATGGTGATGAATTGGCCAATCAGGATAAAATCTATAATTCATACATTGAATAAATTTCAATGTAGCAATATCGAATAGATTCGAGACTAATTTAAGAAGTAATCAACTAAAACTTCTTTTTCTTTTACATACATATCATAGAAAACTTAATTTATATTAGTGTCTACAGCATTGAATTAGGTTTTTGCTACAATATTATATAGAGATATACAATGTTGATATCAATCCTGACCGATATTATGTTGATTAATATTGATACATTGAAATATTGCTTCCCTGTCAGTCTTTGCTTGTTACACTTCTAATTCTAATTAAGATGACTACTAGTCTAAGTGTTTATTGATAATCTTTCGCTATAAAAACGATTTTATTTTGCTAATTTTATACATCATGCATATAACTACAGGTGTTTTTGCCAACTTTACAAAGGATATATGACACTCTGTTTATCGATATTATCAAAAAATATAGTCTCCACGCATTCAATATCGTTTGCGTTGGATTTCGATAGAGAGTGAAAGTTGATCTTCAAATATAGATTCATCTTACTGATAGACTCTTACATTTCAATTGTAAATATAAGATTCAGCTAGATTCCATCGAAAGACTAGATGCATTTGTTACACTTTATCCAGTATTGTGTCGTTCATATATATTTCTATAAGTTCGTTTCAAGCGCAGACTCAAGATTAAAACGAATATGAAGTTTTTTTTTCAAATTATTTCATCGCTAACCTGTAGATATTAGATCACAAGAAAATTTCTTTTCAATAGTTATTGAACTCAAATTTTCCAACCTTTCAGTTGCGACATCTTTGTATGAAATATTGTTGCGTGTAATCATCAAGGAGTTTCTATAGTTTCTTACTTATTAATGTGTGCTTTATTACTATTACTATTAATTTTTCAGAAAAAAAGAGTCGATAGCAATCTACTCTACGTTGCATTGAGTGTATATATTTTGTCGAGTATAAAGCTTATGATATAAAACAAATTTAAAGATTTTTTTTTTTGAGTACATAAATATATTTTCGGATTCAATCATAAATAGAAATATTCCTTTGTAAAGAAAAATCATGAGAGATATTATAAGTAGGGAAAACAACAAAACACACTAAAGTTATCACTGACAGCAATGACTGAACACGATTAGTTTATTTACGAACAAGTACAGACTGATTATTGTTTTATATTATAGATCAATATGTTCTTCCTTCATGCTTATTCATCACTGATAAACTTCTCTCATTGATTCAATTCAGTTGATATTCTGAATTCTTTACACATACAAGTAGAGCTGTAAGGTTTCTTCTCCACATATAAAAAATTCATAATTTCTATTTTTATTCATAGACTGATAAGTAAAGTCTTACAATGCCACACCACACATCCAATAAAGTAAAAGTCTATGTTCGAACTCGTCCGACGAATAACTTTGCATCGGATATAATTTCTGTTGAACGAGACAATCGAGTTAGTTCATAGCGTTTAATAATTATTATAAAAAAAATTTCTATTTGCTCAAAATTCTATTATTACATAGACTGTCAGTGTTCATCGAGTTGCATCCGCCAATGCTGTTGATAACAAAATCAATGATTGGGCCTTCCATTTAGACGGTGTATTTCATAATGTTAGTCAAGACGAAATATTTGATTCTGTAGCAAAGGATGTTATTAATCGAACACTAGATGGTTATAATGGTCTGCTTAATCATCTTTCATTGCTTTTCTAAAATTTAATAGATCAATTTGTTATATGATAGGTACGATAATGTGTTATGGTCAAACAGGAGCTGGAAAAACTCATACAATGACTGGTTTTACTGAAAGTTATCCAAATCGTGGTGTTATACCTCGTACTATACAACATCTTTTTCAAGAAATCAATTCTCGACAAGATTTTTCCTATTCAATTCGGTAATTAAAATCAACTGTAAATTAAGAAAATAAAATCTTTCGTTTCTTTTTCAAAGTATTGCTTATCTCGAAATTTACAATGATCAAATGTGTGATTTACTTCGTACACTTGATTCAAAAACTGATTATCAGCAACAACAACAACAATTATCAATTGGTGAAGATGTGGGTTTTGTTTATGTCAAAGGATTATCATATAGAATTGCAAATAGTGAAGAAGAAGCATTGAATTTATTATTTGAAGGTGAAACAAATCGATCAATTGGTCAGCACGTGCTTAATAAGCAATCATCTCGTTCACATTGTATTTTTACAATTATTATCGAATGTCGATCAATTCTATCATCAGATGACAAATATACAGTATCGAAATTAAATCTTGTTGATTTAGCTGGAAGTGAAAGATTAGCAAAAACTAATGTAAATATTTCTTTGGTTTTTTTTTTATTAATTAAATAACATGAGATTTTCTCTTTAGTCTGAAGGTGTAACAAAACGTGAAGCAACATTTATTAATAAATCTTTATCTTTTCTTGAACAAGTTGTACTTAATTTATCGGACAAAAAAACAAATTATTCACATTTTCGAAGTTCAAAATTAACACATGCATTGAAAGATAGTATCGGCGGACGATGCAATACTGTTATGATTGCAAATATTTGGCCTGAACTGCAACATATCGAAGAAACAGTATGAAAAAGAAAAGAAAAGAATAAAAAATCGCTAAGACATTTTTCATTTTGATAACATAGGTTTCAACACTTCGTTTTGCTAGTCGAATGATGTGTGTACCCGCTGAGCCAACTGTTAATGAAATAATTGATCCTGTAAAAGCCATAGAAAATTACAAACGAGAAAATAAATATTTAAAAGAAGAATTAGCATTGCACAATACATTAGTTAATCGTAATGGAATTTCTTATGAGCCATTATCTGAACAACAATTATATGAAATTGAAAATCAATGTCGCCGATTTATTGATGGAAGTTTAGATGACGTTGAAATTCAAAATGTTCGTCAAGTACAAGGTTTGTTTATTTGATGAAAAAGTAACAATCATAGATTTTAGATTTTTTCAAAGCAAAACACTTTCAACATGTTCATAAATAGTAAAGATGTTTATTTGTGAAAGTTTGAAATGCCATAATATTATGATAATATTTGTCTGTGAAAGAACAGACTGTATCTGTGCATTGACACTTGAGGGAATAACGAAAGTGTAGTGGCGCAGGTATTTCAATAATTTATAAAAAAAAAAGATTGAAGAAACGTTCTAGATATTTAGTTTGGTAGTAAAAATATTCGTCTACATTTCTTTTGATTATTCTTTCAATGAATAGGACAATACTAAAATTTTGATGTGAGTTGTTTGCCATCATATGTACTGTTAATCTTAGATAATTAATACTTAGACGGTAGAACAAAAAGGAAATATCAAAATAAATTTTTTCAAATACTTTTTTTCTTTGAGTCATGCTGCGAATCTGACAGCATATAATATTTGCCTTTTCGACATAATTCAACGATGTTTAGGTTAATTTTTGAATACAGGAACTTGTAAAGTACCGTTCAATTAATGAAATCAACGAATAGAGTAGAATATGAAAAATCAAGAAGACTATTTCGACTATTTAATTTAATAAAAATTTGATGCATTTGGTTCTGTATTTCAATTTTGTTCTAATATGAAAGTTCTCGGTAAATCTAGAATCATCTAACTATTAAAAAATCGGTTTTGATGTGAATAATATTACTATTTTTAAAACGTTTCATAGAAAAGAAAAGATTGAAATTGATTATAATAGTAGGTATTTAGTTACTTCAATGCGAATTTTTAAATAATATTCTTTTATCTTGAAAAAAATAAGAGTTGAAATTTTATCCCTTAGTTTATTCTTTTATTGTAAATTTGCTTTTAATTTCAGCTGTTTTTAATACACTGAAAAATATTTGTCGGTATGTAAACTTTTTCTTGAAATTTAGAAATAGTTCATCTTAATATTTAGAGCAACAGAAAAAGATATCGAAAAGAAATATCGTGATCGATATGTTCTTACAGATAAACATGATTACGATCAACAAGATGGGCAAAAAGTAAGTTTTGTTCTAAATTGATTTTTTTTCAAAAATAAAAAATATCATGAAACGATATTTCTAAAATATATAACATAAATAAAAATTATATTCCAGATAGACGATTATTCAACATCTGTAAGTAGTGATCTGCTTTCGTTGATATAAAAAAATAAAATAAAAAGCAAAACCTTTGATCATATTGATCTATGAAAAAGATTTATATTATAATAGGAAAGCTGAGAGAAAAAAAATGTCTCTCATTTAGCCTATTAATTAAATTATTAGGATTATTGTAGCTATCATCTTCGAAAGAGATTTATTCCTGCTTGATGTGTGTTAAACCCTTCTGTATTCGATAGGACAAGTTTATTTTACTAAACAACGTTCTTTTTCTTCGTACTCTTTAGTTATCTGGTACCACTCAAGGTGTAACTAGTATAGGAGGTACTTCTGGTGAACTTGATGGACAAAGTTTTGGAATAGGTACAGCTTCGAAAGATCAACGCGTAAATAAAGAAGCTTTACTTAAAATGACACGAAATAAAAGGCAAGCAACAAGTAAAACATCACCAGGGCAACAACAACCAACGTAAGTTCTTTTCTAAATTTATTATGAAAAAATAAAATGTCTCTCACTCCGATATATATTCAGTCCTAAAGAAAAATCTTCACCACTTGGATCGAAACCAACCGGTGCAACTCTCCAACGAAGTAGTACAAATGATGAAGAACAGTTTTCACGTGTTAAAGAACCAAGTGATATGACCGATATGAAAGATCAACCACCAAGGTAAACAAAAAAAGAAAAAGATTCTTTGGTCAATAATTACAGGAAATCGTTTTTGTTAGTACGCCACCTACTCGAACAATTGCATTTGAAGAGTTTAAACAAACTCGAGGTTTAAATTTAAATAAAATTTATGTGGAAAACAAAGAAATATTGGCATCAAAGAAAAAACAATTTGCAGATTTAGCTCGAGGTATAAATCAAATGAAAACTGATATTGATAAAACTCGTACTGATGCTGAACGTAAAAAGAATGAACGATTAACGATGGGTAAACATAGTTGATTCATTTTTTTCTTTTCTGTCAAATCAATATTATTTTCTAGGTGAATTTTTAAATGAAAATGGTGAAACTATCATTGATGAAGAAGAATATGAATTAATTGCAAAATTACAAGAACTTAAAGGTATCTATCGAAATGATTATGATCAATGGAAAGATCTTAAATCAGAAATAAATTATTGTCAAAATTTGGTCAATCAATGTCAACATCGACTTCTTCAAGGTGAGATGTCTTGCATTTGTTAACTCACTTGATATATTATGGAAAAGAACAGGAGACTCAACGAAAATGTTAAATAATATATGAGTAGCAAACAAGGGAAACGAAGGAAAGAAAAACAAAATAAGATACGTGGATACACTGATCATTGAAGTTTTCTAGAGACAATCTAGACTGAAAGAAGTCTTTTTATATGTAATTTTATCTTTTAGAATTTGATATATGGTATAATGAATGTTATTCAAATGGAAATAATGCTACCGATATTGATGATATAATATCATCGAACAAAGCGACGAATGAATATCAAGTTTATGATGATGCTGCTGAAAGATTTGAACGTATGCAAAAAGAATTATTACTTTCAGATCTTGACAGTATGCCGTTTCGACAAGCACAAATGAGAACAAATAGACGTGTACGTTGGATGGATAAGAGTTCCTCTTTTAAATAGTTTATTTTATTTTCAGCACGTTTTCAACGCAGCTAGGACTCAAGGACCATGGAAACAAGCGCCAACAACAACGATTACAAATAATACTGGCTTTAGATCAGCACAAAATTATGCACAAGAAACATTTTCCTTGCCAGCGATATCTGTTGGTGCTGGTCGACAAAAGTCAATGGTTCGATAAAACAAATTATTTTTCTTTTCGAAGTGTGCGATGAACAAGGAAATTTTAAAAATTATATATTATTACTGAATAAATATCTATTCGTTGACGGCAACTAAATATGTCCCTCATCATCAAAACAAAAAACAATAGAATTGAACGTTAGTTCATCTTTAGAAATTACGCATATATTTAGTTAATACGAGGATTGGAAAACAAGAACTATTTTGAAATTGATTTTGATCTTTCTTCACATGGAATTAAACTTTCTCAACTTATAGTTGCAAAACTTCGACCTATAAGCATAACATTGATCGTAGATATTAACCATTATGATTATCATTGTTTCGATTGGATGCATTTTCGTTGTGGAAAATCGTTACAGAAAAATTCTAGATTTCAACGCTTTGTAGATCAGAGTATCTTTATGAGACTCAAACGCATTTTCAACCTATATTAAAACTTTAGAAATACCAAACTATTTTCTATCCGAATGCAGGAATTCTACTCAATATTAATATCAATATCAATTGATCATTCGCTTTTAAATCCTCATATGTGAATTCAGTTTGATGTTAAGCTAAAACTATATTTTTAGTTTTGCTATTTCGATATAAAACGTCAATTTAATATTCATTGGGCAAATTTTAAAAAATCCGATGTAACAATCACATTTGATTGATGTAATTGGTCGTAGCTGTATTTTGAATGTTTTTCATTCATGGGTATCAGTAAACATGGTCCATCATGCCGTTCAAGAATCCATCAAACGACTGCACAGTATTTTGCCTACTTTTCTCTAATATACATTTGTATACCCTTTAAAGTTGCCAATACATAGATTATTAAAATATAAATCTAGTAGACAATCTCTTATTACTGATCGACATTATCAATTGCTATTCGAGATAAGAAAAGAATATTTGAAAGAGAAGATATTCATAATTTTGACAATATTTACATTGAACGAAAATTTTTTCTCTTACCCATTGGCCCATTCTAGGCTATCTGAATTAAATCAATTACGAATAATAATTGACGAAAATTTAAAATCAATTGTCGGTTAAAACGATACAAAAAAAGCGATTGAAAATGGTTATGATTATTTTATTGAATAGTTAAATTAAATAAACAAAATGAATATAACGAGAAATTTCAAGAATTTATTAATATTTGAAAAAATAAGAGTAGCTCCCTGATTCGACTTCGAATATAAACGGTAAAAACGAAAAAGAGCTAAGCATAACCATATAGCTATCGATAGTTTTAGTTTTACTTATATATACATACATACATACATATATATATATATATACATATATATATATATATATATATATATACGTACATAGGCTCCTCAGTAAGTAGAAATGGATTTAGATTTAGATTTATTTTAAGTTTAACTTTCCGATATATGCGGCATATTAATACATATGTATCCTGCACCCACACCCACATTTGAGCGCTCCTCCATGGTATCCATTATCCACACCCACATTTGAAGTATCCCGGATATCCCGCACCCCTTCCGGGTACCCTTCAATATAAGTTTCAGACTTGCCTATCATTCTCTCATTTATCCCAAGCAAATAATGCCTGAATTTATTGAAAAAAAACTATTCATCTTATGTTTCTTTACTATTATTTTATAAAAATAAAGAACCAAATGATAAAATAAATGAGAGCTTGCTACGTCCCTAGAACTTCTCTGACACGATGTTGCTCTTTTGCTGGTCCTGCAAGTATATCATTTGTTGATTCATCTTCGTCAATTCCAATTGAATTTCCAAGTCTTTCATTTTCACTTTTAAATTCTTTATTTTTGCATCGTCTTGTTTTCGAACCAAGTTTATTTCCGCCTCCATGGCCACTTTCATAGCTGCTGTTGCCACTTTTGCTACATCCGGTTGCACTTGTACGAGCTTCTTCAATTCTATTATTTGCTGTTGTGTATCAGATAGTTGGCCCGCAATAGGAAGATCTGTTGAAGGCACCCATGTCGAACATTACGACGGCCTGATACGATCGTAAACGGCCGTATACAGCAACGTATACTACCGTTTTATAACGTTTCCGACCGTAAACGATCGTTTATGGCACGATGCAAATCGACCGTAATACGGTGAATACCAAACGGTCGCGTACGACACAAGTTGATCGACCTGGACACTTAAAACAAAAAAATTAATAAGTTATTTAAAAAACATAAGACAGTGGAAAATTAGACAATATTTATTCAGAATTTTGCTCTTTTCATCGATCTGACTTAATTCATACCAAGACTATATTCTTGTCAATTTCTTTGCACATGACTCCCTGTTTTAACGTTTTGAAAAATGGGCAAACTTAATGAAAAGATCACGAAGAAACGAGAGAAATGTAATGAGAGGAAAAACAAAGAATACAGAAGAATGATATTCAATGAAAAATTTTTATTCTCTTTTTCTCTCATTCATAGTTCTCATTGGTGCAATGAGTCGAAACATCCCCAGGTCGATCAAAACGGGCCACCGTAAACCGGCGTAACATTACCGTAAACGGTCGTTTTTGCATCGTATTCCATCGTAAAACGGCCGTTTTAAGCCGAATTAAGGCGTTTTAACAGGGGCAATATTACGGCCATACACGGACACCGTATATCAGCCGTAAAACCTCGTAAAGCCGGCGTAATATTATCGTATTCTATAGAACATACGGCCGTATTACTGCCCCTGTTATACGGGGAAAATACGGCACGTAAAACGGGCCGTATTTGTATCGTATGCGACCGTTTATTGATCGTTTTCTTCGACCGGGGTCGGCCACCTAGCGTACACACACCGGAAAAAAGAACGGACATTTCTTAGGGCCGTACGTAGGAAGTGAATCAATCAATGTTTCTTTCTTCTTATATGGATGAAACAAGAAATAATAATGAAAATAGATTTAAATTTTAGAATTTTATTTTGTTTGTTTTTAAGTGAATCTTTTAAATGGCTGTTTCTCTTTTATTCTTAAATACTGTAGTCATTTTCATTGCATGTTTTCAAAAAAAAATAATAATAAAGAAAGAAAATATGTAAAAAGTATTTTGAAAAACAGCCTGTATTTTTTTTAAATTAGAATTATTTCTTATATTAACTGAACTTTGAAAAATATGGATGATATTTTCATTTTAAAACATCAGTGATAAACTAGTTAAGTAAAATACTCTAAGTCTCAACTTGAAAAAAACTAATTTGAAGTCGATTTTTTCCCAATTTCGTTGTTAAAAGCAAGTTTTCCTCTCGTTGCAAAAGAATTCCGAAAATGTTTTTTACGAGAGAATCGTTTGTTTAGCGTGAACGGTGCTATATACTAAAAAATGTAATTCTTTTTACGAAAAATGTTTTTTTGTGAAAACTCTACTTTTATTTTAATTGTTAGCAAAAGTGTCGCCCTGAATCCTGAATAGATCTTTACAAGTATCTGATGTCACTGAATGAGTACTAATGCCGATGCCCTCATCAGCTTTCACTGATTAAAGCATAGCAATATAACTATATCGTTTGTCATCAAGAACGGCTTCTGTTTTTTATAATATACTCGATTTCAGATCTTTATTAAAAACGTTACTTCCAGTCCCCTCTCTATCTTCGATAAGAAAAAATTACTTTTTTTTCAACTTACCAAATATGTATCATCATCCATATTTCGGGGCTCCATCACATTACGAGTAGTAGGATCAGGCTCGACTATATCTCTTCCCTATAATTAAAAGCAGAAGATTAGATAACAATTGAATTTTATGAGCATGAACGTACATGGATCGTAGTGGAGACAGCACCAGTGGAATTGTGGCAGGCGAACATCTCTTGCATGGATGACGATGAAGCGTCGATTTCTTCATAAACATGCATGGATGATGATGCATTCGACATCTTCAGAAAAACGCAACATGTATAAATATAGACATGGATGATTTAATTAACTAAATTCCATAGCAAGCAAAAAAATGCTTTAGTTTTGGAAAATCAATTCAATAGTGAATGAATTCGGAAAGATTTTCTTCTATATGGATTATATCACGGATATTAGTTAGAGCGTATCGTAATTCGAAATAATCGAATATATGTACTTTTCCTACCTCCGATATGATATCTATATCTAGATAGATGTCATCAATACTGGATGATAACAATGTTTTAAATTCATAAAAAGTTAGACCAATACATAATTCAAAAGCAATCGTGAAAGTGCCGATATTAATATACATAGTAGCGGGAGCAGCGCATTTTCTTTCTCAAAATGAAAGCTTAGTAATAATTAAGTAAATTAGAATCAGAATCGGAAAGATATGAATTTAGTTTAAAAATTCAAATTATCGTACTAGAATTTGATGCTACATGTGTTATAAAGTAATTTCAAGTGTAGTTTAACTGATAATGAGCATCTATATGTTCTTATTGGCCGGTACTTGTTTGTATGTAATGATGATGTTGCTGATGACTTAATTCTTGATATCGAATTTACTGTGTAATATGTATTAGGGGTGAGATCTTCACCCTTCTGTTTATTGTGAAATCGAAGACTAAAGAAAAATATAACAAACAAAAAACGAAACCAGGAGAAAAACAAACAGACATCTCTCTCTCTCCTCCATCGAGAGGACAACAAGAATATATATGTATATATATATATAAATATATATATATATGTATATGACGATAGATGTGGTGGATGACTAGAGATGAAAGAAGAGAAATGACTAGTGTGAGGGCAGGCCCGTAACAATATGAAAATTCAAAAGTCAAAAATTTTATTTTAATCTTTCATGCCAGCTGTATTTAATCATTAAAAATAAAGCCATTTCTTGTTATTATTGATGTTGAACATGTTGTTGAAGACAAATTTAATTAATTAAAGCTTTCGGTCTATCAAGACCATTATCAATAACAACAGAGTTAAATGAATTAATTTGAATTTCTACACTAAATTTATCTTTGTAATTTGTAATTTAGAAAAAATAAATAAAAAAATAAGATCAGAAAATTAAAGTAGATTTCTATTAAGTTTCAATCTTGAATCTAATTGATTCAATTATTATTAATTTTTCATTCTTATGATAAAATTCCTTTTGTTACAAATTGCGGTATTTCTGCTCATTTGTTAACAAATAATCAATAACTTTGTCACTATGTAAATGCAAAAATGGTCCTTTGTTTTGACAATATAGTCTAGTCATCGACTTGAGAAAAGTTGCTCATCGTCATTTTGACAAGTAACTAATCTTGGCACCATATTGGAGTATTTTGCTACCCCGATTCATCTGTAGACCCGTGCTGATTGCTTGGTCGGTTGCACTCAGTGTGGAATTTTATTATCCATCGAATGGTATAGTTTATACAAGAGATCATCGGGTAAAAATTTTCCTGTTGGATGTGCATCTGGATATGAATGTAACTCTCGATATAAATGCGGCTGAGCATGAAATACGTCCGAATGAAGACACATCGTGCTCTGCAATAAAATGAGGTTCAGAATGTATCGAAAAACCACGTAATCGTGACGAATATATTTGACTTACAACATAAAAATTGGGTGTTTTATTGGTGTTATAATAGTCGTCATCCAGATGGTTTATCTTCCTTACGCAAACATTTTTTGATATGGATATGAGACAGTTGAGAATCTGGAACAAGAAAGTCCTGCGATGTTAACCAGTCTTAAGATAAGACATGAGACTTTTTGGTGAGCTCGAGTTCTTGAATTTCTTGTTCTTTGCGGATAGCATACTTACTCGCGGGCTTGAATTTTTATCCAAATGCCTCTATTACAACCAAAATACTTCTAACTTTTTTCAGTGTAACGTTTAAATTTACTCACTGTTTAATAAAAACTCATAGATACACATTCTGGAGTTGAGCATATGAGTTACTTGTAGCTTATGTAAAAATTCGAATGCTGGTCTTGAGTAAAAACGATCTGCGCTATATGGGCAAGTCATGATGTCTGTCCAGGTCAAGAGCATGAAAAGGAAGTTCGACTGAGGAAGTGGGTAAAAATCAGATTTCGTTGTTTTTCATTTTGAAAATCAAATTCGAAAAATAAAGTTTTTCTCTGCAGCCAATCTAATTAAAGCTTATTTCGATTATCGACAAGATCGATATTTAAAATTAACTCATTGTGCAAACCTATACAAATTTTTCATTGATATCATTGAAACGATTGCCAAACAATGATTTAAAGTTAAAAATAAACTCGAAGAACCTATTTTCGTGAGTGAACATCATCCATATAAAGGTGATAAGAGACAATATTATCTTCAAGTTGAAAAAGATATTTCATTTTGAATGAAAACATCTCAAATACATTATCCGAAACCGCCAAAATTAGATTATAATCAATCATTGGTTGTTCTATTCATACAAAATGGGAATGTTTAATATAAATTATTATCAAGATTTTAATATATATTTTCATTCATATTTACCATTTAAATCAAAATTATATCTTGCTACACCTTATTTTAATGTGATAAAAGAATATGAACAAGAATTAATTGATTATAAACGAAATGATACAACAATTAGTTTCTTAACAGCATCGCCACAAGCTAATCAATTTTATGGGAGTCGTTCTGTATCCGCAGGTTATACTGGAAATGAACGTGAATTTGTTGCAAGATAAGAAAACAAAATTCAATGATGGACAAATTCAAATGTTGGAATATTATCGTTTACAATAGACTGACCATCAAAAGGTTTATAATTATATGAAAATGAAGAGAACGGCAATAATTATCCAACATTAACTTGTATTGGATCACCAAATTTTGGTTAGAATGAGATTTTCTTTTAATGCAAATCAAATTTAATTGCTTTTTTTGTGTAAGTGCATGCTCAATACAACATGATCTTGAAGCTCAATTTGCTATTCGAACAGATAATGAAGAATTACGTACAAAATTTCATCAGGAACGTATTCGACCTTTTCAATATGGTACATCTGTTATATCTAATACATTCAAACAATTATCACGTGTTGTACCGTTCTGAGGACTATTGCTTATGAGAATTTTACGAAATTTTTTTCTAAATGATCTCTTTTTACAATAAACGATGGATGAGAGCAATTTACAATTTTTCATTCAACTATGAAAATGTGTATAGAATGCCATAGAAGGCTTATCCTTTACAATTTCTGAATAATCTAGTGAAACCTACTGTTGTTAATGTTCATGTGGATTTTTACATCGATTCAAGAACGACACACAACTTCATCGGTGATCAAATTTCGACATTCTACAAGAGAATGAATCTTCAATAGACTAACATTTTTGTTACATTCTGTTGTAGATTTACAAAGCCTAAAGTTTATCGAACTATTAAAGTAGGTTCGCCTAGATTGCGTATGATAATGTAATTTTTGATTTCTTAGGTTCCAATACTTCTAATTATTGCGATGTTATTAGTTGCTGTCTATCTAGTTCTTGTACCTGTTATATCCAGTTCAAATATTGTTTTTCTTGTTGCAACACTTATTCTACTTTCAAACTGCTTGATAGAATTTATCGAAAGGAGAAGCAATTTAAAAAGATCCATGTCAGTCACAAGAGCAAAGTCTTTAAAACAAATAATAAGATAAAATCTGCAAATGAGCATGATAATTAGAAGTAGAATAGTGCAATCATCCTTGACGTACACTCTCTTAGCAGACATAAAAACAACTTGTCTGATTGATATTCTATCGATGTACGCGAATAAAATATTCACAGCTAGGCAATCTGATAATGAAGTAATTTGAACGTTTAAACATCTTGTTTTTAGAAGTTATTTGGCATCCATCAATATAATATCATCGATTAAGCTATAGGTATCATTTTTCTATATTTCTCATAATATGATTTTACAAAGTTATCCACTGAGCCTCTTGCAAATGAATTTCTCGTTTAATAATGATTGATTTATTTTCACCGAGGCGAAGCAATTAAACTTGACAGAGTTATTCTTATATTATCCGTGTGAACACTGGCCTATTCATATTTACAAAACGTTTTAGTAATCGATTCTACTGAAATCTGTTATAATATCTATTTGTTTATTACTTGTTTATAATTACTATTATCATTCTGGAAGAAACTATATAGATTCATTTGAAAAATGTGCAAAATTGGCATGTTCTCCATTCGACAAGTACATCATTTGATGCTTACCTAGCTAAGTAAAAAACTTTCTTCTAGACAGAAGTTTATAATGTTGAAGCATGAAATTGTCATCTGGGATCAAATCATTGAAATTTATATGCTTGAAGTCATAGTACTTGAATGTTTTGCTCATATTCTTTCCTCCATTCATGAAATTTCTTTACTCTCCAATAATGTCAAATTTAAGTAACACCTCCATAGTTCTTAGTTCAGAGCCTATGTCTAAATTCAGAATTTCTCATTATATTCGATTTTGATATTTTCTTATTGTTGACATATTATCAATTGTAGCGACAATGTATATACTTTATTATCTTCTTATGGATCGAACACTGCGTCGTGCACTTCATAATCATATCATTATTGGCCTTGTCATACTTGATACTTGTCTATGAATGAACAAATCTTTTCTTAGTTCTTCGCAATGATTATTATAATAATCCTTGGTCTGCATCTCCCAGATTCTGCCTCTTTTGGGTGTTTTTCGACTATTCATGTTATTCACTTCAAATAACTTTATTTACTTGGGCTTCAATTGAAAGGCACATACTTATATTTCATGATAAATGGATAGCGACAAGAAAACGCCACTTTTTTATTCATTATTTGCCACCTTGTATCATTACAATTTATTGTTTTGTCTATTATTCTATTGTTTATTTTTCGATACATTGTGAAACTTCATTTGATAGCTTCTTATTCGGAGGTATTTATATTCCATGTGCATTTGATCGAACTGTATTGGCTCACTGGGAACTTATGCTTCATCAGGTTGCACCAACTCTTCTCATTATGTTTGGCTGTGTGCCTTTATTTGTTCGAGTAATGTTGCAGAAAATTCGTGCTCGCCAACAAATTGAATGGCGAAAGCATCGGAAGATGATTCTTCAAGTGCTCACCATATCATCGGTTTACATCGTATTCAATCTACCTTGGTTTGGTGTAATCTTTGCTTATGAATTCGGTCTACTACCACAAATTGTTACAGTAGACTTGACTGTTAGCAAATTTATCATCTATAACATTATCTTTTTCTGGCCAATTGTATGCTGCCTGTCATTGTCGGAACTGCGGACCAAGTTCACACAACAGATTAAGTACTGTCGACGACACCAACGAGTTGGCCAAGCCATAATAATAACGAATCAATCAAATCTAGTAGTACCACCGACATGCATCGGTTGATCTTCTTCATCATTTACGAAAACTCATGCGTCTACTTCTATTAGTAGTTATGCCTCAATCGACAACATGATTTCTATCTTTGCTTTAACTGTTATATACTTCTGTTTTGAACATATTTCACATACATATTACCTCATCATGTAAATAAAAACTATTCAATTCATCATAAATTGATTTGCAAGATTTCAGTTCGATCTAGCCTATAGTTTGATTCATGGAAATCTACGTTTCATGATTAGCATACTAGAGGTCAAGCAATGAACAATCAAAAATAAAACATTGCTCGACATGCTGTAATGAATCTTGAACAACATGAAATTCTTTTGATGTATTTGATCGACAAGCTCACCGAAGAGTTTTCAAATGAAGCTGTCCCTTGAATATATGAGAACATTCTAGAATAATTATTATGACTATCTGCATTCTTGATCGTAACTTTTCGCGTACTACTGGATAGCAAAGCCAGCTGGATTGTATCTTCCCATAAATCTAATCAACGTAATAAATCAATGTAGATGCGCGATATTTTTTCGCTTGAGAGGAGAAGAACACACAGAATATTCTCAGTAGACCCCCATCCAATGATCCTTGCATTCATAGCTATATACGGATTAAGTTCCATTGAGTATCAACAATCGAAATGAGTATTCACAATCATTAGGATACTTGAAATTAACTATCTTGGTGCCCTATTTTCTATTTGATTCATCGCTTGTGAAGTTTTCTATGCTAATGAAAAAATTGCAAGCTAATAACAAGCAAAAAATATATATTTTTAAGAAAGAAGAAGAAAAGACATTGTCATCTTCCACCATATAAAGAAAAATACTCTCAAACACACAAAGACCGTATGTATACAAAGAGTGCGACAATTCGTAGAAGATTCGTTGAAGTCAAAAAAAACGAAAATGAGAAAGACAGAGATAAAGGTCGAAAAAGAACTATACAATGAACAGAAAGAAGAAGCAAAGGTGTAAGAACATAATAACTTTGTTGTCTAGGAATAGTTTGTGATCTTTTAATTAAGAAACAAGTTAACCAATGTAGAATAGAATACAAGTTTATTTTTGTTCATTGATCTGAATTTGAGTTCCACGAACATCGGTTGAACTCAAATTTTTGTTTGTATAATACGAAAGGTTTAAAGAGAATTTTGTTAAAAAGCGTATTAAAGCAAGCGAACAAGTTGCATTTACATATATCAAAGTATGATTTTTGATCTATGCGGAGATAATTTAAAACAACAGAAGAAAAGCACCAACGTATAACAAATAAAATATCATAGTTTATTATAATTCATGCTTCACTGGCTTCATGTAATCCATCATCATTTTGTTTTATATTGTTTTCTACTGTCACATTATTAAAGTCTAAACAAAACAGAAAATAATATTTTCTCAGTAAGAACCTCTCTATCTGAAGTTATCTACATAGAATTATCTCAATGAAATATTGCTATGCTTATTCGTAACTATTAAATTTTACAGTAGAATACATGATATTAGTTTATTTGAATAGAAGTTCAAATATGCTGATCGATCAGATCACTCTATGGCAAAGGAAAACAATCTAAATTAATAGTATATTGGGATCAAGAAGTTAACTGCCCGAACTGTGGTTAGAGTATTCATAGATTGTTAGAGCTAATATAGTCCTCATAGCTCTCAATCAAACATATATGTCAAACTTGAAATTTGAATTCAATTGAAAATTGAAATTTTCAATTTTCAACTTTTAAACCAATCGCATTCTGAAGAATCGTGACTCACATATATATCGCTATGAGTTGAAAGATTATTATGTAACTAAGCTGAATAAGATTCATTCAGTTACATTGATCGCTGGTTGTAGCGGCTGCATATTTATTCTTGTTCGATGGACTATTTCTTCGTCTATGAAATACTTCACAAGATTTCAAAATCCTAATACTTTTTTCTTTCCTAAGAAGAAAATCAACTTTTGTTTAAGTAATAATTACCTAATTTCACCGGACCTTCTGTTGATGTATTATTACTTGAATTCTTTTGACCACTTTGATTATCATCTAAATTATCAGCTTTTTCTCCTTGCCGTAGATTACTATCAATATCTGTTATAATACAATCGGTTACGTCGAAATGTTCAATTTCATCTTCATCATCACTATCATCACTATTATTTTCATCTTCTTCAGCTTCACTTACACCACCATCATCAAATACTTCTTCATCATAACGTTCATGAATTTCTCCACCAATTTGTAATCTTTTCAATGGCGGCGATTTCATTACTTCATCTAAATCAGTAATTGATGATTGCTGTTGTTGTTGTTGTTGTTGTTGCTGCTGCTGATATGAATTTACTACTGAACCAAACGATTTAGATGAATGACGAGATGACATGGATAAATCAGAATAACTTTGCGATGAATCAGTATTTACTAAACATAGGAGAATAGTTCAATTCCAATAATCAATTTATTTGCTGTTAAATATATATATATATACTTGATGGCTGTAGATTCAATGAATTACTATTAATTTGAAATACATCGTTTTCATTATCTGCATTTTTTGAACTTTCATTTAGTAATTTCTAAAATTAAAAAAGAAAAAGAAACAACAATATAAGCGATAATTCAACCTGTTTATTTTTTTCTACTTACTAATGTTGATGTTAATTGCTCGCCAAGTTTTATTAAAGGTGTTGAAATAGATTGTATATCAACAGTCTTATCGATTTCATTTGATAATTGATTAATTATTTGCATTAGTTCATTATCTAAACAGCAAAATTATTAAATGAGAAAATGGTTCGCATTTGAAGTATTTACGATAACTAGTTGCATATGTAATTGCTTCTAACGATGAATTTGGTTTTATTGATTGTGTAGAAAAAATTGATGTATCTTGAGGAATGTTAACCAGGCGTGATAGAAGCATTTGTTTTTCATGTAATAAACGTCTGATTTCTGTATCATTTATCATTATTGAATTTAATATAGATTCTGACATAGTCTTGTCATTGGATTCGACTGTTTCAATATTAGATTGTTCGTCATTTATCGTTGATCTATGTCAAATGATAAAGTCAAGTTTACAAAATGATTTATTAGTTTCTTTTTACTGTATTGTTGCTGTTGAAGACGATACATGTAAATTCTTTCCACTTGAAGAGTTTGAAAATAATTTTGCTTTTTCTATCCATTCTAACCATCTATAAATTGAAAAACGTGAAAAGTAATGGAAAAGAGAAAAATAAAATACTTTTCAAGATCATCTTTTGAATTAGCTTCAACTTCAATTAGTTGTTTTTTATCTGTATCAATGACATAGAAAGAACGAGTACCTAAAATTAGAAGATGGAAAAAATTTAAGATATTATTGATGAAAATTAAAAGAAGAACTCAATTGAGAAACCAACAAGTTTTGGATAGCAGAATTCTTTCAATTGAACACCGGTCGACTTGGTTTTTGAGCTTAGCGAATTTCGTTTGCCAAGGGATATACCGTTTCCACGGTTCTAAGCTACATTCAATTTGCAAGTCAACCTGATTACTAGTGAATTTTTCAGAAAGGCCTTCCTGACGCTAAGAGTTTCTCTTAAACCACCATAACTATTCATCAGTGAATTGAATTGGAAATTTTCAACGTATCCTCTAGCGAAACAAAGAGATCTACTCGGACATATAATATGAAGTTAAACGACTACCGATAAATGGAAATGTTTTGTTGTTAGTATCGAATAAATGAATATTTTGAGAGTAGAATCTTCTATTATGAAAGCAAGAGTAAAATTGATGTTAATATTTTCTTGATCGTGATAAAAAGTTGTTGAAACACAATAGAGTTCGCGATGCAAAAATTCAATCAAGTTATAATAGAAGACAACAGTTACACAATAAAATGATGGATCATCTAACCTAACTTTCAAAGTGTTCGAAAATCTCAATAGTAGATAGCTATCAATCGTGTTTCTTTTCTACATATTTGTCCATCCTATCATGATAACACAATTGACTTTAACATTTTACTCTCTACACCAGGGAAACCTTCTTAGTTTAGTCAGTCTGGTGTGATCAAAATCATACGTTCAATTTTCTCTCTCTCTCTCTAAAGCGATTGATTTCATACATCTGATAATTCAGAAAAGAATTTTTTTCTGTTTTCAATTACCTCCGCACGCTTTTTTCTTGATTAATAAATGTTCGAGTCGAATAATGGGTGTTAAAATGAAATTTTGTCCACTGGGGTATTTATTAGGAGTTACAACTGCACGTGATCTTTGATGACGGCCGGTATTAGCATCACGTTGATGTTCTTTTAAAATGTATCGAAACGATTCTTCAATACCACGCTGTTCCAATGATTGCATTGGTATTTTTTGAAAAAAAACAAATATATCATTGAAAAGGCAGCATTCGAATTCGGTTTTTTGATTTGTTGAATCAGGCAATAATTTCAATGTACCAGAATGAATTAAACGATTGTTTGCTACTTCAAGACAATCCTGATTAAGAAACAAATAAATAGATATGAAGAAGATTAAATGTTCTTGTTTTTTTCTTTCCTACTTGAAGATTTCGTAATTTGTCATCATTAGGTATTTGTATATCAAGATTTGCTTTGATTTGTTTTAACAACGCTTCTTGTTCTTTTTTTAAACGTGCTGAATTCATACATTTCAATATATTATCAGCACATTCAATGCATCGATTTAATTTTTCCGATTCTATAGGATCTTCGGAAACAAATTTTTTCATCGCTTCAAATAACATTTTATATTTAGTAAAACGTGTCATTACAGATGGTAAATAATCTTTTAATGTTAAACGACGACACAAATGATTTGCTTCACATATCTATCAAAAGAAACAAAGAGAGATTCTATTTCAACACCCAGTTTTTCTTTTTGAAAACTCTAAAACATACTCGCATCATAGATGCAAACTCTGGTGACTGTTCCTTTTTTTTAATTAATTTTAATGCTTGCGCTTGATCTTCAATAAAATAGGCGCAAGCACGAGCAAACTCTTCACCGTTCTCACCATCAAGCTATAACAAAACAAAACAAAGAAAAATTTCGGTGATTTTGTTGTTAAGTGAAAAAAGAAAAAAGTATTTCATACAAATTTAAGAACTAAATCGCCAATATTTCGAACAACATGATCTTTCGCTTCTTCACGATGTTGACGAAGTGCAATTTTAAATTGAGCTAAATATTTTTTGTTTTCATTCAATTAGAGAAATAAACATTGATGCATTCTTACTGTGCAATTGAATAAGGTGATCAAGATTTCGAAATATACAATCAAGTTCAACAGGACTAATACCATGAAAGTGTTCCATAGGTTCACGAAAACATTTAACCATGATTTTTAAACTTTTTAAATGCGTACGTTGTGTATGAATCAATTCATTGATTGTTGTTTGAAATTTCCATTCTCTTGTTTGATAGAGAACTTGAAGAACATCATTGGAAATAAATTCGCTTAAATTTGGTAAAGTATTTACATCAGCTTCAAGATCGCTATCATCATCCGTTGTTTGTTGAACTACTGATTCAGAAGGACTGCTACTAAATTTAATAGAATTTTTTCGATTGATGAGTAGATTCAAGTGTAAGTAGAATCGAGTACCTATGAACTAAGCCCTTTTAGATACTCTTGGAATGAAAAACTCAGTTGATATATGAGAGAGAATCAACGAATCTTTGTTTTAGTTATGATTCAATGTCGACTTTCGAACTCAACTTTTATAATATTTTCCATTTTCACATAAGAATAAAGAGTACTTTTCTAAAAATATCAATGTTCAGTAGTTATGATTTAAAGGAAAAATTTCATTCGAGCATCTACAATTCGAAAGTCAATGTTACAGAGAAAACAGATCTTATTTTAACGCTGACTCAGATGGCACTAACTAAAAAAAATCGATATGAAATTAGTTTCGACGGGTTAATCAGTCTGATCAGGAAAATCCTTTCACTAACAGTTTGTTTTTGAACTGAGAATGATACGTATCATGTCGATTGTAGGTAACAATGTATACCCTGAGTAGAGCTTAAATCCTTAAATTACTACTATATAGATACTAGATTTTTACAATGATGCATAGTGACAGATATGAACGGCGGATTTTTTTTCCCGACAGGTTTAGATCTTTCAATATGCTCTTTTGCTGACATGTAGAAATCAAAACTCCCATAGTAAACAACCAGCGTGACAGATGAGCTTTTATCGAAACGTGTGATTATATTTTTCTATAAGTGTGAATTGTTTATGAAAAGCTAATGTCTTACTTTTGATTTGTTGAATCTTGTTGATTAACGGTATCATTGCCAGCTTGATTACTAAGTAATTCATCAATTGTGTTTCCACCCATTTGTGGATTACTATAAAAACAAGAAATACAATCAAAATATTTAAATTCATTAAACATATTTTCACTAGAAAGCAGATTATTTCAATTAAAATTAATGAAACAAAAAGAAACAAAGCATAAATCAGTGGACTATTAAATAATATAGAGATTAAAAATGTAATTCTATAGTAAGTATATCAAATAAGCAATTACTAATTGATTTAGAAAAATGTCAGCGACGCAATGATAAACTTCACTTTATTCTCTTTCTCTCTTTTTCTTAGTTCATGAAGCATGCATGAGAATAAATGCAGGCAGGATCCAAAATATATGACTCAAAAAAAAAAAGGTTCAATACCCCTCATCACTATTGTCGGTATCACTGAAAAAGTTGAATTAGAATTTTCAAGCGAAAGATTTATAATTATATAAATACCTGCTTGAACGATTTTTCGCTGTAGCTGGTCGTTCAGGTGCTGCTCGGCGATCACTAGCACATCGACCGACACTATTCAAATAAAGAAAGAATAGTCTTCTTCTTCTCATTTACTCCAAGAGCTGTAATTTACGTGGTAGATTTGTTCTGTTCAGTTGATAATAAACTTTCATTTGTTGGATCTACAACGAGTAACATGTTCTCAAAGTTCGTTATTAAATGCAGGAAGATTGCTTTATTCTATTTCTTCTGGTGGAATACGTAATTCTTAAGAAATCTAACATCCCTCTAGTTCTTCGTTCAGTTATTATAATGACATATCATTGCTAGATCGTCTTAAATTGCACTCCAATCGTACCCTGCATTGCTTCTATAGAAATATCTTTCAACATTCAAGTTAGTAGCGGAACCAAAAGAAGATTTAATAGATAGGCTTAGTTCCTTTCGAACACCTTCTAGCTCTGCAACTAGTTCAAGTTTCTAGTTTCAAATCAGTGTATGTTATTTGAATCAAGCAAATAATGTTTGAAATGTAATTCGACACTAACTTTTATTTTTAATTAAATTATGGAATGAAAACGAAAATGCTAGCTGCTACAGAAGACCTCTTCTTGACTGATACATGACAGTTAAAATCATTTATGTATTTTCTTTCTTTCTAAACATGGCTGGCATTTGTTACTATTATGTTTCGACGGATACTATTCAACGAAAATAGTTACGTATTACAAAGTAAAGATGATATCTGGATCGGAAAAATTTTCAATTAACTTCTGCCTTCCATTTTTTCTTCTAACATTGGACATGAACATCAGAATTTGTAATATACATTTAAAAAAACCTTTCATTAACACAGGATTTCAGTCAACAGTCTTTTGTATGTTAAAAACAACTTATCATTACCTTCATTTAAACTGGATGCCATTTCAGACATATCATATGCTATAAACAACGATTTGTAAACATATGAAAGCCAATTTTAAATAAAAATTAACACTTACGAACACTTCCTTCGCGTCCTTCAATCATACTTATAGCTCTAGACGGACCTAAAATATATTAATAAAAACAGTATGTCAAGCTATTTTTACATCATAAATACATATATGTTAAAGTGATTCAGTCACACAGAGTAAACAAGCCGACGAGAAAAAGACAACGGAAATAACGAATACTATTGGTGTAGTATTCATTATTCTATATAGCAAACATATATGAGATCTATTGCGAAAAATACCGTTGGAATTCGTCACGGTCCAATAAATAGAGTACTACTTCCAACAACAGAACATCCTATAATACCTCGACATTGTGGTGATGAAGTAGACGTGACCAATAAGTTTTGCATAAGATTATCAGCTGAAATCGACTCTGACAGTAAATAATATGGGGTAGCTGTCAAAACAAAACTCTCGTAGGAAAACAAAAACCAAACCAAATAGATCAAATTGAAATGATTTACTTGATGGATTTCGATTGTTTGAAGATTTTCGTAATTTTACTCGATCTTTTGAACATTTTTCACTATTTACTGCACATTCACGATGATATGCTTGTTGGCAATCTTAAATTTAAAAATAATATTTCTTAGATTTATTAATGCATTAATTCTTACATCCACATAAATATCCTTGATAATTTATTCCCCATAATGGTTTAAAACATACTTGACATAATGTTTCATTTAAAAATTGATGTTCATTTAATTGATGATCTTTTATCTAAAACAATGAAATTTACTTTTTTTTTTGTTATCTACGTCATATTTATTCAGTATTTTGTTTATACTTTTTTCATAGTTGTTCGTTGCAATTTTGCTAGTAAACCTTTTTGTTCTTTATCGAGAAATTTCGGAATCTTTTCCAATGGAATGTTTCCACATTTTCTTATATCACAACGTTTTAAATAGGTTGCTAATGCGCATATTAATGCAAGACTTCGAGCATTTTTCATACTATTCCAATCATCGACATATGATGATTTATAATGATATTCGAATGTTGATCGTAATGTTTCTTCAATGAAATGATTTTGTTTTAAATTCAAATCACTATTCATGTTAGGAGTTCGTTTTTGATTAAAATCTACTATTTGTCTATCAGTTATTATCGATTTTACATAATCTTTTGCATCATTAAAAATCATTTTAATATCTTCGGTTGTTTCCTGCTGATGAATATCTAATCCTCGATTAATAGCATCTGTTTGTGATTGAGGAACACCAATACATAAAGGCTAAAAACAATAATATGATATATGATTTCAGTTTTCTAATTAAGAAACTTACACTAGAATTCATGGTAAATGTCGAATGAATTTCAAATATCCATCGATTCAATTCACTACGATTATCAGATTTTCTTAAACGTAGATCTTCTGTTAGTACGTAAAATAACTAATTTAATGAAATGAAATAATTTTAAATGAATTCATGAAAACTGAAAAAGAAATAAACCTACTAAATGATTTGGTTCACTGTTTGTATCATGAAGTAGAAAATTAAGAAAAATTGTCAATGGTATCCAATTTGATGAATTTATCGATTGTTGAATATCATCAAATGATGATATTGCTTGTACATTTGATGGAAGTGTTTGAGAAGAATCATCATCAATTTCAGATGATTCCTGAAAACGAACAAATGAAAATAAATTTTCTACTATAATAGTGATCATTGTTAAGAATTTGTTGAAAACACTGATATTCAATTGAAAGAAGAAATCTATTTTTCTAATTTCATTAGAAATTATCAAAACTGTACGAGTTTCGTTACAATTCGTATGTTTCAGTAGAAGACTTTACTATAAATAATCTTCATAAACTCTGTCGACTATAATAATTTACTACAAAATAAAATATTAACTATTAACAAACTATAAAAGAAGATTCTCCGTAGAAGATGTATCTATTTCGACATCGTATAAACCTAGATACTCATTAATATCAATAAAAACGACTGATTCAAATCTTACTGACCTCAACGAAATCATAATAAGGACAGAAAAATATGAAAGGATTAATCTCCATGGCTTTTTAAAGCCAATCTCTGCCATTGTTATGCTATACTAATGACTCATTTTTTATATTTATAGTTTTTACATAAAATTGTTATTTGAGTATTTCACTTTTTGCTTGTTCCATATATTGGTCGTAAATCAGTGTCAAATTGACATGAAAATAAATCGTTTCAAACGTTTCGAGTCTTATCAAAAACTACTAGAAACTCTAATTTTATGTTAGTTCAAGCGGTTGGTTACAGAAACGAACTGATTTTTGTCGTCTGATTGTTTTTCTTGTTTTATATATAGATATACTCTGACCTAAATTATATACATTCAGTATAGAGCCACGGAGATGAAACTAGTAATATTAATATTCTCAATGTTAGTTGTCGAGCTTTAATTTGTTTCTCGTAGGCAGCGTAGGAGTTGATTTTCTAACCTACTTATGTATAAATATTTTTATGCATCATGAATTCATTATGTCTAGTAATACAATAATCCTTTCGTGCGTATGTCTGAATAAGACCAATCGAGCTTCTATGAAAGTCGAAACGTTTTGTGCGATAAAAAGAAACTCGCGTCAGATTATTTCGATTAACTAATATCTCTTTTGTAGTCGAGCTTAACATTTGTTCAACTAAAATGTAGTAGTGTGAGCGATAAAAAGATCATGAATACTTACACGATATTTAAAAGTTTCATCCGTCGGAATAGTATTCGGTGAATCCCAATTCTAAGTAACAATAAAATTCTATCAATAAAATTTCAAGAATATCAATGATTAGAAGAAATATTTATTAGTGGCAGAAATAATAGAATGCATATGCGTATGTGTGTGTGTCATAGAAAAAGCAATTCAATAATAGAAATATACAAGAACGAATTCTGTACATTTTGTATGTATAAACAATTATGATTAGTGTGTAAATGTTATAGTGTACAATCGAATAATCGATATTTTTACCTTAACAAGATCATAAGCCTCAGTTTTTCCAGTTTGCAATTTACGTTTAATATGTTGTAACGGTGAACTGCCAGGAATCGAAGGTAAATTTCCTGTCATTACTTGTAATACTGCTGATTCAGGCAATGAATTCTGTTTCTTGTGGCCGCTAGTGCCATGAGATTGCTAGAGAAATAGATGTGGGGTAGAGGAGTGAAATGACTTTCGGAAATTATTTTCGAGTTTTATTTATTTTTGAGTTTATTATTTTTATTTTTTACTTACCGAATTCGATCGATTGGTAGATGATGATTCAATGAATGTATTTGGTCGAATAATAAAATTATTATCATCATATGTATTTAATGATAGATCGGTAGATAACTAAAACGCATTTGAATATTTTACGTATGAAGAGAAAAAGAATTTTTCTTACATCATTAGAATCTACATAAAGTTTTAATCTGTTCAATTGTTGTTCATATTGTTTGACTTGAGATTCAAGCTGTGAAATTCTTGCTGGATTATGATTAAGACCTTTTGATCGTTGACGATCAAGTTCTTTTCTTGTAATCTTAGAAAAATCGAATAGAAATTTTTTTTTCTTTGAAATAAGATTTTACGAAAAATAAATACCTCTAATTGTTTAAAAATTTTGTCATGACTCTCTCGTGTCTTTTTTGTATCGACTGCTGCTTGTAATGTATTTGAAATAAACATACTATGAGGTCTTTCAGGATTTGATGATTGTGTACGAAATTGTACTCGTCCATTTTGGTAATCAACTGGAATTACTTTTGGTGTTTGTGATGTTGAATTAGTTCTAGATTGTCCAAGAAGCGTTAATTGAGCATAGGAACCAGCTAAATAAAAGATTTGTTTTTCATTTTTAACATAAATTGTTTTTTCTTGAAAGGAGGAAAAAGACTAATGACAAAGATTGATGGGTTTTTAATGAATGTAAAGAAATCTTTCTTTTCTCTCCATAGACATCCATCAACATACTAACGATGATAGACAGAAAGCTGGCAGCGAAACAGCAAAATTAATGTCTTGAATGTCAAACTGGTATCCAAAGAAGAAAATATATATTCAATGACACGAAGATGTTCGAGACAGTAAAAACATGTCTGCTCATCTTTTTCTTTTGTTGTATTGTATTATGTTATTGAATTGTATTTTTATTTGTCAATACAATATCATTGACATAGGTATTTATAGGATGTGATCATACTTTAGAATATGATTATCATGGTGACGCAACATACTTTTGTTACCTGCATTAATACGATGACGGTCATCAAAGGTTTCTGATTTCGGTCGTGGTCTAATTATAGGCACATCTGCTGCTGTGTTAAATTCATTTCTATTTGTATTTCTTATTGATGAATGAATACTTGACAATGAACGTTTTCGTCGTTGATTAGGAGTATTTGATATACGAGAGAAAAATGTTTCTTGTAATTGTGTAACACGTTCTGTTATGTTTGATATTTGTCGTTCAAGAGCACTACGTCCTGTACTTCGAAATGAGTATGGCCTAGGTTTGATAGTAATTGATGGTCGATTACTGGATGTAAATGATGTTGAACTTTGAATACGATTTGATGAGCTTACTTGAGGAGAAGATGACGCAGAGATAGAAAGAAAAGTAGTCGAACGTTTTGATGATAATGTTTTTATTTGTGCTTGTTTTGATATATGAGACACGACAGGACTTAATGGCTGTTCTAATATATAACTTTTAGCTGTACAAGGTTGATAAATACTAAAATTTGTTGTTAGTGGTAAAACAGATAATCTAGGTGATGACGTTCGACGAATTGATGACCGTCGAACAAGTGAATAAATTACAGCTATATCAGATAGATCATCATCATAAGGATCATTTGGATTTTTTGCTCTAGTTATTCTAACACGTCTGGATTCTCCAATGGAATTTGTAATAGTAAATGGTGTTAGTATTTCTGTTGATTGGCATTGCAGTTGTAATTTTGGAATAAATAATTTTACATGCGATATTGTTGCATTATTTATCATTGAAGTCCGATAAACATCAACCGTTCGATCTACACGGAGTGTACCTAGCTTACCAGCTGGTATACGTACTGGTATAGAAGTAGACATTGTTTTTAAATTATCTCGAAAAGAATCAAAACGTTTTTTTTCATATAAAAGACAAATGATTGAATTGATTGTTTTGTAATTTATCAAATCTGACGTTGGAATAATATTCAATATGATGATATCATTCTATTCGAGGTGTAGCTCTTCTTTTTCAACACAATTTATCAGTATTTTGTCTTCAAAATGGTAAATTGTTAATCATCAATACACAAAAACATTGCTGGATTATATGGTTCGTATGTGTAACAAAAGAAATTATCTGTAATGACGATGCCGAACGAGAAAGAAAGAAACATGCCATCAAGGCTTTCTCCGCCCATTTGATATATGCATATACAAATATAGTAAAGGAGAGAATTTCCTCGGATTGAGTTATGGATATAGATGCATATGTACACACACACACAGAGAGAGAGAGAAAGAGAGAGACAAAAATTGATTTCAGTATTTTTCTCAATTGAGATAAAGAATGTAAACAGTTTCAAAAATCAAGCAACATTTGATATATGATATCGTCTTGTTTTTGTCTTTTGAAACATGTTGGCGCATGCGTGTGTGTGTATATATATACGTATATATAGATCAGTTTAACGAAAAAGAATTATAAGTATATCTTTATTTATTCGATGAATAATTAACTTGATGAAAGATATATAATTAATAAATTAATGTAAAATCTTTTCGATCATGTTTATAACATCTGATTAATCAAGGTCAACAAGAAAGAAATAAACAATTCATATGGGAAAAGATAATGCGATGTTATCAACACATTGTAAACTCATTTGAGATAAAAATCTATTGACCACTGACTGATCAAGTATAGATTTGTCTATGTTTTTGATTCATATATTAATGTATAAAAAGTTATAAGTTCCGAGAAAAACAAAACCTGATTTCGGTAGGTGTTCTGCTTTTCGTGTACATTAAAACAAAAAATAGAAACAAACTTACATTTAATGAGATTGACTACATCAATATGTGTACAATGCGTTACACGCGTGCCATTGACCTGAAAAAATTTTCAAAGAAAAAAATTTTATTTTATTGTTCTTCAAAATTAGAAAAATATCTTTTTTCTATCAATGAAATTTATTTATATTATACTTTTTGTACTCCTAAAAACACTTTTCCTAATGTTTTATAAAAAATTCAAAAATTGTTTTTCTCTTTCTTACTGAAATTTTCCCGTTATAGTTCTTAGTTTCATGAAAACATGTTTGATATTTTTCTGTTATTCTATCATTGGAAGAAGTAGATCGTACTCAAAGATAGACACAGTCATGTATATATATTTTTTTTTTCCCTTTGGTGTTTCTTTGATACAGAAATCAATCAATGCACATGATGCATGAAAAATCGATAACATATGTCCAATTTGTTCTATTTAAAACAGGTGCATTATGTTCTACAAGTATTCAACCGGAACGACTAGAGAAGAAACTAGAAAATAATTAATCTCCTAGAAAGCTATGCGTTGTTTTCTTTCGTCTAGAACGTCATTAATCAATCGTATGTTTTCTGTAGGATATCACTTCCATAAGTCTCTTACTATATCATAAGAGAAAACGATAGACCAATGGTGAGGTATGTTTCTAACATGAAATTAATCTAGTTGAAATTGAGTTTTCTTATTCAAAATAGTATACTAATTATAATACCAAAACAAAAAAGATCCACCCGAGCATGCTAACGTTGATATTAATAAATTAAAAATAAGAATGTACGTAGGTGCAACAATCAAAAAAAAATACGGTTATGAATATAATCATGATTATTGTATCTTATTGTTGTGAATCAAAGTTTAGCTCGTTTTGAGGGGATAATTCAGTAAAAAATCAAAAGATTCAATTGATATTCAAAAAATATGAAAACAGTGGAAAATATTATTATTATTATTATTATTTTAGTTGTGTTTATCTAACTGACTGAGACAATTATTCATTATAAAAAAAATGGTTCTCTCTATTAATTAAATAATATCTAGTACTATTTAGAGCTTTAAAAGTAGGTTCAATTAGCAAAAACTCAAAGAAATTGTTTTTTATTTCCTATGAATCTAAATAGTAATCATAAATATTTCTCATAATTTTACTTTTATAATTTGATCATTCGTACTAACACCAGCTCGATGAGCAGCACCACCTTCTCGTACGCTTAATACAAAAACAGGATTATCGCTAGAAATTGTTAGACCGTATCCATAATGATCTCTTTGAATAATAATATTCTTTTGTTCAAGTCCTAGAGAACAAAATACAATTGATAATGAAAAATGTTAATTTTAGTAAAACAAAATTCAACACGAACCATTAGGTAAATCAGAATCATTCAAATATGAAAATAGACTATACAAAAATAACATTTAAAAAATAGAGTTAGTATTTAGAGAAAATAAATAAGGTTTCTGTTTTACCGTTCTTGCTCCATTTTTTATATTAATCATCTGTAAAATAAAATTTGTTCATCTGAAAAAGTAAAGAAATATATATATATATATATATATATTATTGTAATCAAAACAATATTTTTAACACATTTAATGGTTATTTAGTGAAGGATGTAAAATAAGTAAACATACAAAACGATGTTTGCAATACCAAATGACAGTGATGAAAAACGAAGAACTACCAGGCATTGTCAGTCAGTCACTCATCTTTTATCAATTTTATTGGATATTAACGACCATGTTTAACATTTTATAGGATATTTATTAATCGTTTGTGAATATATTTCAAATTCATGTCATAGAAGAAAGAAAAAATATTATTGGAAAGAAATTCGTTTATTTAAACATGTCGCTCTATTAAAATTCAATGATATTTTAGCGTCATCTAGATAAAATAATTTTTTTGTTTTGAAGGTTTATTAATTACAAATTTAATTAGCTGTAATTGATGACTACAAACCTGACTCAGATTTTTCTCATGGGTCGATATTTTTTAAGTAACTGAAAAAAGCAAAGAATTACTCTCTATTGTATAAAGAAATTTTTAATATGGCTTATCTCGTAAAATAAATTAATCATATACGCTCAAAGATGACTCAATATATTGTTTTCGTAATCGCTCTGTATTCGTTTTTTCGAGAACGAACAAATTCTTAAGAAAAATTTACCATCTTTTCTATGGTGTATCCAGTGTGTTGGCCCACATAACACTTTACTTGGCTCTGTAGAACAACATGCAGAGAATAAGAATTTTGCATATACGTACTGTCATTTCTGTGAATATGATAAACAAGTCGTAAAACAATTAGCTTATATACAGTTTTTGTACATGACTAATATTGTTTTTGTAATACTAGATTGAAAAGTAATATTTTGGTAGAGGTAAAAATTTGCCTTTCCCTCCAATACACGCATAGCAGAAGCCGAGCAACTTAAAAGTTTAAATTGTTTTTGACACATTGTTTTATTAACAAGAGTTCCCTTAGTGGAATGAAAATAATCGTTTCTAAGCAAATTGAATAAACTATTATAAAAGACAATATTAATCTTAATTGCAATGTTCAACTACTGAGGAAATCCGAGTGCAACAAAGAAAGTATTTTGTCACTTGGGTGTCTACTCTATCAATTTTTTTCCAGACGTCATGTATTGGTATGTAGTGTGCGCTCCTTTCGATATTCTAGAAGAGGTGTCTGCTGTGTGACACACTGAGATGGACATCTTATCTTTCGACTATATCTTCCTCAAGCTTCTTGAGAATTTTACTTTTAAGATCGAATTAACGGAGAATTCGTGTAAAACCCTTAAGATAAATGTTCTTTGTACTGCTTTCACAGTAATGGAAATATATTGTGATCGACATCTTTCATCATCGATATACAATACCAGTAGGTGGTAATTCATAAATTGAAACATGTGTTAATGGTTTTTCTCTTTTAAAAAAGTAACAGCTCCGTCGCATTTTAAATTCTACTCCCGCTGTGATTACGCTAATATCTTTTCATGCTATTAAATACTAAAAGAGAAATTACAAGGTAAAGTTTTTATTGTTGATAGAATAGCTTGTTTCTTTTTGAGCTACTATTCTATTTGATTTCGTTTACAATATTTGTGAATATACATGTATGGAATATATATTTTAAAGGATACAATACGATGTCATTGATAGTCATAATTCGAAGGAAATTTGTTAATCTTGTTTATCTAATAGAATATATAAGAAGAAGAAGAAGAAGAAAAGCTTACAATCTGATGTATTGCTATGTAGTTCTTTAGAAATCATCATTGTCTCTAAGAGAAAAATCCTATGTAAATAGTACCATTGAATTTCTCGACGTCTATAAGATAACATTAAGAAGTCAACTTATAGGACAAACTTACTTTTGGTTTACATAAGCAATCGTTTATGAAAAATTTCAATGAATAATTAGAAAGTAGGCGAAGCCTGCATTATGAAACTTTACTAATGCTTACTTTCGATAATGATTGCCATATGGTGTTTCTTGTTTAAATGATGTGCAGAGAGAGAAAAAAGGAATTTATAAAAACAGATGCTTTTCATTGACCTGAGGAAAAGTTCGTTTGTTTCTCTAACGCCTAGTAACTCAGATTATAGTTTTGACATATTTTACTTTGGTTACGTTAGTTGGCATCTAACCAGGTGATTTCTAACGAGAGAAAGCTGCTGATAGGCCGATCGTTCGATTTCATATCTACTATAGAGACCAATATTTAGTATAGGTAGAATGTTCTTTGAAAAGGACTCCGTGTTTAGAAATATGCCTGGATAGGTTTCTGTCAGTAAGAATCATAGTCTGATTGAGACTTCAACTTGACAAAAAAATAATTTTAATTATTTGATTCATTTCTTTAGAATTTCAATTTGACTGTTGAAAATTCGTAATGTAATTAGTTTAGAATCATAGAAAGTTTGACTCGAATTTTTAGTCTTGATTCGAACAATATCTTTCTTCTGTTTAGTTTTCAACTAGGACTATAACTGGTTGTGTATACAGTATATCTACTTCTCTTGAAAGCAAAAGGCTATAAGTGATTCTTTTAAAACATAAATTTGCTTTCATCATATATTTTCCAATACTATGAGAGGTAGATGTATTTGCTTTTTTTTTCAAATCATTGACAGATCAACTTCTGAAATCGGTCGATACTTAAATCAATATAGGAAAAGATAGTTCGCAGTCTGATATTTTAGAAATAATTGAAAATTCAATTTTCCTATCCAAATCTTTCAAGACTTCCATCATTTAACGTATATAAAGTACAATTTTTTTGCAAAAAAAAACGAGTACTGTTAACCTGTCTTCTCTAAACAAATTTAAGACGAGAATAATTTGCCATGGAAACTTGATGAAGTTACATATAATTAATTGTATTGAAAGATTTTCACCGAGATCCAATGTGATCATGTTGTGTAATGGAAAATATACTTCTCTAATGAAATTTAATAAGAGATTCAAAAAGAACCATTGATACACAGTGACATATTTATGTGATAGTTTATGATCATTATCTTTGAATTTGCAAGAAAAATTCATCATGATATAAAAAAAAAGATGAAAAATTCGGTTGGCCGTCATAATGTCGAAAGGAAAAATGTCGAAAAAATTATATTGACATGAAATATTGTCAGTTAATATTTTAGAGAATTGTAAATAATGCAGTGTATGTTTTTTGTATGAAATTAAGCTGAAATGTTAAGGGTGAGAAAAATTCTTTTAAAAGATGTCATTTTTTCACGAGCTTCACGAACCTCAAGTTTTTCTTTTTCTGGAAGATGACTATGATTGCAAACAGTTTTCATCAATCGATTATTTGAATCAGTATGCATTTTAGCTTCACAATAATTAATAGTGCATATCCAATACTTAATAGTTGTGGTTACTTTATTCAGCTCCTCTATTTTACTTGTATCAATAGTTAGTCATCCCTATCAATACTGACTAAAATTCTACACTAATAAAATTATAAGAAAAAACAATGAAGTATATGTGGTTACAATCGCCATATACATGAGGCATCATTGTTTTTTATTTTTCACTTTCGACATTTTTCCAGCACACCAAAAATTCTATTGAAGCAACTGTTTTATTTTTTGTTTGCTCAGATTTCTTTAATTGTGTCGCTGAAAAGTCTCAAGGATTTCTCGTTCTATGGATTTAATTAATTTATTGTTTGCAACGGTATGATTATGAGCACAGTGGAACAGATCAATTTTTCTTAATTACATTCTTTGTTCTACATAAAGAAGTGCATGTTTAAATGAATTTACACTCATTGACAGTTTTCGAAGCATTAAATTTGCCATCCTGCTCCTAATATTAAAAAGAATTTCGCATTTCGAAACAGAGTTCATTCCACTCCAGTAAATTTAATAAATTTAATATAATGGTTAGATGATAAGACAATCAAATTTCGTCGAGGGTAACGTTTTTAGAATAGTATTTAATAAAAATATTCCCACAAAAAGATAATAGTTTCAAACTCGGACTTTCCTTCAGTTCATATGTAGCTTGTTCAAACGATGATTTTTCTCTCGTGATGAGATAATTCTTCTGAAAACAATTATTTTTCAGTTTCTTTTGAGTGAGTGATACTCGCAGAAAATGATTTACTATTCAAAACAATTGAAGTAATTTTTAAAATATTGCAATGAGGAGAAAAAGAAATTGTAAGTCATATGTGTTAAATTAATCTTTAACTCGTTATGCAGTAAACAATATATGACGCTCTACAGAGCTTCGCAGGCATCAAGCGTCTTGAGATTCTATTTATATATATTTTTTTCAATGGAAACCTTATAATAGATGACTAGTAACTTCTTGAATTAGTATTTTATATAGGATATCATAACAGTTCATTCAAAATCTAAACATAAATTACACAATTGATCTTGATAAACTTATCAGAATTTGATACGATGTTCTTTTAAGCTTCATTTTATATAATTTTGGTTATGGTAGACATTCAATGGAATGGTTATATGTAAATCCATTATATTCGAACGAAGATTATGCATAGTTTCTTTTTTGAAATCAATTTAAGTTTACTCATAGAAGCAATCCTACGAAATTTAGTCAGACCGTTCAGCAGTGTAATTTACCGAAGCATAATTCTATTCTAATATTGACGATTTCTTTCATAGTTTTAGATTTTTTTTATTTTTGTTATTGAATAACATTTTACAACTGCTTGCACTTTTGATGCCTGTCAATAGATTATTCACACTAGTTATCGGCTATTGTTGACATTTGTTTTTTGAGTAATTAATCTATGCCGTCGAAGGCATTATTTGTGTTCTATGATGTTAGCTTCATAGAATTTCATGTAATATCTCTTCTGAAAGTTTATTTTGTTCCTTTGGCAATGTTTATTAAAATTTATTTTTTCTTTCTACCAATTTAGTTGGTTTTAATATGATCATTAGTAAACTACTGCTGTAATTATATCGATTAGTGCATATATTGAAGCTTTCATATCTTTATAGCAAAGAAAAATGACACGGAGAACTTACAAAAGAAAAGCCTTTGTTGAGTTCTGACAAAAAACAGGAAAGACTTCATTCAAATCAATGGATGTTGAATTCGTATTTTTGTCAATGCAATCTATCATTGTGAATGTTAGATATATTGATTAATACCACTTGAATGCTTATGGGCGAATATGTATGAAAAAAAAAATATTTTGACGGAATTCGATTCTTACAGTAGGATTATCTCGTAGATATAGTCACTTGTATACTTCTGAGCATTTATTTTCGATCCATCGATATTAATTCAATAGTCATCAATAAAAATTACTTCGGCCTCAATGCTAAAATATTTAGTTGAATAATATTTATATATATATAAACATTCTTATATACGTCTGAGAGCTAAATTACTTATTTTGATATATCTATCTGGGCTCTGATGTTCTTGCATTTTAAGATTAGAAAATATTCTGACTTCCCTGGAATGATAAGCACAAAAATAAATTTTATATCTTTTCTCGTCTCATCATGCGAGATATCCAATGACAAATTGAAATAAGATCAGAAAATGGCACTTCATATTAGATATCCCATTGCGAACAGTAGTAGCTCACTAGTCTGTCATTAAACACTTCATCATCACAACAAGCGATACCTTCAGCATGACCATTTTATCTGAATTTTTCAAAAACTTTAAAACAATTCTTGTTTATATCTATTATTTAAATCAAACTAGTTTAAAAGTTAGTACATATAAAATTTGATGCAGGGAAACTAAAAAATAAAACTAAGCAGATATTTTTGTTAAATGATTTGATTTTGTTTCTACTGTTCAACTTCAACATCAAGCATGTCTTGGTGACATGAAAATTCACGGTTTATTTTTAATAGCACCATGTGTTTCACTAAATACGCCTTAATTTTGTCTGTGTCATAAATCTGATTATAGCAAACACATTTCTACGGATGTTGAATCATATAATCTTAGATCGAAGAAAGAAGCTAATACTGTTATTGGAATTATTTCATAGTCTCATGTTGCATTTGGATTGTTATCAAACAACTAATAAGATACAATCATATTAAATTGAAATTCATCGAGTCCTACATCTTTTTTGTACTCAAAAAGTCTTTTTATCGAAAAATTATTCATACATGCTTACGGAAATCTTGAATATGATATTTTCATGAACTCGTCTCCTCCTATTGAACGTTGTCTCAGTTTTAATGTTAACATTTAAATAAGAGACGGGAAAATGTAACCGTTTATCATATGTAACAATACATTTTTGCTTAGATTGTTCTTTTTCCAATAAAATATCGTTAGTTAATTAAAATTCATTCGAAAAATAAATATCGTGTGCAATTTTTAATCATATGAGTCTTATAACCTCGTTCTGAATCTCATTGATTATGATTTTTATTTTCACATAGAAACAAAAAAGCTTTCTAATATTCTTGTTATTTTTATTTGATGAACAGTATTGCAATGTCAATACGCGAAGAAATATTAATACTAGATTGCCTAGTAACATATTACATCAAATTGCAGCGTTTAGGTTATTTTTTTACACCTTTTGTTCTTGATGAAAAATGATAATAACAATGAATATCATAAATTGTGATTATAGAATATTATATTTAGAGTTATTAATTAATGAATATTATAAAGGATTAAATATCATTGAAAATTTCAAATATGATAACTTCACGAAATATTTAACTTGTACTTTCTCGAAATGGCATCAATTTATCTCAAAGGAGGTTACTTTGCTTTTCAAATTTATAGCTAAATTAAATCCGTTGACTGTAAACATCTTTAAAATTAACCCAGCTTAGAGGCACCCACTATTTTTCTATATGTCGTCTGTTATATCAGTCATGAATTCTATGTTCGTGTATATAGCTAACAGAATATTAGAATTCCTGTTACATGATAAAGAAGCTAATTTGTCTGTAAAACCCAGCTCTTCTCGTGTATGTCTAATACGTCGTTTGATCATAGACTATTATCTTTGGTTGCAAATCGGAAAATCTACATAAACAAATTTGAGAACAAAAATCATACTGTTTTTATCTTCCTAATACATAGATTTTAGTGATATGATAAATGGAATTTATATCTGTACAAGAGCATAAATATGTTTTCATAATTATTTTCATTTTAGTGCTAATTCAAAAGTTCACTGATATTTCTGAAGTATGTAAATATAATGTTGAATAAAATTATATCATAAAACTTCAAAGAAATAGAATTGCTATTCATCATGGCTATTGAAACCGAATGATAAATCATACTGAAGTCTTGATTGTTGTACTAGATTCATTATCTATATTATTTTCGGCTAGGACAAATTTTAATTATTCGATAATGAATAAGTGTGAAATTCTCTGTCTCTCTCTTTACTATAACTATGAGTTTTGTCTAACATTTTGAAAGACATCGCATTATCTAGCCTATTAACAGCTCATATTGGAATTCGTCTGCTGTTAAGTTCAAACTCTGAGGTCTGTTGACATCATAATCATAATTTTAATTCCATTTATTTTTTTGTACTTCACAGAATAAAAAAAAAGTAAATACAACAGAGATAAAATAAAACATCCACCGGAACTTAACTGCACTGTTTGTTTACCTTATGGTTTTTAATCGGTAATTATCTTGGTAAACTAGTTTGCTTTTAAAACTTTGTTGATAATGAACAATCACCTAATGAACCATTCAATGATCAAATCAGTGATTTAATAGAATAAACCAATAAAAATAGTTCATTGTCATGATTAAATGATTTCATTTTCAATCTATTTGAAATGTCTTTTTTTTTGGGAAAAAAATTCTTTTTAATGCGCGACGGAAATTAGCTCCACATAGAATATAGATGAAAATATTAATTGAATAACTCAAGTAAGACATATAATGTAATAGAACATCTCTATAGAGTGCGAAAGTACTATAATTTTGAGTCTGTTTGAAATCATCTTGCGTTTGTTCATAAAATACGATTAAGCGTAAAGAATACGATGGAAAATTCAATGAAAGACATGTTAATGATATAGCTAATAGCATTTTTGTTAAACGTAATTCTGCCAAAATATGTTGACGGGTTGAATCATTACCATGTTGTTTTCTATGTATTGATGCTATTGATTTTTCAACTGGAGGCCGATTTGTTTCTGATTTTTTTACTAATTGTGTATGATACGGTGTCCAGTATGATGTTCGTCTACATTGATAACTTGAACCGTTTTCAAAAACATGTTGTCGAAATGTATTTGAATAAAATAATTTTTTTATAATTAAAATATTAGCTATTGATACAAAAATGAATGGTAAAAACATCGTCATTATTGTATCAACTATATTAATATGATTTAAATAATGTACATGACTTTCTTTTTCACGGCATTGTCCATACATATCAACTTCGGATGCAAAAAATGATGGATAAATGTAGAATACAATTACTGGCATCGTAATTATTAGAATGATTATATGAGAAATTCTTGGCGTACATTTGGACATATGTTTTAAAGGAAAATTCACAGCAAAAAAACGTTCCGCTGTAAATGCAAGCACCATCCATATATGTAAAAACGATGCAACAAATGATATATAGGTTTGAATTTTACATATCAAATTGGCACCAGAATATAATGATCGAACGAAACTAGTATTTATCCAGCCAGGTAAAAGATCCAATGAAAATAAAACATCAGATGCAGCTAATAGAAATAAAAATGATGATGAACGCAGGCGTCTTAAAAAAAAACAAAGAATGCAATGAATGAAACAAATAAATAAAATGCTTTTTTAATTTTCTCTTATATTTTACCTTAATGGTTTAGTATTAAATACAATCGCACATATGATATTTCCACATATGCCAAGTAAAGCCAAACAAGGAACAAAAACTAATTGTAAATACTGTATAAATGCGCTATGTGTATAATATGATGTTTGATTCATTGCTTATATTTCATTTAAAAATCCTAGAGCTTTTTGATAATGATAATATTCTGAAATAGAACAAAAACTCCTTTTAGTGAATAACTTAATAATATATGTTCTTTTCCGTTTGTTTTTATTAATGCAGCTACATTTCTCCCTAAAGCACAACGCTTTCTTGCATTTTTCTTCTTTCTTCTTTCTCGCTATATATATATATATAAAAGAAGCTCTATCAAGTTATAAAGGAAAAGAAAATTAACTGCAAAATTACAATGAAAATCTAAAAGAAGAAAACAAAATAGCTACTATGACATATCATTTATCATTTCAGTTCGTGATTATAGAGAAAGAAAAAGATTTTCAGAATATTAAGATTGTTTTTCATGAAATACATAATTAAAAGAAATCATTGACGTCATTAATAAATCTTGAATGTTTACACATTCATTAGATGTCTTTATTCTAAAACATCTCTGTTCTTCTATTTATTATTATTAGTAGCAGTGTATAGTTTTTATTTATTAAATATGGGAAGTACAAACACAAAAATAAATCTAGTAATATTAAGTGAAGAAATGTTGACTTAACTAAGCTCATCATTCAGACCGTCTGCAAGATGGCATTAAACTCCCTGAAACGGTTAAGAAACGTCGCAAATAATGCCCTAAACGATGAAAAATAACCGCCGTTTTGTAACAGTTTTCCGTCAGCTCGGATTACAGGCCTTTTTCTCCCTGGAATGTTAACGATGTCATTCAAGGTTGTTTCCGACTAAAACGGGCAAGTAATAAAACCACCTTATTTCCGTTCATTCTGACGTGATCACGCCGTTTTGCATGAGAGTTACGCTGATAATTTATACTTTTCAAAAATATTTCTTTTAATAATTTAATAATATTATTATATACTTATTTTTAAAAGAAAAGTCTACACTCAAAATAACATGAAATAAAACAAAAAACCATCGGAAAAGAGTAAAAAACACTGAAATAATCCAAAAATTAAAATAAATAAAATAAAAGAAGTAAAATGCAACAATATAAAATAAATAAATAAAAATCTAAAACAGAATAAATAAAATATCCCAGGTCAAACATTCCGGCCATCGGATACCGTAGGATATTCCAAAAAAGATGCGGGAAAGTCACCATATCTTGCAGGAAAACACGGGAAATCGCTGGAACATGGAAGCAGTATTCCAATCAATAATACGGCCGAACTTTTTCGGCGGATTCCTGCCAAGTTCCAGTGCTTTCCGGTAGGAATTGATCAGAAATCACCGGAAAAGATCCGAAAATTTTCCAACCGGAATACTGCTTTCACAAAATCAACGGAACTACCCGAAACCGACCGTTACCAGGCCGTACTGTTCGACCTGGAATACAATAAAAATAAAATAATTTAAAAGTAAAATTGAATTAAATAATCTAAAAAATTAAAGAAAAAAAAGAAGTTGAACGATACTGTCTAAGTAACTACATATTTTCCCTAGGGAATCTACTCAGCCAGCGAGTACTCAAAAAGTATTCACGCTAGAAAATGCCGCGAAAACTCATGAGTACTCATGGGTTTGAGTAGTCATCATACGTTTGCTGAGTGTTCTGATGAGTTTTTGTAAAATACTCAGACATCTCAATGTTGTTCTGCATCATCTTAATGCGTTCAATTTATTTTATTTAAAAACGGATGATAGAACAGTGACGTACATGATAAGCATTCCAGAAACGAATTGTTTTACTATCTTAAAATGCTTTTTAATTAGGACATAGAGATAAAGCATTTATCAACAGAATGTAACAAAAACTAAATAAAAGTCTCGACTGAGAACATTACAACATGCAGTACCAGACAAAAGCTTCCACCCGCCTCGCATTTTCGAGAAATTCTTGTAAGTTCCATAAGTGTAGTATATATATAGTAGTACTAATACTATGATGAGAAAAATTATTCATTTCTTCTAAAGTGCTATCAATCATTACTTTTTATAAATGCCATTATCAGTACACACGCGGTACGAAATTGTGTTTTTATCTAATCATCCAAAGGGTCCACAACAAAGCCATGTGGACGTGACAAAAGTAGTTCACTATAACATCTCAACAGTGAGATATTGGCTCAACCGATGGACACAATCCAAAGATTTAACTGATTCAACCCGTTCCGGTCGACCACGTGCAACTACTGAGAAACAGGAACAACGAATTATTTCACTCGCTAAAGAACAGCCATTCATCACCGCTCAATATATTACAAACCAGTTGGAGCGGCGAGGAGTGGTAGTTAGTGAGAGAACGATATGCCGACGTTTGAACGAAGCAGGTGCTAGATACAGTCGGCTAATGTCAAAGCCATTGCTTATAGAATACCATCGACAAAATCGTTTAAGATGGGCACAACATCATAAAGCAACTGACTGGAATCAGGTGATATTTTCTGATGAGACTGCTGTCCGCCTGAATTCCGTGAAAGGATTGGTTTGGAACTTTCCAAGAAATAAAAAAGTCGTTCGTACTGTCAAGCATCTAATCAAGGTGAATTTTTGGGGTTGTTTCTTAAGTAAAGGTTTCGGTCGCATCATTTGTTTTCGGGAAAAACCTCGACGCTAAATTTATGTGTAGCATCTATAAGTACGGTCTCTTGCCAACAGCTAAGACATAATTTGGTGACGATCCGAGGTCGTGGAAGCTGCCAGAAGACAACGATCCTAGCACAGGTCGAAACTTGCCACACACTGAAGAGAAGAAAAGAGAATTGAAAAAATAGACTGGCCATCGATGTCCCTTGATATTGCTCCAATTGAAAATGTGGGGCAACTCCTCAAGATGAAGTTAAGAAATAAAACGTTTACAAATTATCAATCTTTGGTCTCTGCAATAAAGCACGAATGGAAGGCTCTACCACTGGAATTAGTGTTAAACTTGGTACATGGTATGGAAAATCGAGCTTTTGAAGTTGTAGAAAGTCATGGTGATTTCATATTACACTAGTGATCAGGATGGACTCTTAGCTTCTTTATATTAAAAAACGTTTTTGTTGAATCATAGTGTTTAATAAAATTATAAGCGGGTGGAAACTTTTGTCTGTTACTGTATGTGAACACAAACATAAACACAAACACAAATGAGAAATAAGTTATGGATCAAATTAAGATACGCGATAACAATACACATTCACTTGATGTCGTTACAAAAAGCACGAACATTTTAAATCGAAAACTATTATCATTAAGTAACAATAAAAAAATCGATGAACTGTCTTCTGTATGATAAATGTATCTTCAGAATATTGAATTTCATGTTTTTGGAAAAGTTTTCTCATTCGTCTTGTTTTCCATTAATTTTCAAAAACAAACAAATTAAATTTTATATAAAACGGTATTTCATCTTTGATTTACGATAAAAAATTTAACATATAATTTGGTGTTTTAAAATAAACGTTTGGTCTTACTCGAGAGGTGGACAGCTGAAATTAAATGAATATGTTTTTCTATTCTTTAAATAGCCAATTGACTACGGCACACGAATGACTAATCACAAAATATGGAGGATGAGATCGATAATTTCTTTAAAGAGTTTTTTCCAAATTTCGGTTCATTATACAGTTGTTCTTAGTTATACAATATTATTTTCATCCATCCTAGTGCGCAGATGTTTCACTGAATGCGCTCGAAAAAACGATGATAGTACTATACCTCGAGTACTCGTATTTTCGTGTAAGAGTAATTTTTAGGAAAGAAACTCATTGGAGTACTCGTTATAGTACACGAAATGTATTGTTACACATAAAATTCATCGAATAATCTGAGTACTCATGCTGCAAAGTCGTACTCGCTGGACGAGTACGTTCACTAGGGTTACCCATATTTATATCTCCAAATAAAAGATATGTAAAACGATAAAAAAAAAGTTCGCCTTAGAAGGTAGTCGTTTCCGACAACACGGAAATCGTCACCTAAAAGGCCACCGTTTTCCGCCGCTTCAACTCGTTTGCGGATCGTTCTATACCACATGAGTAGACGAACATCGCCTCTGGAGTCGTTGACAGGGAAAAAAACAAGAAGTATTTTAGAATTTTGAACATACAATCTAGCGAATATCAATGCATTTAGTATTAAGAGAGTTGATTGAATAAAAGTGTATTGCATGCTTATGATTAAATGAGTTTTGCTCTACCAGTCGGTATTCTGTAAGTTTAAGTCGTCAATAATGAATTATTAAGATGTAAATAACATGAAGAAAAGAAGAAGTAAACTTGAACACAATAGAAATCTATCTTCCTCGCTTTATCCTCTCCTGTCTCATGTACTTATGAATAGCAGAAAATGTAATCGAATAAAGACAGTTTTCTCTGCCATAATAGTTTACGTATGCAATTGATGCTGTCCCTTTGTTAACAATTTCACGTTTTTCTCTTAAAAGAACCGGATTCGTATAGTATTATTTTAAGAATAAAATATATAACTTGTGTTGTATGAAGTCAGCAATGATTAAAGGGTGCTATACGTATAATTGTTGTCAGTAAATTTTTGAAATGTATCTGTGTAAGAAATTCAATTAATTTAAAGGCTGGCAAATTAGTTATTTTCATCGTTCGCAGCATCGTGCCATCTATTAATAATGCGAAATATTTTACGATTGAACGCTTCTAAATTCTCCTTTTTGTATTAGATAATATTGGGTAACTATTAAAGATAGATTGATAATAAGGGCGAAGGTAAGCATAATATAATCTATAAGAAATTTCCTTGGATAGTGTGCGACTGGACGACAGCCTTTCAAATACTACGGTGTTTTTCGAAATTTTTGTTTTGATCTAATCAAGATGATAATTAACCTCCTGAATCCCGAGAATTCTTGCGTTCTATTCGAAGCTAGGGAAAAATAAAAATATCACTTTCTTGTGCGTTCTGTCGTTCTCAATCAGATGTATATATATTGTGTATTTTATCATGTCGCTTGGACTTAGGGGTGCAACGGTGACAAACAGTCATCAGTATACCGTCACTGTTTCACCGCCACCGGTCTCACCGATCCTCACCGGTCCACACCGGTCACCGTCACCGGTCGCATCGGCAACCGTTAACGGTTTCACCAGTGCTAGATTTTAGTTGATTCATTTGTACTCTTTGCCATAATAGCTAGTAATTGATGTTTTAGGAACAAATTATATTCCTCAATACAATCACCGAAAATATCTCTGGTGAACAGTGGTGTCAATTCAAGCTGACTCTGTGCTAGAATCGATAGTCCAGAAAAGTTCAAATGATGAATAAAACCAACAATTTAGAATGTTTCATTTATACATCTCTTTGATAATCAGGGTCAGCGACATAGCTGCGCAAGTAAGGGTACAACTTGTAGTCGACAATTTACATAGAGATTGAAAGCTCCGCTACTAACACANGTACATACGAATACATACGAGTGCATGAATTGTAGAATTCTAGGTTTTGGGGGAGTAAGATGTGGTAGTCGATGCTAGTACAAGCTGTACCAGTACTTGAGCACCCCTCATCAGTGATACTCATGCATCGGTCTTCACCGTACGTCTTTCATAGGTTTACCGGTATCATTGTTAGTCTCACCACCCCATCTCTACTTTTCACCAGTATATGTCATTATAGACCGCTATAAGGCGGTAAATTGCTTAGCGCTCTATACCGGTATGTCGAGATGCATCGATATATAGTGGCTGGCACTAATTTATACTGGTTATACTAGCTACCGGTATCTGCCAGTTACCGATTTCGACCGGTTAATTGGTGCTAATGAACCGGCGATTCACCACCACCGTTGCATCCCTAGTTGCGATTTAGTCTTGCAATATGTCACAGATAGAATATAAAAGTGCACAATACTCCGATATTGTCCACATTATACTTGATTGTATTAGTATTGCCATACGAAAACTCTCTGAAAACGGGTGTATATAGGAAAATAGTACTAATTATCAATAAAGAGATGTGAAAACGACTAGTGAGACCAGTAACAGTATCTAGTGGGGACCGGTGGGATCGGTGACGGTTTCCGTCACTGTTGCACCCCTACTTGACCTTGTACTATCGTCTTGATATTATGCTGTATTATATAATACGAAAGAAACAAAATACTTTGAACAGCGAAACTACTTCAATTTCAAATCAAAACAAAATTCATTCAAAATCAAGAGAGCAAAATATCGCTATGAAGAAAATGTAACAGATAGTTAAAGAATTTTAAGAATTATTAAAAAGCACAGACCTGATAACAAAATGGCTACGTATTATGAAGGGCTGACAGATGGCAAAATTTATTTTAAGGATTCAATATACTTTTGCATGTAGGTATATCTGTGCAATTCTGAATGTATATTTATTTAGTTTAAAAGTCAATACTCTGATAGTAAAAATTTCTGTTTACATCCCATGTTACGAATACCGGATCAATTTTTGCGGTAAACCGCGGTATTTATCCGTTCTGCGGTAATGAGAGCCGGTAACCGGACCGGTAAAACCGCGGTTAACCGCCGATTTTCATGCGGTTTTTATTACATGGGATCCAACACATATTGACATTATTGTGACATGATGATTTTAGTGTATGAGAACTTTTTGAAAGCTTTCAGGATTTCCTTGAGCCTTTTTTTTACCTAAGCTGCTCTGCAAAACAATGTTCGGAAATGGGAAAAAAGAACATTTTAAAAAGTAAGTTCATATGACCTGTTAAACCATTATGAACGCCTGAGAGTAAAGTTACTCTAAGTTCCAACTGTGAGCAACTCATACATTCTGTTGATCTAGTATTCATTTCCTTTTCAAAGATAATAAAATATTTATAGGAGAAAAATACTTTTCTATTGTTCATATTAGATTTGCCTATCTGAAAGCTTTGCATTATTTATTTCATTGCATGCGTCAGAGAAAATCTTTGGGCATATATTCTAACATATAATTAATACGTTGAATTTAATGAAGGATTATTTTTGTATTATTTTGAATGATAAAATTTTGTTTTACAATGAATTGCATCAGAAATGTTGTTTTTTCAAAAGTCGCAGGAAGAGAATCCGAAGGTCTCTTAACATTCTTATCGACTTTTCAGATAATAGAATTCTATACGTCGTTTTTGACAACACATGCAATATACTATTTTTACTATTTCATAGAAATTATTTTTTTCGTAAGAAAAGAATATGTACAATATTCATTCTTTTACAGCAAACATAAAAAGTAGTAACAGACTAATGAAATTCATAAGTACATTATTGAGTAGTGTTTTCTAGACAGTGCTTTATTACAATAATTTGAAATAGCAATAATGCGTCATTGATCGATCTTTTCCAAATTTTCTTATTAGCATTCGCTATCAACTACAGAACGTGTAGCTCTATCAACTTGGCTGTCTATAGTATTATAGAATTCTTCTTTTTGTCAATAAAGAATAATTAAAATAGCTAGGTTTTTATTTTATTCAATATACTTAATTACATAACAACAAATCCATATACAGTGATTGAAAACAAATTCTATGAATTTTGCCACTCAAATTTAATTAGATTATCTTTTAGAAAAGAAAAAAGCATGTTCGATGCTCTATTCATGAAAATGATTTTAGTTGCGAGGATACGAGCTGAGTGAGTACAAAGATTTAGATTTTATTCTGCAAATTATTGTTCACTATATACGACTCAATACAATGAAATGAAATTTTTCGTGGCACAATATGATAAAATGTAAAATAATTAGCAAATATGTTTGTAAATTGCTGCATAGGGTCATGACTGTTAATTTGACATGTTTTAGTTCTATTCAAATCCGTTAATGTCAAATTCATAGGTTTTATAAATTATTACACTGTTGATGAATTAATCCGAAAGGTAATTCTCTGCAGAATGCTATATTATTGTTTTTCTCTCCCGTAGTGAACAAGTAATAATCGAAGATATTCTATGTCTCTCTCTCTCTCTGTCTCTTTTTAGTTATTAAATATATGTTGTATATTTTGTGTAAATCTACTTCATCATTTCAATAATGATATACTAGAAACCCAAACACTTTTTGTCTCATCTTTTTCTTTTTCAGATATAGTAGCCAGCAACATTAAAATTAATACTTTACATTCGTTTACCTTTTATTATAATTAGCTAAAAACAGTAAAACTCGAGAAAATTTTCGATTTTTATTTTCGTTTTTCTTGACATTATTCTTGAAAACTACTACTATGTTGCCTGATTACATCATTTTTATAACATACAATGTGGCAACAGTGTTGACGTATATAACTTTGAAATTTGCATCTTCTCGGATTTCTTAAATACTGCTTTGTCGACGATGATGCTGTTTTAGAGATTTAATTTTATGCCTCAATGAGATCTTTTATTTTGTTGTCATCTCGAGGCTTTCATGAAAGACTTTTCTCACATAGGTTTGAATCGCGAACTTCTTATTCGATTATGCACGGATTTTTTATTTGATGACACCGACATCCGCACGCCAAAATCAAATCAAGCGTTGAACTATGAAAAACAATTACTCATCGACTGTTTGAACTCACAACATCAATCCATCTTTTCTTCTTTACTTGTTGGCATAAACTCATTGAAAATTGGACCACGTAAATCAGATTCATACGTCTCACGAGAGATAAGTTTGTTCTTCGCATATACTATGATTCATTAGAAAAGTCTAGAAACGTAAATATTGTTGAATGCATATGCCTTGTGTGTAACACAGTATCTGTGACTGGATACTTTCATTTGAGTTATAAAAGTTGGATTAGTAATCGGCGAATGGCGCATCTACTTGAGTATTAGTAAATATTTTATTTTTCATATTGTCAATAAATACGGTACGCAAGAGCGATGCTTTAATGAAGTGAAATCACTAGAATATTGGTGAAGAATGGTGACATAATATTTTTGTAATATTTCTGTACCTAATAACGAGCTTGAATAACAATGAAAAAAGTATTCTTGTACGGCAGAAAAACCATATCAAACTCAAAGATTTCCTTTGCTTATTATCTCAAAGTTCGTTAACATGAAAAACAGTTTGTGTCAAAACAAATTGAAGCTACAATTTGTTTGAACTTCGCAAGAATTTCCAGTTGATTAGTTTCGAGATAAGTTCACTGTCATGAAAGGATTAGATCAAACGGAAAACAGCTACGTTGCAATCATTTTCTATTTCTTTCCTATCATCTGCTATCTAAAGATTACAAGCAGTGCAGTGCACACAAGAGAGAAATAGCCTTGAAGACTTTCTTGGATAGTAATCCAATACATACGTCCAATACAATCATTTTTATGTTCTATTGTTTGTTAATTTCAGCTGTGGCCAGAGTTTCAAAATGAATTCGAGTAAATTTGATTCACAGACCTCATGAGTAAATCAAATATAATTGCTGTCCTTTTTTGAAAGACGGTCTTTATTTAGTTTAACGAAACTTCAGATTTCGTTCTTCTTCCGTAAGATAAAGTGATTTTCTAAAATTTGATTCATGTACGCTTTGTTTCTAAGGTCATTCTATGCTGTTTTAACTTATTTTAACAATTGATGGTATCAGCTATTACAAAGTCAGTCAATTTGAATATCAAATTTTAATCTTCTTAAAAATATAGGGAACTACAAAATATTCTTGGTAATATTTTTCGAACTCAAACTAAAATAAGCATTTTTTATGAGACAAATATTTCTCAGTTAGACATGAAATAATTTGGAATTGAAAATATGATATATTTTCTGGCTTTTTTTACAATAATTATTTGTTGGTCATGAGTTTAGCTCTGAATCTCACGAAGAAAAAAAAACAGTTTGTTTTGTTTCTATTCGCATGTCACACTTGAAAGACAAATATAAACTTACTTAAAAGATGAACATCAAATTTTTGTTAATACAGTGCCGAGCAACTACGCGTGTTTCAAATCTAGTAGATTTTAAGCAACAAAAATACTAGATGTTTATTCAATGAATCATAATAGGCTAATAAGATCTGCAGAACATGCTCGATGTTGTCTGGTCGAAGTAAAATTTTGTAATAAAGTTGAATTTGTAAAGAAAACTATTAAAAATCAACAATTCTATCTCGTTCACTCGTTGCAAAACGCTACATATCATAAAATCAAATCATCTGGACCTTGTTTATGATATATGATCATAAAATAGAAGAATATCTATCGATAGATTTATCTTCAAGTGCTCGAATACTATTTGCTTTTCGTTGTATAAAATAGAAGTGAAAGAAGCGCATAGTTTTGATTCTTATTTTATAAAATGAAACGAAACTATCATCGTCTGCCAGAAACGGGTAGGAAACGACCATCAAATGTTATGCCCATTTTTATTGTTGCAAAACAACAGAACGGTCGCCGTATGAGCACATTTATGAATGCTCAACGTCGATCATCTATGATGTCGCAAATATCTTCACTACACGGTGCTGAATATCATCCACAACAAAGACTGCCACCGAATGGACTCGAGTCTCAACAAAACATTTTACTGACGAATAATATAACAACAATTCAGGAGAAGCCTGAACAGATTTATATAAATCAAAAAAAAGAACGAAAACCATCACAATATCGTTTCTTATCTAGACTTTGTTGTATTGTCGCCAATGAAAGTCAATATGCTCAAGATTTCAAACATATCTGATGTTTGACATGATCAATATGAGATCATACGATAACAGTCCAAAGGTGAAACGCGCAATTGAATTGCCATTGGAATTCAATTTTACTCTTCGGACGTTATTAAGTTATAACTTTCATTTTTTAATATTTCATCCAAAGACTAAATTTCTTAAAATTCGAATTTATATGCTTATTATTGATTTTTGTTTCAAATAAAAGTTTAATCAGTTCTTCTGTGTGTCATTTATTTATGTTTAGGAAACCATGCAAACACAGAAAAATAAAAACTTTGTGAGTACATACATAGATGTGAACCATAGTTCTGCATAGAAAATATTTCATTATGCTAAACAACGCATAATCTTAAATGGTTTATTTTTTATGTGTTTCTCTGAAAACACGATTGTCATTTTTCTTTATGGCCTACAAAACATGTCAGTCCTAAAAGCAAAATTGCTGATAAACGATTGTATTTCTTTTTCGATGATCTCAGCGTACTGTAAGAAATCTCTTGATTGAAAATATTATTATTCTTTTGCTTACAGATAAAACTCAACAGATTAATGATAATCTTAGATTTACATCAAGATTATTCCAACTTCTAGAGCATATGGGTTTAGGTTAATATCCATGAGTTTGAACGCCTTTGAAGATCATCCTACTAATACAATCGAATTTTTCAAACAAATTGCCAATTGAATTGTGTTAGATGTGCATGAAACTAACTATCTTGATATCACATAAATGAGTATGAACTGTTCGCATAGGTTTCAATTTCCATTTCAATCTTACTTCGAGCTTACACCCACAGCTCCAATCACGTCATCAAAAACATGCTGATCAATAGAAGCATAAAAGCTCTGATTTATAAACTGACTAGTACTCGCATTCGGACACGAGCCAGTAGAACAATTCTAATTTGTTCATTTGGCTACTAACCAGCGTGATTAATTTATATTCTACTTTACTCTTAGATCAGAAGGATATTGTTTTAAGATTTTTCAGACTTCGAAAAGCATCTCACAGAGATACATATTTAGAACACAAAAATCATTCGGCTGTATTTATGTTCAAGTAAACGAAAACAGATATTCATATTACGATACAACAATCGATCTAGAAGTTTTTAAGGCATATACTCATTATTTTTTATTCAAAAATGTCTGATAAATATGATCCACGAGTGTAATAATCAAAACAATGAATCTCTTGAAATTTGTACATTGCTTTTTAACGGAAAATTTTGAATAATTATCAAAGTACGAAATAAATCACTTACAATTAAATCTGATAGATACTTCGAAAAAAAGAATTTAGAAGCAATTCATTGTTATTTTTATTAAGGACTCATAATTTGCAGCAAAATGAAATACTCTTCTCTTCACTTAAACGTATATTGTATTCTATACGTTTTCTCGCAGAGATCGGAAGGAAATTCCAACCATTTCCAAGTGGTCGATGGAGGATTCAGCTTGGCAAGAAATGTACTTCTATATTTATCATATATTGTTCTTCATCATACATTATTTATGATGAAAATAGAATTCTCAAGAAGAATATTTTATCTTCTGCACATCGGTTCGGAATCCAACTTAATACCGGTTTTTTTTTGACTCAAAGATTCCTTGTAGTAAATGTCGGCATGTCTCTTTTCTCACTTATTAGTTATGCTGAACTCGTGGTGTTTTAATACATCTAGATATTTTTCTATGTCATACTCATCTTTGGTCATAACCCAAAATTTTTTAGATGAAACCCCAAGTAATACATGCTAGGATTGTTAGATAATTATTGACAATTTTTAAATATCAATACATCACTATATTTGTTAACTTCTTCAATCTAGTGAATCATTTTCATTTGGTTCGAAAAAAAATACTGAATGACCTTTCGTTGGTTGCTACAATGTAATGTCAAAAGGATCATTAAAATATACTAGCAAGTAATTTCGTCAGAGCATTAAAAATGTTTTTGAGCTGGTATGATTCACTCGTATTGTGCCACAATTTCAAAAAGTCATTTTTTGTTGCAGTATGATACAGTAGATTTTTCTTATTCTGTCATTTCAATACGTAAGTTATTGCGGCATGACAGAATTCATTGCACTGGTGTTGCGACATCTAAAATGTTATTAAGAAAGAATAGCATTTTTAAAGGGTTGATTTAATTCTAATCTAGCATAGAATTCAGTCGCGTTTCGGCAGGAGTAAACATTTGCAATGGCTCTCGAGAATGAAATTCTTCAAGAACTTCAGCAACTATCTGTAGAAAAGCACAAACATGAAACAAAAACGACTTTTCATCCAAAATATGATTCAATGTATTATTCGAATCTGATTTGGAATTCTTCGTCTTACGAAGATGTCGCACAAATTCAAGTAGCTTTAATTCCAGTTGAGAATGACGACCAACGTGATCTATTTGATTTCATTCGGCATACGATTTCATCAATGCCACAATGTCAAATACCAGGTCGTGTTCTATCGATTTTGGTGCACGACCAACGTTTGAATCGTTTTCTCGGGATTATTCAACTTACCACTGACTTGTTGAAAAGTGAATTCAAAGACGAGTTCATCGGTTTCGATGAAAAAAAACGAGGCCCACTGAAGAAACATATTCGTGACCATTCTGCTAATTTATCGATCTGTGTACCTGTACAACCTTTCGGATTCGATTTTTGTGGTGGAAAACTATTGGCTATGCTCTCTTTCTCCACCGAACTTCATGACCTCTATCAACGACGTTATTCGAAATCTTTAGCCTTGATCACAACAACATCAATCCATGGAAAATCCATTCAATATGATCGATTAAAACAATTGAAATTTATTGGCTATACAAAAGGCTATGGTACTAGTCATATTCCAGCGTCACTCATGACCAAAATAAATACTTTTCTAGATTTAAATTATCCGAAATTCAATGTTAAAAAACAATCGAAATGGCAAGCATTACGATTTCTTACCAATCAATTGAATATCGATAGTCATCAAGTGTTCAATCATGGTAATCAGCGTGGTATTTACTGTGGTTGGACTGGAACGAATGCCAAGGAATTTCTTTTGAGACAAAGAACCGATTTTAAGAAGGATCAACTTCAATCGGTAGATGAGATCGCAACATTCTGGAAAATAAGATGGGCTAAACAGCGTTCTGCACATTTGAATAGAGATAAAACATAAGAATACTTCAACGTAATTAATGCTGATATGGATTTTCGCCTATTGCAGCTCGTGCCACTCAAAGGGCCCAATTACAGGAGACATCTTTATACAATATGCAATGTTCAACAAACTTACAGAGATAAAAATTATCAAGTAGTATTATTCGGTTACTTATTTTTCTATGAAAAATTTACATCATTTTCAGCGAGAATAATTTTAGTAATTTTTGGTTTTGGTTTCCTAAAAATAACTAAATTACTTAGTTTATTGAAAATAAATGTACATGTATATTATGAACAAGCATTCAAAGAATTATCTAATAGTGCTATTGTTGTGAAAAGGATCATTTTTTTTTATGTGAATGTATGAAGAAAAAGAGCAGACCCTAGATGTAAATTTTTTTTTCTCCGATGAGAAATGAACAAAATGAATTCTAGATTTTGATGACCACAAGTTGAAACCAGTTGTCATTTTTCTTGTTAGAATACTTTCATATGCCTTGTTTCATACAATATGATGTCCTTCTATAGACGACAATCTATATGTATTTACCAATACATCATTTTCTGAATCTCTTTTTGTATATGTCGATCCATACGTTGTTGGCAAGGGCTTTTTATGAGACAGTGCGGATGGATATTTGTAACAATATTCTATTGAATATCGAAATTACACTAACTCACACATTTTGGAGAAAAAAATCTTTCAAGTACATAATGCTAAAAGATGGACCTGAACAGAGAAATTATCAAAAGAAAATATATCGAATAAAAAGATTTTTTAATCTAAAATAGAAAAAAAAGACAACCTAGAGCCTATGTTTACACTTTGGCTAATGTTGATAGACTTTTTGTTGTGCATATGTATATTCTTATTGGTTTCATCTCTCTCTATTTTCGTTGATCGAATTTTCCATGTTATCATTGGTTTCACACATTTTATGCTGACTACATAAATCAGTATTGGATCATTTGTCGTAAAAATGTATTGTTTAGTTAATTCTGCTTTTCATGACAATAAATAATTCTTTTGTCAGAAACAACAATCAAGAATGTAATCTGATGAAGATTTTCCTTTATTTGATAGAGCAAATTGATAAAAAATGCAGCAATAAAAAATTTCTAACACCTTCCTTAAATCTTCAACATATTGTTTTTCTATATTTCGTTTTCAGTTTTTCAACATTTCGAAAATTTTCTAGTCAATATCTGTGATAGTAAAGAATCGTCACTAAACAATCTATTTTTAATTTCAATACTTTTCTCCATTCAGATATGTATGCTTGTTTTATTGTTAAAAAGAAACGAAAGGGGTCAACTTAATATACAAACACGCACACTCATTCAAACTCTTAACCAAATAAGCAAACCGCAGAACAAAATATTGAAATAATAGCAATAAGAATGAAATATACAATAATCAAATAGGAAAAAAAAGGATAAGTATTAGAGTTATATAATGAGTAGAAAAAGAAAAAAGAAAAGAAAAACATAATGTTTTTATTGTAATTGTTTTTTGTTCTTTGAAACGCTTGCACACGACTAGCTTAACAAGATGTTAGTTAATGGTTTTGCGACTAGTTATTTCATGCATAACATAATAATAGAAATATATCTTAGATCATAATACAACCACCTTTGCGTTTCTTCTTTCGTGCTAATGCAGCTCGTGCTGCATGTTCAAATACTTCACGTACACCTTCTTTTGTCTTCGCTGAACATTCAAGATAGCCAACTGCACCGATTTTCTCAGCCATATTACGTCCTTCTTCACTACGTACAGGTTCTTGTTTCATTTTCATTAATTCTTTTTTTGTTGCGTCATCATTACGTAGATCTTTTTTATTTCCAACAAGTACAATAGGAACATTAGGGCAAAAATGTTTTACTTCTGGTGTCCATTTCTAATGAAAATTATTTTTTATATTAAGATAATTAATCAATACAATATATATAATTTACCTCAGGAATATTCTCAAGACTGTCAGGACTATCAATAGCAAAACACATGAGAATAACGTCTGTATCTGGATAGGATAATGGACGTAAACGATCATAATCTTCTTGTCCAGCTGTATCCCAGAGTGCTAATTCAACTTGTTTTCCGTCAACTTCAATGTCAGATACATAATTTTCAAAAACAGTTGGAACATATACTTCGGGAAATTGATCTTTACTGAATACAATTAATAAACAAGTTTTACCTAGAAAAGCAATCAAATAAAGATTTCTAATCAAAAAGAAAGTTTTATTTTTTATTTTTTAAAACTAACCACAAGCACCGTCACCAACAATAACAAGTTTTTTTCGTAAAGCAGCCATTACTTTAATCTAAAATATCAATAATTTTTTGATTGATTATATATGAAGGAGAAGAAAACAATAACACTTGAGATAACACGGAAACTGTACAGATACCATTGATTCATATATTTTAACTCTTATAGGATGTTATATTCATTTTTGTCTTTTTATTTTTTCTTTTTGACATGTTAGTAAACAACTTTTAACATTATTTATCGATATTTTTAAATCAAAATTTGCAAATAAATATCGAATAGTTGATAATAGATGTCACTATACACCAATAGATTATTTGCCTGGAAAGAGTGAGCGAGCTGTAATAAAATTCATATAGCATAATAAAATTATTCTCACTAGTTTGGAAAAAAACGAAATGTTTTTCCTTCTTACTATGCCGATCAATCAAACTAGTAGCTTATTTTATTATACTATGAACAATAAGATAATAATGTGTAAAATATGTCATTATGTGCGTCATATCAAGATTCAAATGTCAGAAACAAGATTATGTGCGCATCGTTAACTGCGAAGGAAAAGTATATATATATACCATTTATATGACACAGGAATAGTAAATTAAAGGAGAATGTCAGAAAATTATATTTAACTCTTTCAATTAGTTCCATCCATTATTATCAATATATTCGATGACAAAAAAAAGCCATCAAAACACTGTGATTGTGTTGCGCTTTACGAAACATGCTTTGAGTTCATGCACATGTATATAAAAGTACTTATATTTGACTAACATTCTGATGCAAAACATAAGCGAAATCATTTTTCTATCCATCCATTATTTCCCTTAGCATGTATTTGTATCTCTATGTGGTCTTTCTGTTGTATCTTTGATACTACTGAAAAAGAGAAAGAAACAACGAGAATAGTGTTGATGAATGGTAGCTTGAGTATCAAGGACAGAAGATTTTTTTTGGTGCTAATGAGATTGATTGACACATTACGCACGCACAATAAGATTGACATATCAAACGATTATCTTGTTCATGTTTTATCACATATGTTGCGGCAATGATGCGGATGGATTCGCGGTTTTCCGTACGTAGGTAAGATAAAGAATATGGATTTTATTTCGAATAATATCATAATAATTATCATGATCTTAATCATGTAAACATTTATCAATTCAATTACTTGTTTTTGTAGTCTTTTGAAGCAGATCGATTTTTCCTTTTTGTTAAACATTTTCCATTGAATTTGTCTTTATGATTTGTATTTTAGATATATCATTCGATATTTTAAACTCGCCATTTATAAATAAAGAGAACAAAAGTCAGTAGTATTATCAGGCATATAGCCATATAACAAATCGCATTCGTAGCTACCAATATATGTATATATATGTAGATATAATGATTTGTAGGAGAATATCAATGATTTATACATATATTCTTCTCACATCTGGAAAAGCAGATAGATAGTTAAATCATATGTTGTACGAGTTTTTTTCCTTTGTGATTCTTATTCTTTTTTTTCACTAGATAAAATGTTTGTTTTCTTTTTATCAATTGTTCATTTAACATTAAGTCAAGATCCTACTGCTTCATTGATATTTTCCGATTGCAAACATTTAATCTTGCCACCTCTTTGTCAATGTTATCATTCAGGTGATCAATCTCAACTACGTTGTCATAATATACAATTGGAGTCCATACCAAAATTACCGAATAATATGCGTTGGAATGCATTAGACTTTTCAGTAAATCATATAAAATCAATTGATAGTTATGTATTTTCTGATATATACGTTGAAAAATTAAATTTAAAATTAAATCATCTTCAAACAGTTGATGCAACCGCATTTAATCAAATAAAAAATGTAAAGCAATTATATATTGACCATAACACATTAAAAGAATTTGATCCCAAAACGTTAACTTCTCCGGGCGTTAGTTTAGGTAAAATTTAACATTTGTTTTTTGCATAGCTTCACAATCTGGTTTTTCTTTAAAGAAATTTTCGATATATCTTATAATCCATTGGAATATTTGGATCTTGGCGAAACATTTCTTCAACTAACAGTCTTACAAGAGTTTTACGCTGTATCATGCCAATTAAATAATACAAGTTTATTTACACTATCAAAATTAACTCAGCGTCATGATTATGTAAAAATAATTGATTTAAGTCATAATAATCTAACCTCATTATGTAATAATTTATTTAATAATTTTTACAATTTAGTTGAAATTCGTCTTAATAATAATAATATTCATTTAATTGATCATTCTTTTATTCGTTCACTTGAATATATTAGAAATTTAAATTTAGCATTTAATTCAATTGAATATGTTCCTAATTTATATAGTTCATCGCTTGAAAACTTAAATTTATCATCAAACAATATTCAATATTTAAATGATTATTTTGGTTCACATCTTCGTTCAATACGTATAATTGATTTTGATTCGAATAAATATCTAAGTTCAGTGTCGTCACGTTCATTATGTTTTATAAATATTTTAACATTAAAAAAACTCTCATTTCGTTTTACTAATATTGTTTTATTAAATGCGTTTTCAGAATTATTATGTCGTTTAGTGGATAATAATAATCGTGAAAGGATTCTTGATCTAAATCATAATACTAATTTAAAATGTGATTGTATGTTAGTGCAATTTGAAAAATATTTAATCAATTACTTTGATTTATCATGCATACAACAAGGGCAAGACCGATATTTTATATCGAAAAGAACGAATGAATTTTCATATTGTACAAGAGATTTTTGTCAAAAACAAAAACGAGAAAATCTATGTGATTGGACTAATGCAGAGCAACTGATGTTAGAAGGAACATGTCATGGTAAATTAAATGAAAAAGAAAATTCAACAAAGAACGAAACAGAATTCATAAACATAACAACAATAACTCTAAATGTATCGGATATTATTATTCAAAATTCAACCGTATTCTATAATCAAACATTAAAATCATGTGTACTATCGATTAAAACAGTAGATTATATTTGCCTTTTTGTTTCATTATCTCTATTGTATATTAGACATTCCATAGGTTTTTTAATAAAATAAACAATAGATGTTGATTCTCTTTATACAGAACTAATCATTTTTTTAGTGATAAGTTTCGATGTAGAAAAATATCGTGTTTGCTCAAGAACATGCACTCTGTAATGACTTTTCATCTACGTAAGAAGATCTTTATAAATTTCCGCTTGACCTATTCCTCTTGTGCGTAATAAATGGAACACTTAACTTGCTTAATGATGTTTCTGTAGTATTTTGTCATGTCGGCTGAGATAAATAATACTGACACATGCCTTGATATTGAGTCTATTAAAATGGAGATGGAAGGACTTTTTGTTTTCTTTTCTCTTCGCTTATTGACATTAATCGATATTAGTTTTTTCTTGAAGAATATTTGTCGAATATCAACATAAAATTCTTGTCAAATTCTACTTAGTTTTTTATAGATATTGATGTTAATCAATAATGACAGAAAACTCATAAGATTGAAACCTGAAAGAACAAGGTATCAAACAGAAGATGATAAATAGAAAATAGATATAGATTTTGTTCTCACAAATAAAACATCAGTACTTCCCATCGATATTAACTTTGATTCAAATCAATAAGCTAGTTAGGATAGTTAAAGAATTCTTAGTTATCTTAAATTTAAAACTTTTCAATCGATTGCAAGTTTTGTATCCCGTTTAATAGAAACATATTTGTACATTATCATTTACAGTGAAGACTATGAAATTATAAGTGTCATACGTCGAACAGTTGTCAGAGATTAAAACTCATTTCAAATTATTCATAGACACTGAATAATTGATTCGTTGTTGTTTTTTTTTATTAAAAAAAGCAATTAATCTAATAAAAATAAAGATTTTATTTTTTAGTATCTAATAATTCTTTTAATTTCATATGTTCAACATTATTTGGTAAACCCTGCGATTGTAATTTTGTCCATTGTGGCCAAATTTTTGCTGGATATATATTAAAATCAACAAAAGCTTTAACGTACATTGTATCTTGTTGTACGTAGCCAAATTCTTTATTAAATATTCTCCATAGGGGGCAAAATTCTGGTATTCCACCACTTTTGTTAGCATCCATTTTTGGCTGTTTAAAAGATTCACTATCTAAATCAGGTGTTACCGTATGAACTACATGATCTTTTTGTGCACTTCGATCATACAAACATAATGTGATCGGGTATTTAAATGGCCAATCCAGTAATGAATCACATTCGCCACGCATCATTGTTACGTATAAAGATAAATATTTGTCTTGTGTAGTTTTATCACCGTTTAAATATAATTTTAATGATAATCTATAACCATATTTTGATGTATAGAATGAAGGAGAAACAATAAATAATGGTTGTGAAGAGTTTTTTGCATTACGAAACAACTGTTGAATATTATCAATACGCCATAAATATGTTCCATCATTGTGAACCGAAGATTTTGATAATTCAAATTCTTTTCTTAATTGATATAATTCACCTTTAAATAATTGTAATTCAACAGATACACGTGTTAAATCACGTTCACGTTTTAAAAGTTTTGATTGAAGAGATTTTTCTTCTAAACGCAATTGTTCAATTATTTGATTTTGTTGAATAAGTTCATTTTTTACTGATTGAATAATTCCATTTTCAGATATAGATGTTGAAAAAGAATGTATGGATACTGGTTGAGAATATATAGGCATTGGTTGATTTTGTACAGACGAAAACATTCCAGCAAGTATTTTCAAGTGCTCAACCGACGACGACACAACATGGTCTTCAAGAGATTCACGACGAATCTAAAAGACAGATGAATAAAGCTATTATTATTATGAGAGATAGAGTTGATCAAAATTTCTCATGGTGAATATTAAATACGTCAGAGCTCACCATGTTGGTTTATTTCATAAAGATGGGAAAATATATAAATAGTTTAGATGTAATTATCTAAAGTTTCAACTCTGTTGAACATGCCTTTCTCCTATGTTAACTATAGAACACAAGTCTGAGTATAATTCAAATTCAAAAAGATTTTCTCTATAAATTTTAAATATTTCAACAACTATCAGGCTTTTTCTATAATGATGTATTGGAATTTTTGAGATTAGACTGTCTTCTTACTTAACATATGCATCATTACAAAAACGACGAAGTATTTAGAAAAGCAAGTAGGCTATAATATACATTAGATCATGAAATCAACTTTTAGTAGAAATTCTAAAACAAACTCTACAAATTCGAACTCTATTTATTGTTCTAGTGCTATGCCTTAACTAATAGTTTGAACACATACCATATGTTCTTTCGTTAAATAGCTTATCTGCACTGCCCCATTGATTCATTAGAACTGACTATATTTCATTAAATAATCACTATTTTAAAACTTTTCAATGGCAAATACGATTTGTTATTTAGTTTTTTACCTGACTATCACAGCCATATTTCTTTAATGGACACGAAATAAGCACTTTTGGACATAACTGATAATGTTGTTCATAGGAAAGTCGATTAGTGAAATGGATTGCACAAAATTCACATTGAATACGTTGAAATGTACACACTTGTAAGTGTTCCTCAATAAAAACAAAAGGGAAAAGACGGTGAGTATTTACGAATCGTTTCTATTTCTTTGTGAAATTAATATAGAAAATTTACTTTGTAAGTTATATAGTTACCCAACCAAGAGCAACCATTTGATTTATTCGAACACATGACGTCGGTTAAACGTTTTAAATCGTTCTCGATACCAAAATCTGTATAGACCTAAATAAAATAAATTCTCATCTATCATTTGGTTACATTTTTGTAAAGCGTTTTACTTCATCATTAGTAATAGTTTGACCACACTTATCTACAATACACATTGTCGATGGATCATTTCTATACGAAAATTTAAAAAAAACATTGATTTAAAAAAAAAGAAAATACAATATAGAAAAATGATTATACTCAATAATTTTTTTCAAACACAACGAACAGTATCGATGCCCACAAGTTATCACTTTGGGTTCAATAAGTAAACAGTGACAAGCTGAACATAGAAAATTTTGTTGCATTTCTAATGATATGGAACGAAAATTTAAACCAACAATCATCGACATTCTCTTCCTATTTCAGAAGTTTAATTTGTTTCCTCTATAACTAACAATAGTCGTCAAATTTAGCCATTCAATTTCATTCAAACTATCCTCCTTCATGAATCATCACCATGGTATTCATTCATGCATTAAGGAAGGAAAAACAAAGTCATATATTTAATAGCTGATAGGCTTCATTTATTTTTTCTTCAAAAATATCTAACTTTAACGTAACAGAAGCTTTTTGTTTTGTTATTTCCCAAGGGTATAATGCATCGTTTTTAATTTTTATAAATTAAAGGTCACTACACTTTTTTCTTTTTTAAACACTTCAAAAATGTCACGGCGTATGATGTCATAAAGTCAGTAATCGATAGTTCATGCACATGTATCACACAATGAAACCTACACGTTTCTACTTTTATGGAAATCATTTAGAAATACTTCTAGAATATCATAGAACTAAAACATTTAAAATACTAGTAGCCATAAAGTCAGAAGGGAAATTGATTTTGCAACGAAAATTTTTGGTACATTTTAGATTTATATTGTCCTTGCCATTTGAGTAGAATAGAAGGTCATTTTATATTTTTGATACAACGAAAGAGAAGAGAAAAGAAATTTTTTCGATAGATGCTCTACCTCAATTTACGAAAGTATAACTTGATGCTGAGATGAAACCTTATATGTTTATAGATGTTAAATCATAAATTAATGATTCCCTTTTCTACAGAATTTCATCATTATTCAGCGTATTATAGAATATATTTTATATTAACTATTTATTGATTAAAAATTATGCGTCAAATTGCGGAACATGTTGCTGTTGTATTCATTTTTTCATTGGGTAGAAATAGTTCACTTTAAATATTCTTTGTCAGATAGATACGTTTTGAGATGTTTGACCTTGGGATGATTCTTTTTGCTTTTTATTATCTTATTCGACAGCATTAACACCCAGATAGACAAATATCATTTTGTTTGTCAGCTTTTTCTATCACTCTCTTTATCTGCCCTCATTTTGCCCCATAATTGGCTATAAGCCAAAAGCAAAAGTGCAGGTCCGACAATTTCAGACCAAGTAATTGTGCGACAAATTAAATTGGATGCTATAATAGAACGACAGTACTCACTAAATATGGATGTTCGTCACTCTTATTTCATCAACGACAAAGCGTGAATTGATTCTGTGCTGTCCGCTCATATCTTACAGCCACATCAATGGGCTAATATATTTAATATGTTGAATGCAATGTAGAAATATTAAGGATGTTTTACTCGTCGACATTCATTTTTCTTTGCACTTTGCATATTTCTTTCTTTCTCGTCTGTAAACCTATACGTAACGGCAATGCAATAAAACTCGCGAAAGAAAAACGATAGCAACCATAAGAATAAAAGCGAATAAATAGAAAAAAAAGAAAAACGACGGATACAGGGTTCTTAGTGTACAAAATAATCTAAGGCAACTAAGTCATGAATCTGTAGGCAATCATTTTGAATATCATGGAAATTCAAACACATTGCCAAATCACCACTGCACAGCACAAAAACAAATGCACCGATACAGTAAATATAAATATAGTACATAGAAAACAATGCGACTAGTTATGTAGACTAATAAAATGTTTGTTTTAAAAGATTCATTACGAAATCGTTGCTAAGCACTGATATGGATCGATAGAAACGGCAATACTATTTTTTAAAAAGTGCGAACGATCAAAAGAATCATAAAAGAGAAAAGAAGTAAAAGAAGAAAAACGAATAGAACGAGAGAAGTCGTTGTCGTTCTGTGCACGCGTTTGTGGGGTTGACAAAAGGGGCAGTGCGTGCGTTTCGTCGAATAATTAACATATCATCAACAATTACACATCAGCTAGTTATTTTCGAAAACTAAAATACTACTAAAATTTTACTTCCTCCTCAATTTATTTTACAAAATATGGAAACAGATGTAAACAGTATGCATTCAAAAGAATATTCTCTTGTTGAAACGAAACGTCATAAACCATGTTTAATATATCGTGGTCATCGTTATGTACAAGATAAAATACAAAATCGTACTATTTATTGGCGATGTGAAGATCGATCACATTGTAATGGTCGTGCGCATCAACTAATTGGAAATGGAGCATTACCTATTTTAACTATAAAACATAATCATCCATCTATCGTTGAGGATTTATCAAGGCATGACATTGTATCAGTTGACAGTCATCGCCGTCGCAAAAGACAAAATCGAAAAGTATGTTCTTATCATCCGCAACACAAGAGTAAGTATATAAACGTATTTTAATCGAATAATCTCGTGATGATATGACATAAATAGAGCAATAAAACGATGCCCAATATGACGCTTGTCAATAGATGTAGAAGGGAGATTTATAAAAGACAATATGTAGATCAGTTTTACTCGCAAAAACCGATCGTTCATTAAAAGAAGAAGAAGAAGAAGAAGAAGAAAAACAGAAAGATTCTGTGTTTGCCCTCGTGCCATGCGCACATATATATTTATGTGCTTATTTGAACTTTTGTTTATACCAATGATGTAATACAGCATTGCATATTTCAGTATTGGTCTAGAATAGTTTTGTTTTTCAAAATGAAATCATTCATGATTTTCATTTTATACAAAGGATATAGTAAAACCGATTTACAAATGTACAAAGTCATTTTTTTACGTTAAATTACAATAGTGATTATGAAATACTTGAAAAGATTAGCACAACATAGTTCACACTTTTGGTTGCTATCAGAATGAGTCTTTGTAGTCAAAAAACAATACATGTTTCATAACCTTCCACTTGTTTCCAATCGAAACAGATGCATACGCTTACGTGTCATGGCGAAAAAGTCAACAAAAAAAACATGTTTTTGGTCTCCATGGAAGTTTTTGTTATATTATTTATATGTGTAAATTTAAAAAAAATTTTCACGTTCTATGTATTAGCTCATCAATTTCTATTTTCTATGTAAAAGTAAAAATTTTCTGTCCCAGTAAATTCCTTATTGAATACCAATGAAGTTTTTAATACTCAAAATGTTTTATATTTTATTTGTTTCTCGTTACAACATTCGTAAATAATATTTTCGATGCCATTTATTTCGTAACTAATAAAAACAAGGAGTCTTTTTGATACTGACGATTTTTAACCAATATAGAAATCTTGATGTGCCGACCCAACCAACTTGGACGACTTCAGTACGAACAACACCGACGTCGGCTATGTCTCTTCTTTTCCTCCTTTTTATACGAGGTTTCTTTCGTTCGCATTTTTATATGTAGTATGTTGCAGGCAAAGACATGCTTGCTTGCTTGTTCGATGTAGAAAAAAAGAATAGGGAGACAACGAGCGATTGAAAAGGGTAATCATCAGCATTGCTATCGTTATCGAGAGAATGAAAGAAAGTGCAGACGGGCTAAACCCTTTTCGCAACCCTTTCACCATCGTGATGTTGGCGATGAAAGAAAACGGCGAAGGAGAAAAAGCAGAAAACTTACTATGCTTACATAATTTGGCGTGAGTTTTACCAGTGAGAATAAGAATTATATCTCGGAAAATAGACCATCCTGTTAGTTATCAGTTGCGTCATATAGAATCTCTTTTTTTTATCGTTTTCAGCTTAATATTTGTCACGACAAATTGATAAGCACATGATAGTATCACAAAAGACACGACCCGAGAATTTTCATGAGTACTCTAATATTTCAAATAAACATTGACATCGATAAAAATCTATCATTATATAGATGATCTTCTATTTTCAACTACCTCATCAATAATGACATCAACGATTAAACTAGAAAATTATCAAAACAAGCAGCAACGCTCACAACAACAACAACATGCAACTATGGTCAAAAACCTTCATTTGTCCGAAGTAATTACAACAGCTCAACCTGCAAACATACCTCGTTGTAATGGTATCAATGAATATCTTCACAATATGCCTGATCCAAATGAAATGACAAAATTGCTTAGTAATATCACAACAACATCAACAAATTATTCGTTGAAGAAAACTTCGGCATCACCAACAATAGATTATCCAAGCCGTTTAAATCATTTCTCTTGGGAAGAAATCGAAGGACGGTATCTACCAGTTATCTATAGGTATTCATCATATTTTGTTTTTCTTTTCAACAAAAAAATGTTTACTATTCAGTAAAAGAGTACCATTTAAAACAGAGAAAATCTCTTCTAATTCAAATAGCAAGAACATGTCTATTTGAATTGAAAAAAAATGAATATGCTCTCTTTCATATTAAAACAACTATTAGAATCATGATTGGAAAATTTCGATTTTTCTATGAAACACGAATTTTGCATTGAAGGCAATGAAACATAGTTGTTAAAAAAATAAGAGTAATATCGTTGAGATATTCATTTAATTGATAACTAGAAATATTAAATTCGTTTTTGTTTCTCGATAATTCTAGACATGAACATGGTATTAATCAACGTTATATATCGAAAATGTATGTTGAACATACTTTATTTGAAAGTGAACCATGGCAACGGCATACACTCTTAGCTCGTTCACTACCACCGCTTGTATCCTATTCCTATACTGAAAATGAACTTAAATTATTTCGTTCTATTATTGAATGGCATTTAGCAAGTTTTCATTTTAAAACAATACCATCGTCTGATTGTCTTATATGTTTTGAAGATCTCTTGGATTTTTATAATAATCTACGTAAATTACGAGATAATATCCCAACCGCAGCCACAACAACAACGACATTCAATCGACCTATAGCTCCATTACCGCGGCCATCTCCGCTACCGCTTAAACCAACTATCGCACCATCTCAGTCATTCGAATTACCTACACAAATAATTTCATTTGTAAAAGAACAACCAAAATCTCATTTATTACCACAAAATGCAGATATTTCTACACAAATGAACCGAGGTCAAACACAAATAGTAACAACTCAAAAAATTTCAAAAGAATCTGGTTGGGTACAAATTAATAACGTTTTCATTCCTTACATTGTTAAAACAAAGCTACGCGAAAATGAATTAAATAAATGCCATACACGTCAACCAGCGCCACAATTACAACGTGAATTCTATGTGCCATATGAAATTCTTATTAAATGTAATATTTTTTCTGATAGTGAATTTTCATTAAAAAAACTTCTCATCAAAGCTACGCAACAAGATTTTGATATATTAAATAATCTTATTACAAATATTAATATTTTCGATGAAAAAGTGCCAGAAAAAATGTTACTAGTTAATTTATATCATGTTATGGTAGGACTCAATCGAATTTTTTATGTCAAATTTTTACCAACTAAACAACCTCGAACACAAGTGAATAAATATCATATTGAAATATTAACACATAAAGGTGGTAGTCTACTTATGAATGGAAATAAATTAATACCATATATTGTACAAAATAATCGTTTCTATGTACCACTGCTGTATACATTTCATTCATTACCAAATATACTTTTACAAGCTAAACGAGGTGCACGTGCACCAAGACAGCATGAAATTGATTATTTAAATTTATTATTGATTTATTTTTCAATTGATACACAACCATTAACATTGGATACATTACTTGTTGATATATACAATATAAAATGTTCAAATTTACAAACACCTATTCACTATCGAACATTATATGAACATCAACAACATGAAAAAAATAAATTATTAAATTCAATAATTCGTAGTACACAACCACAAAAAACAACAAGTGCGTAAAATTTAAGTTTCAGCTCTTTTTTTTATAATTTAATATAAAATTATTCTTTTCAGATGGATCATCATCAGTGTCGTCGTCGTCGTCGTCGTCATCATCATCATCATCATCATCATCATCACCAAATAAAACAAATAAATATCCATTAACAAATGTTGTTGTCAATCCAATGATTCATCATCCATCTTTTTATGGCTTGACAACTTCTAAACCAGTTCTATCCGTACCAAAAATAGTAAAGCAACCTGAAATAAAAACTATTATCTATGAAAATCGTGTATTAAATGCTATTGCTAAATCACCTGATTTATCAGTGGCCGATTGGAGAATATCTTTGAAAGAAATTTTTCAAAAATTTTCGATTCATATCGATTATCAAAAATTTATTCAATGGTGTCAAACAAATTTACTTTTACCATTAATTAAAATGGACGAACAAGAACATCAAATCATTAAAAATACTAAGAACGATGATGATTATTATGTTTATCAACGTAACCTTGATCGTTGTGTTGAACTATTAAATGATATTACACGAGGTTCTATTAGTATGACTTTATTATCAACATCGTCCTCCACAGTATCAACATTAGATTATGAATCACAACAACAGCAATCCATGATTCAATCGTCATTAGCAGGTATTTTTATTTTTGAAGTCTATAGGAAAGTATTTTTTTATCATCTCTCGAGTGTTACTTTGGTTTTTAAAACTTTACTTAAAAGAAAATCTATCACAATTAGATGTGTAGACAAACTGATGAAATTTCACTTCGACATATTCATATCGATTTCAGGTGCTAAAAAACGTAAAACTACAGTGCCAACAACTCGTCATATATCACCATCGCCAACAACAATCAAAGAAATGAATCCATTAGCAAGTTCCATCCCTCAAGAAATCGAACATTCATCTTCAGCAGTACCAGCACCTGAGGAAATAACTCTTTCAGTTACTAATGAGATTTCAGTAAAATCTCTAAATGATCAAATAACATGTCAAATAGTCAGTGTTGACGATGATGATGATGGTATGATGCCAGTTGTAGCATCTGTTGAAGAAGAACAACCACTTGAAGATTCAGATCAATCAGAACCCGATACATCATTTGTATTTGTTGATTCAACTGATTGTAATGATGAAAAAATTCAATTGGATGATAGAATTCTATCATGTTCATCTGGTTATGAATCGTCTGCAGCATTAACGAATATTGATATTAATGTGCATGAACATGACGAAGAAACAAATTCAACAATAAATTCGAGAGAAAATTCATCATCATGTATATCACCAATATCACAAAAATCTTCCATGGTATCATCGAAAAATCAAAATAAAATAAATAGAAAACGTCAACGCAATAATAATGGAGGATCACGATCACGTTCACTAACATCACGGAATGTTAAAAGGCAGCGCTCCATAAATGAACATTCACCACTAGTAAGTATCATCACTAAGGATAAAATTGAACAACATTTAAAAACTTTGTTCATGTCATCAAATGAAAAAAAACGTCCACGTATTAGACCAATAAAAACATCAACAACAAATCATACTATTGAAAATGTCAATGCAAATACAAATAATGATAATTCAGTGAAGACGATTGAGCAAGATACAAATGTTTTTGACATTCTTTCTTCATCGATTACAGGTGAATCAATAATAACCGATGATGATCCAACGCAGAGTCAATCGTGCACATATAATGTTGTTATAACAGACAAACCTAATAAATTAGGTTTAACCATAAAAAAAATTGCTCAATCATAATATTAGATGTGATACAATCAGAGTTTTTATTATTGCCAACCAGTCTTTATTGATGTTAACGAAAAAAACTAAAAAAGAAATCTGCTGTTGCCCGTCCCATCAATTATGTCTCTGTGTGTATATATGTTGTTTGTTGTTCTACTTGATAGATGGACAAACAGATCATATTGATTATTATTTGTCTCTGTATGTTTTTCTTTTTTTCCGATGATAGTGCAGCCAAATAAGCAAGTTATATGTTTGAAATAAAATGACTATAAGATTTTGATTCGTATGATTATATCTATTGTGTTGCTATGCATAATATTGGGATTGTATAATTACATCAATAGATAAGTACGCATTACCAAGCATTATATAAATACATCCAGTTTGTCAAAAATTTAAAGATAGCAAAACTTTTCAGATTATCTGTTACAGAGGCCCCGCTATAACTTAAATCAATTCACAAAATAGAAATTTACGTTTCTATTTAACCAATCAACCAGAGATGGGAAAGTCAGCGTTTTTTCGACTCAAGTCAAGTTAAGTCATATTTTGACTTGACTTGCCCATTTCTGCAATCAACAATCGATTTCCTATTTTCGATTCCTAATCTGAATCTGAATCTCCGTTTTATTATTCTTTTTCTTCCCATTTATACTGTACAACACACGCACATACATACACAAGAGAGAGAGAAAAACAAAGGAAGAAAAGGTATTCTGTTTTTTCTGTATGACGGGAACAGACAGAGAAAATGTCGCAAAACCAATATCGAGAACCGAATTGAGGAGTGAAAATGTGTATGTAAGAGTGATGGTGATGTTTTCGATATTTTTACTTTCTGCCTGTTTCCATCCATTCGTTTTTACGGCTAGACTATTTTGTATATAATGATGACGGTGGATCATTCTATAAATGCAATTCATTCTAGTCGAAGAAACGATGCCATTATTTACGTCGTCGCGCACGGAAGGACAGAAGACACAATAGAGAGATATGAAGAGAGAGAGAGAGAGAGAGAGAAAAGAAAGAATGAAAAAGAACGGTTGACGTATGCGCATCTCGAGTTGGATTGCACATATAAGAAATACAAAACGTATAAAGACGAAACAAAAACGTACAAGAATAAATAAATAACTTGTTAGAGTACTCTCTAACATCATCACAGAAGGTTCCATTGATACGATTACTTGAAAACTTGACGGAAGCTTTTGATGCACTAGCAAATATTCTTTAATTAAGTTTTATACAAGAGAGCTAACTTCTTCAAAAACCTCTCATATTCATCTAGTGAGAAACTAGATCATTGAACATGAGCATAATTTGTAGATTATTTAAAGGTTTGATAACACTTAAATGAACTCTAAAATAGTTCAAGAAGTTTTGCTTTTATTGAAAAGCATATTTTTTTAATGAGTTTTTGTTTTGGAGAATTTCAGACTAAATATTAGAATATGATAAACCAATTAAATAGTCAATGAAATAACTATTTTCAAAATCAAGACTAAATCATATCAAACAAGTAAGATTACAAAAAGAAAGCAAAGCAAATGTTTTTTTATTGAATCAATTCATAAAATCAATTCGAATTATTGAAAACCATAATTTATGAACATTTTTGTTTTTTGTACTTGCTTAGTTTATTAAATAGTATTTGCAACATCAATTTAGTAAACATTTCATTTCGAAATCTTTAAATTCCAAAATAATCTAACCAACTTATGTTTCATGTTCGACAGACAGAAATCCAGTGTGTTAAATGGTAAAAAAACAAATCTGTACCAGTCGGAAACAACTGTATAATCTGTCTAGTTAACTGTGTTACACAGTTCCTTATAGTAGTCACGTGTCTCTTTGTGACCTAATAAAAAATAAAATGAGGATTTGTGAATATAACCGAAGAAAAATAAAGGTGATAAATATTATTATAATACGAAGAAAGAAAATTGATTTTCTTTCTTGTTGCGTATTACTGTACCTGTTTTCATTTTTGGTCGTCTAAAATCGTGTCTCGTTGACCTAAATTAAAGCTGTTGCTCTCAAACGAAGTAAAATGCAATCATAGATGTTCTTTATTTGCTTAATAATTTACTTTTGAGAGATCAAATTGTTTCTTTTGATGTTCTGGATTATGCATTTGAATGTGAGAACTATAATTAATGGATTTCTTCAGGTTCTAGGTCTTGATTGAGAATACTTTGCTTACAAAAATCTAGATTATTCTCAATAGAATTATTAAATGTAGGATAATAACTTTTCTCATTCAAGTAATTTGCTTCCTACTTATTTTATATTTGTTCTAGTTCATATTAATTAAATTTAAAATGGAAAAAACTTTGTATGATATCTTTATTGATAACTATGCTTTTTTTTATCAAGGTCTTTCGAACATGTAAATGCATATCATATTTCCACTATTACAACTTGCAATTGATTCTATTGTACCTTGAAAAATCGAAGAAGAACACAATGCTTTGTGAATATTTAACGTTTCTAGTTCAATGTCAGTGAATTGTTTTAATAATCATTTACGTTTCACTAGCATGATGGACACTATCAAGATAACTGACTTCAGCGATTTGTTAAGACTATGATAATTATATAGGGTTATCATGAAAGTAAACGATTGACTACGATATATTTACTAATCGTCTTTGCGTCAAGTTCTGAAAACGGAATGTAGCTATTCGCATCTGTGCGCAATAATCATCTTTTTATCATTTCTCTCCCTCTTCGAATAGAAATCATTTTTAAATATAAGTTATCATGCTTGGGAAATATAGTAGATGAAATCCCGTGCTATTATTTTAAAATGTGTTATGTATTCTTTTCTCTCACATCATTAAACTCGGTTATCAGCGAGACAGCAACGCGATAGTATGACAACAGAACGGAACAAAAGGATAATCTCCCTCTGATGCAGTCGAATCAATGTCTTCTGCTTTCCGGGCAGCTCTACTACCACTATACTAGAAAGGAGCGTGTATTATTCGTTTGTTCCGTTTTACGATCGACGGGGAACACTTCGGTCGTAACAAAATTCTATTTCAATTTGAAAATCACAGAATGACGTCAATCACCATAGAAAATAACTCAAGGACAGTCTTACATGGTACTGCTAATTTCATTTGATTGAATTCTATAACATGTTTAACTATTCTAGTCTTGAATCTAAGAAATAAAAATAATGAAAAATTTCAAAATAAATGTTCAAATCCAAAAATACAGGGTTTAGCTTTCTTTAAAAGAATATAACAGATTCATGTTTTTCGTCATTTTATTTTTGAAAACGCACATTTTCCATATTAAAAAAATCTTTTCTTATTATTATTATTTAGAATTATTGCTGAAAATAAACCAATAAAAGAAAAAGTACTAACACTACACATTTATCGAAATACAATGAGAAACATTTCATAACACGCAAAAATCAAAGTGCAATATCACAAAAGATATCACTAAAAGCATAGATATGAAATGAGATAGATATAAACTAATTTTGCAATTTTTTATACCATAATTAAAATCTATAAATCCTAAATTAATAGAAATACATAAAACAGCATGGGGAAAAAACAGTAGGCGCCTTGGAATGTGTGTGTGTGTGTGCGATCATATTTATTAAATAGATGCTTTAGCAAAAGTATCACAAACTTCTTCAATTATAATAGAAATAGCACGAGCGCCAGGATCAACTACAGTAGAATCTACTGATGTTGTATATGAAGCTCGACCCACTTTAGCTGTCATATTTTTAGTTTGTTGAACAGCGCGTTCAGTGACAAGTGCTAATTCTTTCCAATCCTGTGATGTAAAACTTGCTTTTGTACGTTTCGCTTTAATAAAATCAATAGCGGGAATTAATGCATCTAATAAACTTTTATCACCTGGCTGTACACGAGCATAAGCTTCAACTGATTGTATTCCAGCTTCAAATGCATCACTTAAACTATCAATTAGTATTGCCGATTGATTCGATAAAGACAATTGTTTAGCAGTAGCTGCAAAGAATAATCCACAAACTAAAATATTTAAAAAAAAGTAAGCATTAACTAAAATTTTCATTAATTAATTGTTTATATTTACTTGCTCCGCATGTTCCACCCATTCGACTTTCGGCAATTAGACCAAGACGACGAAAAAGTGATGATGGTCGATGAAGAACTAATTTGTTATTAGCGAGATCACGTGCTATGGCGTCAGCTGCTCGCATAAAAGCTGTACCTGTATCAGCATCACCTGAAACAGCATCCAATCGATTCAATTCATCGACTTCATTATGAAGTCGTTTAATAATGGCTTGAAGTGCTTGATTAACTAATTCCGTAGTCGATGAATTCAATGATATATGAGATGTACTAAAATATGATAATCATCATGTTTGTTTCCATTTTCATAAAAAGATATTTTTACCTAATCACAATTTGTGAGCTGAATTTTTCATTAAATTCTAATGAATCTGATTCTGCTGGAATACTACCGCTTGATTGTGTTGGAGAAATTGCTTTTGGCCAAGCAAAAGCATCCGTTGGTGCATCAAGTAAATTTAATATAGTTGAACTCATATCTGTAGCTAGTTTAAGTATAGTTAATGAAAAGCCTTTCATATTAAATGATGTCATCATTTCCCCACAAATGACACGTTTAACATGTAAATGTTGCTGTTCCAAATTTTCAATAGCCTCTTTGACTATAATACCTAATTCAAGATTTGAACAACCACCTTAACAAACAAACAAGTGATAAAATAACGAGATAAATCAAAGACAAAAAACTAAACCTAAACTATTCACAAAAAGAAGTACACTTGCATCAGGGTGAAGATCAAGAGTACGTGGACCAACAAACAGTTGTCGTAATGCTAAATCAATCGTTTGTCGTATTGGTAATAACTTTAATTTTTGTACACCACTTTCACCGTGTATACCCATACCAAGTTCCATCTCATCGTCCTTTAACTAATTTCAGGGAAACAAAAACAAAGGAATTCTTCATTTTTCAAAGAATGTTTTTCATAGCATACATCAAACGATTGTTGCTGACCTGGTGCTCGAATACCCGATGCAGACAAACCAATAGTACGTAAATGACCACGTACTTTTTGACAAACATCAACAATTTCACTCATATTTTTACCTTGTTGAGCTAATTCACCAGCGATTTTAATAACTAACAAAGATCCAGCTAAGCCTCGAGGTCTAAAAAAAAAATATATAATTAAAAATCATGCGTTCATTTATGTTTTTCAATTAATCTACCCAACCGCATTACTAATCGCAGCATCATCAGCAATAACTAACATATCAATATCGATAGCTAATTCTCGAGCACGTTCCATGGCTAAGCCAAAATTAAGTCGATCACCTGTGTAATTAAGAATAATTAAAAGTACTTGTTTAGCACCACGACGTTTCATTTCCACAATTAGACGGAAAATATCTGCTGATGGTGGTGATGCAAATATAGAACCTGATATACCTAGAAATTCCAAATTTCGTAAATATTTACTATTGACATCCAGTCTACTATGATGAACTTACATGCAGTTAATAATCCACGACCAACATATCCAACCTAAATGTTAACAAAAAAAATTTAAAAAAAGATTCTTAAGTAATTTATTCGTTTCGACAAACCATTGCTGGTTCATGGCCCGATCCATTTCCACTAATAACGGCTACGGATGGTATTGGTGATCGTGTAATAACTGCTCGTCCAACTAATTCTAAATGACTGTACATACGAACATAACCGATCAGTGATTCATCTACGCATGAATTAATGTCGTTAACAAAGTATCCTGGCATCTGAAAGAAAACATTTATTATAACAAAAAACAAAGAATCCTATTCATTCATTTAATTTTTATTTTCTATTTAATGTGGAGAAGAAAAACCCGCAGGTGCATTTAATCTATTTGTTCGTTGTGCACAAATATAAAGAAATCTATCGCCCATATATTCTGGGCTAACTAATTTTTCCACATCACTTAAAATTTCTTCTTGTTCTTCAGGTGTTTTGTTATATGTTAATTTCTAAAAATATTCATTTATAATAAATATTATTAGAAAAAGGTAAAAACTCTTACCGCTAATCGATCATTCAAACCCAAATTATAGAGAAGATTTCCTTGAGAAACTGGTCCAAAAAATTGAACTAAAATTTCCATAACGTACATTTAATAAAATATCTCTTATAAGTAGCGTAACCAGGACTTTGACAGTCGAGAAGAAATCATATTTTATTTTTGTCTAGACGAGAAACTGTAAGTAGAATTAAATTGTCAAAGCTTCCATTGGCTTGAGAGGGAGCAAATTGCTTCATCCTGGTTACGCCATTTAAATATTACCATTCGATACTTGCATGCCACGCATTGATAATTCTTCAAAATCAACATCTGATGTCATATCAACATTGCCAGGATCAGAAAGCGGATCAACTATTTCATCTTTACGAAAAGCCTACATAAACTTTATTAAAACTAAAGATTAATCCATAAAAATAGACGTACACGAAATGTATCACCTTTGTCACCCCAATGACCATAGTCACCAATTAAAGCTGAACCGCCGTATGTCTTCAAATGTGTACACATAGACTGCATAATCATCGCACGTTGTGGACTGATTTCTATGTGCTGTCTATTTCTGACATTTTTAAGAAACTAAATTAAAACAGCTAAAGGCATATTTGTGTAGAATATAAACTATACATTTTCATAAAGTCTAATCATAGGCGTTGGTTTTAATGATAAAACATATTGAAGTGTTTTTCTTATTGGATCCCAATCAATCATAACTTCTTGCCAACCTTGTGAGGTTTTCTTTAGCGTATTTTAAAATAAAATAAAAAATATGATATATTAATTAAATGAGCTTTACTTGAAATTTATGTATAGGATAAGTATCGAAAAATTCATTTGCAATAAAATATGTATCATTATGAAGTAGTTGTTTAAACTCATCAATCCATATAAGAGAATAATTACCATCTTTGATTCGATAATCATTTGCTATTAACGGATTGAACTAGTTAGAAAGCGAAAAAAAACAAGATCGATTATTCTTCAAATTTCGTATACCGATCGACCAAGTAGTGTTTCTGCTTGACATCGTCGCATAAGTGGATTAGTTTCATACAAGGCAAAAAATGTATGTGAATGAGAATATTTTTCTCGTCTTAATACCTTCAAAAATTCACATATGATAGTTTTTTTTCTATGATTTCTTATAGAACAAATGTTTACTTTAATTATATTATTCATAAATAAACCTCGACCAGGTCCCATTTCGACTAATTGTAAAACATTACCACCTATTGTTGCATTCTCCTGTATGATCCATTTAGCTAGTAACTAAAACATATTGAATTATAAGAATAAACTAATAATATAAAAGCGTTTACTTCAGCATATAATTGACTAATTTCAGGTGTTGTAATAAAATCTCCTTTTTTACCATAGACTTCCTTTCTTGCATTATAACCCTAGAACAATATTAATAATAATAATAATGAATATTTTCTGTTGACTAATTTCGATACAGATTTTTAAAAAAATAAGAAGAAGAAGAAGAAGAAGAGTATTATAATTAATAGCATACATATTTTGGATGTAACAATGATTCGCGCATAAAATCAGCTACAGTTATAGGTCCAATAGTTTTGATTCGATTTGATAAATAATTAACCAATTGATTTGTTTCTGATGTTGCCCATAGTGAATAATCAACGGTTGATTTTCGTTCAATATCTGGCGGTGAGGTCTCAGCTAGATCAGTACTTTTTGTTGATTGATAACGAATAAGACAAGAAGAGTAAGAACGTGATAAAAGTATACATGAATATTGTCGTATAGCAAACATCTGAAACTATAGGATAAATATGTATACATATATTTATAATTTTTATGATTATTGGACTTTTGTCATTAATACCAATAAGGCTATTTTATCATTCTTGTCAATATTGTCTATATAAATCGATTTTTATATTTATTTTTACCTCTCTGCTGCACTTGATTTCAGTTTATCACAAACAGCAGAAAAAAGGAAACATTTAAAGCATTATTTTTTTTTTCTTTTGTATCTTACTTTTTTTTTGGTAGCGTGTCTATCGATTTGAGGCGCTGTACGTATAATACAATCCACCCTGAATGACAGAATATTATCATCAATACAGTCGCCTATTTTTTTTTTTTTGATTATTTTGAATGTGTTCTTATCGTACGTTCGGCATGAAAGAAAATCTGTTGTTTATTTTATTTCATATGAATAAGTGTTCGTTATAAAAGCTTGATGCGTTGCTGAGTATTTTATTTCTCTTAAAGTTTGTCACGAAATAAAACGAAACAAACTAGTTTTCTTCGATGAGCGTTCGTTAAAATCTGAATCTTTTCTTTTCAACACACGTACGATTCTATGAAACTTTTCAAAAATGTATTATGTATGCATTTATGACAAAAATGAAAGGAATCTTGAAAAGAAAAATCCCAAAATAGTGAAAAGAATTGAACAGGAAAATCTCTAATTTATTTTTCGATATTCAATCGCAATGGTAGTGTCGATATTATGTTCACAACGTGTAAGTTTTACGTGTATCCTGCATAAAAACTTCAATATTTTCTATTTATTAAATGGCCCTCTTGACAACCTATTTACCTCGAATATCATATAATATAGTTACTTTGTTCTCGATTGGGAAATTTGAACAGACTAACGACAAAATCTATTATTAACTGCTCGAAGCCGAAAAATCTCTTTCTAAATCCTTCTAATCTCGTTGATTCTTTGAACAAGTGATATATAAAAATACACGAGACACATTTTTATTGTAGGTAGACCTTGTTTCTCAGAGATCATATCACTTCTTTCTGCATTTGTATAACTTTTAAGAGAAACAACAGAGTTTAGTTTTTTACTTATTTTTATCGTAAAAAAATAGAAACAAATAGTAACAGAAAAGAAAAACAATCAAAATGGCGAAAACGATGTTTCAGACTTTTTCTCCTCAATGGTTTGTATTTCTTTTAATGCTTCTAAAACTAATTTTATATTAGCTTTAATGTGTGCAATTTTCTTTGATAATTCACCTTCTTGTTCATGTAAATAAGGTAACTTTTTGTCAATATAAGCTTTTCCTTCATCATATGTTAATTCACAAAAAAGACCAAAACCAATCGAAATAAATATTCGATTATTTACTGTGCATTCGGCTTGAACAAAAAATGAACAACCAAGATCAATTTGTGTATTTAATGGCTCGTCAACATCTGTTTCTTTGCGATTTTTATATAATTCATCAAGTGTATTTAATGTGACACGTAGACGTTCATATTCAGCGATTTCAGAAAATATACGATCTCGTTCTGACCATGCACGTTGTAAATCTGCACGAAGGCGATCATTTAAAAATGTTTCATATTCACGAACTTTACGTTGTATTGCCGCATTTGTTGCCATCTAAAACCGAAGAGCATGTTATAAATCGAATTTTAAAGCTTGCATTACTAGACAATAATTTTTGAACTGTTACAGGCAGATTGAAATTTTCTACTATTTATGAAAAGAAAAAAACTACGGTTCGAAGTAGGGTATGTCCATTGACCGATATGTATATTTCATTCATATAGAAGTGTAACTTAATGCGTGGAAAATAAAACAACAAAGACAAGGGCTAATGAATGAACCACCACCATCATGCATGGAACTAATTGTAGACGCAATGTTTTAAAGGATTTACTACTTTTGCTGTTTCAAAGTAGCCAAAAAATGAAGACACTCTATATCTTTACGGTGGAACTAAACAGGAATGAAAATACTCTCGATAAGATTGCCTATCTTTTGCAACTTTATCATAGATGTTCATATAACAATGAATCGCAGTAAATAACAGAAAAAAAGCAAAGTTCGACATTTATGTTGGAACTTATTCAGTAGAGTCTAGTGATTTAAAATACAAATTATGTATGTTTTGTGTACAAATAACTTCACATATGGACTGTCTTACTTAAAATCCACTGCTAAACGTAGCATGAAAGATGATAGATTTTAGCTTGCCACGGTGGTTCGAATCTTATTTTTGTAAAAATTAAAATTTTATAAAAACTTTTATGAGAGAAATCGAATACTCTTCCAGTGTAGCTGATTTTATCGAACCATTTTCATTTTGTTCTCGTCAAGCATCAAAGTCAAACTGAAATGTTAGTTGTCGCTAAAAATTCTTATTAAATCAATTTAGAAATCATTTCGACTCACTCAATAAATTGCATCAAGGATATGGATCTTCAATAAACAATTGATTATTATAGTTATTTGATTAAGAAAACAAAAATGCTTTGATAGTGTTCTTATTCTGATCGATTGGAATCAAAGTATTCAATGAATTGATACTATTTATGTATTGCTATTGAAATTGATTATCAAAAATCTGCATTGAATAGTTTTTATTTCGAAAACTAGAAATTTAATAAAGATAGATTCAATAATATTATTATTGGTTAAACTAATAGTCAAACCGGTTCTCCCGAATATAGTAGTGTAAAAATAAGTAAAATAATGATAACGAAAAGCTAGCTGTCAGTAGTCGACCAATGAACGACGATGATTCATGATGGCGGATATAGATGGAACAAAAATCAACCATTGAATTTATAAATATATCAAGTTTCTATACAAGGGCATAGGGGCCAAAAGCAGTGGATTTAAAAAAAATAAAAGCAGAATAATATTGATATAGTAGTGCATGATGAATTGATAAATTATTAGATTATATTAAACAAGACGTTAGCTTAATAAAAAAAACAATTTTGAATTTTGATAATTAATTCAATACATAGTATGAAATATTGAACATTGAAAGAATTATTTTGGTAGAATACCAATAAACAAAAATTCGATGAAAAATACATTGAAAACTTCTTAAATAAATACGCACAGGCAAATTCAAAGTCTACTAGGAATTCATGAGTTGAACTATGATGACCGTAATACGAATCTTCTAGACAGCTGTAACAATTTGTAGTCACTTGGATCGTTGAGATTTACACCAAACGTTTCTGTTAAGTATCTGATAAAGTTCTCTTTTCGACTCATATTATAATAGGCTTAACTGTATCAATTTGCATAAATTTTCTCTCGAATATCACTACAACCGCTTGAAATCTATACTTGTTCACAAAATTGAATTCCTAATTTATTAGTGCGGGTCTCTCAAGCCATGAAGTTCTGTTCAATTATTCATCCTTAACTAGAGTCAACGTTAAACAATATTGTTTACATTATTTTTTCGCTTTGTTTATGATAATTATTCATATAAATAATTTACCCTTAAATATTTGTTAAAATATTTTTATTAAACATAAAACTAAAATGAATAATATTGATTTTTAAGAAGCAAAAAACATGTCTTTTATTTTGAAGCTTAATCTGTTATATTGACAATAGTTTCTTCTGGATTTGTAAGAGGTCCATTTTCGAAAAATTCATCATTCACTGTTGATGATAATGCTACCATTGGCGGCCCTGCTGTTGATTGTTCTTGATTATTATTCATTGAATTCATGATTGCATGGAGAATTTGTTTGCTAACTTGCTTATTATTATTTTGCCCATTACTACACTCACTAGTTCCTGTAGTAGTAGTAATAGTATTACACGGACGTTTCTTTATTACTGTATGATTATTCAGTAAAACTATTTCTGTTTGTTCCAATTGAGGTTCTTCATAAGCAATTTGTTCATTTTGCATTAATCTATTTTTACGAGTTATTATTGTTATTGGTGGTGGTGGTTTTTTCATAAAAGCATTCGCAAGAATTAATTGAGAATTTTCTTTCGTTTGAAGATAACGTTGATCGTAGGTAAATTCATTAGATGAACATTGACTTGCATGACGTCGAATAGTTGTACATGATGATTGTTGTTGAAAACGGCGTGATTCATTTTTTGGAAGATTAACAACTGATTGATGACGAATTATTTTTGACCTCGATTTCGTTGGTGATGCTTCAAAAAAAACATCGTCATCACTTTTGCCGTTATCATGTTGATCATAGTCATCAACATCATCATCATCATCACGCGAATCTGCACGATGAACATGAATGTCAGTAGCAGAACGACAGAACCTGGAAATGAAATTAAAACTATTCAAAGTCAAAGAAAACTGTTGATATACAGGCCCTGTGGAAATAAAATATGAAATACAATATAGCTGACGATGATAACCACAGAAAAACATAGTAGAACAAATCTATTCAGATATTAGAATACGACTGTACTAGTTTACATTATTCAATTGTATATCATCAAGATCTGTCACTGTCTATACTGCTTTTATAGTTATGTAATTAAATCGTTCCTGTTTGTTATAATCCTTGTGAATTTCTAGCCTCTATACTTCAACATTATTTTTAGATAATGTTTCACAAAATCAGACTGTTAAAATACGAACCGATTATTGTCATCGATTTTGCTTATCATTTCTCCCTCAATATCTATACTGGATAACTTTTGGTGGTGAGAACTTCTACTTGATCGGCGTTGAATTTTCATTGGCAAAACGCCTGTGTCGCATTGTTTGATTTGATTTGCATTTTCTTGTTGTAATGAAATAAAAGCATTTGTTTCATTAAAAGTATCTTTTTTTGGAACTGTTTCATTTTTTTCTTCAAGTTTAAGTGACGTTTGTAACGATGGTAATTCATTTTTTGTTTGCTCACTAACAATTGTACTTGGTACACCATAAACTCGATTATTATCTGCTGCAAATTTTTCTTGATTAATTGTTGTTGACACACTTTTAGCATTGCTTTGTTCTTGTTCGCTATTTTTCTTCTTAGTGGCACTTGCTTTATTTGATTTAATAGTTGAAATTTGTTTTTTATCAACTTGATTAGGCGTTTCTGTAGGTGTTCCTTTTCGTCCTTTAAGCCAACGTCGATGTGTAGATAATTTACTTGAGGGTGTTGCTCTCTCTTTTGATTTGTGTTGACATTTATATGGCACATTATCATTTTTATTTGCTGTATGTTTCTCATAGATCACGTCTTGGCGATTTCTAGAACGTGATATACTTGTTCGATGATGATAAGTATGATGAGCAGGATTACGATGATGAAGTTGAAGTTGAGAAGCTGTATGTGCCATAGAACTAATTGCTGTTATTGAATAATCTTCATCATTAGCAGTTTTTTGCGATGGTGTTCGTCGTTTAAGAATGATGTCACCATGGGCTGGTTCAAGTACATGTGCTCCTTTTCCAGATTTATGACCAATAGTAGGATCAGGATTAACACACGGTTGCTGTTGGACTGGATGAACATAACGACCTCGACTTGAACGAACAGGCTCTTGCTTTTGATATTGCATAGGGATTGGAGATATCTCATTTTTAATGGGGTGAACAACAGCTGGACTTAGTCTATGTTGAGTAGCTGATTGAATGGATGATGCAACGGATTGTATTCGATAATTTACACCACTTAGTTTTCCTCCAGATTCAGCTTGAGCTGCAGCTGCTTGCATTTCGAATGCTTTAATTTTTTCTAGAACATTACCATCTTTGACAGCTTTTTGTAATGTTGCATGAATTCGATCCGTAGCAACGAAAGAATGCCGAATCGATCGACTAAATATAAAGATGTATGATTATATATAGAGAGAGAGAGAAAAAAAAAGAAATTTATTCATTGATTTTACCGAGGATGTATTCGATCAACTGTTTTTATCTGTTCATTTGTATGAAGAAAATTACTCGTATTTCCAATGGATATTTTAGGAAGTAGTCGACTAATCGGTTTATCATTGATTCCTGCTTGTAAAGCTGACATTGAATTAACACTTGTTGTTGTTCGATCGTCACTATTTGATCGAATCTTTTTTTCTTCATAAATGATTGGCTCTCCAATTTCCTTCGTATTAACTTTAGTATTTTCTCGTAATTCATCGACAAGTTCAGGATTAAAATTAGCACGAGGAATATAAAAAAGTAGTCGAACACCATTAGATGAACCATTTGATGTACCGCGACTATGTTTTTGATAAAACGAATTTGATTGAAGGAAATGTCGCATTTGCTTTAGATCAGTTCGGAGATCACCAATTGCACTGCTCATTTGCTCATTCAATTGTATTCGCCAAATAGCCCAATCTTGCAAACTAATAGAAGCTTTATTTACTCCAGTATTAACCGACGATGCTGGATCAGCCACATTCGCACCATTTTGTGTTGATGATCGATGTCGTGCTGGTGATGCATGCGGTTTTCGTTTGTCTCCAAATATCAGACGACCTTGTATATTAAATAGAACATTTAAAGGGATTCATCTTAATTCTGCTTTTTACTCACCTAATGTTTTAGGTTTGCCACTGCCACCCTTGGTCATTGGCGGTGTCTTAAGATTCTTTGCTTAACTGATTTTGATCATTGCAATATAAGATCTCTCTTATGAATCAATGCAATGATTGCACTCGTTTACTTTTTTTTCTCGTCTTTTTTTCTCTTTCTTCTTCTCTCCTAATTGCTTCGTGTTAAAAGTCACTTGAGTCGATCGACAACGGCTATGAAGGCGGAAACTAATCGTTTACATACAAGTATAGATTTGTTGAACAAACTGTTTCAATAAAAGATCTTCCGATCAGTCAAAGATATGAAGAAAGAATGATACGCATACAGAAGGATCAATGTAAACATGTGTGCATTATGACCCTTGGCGTTCTTTTCTTCCTACTCATCATCCACCTTCAATGATTGTTATATCGGCATACTGTCATAATCGAAACAATCAACTCCTAGTTAAATGACATGTGAATAAAAATAGTAAGATGAGGAAATCAGAAAGGAAAAGAACGTGACAATTTTGCCTTTCATCTATTGATAGAATAAAAATGACTTCATAATATTTATCCGGTTTTTGTGTCTAGACTTTCGTTCCTTTGAAGATTGATACAACAGTTCTAGCTCTTCATTTGTTTGGTATTAAACATGGCAAATTGATTACTATTCAAAAGTCAGTCATATATAAAATTAGTATGAAAACAACGATAAGTCTATGTTTCACATATAGACAGACTTTTTGATAGCGTTTATAAATAGATAATTGTACAATATCGGCAATATTGCATAGCTATCTGCTAAGAAAAATAATGTGACTGGGCAACACATCTACACTTTTTCGAGTTCTGAGTATTGCTCTCTCTCTCTATAGTTCGAATGAATATAAAAAAGATATCTGACATCAAGTAAATCAATTCAAAATCTGAACTTAACCGATCTGCATAGATTTTATTCTCATAACATAATGCCTGTTTCTAAAAGTTACTTCAATTGTTGATGGCATATGATTGCCATACTATTTCTGAGCACATTTTCTTGTGTGTCATCTTAATCATCATCCATCATTTGCACCAGTTTAATATATAAATATGTTTACACATTTATTTTTAACTCTCAACAGAAAGAGAAGCAGCTGCTGTGTTTGTTCTTTGAATATCGTCTTTGATTATAGTTATTAAATTGAAATAATATAAAGTCCAAAGATATAATTCTATATATAATCAATCAACATCAAACTTAATTGAAATGCTCATCGTTATTCATGATTTAATTAATTATTCCGTGCCTATCGAATGCTTTACAGAACAACAATTTTTGATGTCGAATACTCTTTCTAATTTTGATTTACCAAGGCTCCACAAAGATAAATCTAATTACCTACCTAGATCGAGCAATTCCATACTCAAATCCTGTCGGATCCTACCGTGAACCACCAAATAATCCAATAATATCCGATAGGAATCCGACAAATCCCCATAGAATCCTGTCGAAAGTGATTGGATTCCTTGGTACCGGAATCCAATCGGAAATTGTCGGAGGTTGGAGCCGATGATTTGCGGCAGTCAGTCCGGTAGTCGGGAAACTTCTGATATCCTCGAAGCCCCATGCAAACCTATTGAATTTGTAACTGAATATTAGATATCGTTTGATCCCCTCGCCCTCCTACACATACTTCCTTGATCACTTGCAATTAGCTACAAAATTAAGTCGCTCATTTTATTTTATGCTAAGTTTTATTAAGCAAAAATTAAAATTAATACAAAAAAGATTATGAAGTAAACTAAAATTAGAATAAAATACAAAGATCTATTAAAAAAAAATTAAAAAAAAAATTACTATAAAATACGAGACATAAATCACCAAATCAAATTAGATACAAAAAATAATTTACAAAAAATTGAAATAAAATTACAAAAATGATTAGGTTCATATTAAAAAGAAATCCAATAATTAGTTTCTATTCACTGATGATAAAATCATGCCGTAATACAACATAAAATAAAATAGAATAAAGTAAACATGAAAACAATAAAACAAAATTGAAATTAAATAATTGAAATAAATAAAATAGAATATAAGACTGAATCACAATAAAATTAAATTAAAAAAAAGTAAACTGAAAGAAAAATAAGAAACTAAAATAAAAAGAATAAAATGTAATAAGATTAAAAATTAAAGCAAGGTTTCGACTCACTGTTTATGCGCATCTTGCTATGCTAAAATCTAAAACACACTTGAATCAAATACAAAATACCCATTTTAACAATGCATATCCTCTTTCGTTAATAATTCTATCGGTTGATTGCGTCAAACCAATAATAAAAAACTGCTAATTGCTTAACATATAGTCGTTTTTCTATTTAATATTTTGAATTTTTTTCCAAATAAATCAATTACAAAAAATTAACTTCTTTTATTTATGTATATGAACTATTCGAATCGAAGATTATTTAGTCACATAGTATCTTTTAATACAATACAATGGCAAGTGTAGAACGTAACACTGATGATTATGGAGAAACATTTATTCCATCAATTGCACAACAATGCCCATTTAATATCGCTACTGTTGAAAATTAAGACTTACTAATTATTAGCGGTGGGGCCTTCCATTTTCTTACTATGGCAAACTAAACTTTCCTTTTGACTGTTTTAAAGTTTTTTTCTGAATGAAGCTGCGCCAAAGAAATCATTGAAACTTGCTTTTTTTAGAAAGAAAAATTCAAAGTAAAAAAAACTTTCCTTTCCCAAAGGAAAGTGGAAGTGCCACCCCTACTTACTATGGATGTGGCAGAATAAATCAACATTTGAGTATCTTCTTAAACTGAACTTTTTAAAAAGACGATAGCATTAACAATGGATAACTTTCTCATCAAGCATCTTTTGTAGAGTTTAACTGACGCAAGCCTCAATCACTGGTAATATTTACACTAAAACTGCATATGCCTCAATAAAAGTCACCAGAAGACATCTGGTTAATGTGAATTTTAGTATCAAGAGAATATATTACGTAAAGTCATTTTATTCATCGTGTAGTCAATAAGTCAGGGGGGGGAGGTGAGACTCCCGTATTCCTGAAGTAGAGTAGGAGTAGAGTGAGTACAGTGACAGTACAGAAGAGATCTCCTTCAGCTGTACTCCCACTACTTCACGAATACAGGAGTCTTGCTTTCCCCCCTTGCAGTAAGTTCATCGTGCTTAAACTATAATATGTTAGTACGTTGCATTGATTGATGAAATGTTCAATTCGATTATTCTGCAGCATCTCTTCACATAATTCTCTGTTTTGTTCAGTGAAGGATCTACGAAAATTTCGATCACGATATGGTCAAGCTGCTTTTTGGAATCCGAGTATATGTCAATCTGTAGATTTATGCCCAATTCAAGATTTTGTTAAAAAAGTTTTTGAAATAGCATCGGCAAGTTCTTATTCTTATTTATTTTGTTTTGAATTAATCAATAATTTCATTTAGATTCATGAATTTGACAAAATGCTTTCTAATATAAAATATGCTGTTCAACAAATGTATAGTGTTATTGATAGTCAAAATTAATTTTATGAAAAGTACTATTATCAACAGAAACTCAATCTCAAATTTAGTAAGAGTACTGGAGGTTGTGCTATTCACTTTTGATTCTGCACTGTTTCATTTTCGACAATCAATCTTAGCCATTCAGAACACTTAAAAAAGCATATCTATTAATTGGCGAGGAATGAAACTATTCATGAGGTAACGAATTGCATGAAGACGCGAAAGGTTTCTTTACCTATCGAAATCAGAGTTTAACATATTTTTTTAAGAGTGAAGTTCTGATCTAGTTTTTGTCATAGCTTTCATTTTGGTCAGAATTGTAGAAGAATCTGAGGAAACTTTTGAATTTGTAACAATAAACTAAATTTAGATCTTACAAATTGATTCATCCTTATTTGATAAAGTACATATTGGTTCTGTCACTGGAAAGAATTTTAACGCTTTTCGTATCTACGTATATTCACATTTTATTGAAATTATATGAAGAAAACTTGTCCTTCTTGAGACACTGTTTGCATTCTAACATTTTTACAGCATCAAATTATACGTCTTCTACTCTAATCAATAGCTTCCTTGAGAGATTGTAAGAATTGACAATGAATCAAAATTTTTCATGCAATGCAATATCATAAGTAGTGTAAAATTTAAACGACATACTACTTTCTTTTTTGTTTTTGTGCAAATAACAGAAATAAAAGGTAGATAGCGAGAAAGCAAGCAGATGTCTTTTTTAAATTTTTTTTGTGACTATCGAGCATACTCAACTACTCAATGCTCTTGAGAAATGACATGATATAAATGAAATAAACTATTAAGAATGCTGTCATAACGAAAAACATAATTGTAATTAAAATGTTTGCAACAAGAGTAATTTTTGACATTTTCATGGCAGCTTTAACGTCACCTTCTTGTTTTCGTCTTCTTGTCTGAAATGAGAATACGAGAGCGATCACACCTGCCATACAGCCCATGACTATATTGATTATTGACCAAGCCATATAATCTCGAATATGAGCTGTGTGCATAGGAATTTGGTTGTTATTCATTATTACAATTTGAGATGGCCATACCATATGTGGCAGGGCTGCAGGAGATGATGAGTGCATTATTGATGGTGGTGATGCTACTGCATACGGTGGTGGTGGTGGTGGTTGTATTGGATGTATAGAAGAGAAAACCGTTTGCATAGGTGCCGTTCGTAAATAACTGAAGTCATTCTTAATTTCACCGAAGTCATTAATAGTAGGGTCCATTGCTAAACTTTCAAAGCTGCAGGGAGCAGTTTTTTTTTATGTCGAATAAATTATTTTCAGGTATATCTAGGAAAAGAACTTTGTCGAATAAACTATTGTTAATGTTTTCCACCGTATTTATTCACTATAAACTACTGGTTGATAAAAAATAAAATAAGGCTACGTGCCAGGGATCTAAAAGCTTGGTAAATCTTTGATTTACATGTCGCACATATTCTCTATTAGTAATATTAAGGCTAATATTTACTAGATAACATATATTTACATTGAATAACTCTTGTTATTCAAATGCTGAGAAATAGAAAATCATGTTTATAATAGCTTGGATAGACTGTTATAAAACTGATAGTAAAACATGGCATAAGTTATGATTAAAACAAAAAAACTCATAGAGAAAGATGGTGCACAATAATCCGTAAGTTAAAAAAAATGTTTAAAATAGACGTCGAATTAGATATGCTCACAGCTGTCATCGAAGTCATGCACTAAACTTAATATATTACTTTAACTCAAATACTTTCATCACTGTTTCCTGTTTGATTAATAATCAATATTTATTCGCTCACAATTTTTCAATACAAAAGTGGCCCGAACATTTTTTTTCTCTGAATCATAATAGAAGAGCAATAACCCGAGATCAAGGCAATGGATATTCTTCGTATCAGTTAACTTTGCTTTCAACAGAACTTTCAATCAGTCACATACGAAAAACTTTCGAAAAACATTTATTTTTTCTGACTAGTTTCGATATACTTTCATCAAAAGCCAATTTGAGATTGACATCACTTTTAATTCAATTTTTCGACAATATAACAGAGCGAAACTCAAGAGGTTCTTTTTAAAGTGACAATGGCGTTTCTTCAGTATTCACTGTACAATGTAAGATGTTTTCAGGATGTGATTTTTCTACTGTCGGTAAGTAAGCCCATGAGAGGAATTAATAGTTCCTGTAATAAGGATTAAAATACAACACCTACCCCTTTAATGTAACTTATTAAAATAACTTTTCTCTTAATATGATTTAAATAGCTTTGCGATTTTTATTGAAGAAAAACGATGATGATAATTATTATATTGATGTCATGATTACATCATTACTTTTTGATTAGCGAATATTCTAAAAGCGTTCCAGATACAAATGTTTGCATATTTTCTAAGAATCTTCTTTCCTATTCCCAAAAAAATTAATCAGCATAGTGATTCTACTGTTGACATGTATGCATATACTACAGTTGATATAGTAGTGTAACTCGCTTTGGACTACGCGTAGGAATTGAAAGACACAGTTGTTTTTTTTCTCAGGCAAATTATAAGTTTTCAAAATAATACAATAAAGCTTACTTAGATAAGAATTCAACACACTGGTATAGAAAATTCAACAGTCAAAAACAAAGTACGAATAATATCTTCATGCTTTTATCTTTTCTTTTGACCGGAAAAAAATAATGGAAAATTTTCTTATTCTTTATATTTAATTTTTTGGACTCTTCCCCTTTTCTCAATTGTATGAAACATAGACTAATTTATGTTTCTTCTGGTATTCGCGATTAAAAACTTGTCAAAGAAAAAAAACATACGACGGTTTTTCAGTAAATCATAACGTTTTATTTTTACAAATATTCGTATAGTATGGTTTTTCCAATAATTGGATTGAACAATATTTATTACATGTAAGAGTTTTATGTCATTCATTTATTAATTCGAATCTTGATTATTTGCTCCTTGAAATGAAACCGCATAGTCGGATATATTCATAAATTTTAACAAACCGTCTAATTATTATTGAACTCTATTTAGCTGGAGCACTGAAGTATAACGATCTCTGGTAAAATATCTTGTGGTCCGAAAATAAATTATTTAAACTTCGAAAACAATAAGATCATACTCTATCGATAAATCTAGAGGTGTGCGCATGCCAAGAATATAAAAAATAATCTCATCTAGAGTGCATAATAGAAACGTAGGCAATCGTTCGCATAACGTCATTGGTACCTCAAGTACTCTTTCCTTGCCGGTGCAAACCAAAATTATTTATTATATTTCACAATGTAATCTATACAGAGATTTTGCTAAGAGCTTTTCTAATTATATGTTGCAATGATATGAATACATCCAATACTGAAGTCTCATTGAATATTGATGAGTTCAATGTAAAAATATAAAATTCAGAATAATTAAAAAACATTTTTTTATATGAATAACAGACAATTATTAGAATATTATTTTACGCCAATAGATTAACATTCATAATACTTTAAATTAATATTGATTCTTTGACTCTGTTTGTTTTCATTGAAACAAAAGAAAACAAATAGGTTACTAATCAAAAACTTAATCCTTAGTGTAGTATCTACCCAGTAGATTCAATCCGACAATAGAATCCGACAAGATCCGATCACATCCGATAGAGTTCCTGTATGATCCTATCGGATTTCAATAGAATTCTATAAGGATTTCATCGGAATCCTGGTTCAGGACCTACAATCGGATCCTCAGTGTCGGAATCCGACGGAAATTTACTTCACGCATTCGATGGGAAATAGCTATCATGAACTTCTCGTGTCCGAGAGTGGGAAACCGATGATAATCCTATAATTTCCGATAGACGAACTCAGTAGGATCCCAGCGGTTGGACAGTCCTACGAAATTCCTATAAGAACCTACCAGATATCACCATGTTCTTATGGGGCACGTCAGGTTCTAACACTAATCATCCCACGAGATTTCCTACACTTGGTTCTTATCGGATCCTCTGAGTTCCAATAGGATCTCGAAGGATCAGATGAAAAACCGGATAATATGCTCTAGTGTAGACTACTCGCCGATGCCATGGTAGTCCACACAACATTCAAAGAATAAGAAATTAAAAAATATATTGCAGCTACTAATTTGAACAATAGACCCAAAGAATGAGTACACAATTTAATACACTATAAAGAAATTGAGTGGCAAATACAATTACAACAAATTCAGCGAAATCGAAAAAACTAAAAGGTTCTTCCCCTGTATCCACCTGAAGTACGTGTTTAACGGTTTTCCAAAAAAAACATAAAATAGTTTCCAAACGAACCAATCAACCTGACGAGATATCTCACGGAAGTCATTACTCCTTCATGCCACGAAAAAAACTAGCTAAGGTTTTATCCAAAACCATAAAATATTACTTCGAACGTCACACCGGGAGATTATGTGCATTTTAAAAGCCTATACGATTGTACATGTCACATCCGTTTACCAGCTTCATTTCCAATTAGCAACATCACGAGCCTTCACTTTCTTCGAAATCCTTGGGAATGGTGAAAATATCTTCTACTTCACATTCAACACAGCAGCATTTCTGCCGAACGTATCAGATCCGCGCAACAAAAACGCACACACACACCGTCTTTTAACTGCTTACAAATCTCACAATTATTCAAGCTTACTAGATTAAGCGCTATTTAAGCACGAACACTATCTAAAATTCCAAAAACGTTTTTTTTCTAGTTTGAATCAGAGCTGAAACAGTCTGAAGCAGCGCTGTTTCAGCAGCAGTTGCATTACTGAGATTCTAATGTTCAGTTTTTTCTGACTAATGCTCTTGTCTTGGAAAGCGTAGTTGATATGATTGATCTTATTTCATGGAAGCATGTTTCTAAGAAATGTAGTAATAGATTTTTTTCATGCATTTGTTTCTTTTTTTCTGCATATTTTGAGATGGATTGTGTTGGGTGATAGCTCGTGTAGTTTCTGTGGAATAGCTAGTGATATTGTTTTTTGGGAATAATTTAGAAGGGATCTTATTAGTTGAGTGGTGGTATGACTCATAACAAAGTTTTGAGATGCATCTAGACGAGTGTAGCAATTTCCAAAGAGACTGATAGGATCCGACTGGAATCTTATTTGAATTCTAGTGCCGTAAGTCCCATCGGTTACTGCAGTCGTATATCATTGGATATTCATCGGAATCCATCACTAATTCCTCAACTAGGAATTCCATCGAATATTGTCGGCTGGTTGGATCCCACCAGATCCGATGGGATCCAACATCGGATTCATTCACCTGGGGGCAAGATGAGTGAACAAATTAATTATAAACTGCCCATGTTGCGAATACCGGATCATTTTTTGCGGTAAACCGCGATTAACCGTCGATTTTCATGCGGCTTTTTATTACATGGGTGTACAACGCATTCCCTAGACCGTATCTTCAATCAATACTTAGTTTTTTTTCCTATTCTTTCGCTTGCCAAACAGAGACAACTTAAAGGCATAAATCGAAAAATCTCTAGATCAGTACATCAATGGTTCGATGCAAGAAATATCGAAATTGAAAATCTTCCGAAATACAAATCCGTCTCGAAATTAACCTATATGCACTGGGATAAATTAGCGCATATAATACGTGAAACCAATCCAAGCGTTATCAAAGATTTTCTGCAAAATAAGTTGTCGATTTTATACCTACATGAATATCTATCAAATCCAACACTAGCAAATGAAGGAAGAAAAATATTTGGAAGAGGGAGACTCGGCAAAAACATTCGTAGATTGTTGACTGAAGATCATCTATCTCTATTTGACCACATTTTATGTTATCACTACGTAAAATCATTTGATTCTTCACCATGTGTCTACATCATATTGTAATTCTTGATCGATATCGTTCAAGTCTGTGTTCCTTTTGTCATCCTCATCTTTGTCACCAGCAAAAGTTATTTCAAGCTACTTTTTGTTTGTTTGTTTGTTTGTTCAGACTACAGGAGCGAGGTTCGCTCATAGCATAAATAAAGCATTATACTACTACTACTACTACTACTACTACTACAACTATTAGTATGGAAATAGACAATGTCGTAGTAGATTTTATTGCAAGTAATTAAAACTTATACTTGGGCTTTCAATATTCACAAGCAAACTTGTATTTTTAATAATCAATGGTATTCTTTTTGAAGTGTTATAAAAAATATACCATCGAGAGTTACCTGTACACAGTACTTTTAGAAAAACGCACTTTATCCACGCTATCACGAGCTCTTCGATCATGGTCAATATCAAATTTAAATCATAATCAATTAATTACTAACAAACAAATAGCTGTATCATCATCGTTGTCAACAACTCTGCAACGTAATTGTGCACAAAAGTGATGCCCCAACTGTAAAAATTGTCATGTTATATATTCCATACGACGATTTTGTGAATTATTCACAGTGTAGATATCAATCAAATTTAGTTCAACATATATAACAATGGTAAAGAAAAAAAACTAGTATTTATTTTTAAAAAATACACATCTACACAAAATAAAAAAATTTTTTTGTTTGTTTTTCGTTTGATTAAGAACGTTTTGATCCATACCAATGCTTTGCTTTTCGCTGTACATTAGTACGAAAAAGTGGCACAACAACAAGAAGACCTAATGTTGATATGATTGTTAAAAGGAGAAAAATATAAAAAAGAATTTTATCGATTCTTGTCGCTAGAGCACGCCAATCATTTGTTACTTTTTGGTCGTTTTCAATTTCTTTCTGTTTATTCAATAGAATCTGTAATGTATCCTGAATTTCATCATGAATTGTTGCGACTGAACTTGAACGAGACATTGATCGATCCTTTAGAATAATTTCTTCAGGATTCAAATGAGACGGACGTTTACATTTATTTTCTTCCATTGGTGGCTGTTTTTGTGGTTGTGGAGCATCATAATCGTCAATCTCAATTGAATGTGCCTTTCAAAAGAAAGATCTTATTTTTTTGTGCAAATTTTTGTTTTTACTAATTTATGATTAATCAAATAATATCTCGTCTTTCTTTTCAAAACATACATTATGTGCTCTTTTGATTGGAATACAAAAAAAGTTTAAGAAAATGTTTCGCTTTTCTTTTACAAGAAGTAGATAACAATATGAAGTTTCATTTGAACACAGATGAATATGTGATCTTCAAGTTTTATAAAGTATATCAGTTTTTCTTAAAAGCATTAAATGGAAGCGTTTTAATGTTGTTTTTAGTAATATAAATGAAAAAACCTATTTTAGATAACGATTCATTCAAAATTCAAAATTTATAATAGGAACTAAAACGTTTATTGTTTTACTTATTCTAGGAAATGATTCTATAAGATTTATACTTACATTAATTGTTTTTGGTGTTTTTGTGTCAGTTTGATTACTGTTCATATAAGATAATAAAACTCCATTGACCGATGAACGAGTTCTTGCATCTAGATTTCTATTATTATCATGAAAACTTGTACGAAGTCGTATTTCTCGATTTTTATACAGTTTAAGCCTTTTGGATCGTGACATAGTTCGAACAACATTTGCTATTGATAAACTTAATAATTGTTGAAGCCAAAATGGTATTTCATTTTTTTTCGGACCACGATAATGAAGATTAAGAACTAATACTGTCATCATTACTGATACACTTGTCATAGCCATGACAGCAGTTAAATACAAACCTTAAATGAAATATTTAGCAAAGAAGAAAATCTCTAAATAATATAACTTACTAATTAATGGAATGTGTTCACTTGTTTCTGGCATACTTTCAGCAATAGCTAACATGAATACACTAAATGCAAGTAAAACTGTAATACCAAGAGCAATTTTTTCACCTGATTCTGGTGGTAAACAAAAAACAAGTAAAGTTAAAATAGATAGCATAACACAAGGAAAAACAACTGAATATAAATAATATAATACACGTCGTCGTATACGAACATAAAATGTTATATCGGGAAATGGTTCCGGACAACATGCATAACGAACGATATTCACTTGATATGATGTATCTAACAGATCCCATTCACCATTAGGAACATAATTAGATAATTCAATAGCATGAAAGCGTTGTTCAATTGATACTTGATAACCATTGTAAGTCCAACTACCGAATTTTAATTTGCATTCTTGTTCATCATATGGAAAATAGGTAACATCTATTTGACAAGTACTCTTTAATCGTGTTGGTATTGGCCAAAAAACACTACCATTATGTATAATCATAGCGTTTGCTTGCATTGTATTACTATTGGAGAATTCGTCAGCATTCTAAAAACAAAATTTTGGTTTTACTAATAGAATGGTTTGAGAGAGAGAGAGAGAGAGAGAGAGAAATTATATTTTCTTACATTATATAGAACAATATCAGGTAACCAAATTAATTTTGATGGAAGATTAAGACGACGAATACCATTAAAATCATCTGGATTCCATTGAAGAAATTCGTCAAACCTATAAAAAAAAAATTTTGAAAAATAAAATATTTTATTTCAATTATTTATACCATTCTTGATCTAACCATACGTTTGTAATCAATATTTGATTTTTCTCCATCTAAAAACGAAAAATAGAGTTTTTCATTGTCTGAAATTAACTATACTAACCATATCAAATATTTGTGTCAATGTTAAACCTAATTTAACCGGCACCGGTAGACTAGCATTTCTTACTGGCCGAACATTATTTGAATAATTACTATAAATTATAGGATTTAACAAAATGAAATGAAAAATCTTTGCTGGCTTTAAAAAAAAAGATATATTTATTACCGCATCAAAAAAAATAAAAGACGTTGTTCATCTGAGCAATTAACACTATTTCGATTATCACAATCGAGAAGGACACCAAATGGTGATCGAAAATCTTGACATTTACTCACATCTGCCCAAAAAAAAAGAAAAGAGACAGTAAACATTATTATTATTTTTAGATTGATCATAAAAAAATAGCGAATAGTCTAAATCTAATGAGATGTATATGCAGCTGTTTGTTCTCCTATTGTCAATCGTTGATAAAAATTTTGAATGACAAATCTAGCCATTTACCCTTCAGACAATAGTAACAACTGACGATATTGCACAGTATGGGAATAAGATCATCATAAATATCCATTTTCAATATCATCGCAATAATAAATATATATCCTTCTTAAGAGTGCGTGATCCTATGTCTTGAAAAGAGTTTCTTCTCGTGGATTTAACGAAGCCTATCATGAGAAATAGATGAACTCCTGTGGTGAAAGAATATTCTGATAATTATAAGAGGACACAATGACACGAAGTGATGGCAACCAAAAATATTTGCTGAGTTTAATTTTTTTAAATTATCTACCTACCGATTATTGCAGTGAATATAATCATAATGAATATAATCACCATTGTTAATCGATTATGTGCCATAACATATAATTGTTTCATGTTTGTATGTCTCATTACGAGCTATTGTTCAATTAATTTTGTTTGCTTATTTTTCTTCGGTATAGTTTCGCTGTGCTTTTTTCAACCTAAAAAAAGATACCAATAAATTAAGTGTTGACGAACTATAACGTTCTTTCTTTTTGACGCTATGCTTTTCCGAGACAACATGTCTTCTTTTTCTCTTCTTCATCCGGAGAAATGAAGAAATTAAGAGAGAAACAAACAGAAAGCGAATAGATACAGATTGTTCTTGGGCACATCTACGAGGAGGAGAGACATAGATGAATAGAAGACACAATGATCTTGCATTTTGTATATGTATGTATGTACTAATCACACACATTCTATTATTTTCCATTTGTATATTTATGTATCAGAAAAAAGTTTCGAATAAATAATTGTTTATCTCTCTTTGTTTTGTATGATGCAGACTATTTTACCCGTAAATTTTACTCGCAAAGAGATAAATTATTATTGCCATAGGAATATTATGTGAAGTACATCGAGTCATTTAACTAATAGGGATACAGATGTACATGTACATATTTACATATACAGAGAGTCGGCAATATTATCATAATAGACGAGAATTTATTTTCTCTAACAACAAAAAATCATGTGCATCTGTAATGATAAGTATGATACAAATCGGATTTTTCTCTACGACACGGATAGATTGAAAACATCCGGTTTTTTCTCCATATACATATATATATATATATATATTACCAGGCCAAAAAAGTGTCGCCGTGCGAATTATATTCAGAAAAAAAACAGTCACGCACAAATTTTTTATTAAATATGAACGTCATAATGAATTAAGAGTAATAACAAAGAAACAAACAAACAGCAGAGATAATTAAACAAAAGAATTTCTAGCCTACATACATGTTTATTGATAATTAAAGAAATTTATTTTGTTAATGAATAAATATGCTCACACCGGACCTGTGTTCATCATCAAGAATATCGTGTTTTTTCTTTCTTGTTAAAGATCATTCATTCTCATTCGACTATCCATATTTATATGTTGCGATAGACTGTTCGATCTAATGAGTATTTCATTATCACTACTACCATTTAATGTATGTCGAGATTTCAAAACACTACGAAAATCAATTTGTTTTGTTTCATTTATCATTCGACGTTTGGTTAGCGTGTGTCCAGTAGTTAAATCCTGACCAGTCTTACGAAGTAGAACATGAAATGGATATTTTGGTTGTGTAGCCATTGATGGTTCCTAGAAAAAGCAAAATATTAAATTTTTCAAAATAAAATATGACTCATGCATAAGATAGTTTCTAGAGGCACTTGATGTCTTCTAATATATTATTAACTATCATATTTTGTAGTTTATAAAAATAAGTATAATTTAGAAAATGACTACGATTTCCGATTACTTTCTTTTAATAGAAAATTAGATACTACTGCTTTTCTAGATACAAAGTTACGATTCTTAAATTTTATTATAAGTAAGTTTACATCTATAATTAATATAAATATCAGCATTACAGAAAAAAGTAATGATATACTAGGTGACTAATCGGAGATATGTTGCTGCGAGATATAAACAATGTGACATGTAATTTGGATTATGAACTATGTGGTGCAAAGTATGAGCATAGGTATGTTTACGTATTCGTTAGAAATGGCCTACTGTACTTCTTGTCTAAGAATACAATCCGGATACAATGACATGAAAAAAAACATTCAAAGGACTCTATCACCCTGTAGATAAATGGCCTTGAATTGCCCTGTATGAAAAATAGTCGAATATCACCAAATAATACGAAGGATATTGCAGCGCTTCATAATGATTAATTTGCCATTAGAAATCAATCAATAATCAGCGTCCAACTCTATTACTGATAATGATAATTTGTATTTACCCTTGCAATAGGTTTCGGTAGTTGTTTAGGAGATGATGTAGCATAAGCAGGAATATTGGGTTTATTTTGTAATTTATTATTATTTAAACTACTTGGTCCACTAGGACGTATTCGTGCTCCACTAATATTTGATGAACGATTAGTATTAGCAATGATACTATGGTTAAATTGACCAAAACGTTTAAAAGCAGGCTGATGCACATTAATATGTTGTCTTTGATATTCTTGTACTGCATTTAGAACAGTTGTTGCTTTTGGACTACGACATTGTTCAACACATGGAATTATTTGTGATGTTGTTGAATTTATTGAAATATGATTTTTTATTGCGTTATTGTTACTATTATTATTATTATTATGAGTAGTAACGGATGTTGTTACTTCAGCACGAGCAAAAATATCTCGAACTTGAGCAAATTTCGAAATCGATTGTGTGGGTGATGGAGATCGATTTGAATTTGATGTTAATATTGAATGATGATGTTGATGTTGATGATGATACACGGGAGATAAACGGGATGCAAAAGATAGAATAGAAGACGATGTATTTATTGGAATTTTAATTGGAATAAATGAATCAAAATTTGATATTGGTGATGAAAATGCTCCGAATGATGATGGTAATGGTAATGGTAATGGTGGTGGTGGTGGAAATAAATGTTGAACAATTTTATTATTCGATTGCTTATGATTATGTGTTATTGATTCAATAGATTTTAATGAAACACAATAATTTGTTCGGACAATTTTTATAAAAAAATCATTATTTAGTAATTCAACTTGCTGCAGAAAACAAAGCATTTGTATATTTAAACGTTGTTTATAAAGTGAACAAGCTTTTCGAAAATGAAAACCACGATAACATTTTTGAATTACAATTGCAGCTGTTAATTCAGTTAAAGGTTTTCTAGTTAACGTAAGATAATGACGTCGTTGTATATAACCACGTATACAAGACTGAATACAAATAGCCGCTTGTTCTCGTATTTTTTCATCCATAAATATTGACTACGAAAATGAAAAAGAAAGTTTGTCATGATGTTTGATGCAAAACAAAAAATACTAGAACTAACTCGTGAAAATTTTGGATGCCGATTTAGTTCTTTTATAATAATATCGTTTGAATGTTTATATTGATAATGTTTGACATAAGAACGAATCACATGCATGCGTACATAGGATTGAATTGTTATTACAGCATTGGTCATATCCGAATAAAGACGTGCTAATTGTTCAGCATGATAGTATTTTAAAAACACTTTACTTTTACCTTCAAAAAAAAAAAGAAAAAGAGAACTTCGAGACGTTTGAATGAAAAACAAAAAATATATGCGAGTGCAAACCAGTAGTCCAATTTTGCATTTTTAATTTATGTAAAATATTTTCGCAAGTTTCACGTGTCAGTGGCAGATCCATTGTTATTGGATAAACAAGAATTGAGTAACGTTGAATAAAGTTTGCAAACGGAATACGGTGCGAATAACCAAAACGACGTATCTTTGCCGCTAGCAAGAAAAGAAAAGATCTTTTATAAGCTCTTAACTTCAATGAATATAATTTCATCTATAGAATATTGATAATAGGATCTTAACTAAATATAATTATCTGAATAGGTGCATAGTTTCAATAAATGTTACTTCAAGCATTACAAATATGATTACTAATCAGAGAGAAGAATTTGTAAATAAGATATTCTCATGTACTCTTCGATTAGATAGAGTATTGAAAGACTGAACGACCTCGTGTCACATTTGTTCCAGTTCTACAATTCTGAGAAAACTGGGTCATACCTGGTACATTAGACTTTTCTAACAATATGAAAACAAGTTAATAATAGAGTGAAAAGGATCTAGTTAAAGTTTGAACTATATAATACGATATTTCAGAGAAGTTGTTGGTTCAAATTCGTGTCAACAATTGTTATTTTGGCAATCCGAAATTCTCTGTCAATCTTTAACCTGTAGTAGCAGATTTGATTTAAAAAAAACCTGGTATATCATACAATCAAAAACTGTTTTCTTGAGAATATTTCAAGACAAATAAGATAACTGGTAATCTTGTCACATATTGATCTCAAGCTTTCAATATCGTTAAAACATAATAAGAATTTAACTTAATATTTACTGCTTAAAAGAAATGTTCTTTTTGAGTTTTTGTTTAGAACAATTAATGTTTCTTGATTTTTGTTATCAAACTCTGTTGCGTAGCTTTGTGAAAGAAAAACATCGGCTTGATTGCCTCTAGCGGTCATTTATGATGTAAACGGGAAGTGAAAAACAAACTGAGAAAAATAGTCTGCGTTTGTTTATTCAGATTTTATCTAGTCTTAATCACATAGCCAATTAAATTTCATAAGAGTACTATTTTTTAAGAACTTCATGCACCAGAATTTAGAATTTATCTTAGTATTCAACAGAATCCTACATTTATAATTGAATATTCATGGGAAAACTTAGGTTTTAATATATACTTAAGGCAAATATCTTAATATCTAATATTGTGTAGATTTGGAGAAGTCACTTAAATTAGTCTATAGATTAAATGTCGACTTATATGAGACTGGCAATTACTCAATAGTGCTTCAATTAATACAATGATTGATTGACAACTCAAATTTGAAATCACGAAGATACTTTATTTATCTATCAAAAACTGTACTAACTTGAATACCATTGGTTTAACTAAGACATATTCAAAGTCGACAATAATTCAAAGGCTAACAAAAATTTCTTCGCTTGGTTCGATACTAGATTTAATCTATGCTGTGATCAATGGTTCCATATTTATCGCTTATGGAATATCTCCTATCATTTTGATCTATCATTAAACGAATCTTCTAGTTCATTTTATTTTCATTCATTCATTCATTCATTCATTCAGAATCAACACTGTCATTCTTCAACACTGAAGATACTAGAAATGAGTAATAATTTACCTGCTAAAATACCACTATATTTCAATTGTTCAAGAACAGTTTGCCCATCAAAACAACCTGGTATTCGATCATTATTTGGTTTAAAACAGCGAACAAATTTCGGTGAACCATGAACCATTTTTGAAAAGAGATCTGTTAATGAATATCGAAAATACGTACTAACAGTTGCTTGTAGACGATTATGACTAGCATTCAATGGCATTAATGTATTTGTTAAATCTAAATTTGATTCAATTGTCGTTGTATTGTAACGTTGATCTTCGTTTTCTATTAATGTGCCTGTTTTTGATAATTGCGATTGAAATAATGTACTAATTAATTGAACATGTGATGAACGTAAAATTTGAATAATTTCAGGTGCTAAATAATCACGATTTTTCTCAAGAAAACCACGTGCATCGTATTGAACTTGACCAGCAAAATGCATTATTGAAAATGATGGAATCGATTGATGAGTTGACGATGAAGCAGAAGATATTGAACTCGATGAAAAACTTGATTTTGATCTTATATATAATGGAGAATTGGAAAAGTTTGCATTCAATTTATCTACCAATGTATAATCAGTTGCTTTTGGAAAGCGACTTTCTTCATCAATCAATGCTAATATTCCAACCTAAATCAAATTCATTATTTGTTAGTGTCGTCCAATACTTTCAAGGGGTAAAAATAGTTGCATTACTAGTTAGTTTGTTTGCTTCATGCTTTCAACTCAAATTTACAGTCGTTTTCATTTCGGAATTTCATCAAATTAAAGAAAATATCATAACTATCAAAAAGTGTTTCCTACTACCCGTTCATGTATTTAGTCTAATAAAAACAGAAACTTTACTCAAATATAGCTCATAAATATGATCGACAGCCAAAGAGCAGTTCGAACAGGCAGACAGTAAATTGAACACATTGTAACAGCTAAATATGATTTCTAACAGTCTATGAGCAAATCATACATAAGATATCGTTAACAGAAATTGAAGCAAAAAAAAATTAGATTTTGCTGAATTAATCAATGATAAATAGAGTTCACAATGCTGCTCTTAACTATATACTTCAAAATGTTTTTGATCATATTTTAAACAATAAATGAACGAGGTGCAACAAAACATAGTTTTCTTCCTCGATTATCCAAGATCAATTTAGAATACGCTGGTGATTCTACTAAAAACAAAATCTTTTTTTTTATTGACGATTGCATCATATGATATATACATGAATTTGCTCACTGTGATTCGATCTTATTCAAGGTAACAATGCATTCACCTTGTTCATGTGTCTCTCCTTTCTGAAATAATATTCCATCCACTTATTGAGAACAGCAAGTATTTATTTTTCATTTCTTCGAAACTCAATACAAATCCGATAGATTTCTAGCGATGTGTTGAAGTAGAATATATTATCTAATCCGACGGACAGTATGCTAATAAGTGCATTTCGTGTATCGAATGATTTTCGTAAGACAATCGGTTAAAAGTAAGTGTGATCAGATGACAACCTTTGTCTCAGTGGTCTATCTTTATTTTAAGACTTTTCAAGTTAATACGACTTTCATACACAATGACATCTTTAGTCTATTTACAGTATGAATGTGATTAAAAATTGAATGGAGATTTTGTTCTCATGCAAATCCATTTTTTTCACTTAAATCCTATGCAACTTACTGGCTTATTGAGAAACATATCAAGTAATGGTCTATTATCATAGAATGTAAAATCCATTTTTGGTGGTAATGGTAAAACAGCCAAATTCTCATTAATATATTCTTGTCTTTCACATGCAAAAACATGTTGATTGAAATAATATTGAATTTGTTCATTTGCTATATTAATGCATAATTGTTCAAATGAATTTGTTGAAAAATTTTCAAAACCAAATATATCTAAAATAGCTATTTTGAGTGCATCCTTATCTCCGTTTAATTCATTCATTGGTTGAAGAGGTAATTTATTTTGTTTAACTGCCACAAGCGGAAATGGTGGTAATTGTTTAGGATTTATTGCAATATTATTTGATGATTGATAATGTTTTTTAAGATTATTTTCAGCTGTTTGTTTTCTCAATGATAAATCTATTTCACTTGCTGCACGATTTGATAAATTTAAACGTCCTTGTTTTGATGAAGGATTATTTTTTTTATCAGGACTTGAAATCCAATTTGATGATGCAGCAGCAACCTTGGTCCAATTATCGATTAGATTTTTAACTTGTTTTTCATCATTTCGACAATTTTCAGGTAATGATTTAGTATTCATATCATTAATTCTACTCGGTGAATGATGATGATGATAATGGTGATGATGATGATGATCATTAAATTTATTATTACTATTATTCGAATTCGGAGGCGATGGAGATGGAGAAGAAGTAGTACTGGTATTATTATTATTGTTATTATTTAAATTTAAAATATTATCATCAATATCATCATCGTTGACATCGTCATCTTGTTTTAATTGAAGTAAAAATGTTGGAGATGATGATGTCTTATCAAGATAGTCAAGTGTACGGCGCATTGCACACATCACAGTTGGTGGAGGATATGATGTTATTGTTGTTAAATTTAGATTATTTAAATCGTTTTCAACATCAAAATTTTCATCGACTTCATTTTCACTTTGATCATCTTGATTATTGTTATTATTTATATTATAATTAGTAACTTTATAGGATCGAATACTTGATTCTTCATCTATATTTGAATTGGAAACATCCTTCGAAATATTAGATGATGGAGAAAGAAGTGCCGAAATTCGATTAACAATCCAAGAAAATAAACGATTGTAAACTAAAAATAATAGAAACTGTGAAATAAAATTTTATCCGCACGAAATTTAATTTAATTCAGAATTTAGTTATTTTACTCAAAGTATTATCTTGAGAAAAACAGAAATATCGTTTCTCGCTTTACGCTAGATAAAAATATGAAAAACAATCTAGCTGCTGTTACTAATAAGCAGCCTCTGCTTTTTTTTAGAAACAAAGATCGAAATATCTCAACCGTTTTTTGTGCATTCTAAATCATTAGTTGAGAAACATTTCAGTAAAAAACAATTTTTAGTTGCAAAAATTATTGTTTATATAGAAGTTTTTTCATACGAAGACAAAAAAATGTGTCAGATTATTGCCAGTCGATGGATCAAAATAAAATCCTTACAAAATGAGATAGCAGAACGATTTTAAATTCATCTTGAAAAATATTGAGTGATCACCTATAAGAAGAAAAAGTGCATCGGATCTGAATTATCTGAAAAATTAACATTAAAATTAGACAATCCAATTTGTTGTTCTGACATGAGAAGTACTATTTTCTACTAATAAGATATCAACGGAAGAGCTAACTATCAAGAGATCAAATTATCAAGGAAAAAATGATCATAAATATTTCGAATGAGCTTATTTCCTTCCGCATATTGATGTAAATAAATTTTGACTTAAACATGAAGTATCACTCACGTTATGATCGACGAATATTCATATACAAAAATTATTGTTTCGTTTCCTGACAAAAGAACAACATATCAATCGATAGTCTCCGGAAAAATCAAGAGTAGAGATGTGTGGGATCGAGGTTACCGGAAATAGATGTTGCCGATACAATAATTAAAGCTGTTATCCAAACCGGAACTAACAAGCATAGTTAAATATGCAATGATTCTAAGAAAGCTGTCGTATAAATTATATCGATGAAAACATGACTCAAAGAATATGATTTAATAAAATTCTAGTCGTAAAATAAATAGATAAAAAAATCTTGAAATTAAAAAACAGCAATACAACGCTGTTGAAATTTTCATCTGATCTAATTCTGATTCTAACGATTGAATTCAAGATATCAAATAGAAAAGAAAAGGTTGTTGTTCGATTTCAATTTCTACCGAGAATAACTTACGTGCTTTTGCCATTGCATCTCGTGTCGATTGTGATTCTTGTAGTGTTGTTGAACGTTGAATTGTTTCGCCTCGTGTAACAATATTACATGTGGTTAATGCTAAATCAAATTGTGCTATATCCAAACCAAATAATTCACAAACAATATTTAATAAATATCGATCCGTTAAACATGTTTTTCCATCAATAAAATAGCCTTCGTTCTGATGAAAATTTATATTTCCAAGATGTAAAAGTCCAGCTAAAATACGATAAATTGATTTAATTTCATCATATTGAAATCCAATAATTTCAAAACATTTTTCTATTGCTGCAAATTTTTCTTTGAAAATTTCCGATAAATCTTGTTCATCATTTAAATCGGTTTTTAAATATCTATAGATTTGATTTTTTGATAAATAAAATGCTTGTTCATCATTTGGTCTAGAAGATGCTAAACCATGAAATAGATAATAGAAAATATGAAAATTTCTTTCTGCATGTCCTTGATTAACAACACGAGTTTTTTCTAATAAATATTCCGATAGACGTGCACCAGTGACTCGTCCTTGCTTTGTAAATAACATTTCAAGATATTTACCAAAACGTGATGAATTATCATTAATAATTGTTCGTGCATTACCAAAGCCTTCAATTAACGGATCAATTTGTAGTATTTTGTCTTGTAAAATTTTATTTGGTGCATTGCCAAGAAATGTCAATTGTTTAACGAGAAAATTTGCTGACTGAGTTTTACCTGAGCCACTTTCACCTGATATAACAATATATTGATTATCTAAATCATGTAACATAGCTTGATAGGTAAAATCTGCTAAAGCATATATGTGTGGTGGTTGTTCACGTTTTATACTTGAACGATAACGCATCATCGCATCTTTACCATATATTGGTAACGAACGGAATGGATTAACAGCCTGAAAAAATTGAGTAGAAAATAATTTCTTTAGAAAAATCTTTCATAAACTTACAACAAGAATATCACCAATATAAGTATAAATTTGATTTGATAAAAATCGATTATACATATAAGTTATAATGGCTTGTTCATCGAAATTTTCTAATTGTGCTAGATCATCTGTTGAAATTACATTATTCGGATAAGTTGAATCATATGTTGAATTATAGAAAAATGTATTAGACGATTTTTTCATCAATGATGGATGACGAACAGGTACATCTTCAGAACTTGGATCATATAAATAAAATTGTGATGAAGGATTTTCATTGGGTACAGCTTTTGGTTGTCGTCGAGATTGAGGTTTTCGTTTTGTTTTATAGTTTTGATTAAGGCATCCATTCTCAACAGGTGGTGGTGGTGCTGGCCGTTTATGACTTTCGTGTGGTTTAGTTATCATTTGTAGCATACGTTTTGATGATTGAATAACTGTTTCAACTGCTGGTAAAAATGCTGCTGCTGCTGAAGCGGCTTCAATTCCCATTGATGAACATGTTTCTGATTTTCCTCTGATATGCCCATTTTTAACACCACATGTTTCACGACTCGTTTTTTTAACACATAAATCGTAACAACGTTTATTGCATTGAACTATTTGTACAATATGACGACGCGCTTCAGCACCATCATTCGGTATCTGTGTTAAAAATGGATGAGTTAACATCAATCCAACGGTAGGTCGAGCTTCGAAATCTTTTATTAAACATTGGCGAATAAAATCATTAAATTCATGTGACCATTCTTCCGGTTGACGTAAACAAGGAGGTGGATTTCGAGGAATTGAAACAAGTGCACGCATTGGATGCATTTCAGCAAGTGGAGGTTCGCCTTGAAAATATCATAAAATAAAATAAAGTGTTAGAAAACAGTGATAGTACGAACCGTCTAGAACTAAACTGTAAACTTTTCCATGTGTTCTTTAGTCTCACTCAATACTAACACAGAATGTATCAAGTAAAAAGTTTTTAGTCAAATTTAGTTGTTTTTTCAATAGTAACTAAGTCATTTGTGCATGGAGAAAAGATATTCGCTTCCTACTGTAAACTTTTCTATGTTAATCATATAATGATTGTAGTCTATTAATCAATATTACTTCTACAAATTCTCGACATCTAAAATACTAATTTGTATCTGTATCAAATAAACGAACTGCGCTACTCAAAACATATTTCAATCATTCAAATTTCGAAGAAATCTTTCCGATTCTCTAGAAAAATATCAATCTCATTGCTAATACCACGCAGTATCTTTTACTTGTTGATAAAATATTTCTGAAAGATAGCCAAAACTCTAATATACCCGATTTTATGGGATCTATGATTGAGACTAGTCACAAAAGAAAATCGAAAACTACCTTCAGCTATTTCAATAGCTGTAATTCCAGTTGACCAAACATCAGCACGTGTATCATAATTACAATCCATTTGTCTCTCACATGCAATAACTTCTGGTGCCATAAAAAATGGTGTACCCACAGAAGTATTACGTCGTCCATTGTTTGGATTAAGATAAGCACTAACACCAAAGTCAATCAATTTAATATGACCATCACCTGTAATTAAAATATTATGACCTTTAACATCACGATGAACGACATTATTTGAATGCAGATGGTACAAAGCGTTCAATGTTTCACGCATGATATAAGCAATAATAAATTCATCAAGACGTTCATGTGCTTTAAGCATTGATTTCGCTAAATCAGTAACACTACCACTTGTACATAATTCCATAGCTAACCATAATTGATCGAGATGATAAGCTGCAGATGTTGTTGTTGGACTAATACAACTGTTTATTGTATTAGTTTCAACAGATAGTAGACTTGTTTTATCAACAGGAGCTGGTGATGAAAGTACTGGATTACGAGGAGGAGGTGGTAATGGTGGTGGGCCACGTTTTACATAAGCACCATAAAATCGACAAAGATTGCTATGACTTGAAAGTTCAAGAAGTACACGATATTCTTGTTCAATTTCTTCGAGAACTTCATTAGTTAAATGCATAATTTTTATAGCCGCATAGAAATCTGGATTACGAAGATTTTTTGCCTAGAATAAAAATAATTGATCGAATTCAAAGAGAAATGAAATAAACAAGAGATTTGTGCTTTCGTTTGCTTACACGAAATACTTCTCCATAGGTACCATCACCAATATTTTCAAGTAATTGCCATTCACGATCTGGCGATTGCAAATCATCGATTCGAAAAGAATTTATCTTTTGATGATTGGGTGTTACCAAAGCTGGTTGCTGTGGTGGTGGTGGCGGCGGTTGCTGTTGTTGCCGAGATGGTGGTCGTGACCGAGTACGTGGTGGAATAGGTGGTGTTGGTTCCGGTGGTGGATGATGATGATAAAGTAATTGTGGCATTTAAGATCGAACAGAATCAAATCAATTTTAATTCTCAATCGATCAGCTGCTAAAGCAGTAGGAAGACTAAAAAACAAAAGCGACGTGATTGTCAATGTTCTTCTCTCATATTGAACACAGTTGATGTCGTTTGTTTCTCTTGTTCTTTTAAGCCATTCAATCAATAAAACCACACCTTATAACCAACAAATCATTAGTGAGCACACGTATCGTCAATTAATTTTTATTCTCTATCCGCAAAACAAGATAGAATATTGTTTATATTACATTTTCTTTTGACTTTCTCTATCTCTCGTCAACGAGATATTCTCTGTTAGAATGAATGATCAAATAGCATATTGGCCTTTGTTGAAGATGAGTAAATCTTGATTTTTGACTTTAATTTAACATCTGTATCTAACATAAGTGAAAGTCAACAAAAAAACAAAGGTTGTCTCTTACTCGATTCGTCCGTAAATATACTGATCGGTAGCCAAGAATGGGATTGAGACAATAATTAAAGCTAATCTCTCGTAATGAATACTCAATTATTGATATTAGACAAAAGAAAAAGTCGAATAATCTTATCGAAAATAACACGTACGAGTATTAGTTTCATGATATGTAAATACAGATTTGTGTTCGTCGTTGTTTTTTTCTCTATCATAAATCGACAGGTATTGTTCATGAGTGAGCTAGTTTTTGTATCATGTATTAGACAATATCAACATTGTGACTACTTTCAAATTTATTAAGAGAGAATGAAGAAAAAAAAATCAATTTTATTTATATTACTGGCCTATTTGATAATATTGTTTGAGGAATGTTACGAATATAAAAATGATCATAAAATCGCCTTTATCTAAGAAAGCCGTTGTGGTTGATTGTCTCTTTGAAACTACTTTGGTTCCATCAGATTTCTTCGCTAATACCAATGACTCGAACTACTGTATGTTCCGATGAAAAGTTCCTATCTCTTTATGAACCTTTTTTTTTATATTGATGACATAGAAAAATTGATTGGAAATAATCATAAAATTAATATCGAAGAATAATATCATGTTTTACTCAGTCAGCAATCGTGAAAAGTGATAAAGCTGATGACTATTATTATTTTGGATGGAATAACAATTATCTGTTGTTTAAAGGTAGATGCTGTGTTATCAAAAGACTCATATTTATTGCGGCTAATCTATATCAGAGAACAATTTTGAGTCAAAGCATTGCTTTGATCTATGGATATCCACTTGGATAATTATATCAATGTATACTTTTCTGTTGTACTCATACAAGAGGAAAGATTTAAATGAAAGAAATGAAGTGAAACGGTCATCTACGGCTAGAAACATTTGTCCTCTATGAAAACAAAACAATTCTTCATTGGATGGCTACTTGTCAAGAAGAATTCCCTAAGATGTATCAGGTTGTAGATGAATGCTCAACAATCTTATCATAATGTTTTAAATTAACCACAACAAATAACTTAGACGTTCGACTTTAGAATATCTTTAAGCTATTTTCCAATTCTCGAATAACTTTAATTTCAAAACATAGGCGAGAAAAAATGGTTACAAGTGATTATTTAAATGAATAATAATAGTATCTTCACGTTATGTCAATGTATCCATTCTCTCATGCACGCAGAAAAATATGGTTCTTATTCAAATAAAAAGGTCTTATGATTATGAAGGTATACGCATAATATTTCATTCATAGAAGTAATCGTGTTCATTTTTCGTTAGAGAACTGTATTTACTCGATGATTCCTTATGGCATACATTAATGCGGATTTTTTTTCGTTTCTGTTGAACTTTTTTTTCCTACCAAGGGCATCAGGTAAAGTGAGCAGGAGTTTCTCACCTGCGCCCTCTATTGAGTTAAATTGCTCTTATCAACTAAGATCAATCCGGAATATACCTTTTTCATAACATCCATGGTGTCCTTTCAAACAGAACAAACAACGAACAAGGTCACCGATAGTTTGAAATCAGAATAATTATTTTCAAAAGTCTTTTCTTTCATCGAATCATGATCTAATGTTCACCTATATTTTAGATGATTTTTCATCTCATCACTGTGTTTTTCTTTTCTTTTCAATCGATTACTTTCGCACAAGTACTCAGTAAGTGATAAAAAAAAAACTCTAGTTAATTCACTAAAATGCTTGATGCATGTTTCTATTTCATTTAACCTTTGTAATTTTTTTAACCTAAAAAAGAATGTCCATACGGTTGGGAAGAATTTATTGGCACGGCTTCATGCTATCGTTTTGTACGTTATCCAAAGGCAAATAGTGTGAATGCTGCTGGCCTTTGCCAGGTCTGCTGAATTCCTTAAATAGCTTCTTTTTTTTCTTTATAAAGTAATTATCTAGACTGATCTACTAAGTGTTGAATCATTACCGGAACATTTATTCATACAAAATCTATTAAGTAAGAATGATCCATCAACTCAGAATTGGATAACCAGTGGACGACGCAATGGACCATTTTGGCAATGGATTAAATCAACTGGTCCAATAAATTTACAATATGATCAAGGTTGGTTACCACAGACAGCTCAAGATCAACAAATACGATCTAATCTTGTTTATGGTTATCGAAGTAGGTTATAAATATTTTTCGAATTTCTATTATCATTTTTTCTTTCCATGTCCATTATAGGTAGTCAATGGGGTTGGTTACCATATGATATTGCACCGATGGAAAACTTGCCATTTATTTGTGAAGTCCCTATACGAGATACTTACGGTGTTACAACGAATTATAGAGGCATTGGTAAGTGAATATACATATGTTTTAATTATTGTTAATAATGAAAATGTTTAATTAGAGTATGGCCTTCCATCAAATATTGAACAACGGTTTATTCCAAGAGCACCAAAATTTTATGAACAACCACAAGATCAAGAATTTGGTCGTATTGATCAAATTACACTTGGTGTTGGTAGCACATTTGGTGTTAGTAAATTATCTTTAGCGGTTGTTGTGACATTGACATGTCGAGTTGATGCTTATCCTGTTGCTGATTATTAGTATGCAAATTTAAGAGAGAAAACGATGAAAATTAAAAGAAAGAATTTTTTTGCATTTCAGCTGGTTTCGAATGACTGGTGGTTCTATATCCGAAGCAGTATTAGTTAATCTGAATGAACCTCGGTATTTTCAACATGGTGGGAACCTAATGGTAAATATATAGTTCGCTGTTTTTTTTAATCAATATGTTTTTAGTCTTGTACAAATCTAAAAATATGATGGAATGTATCTTTTTCTCAGAACGTACCCTGCTATTATAGTTCGTAATATTAAACTTTTATTTTTAGTTTGAACACAAAGATTATTTGTTTTGTCTTAATCTAATTGAATAGAAAGTTTGACTTAAAATCTAATCATCTCTGTTATAAGTGAAGTAGAGTTAAGTTGTGTTAACTTATTTCTTATTTTTTTGCTATGATGAATCTGACTTATTCTGTGAGTTGTAAAGTCGATATTTTTATAAATTTTAGAAAAAAAACGAAGAATTAATACGCATATCATCTAATGGTAGAAGAATTTTTTTCGTATCTGAAAGTTGTGTCATGTTGAATTCTCTCGTTCAAGTATTTATTTAATGTTTTTATAAAACATTTTCTGGTCAAAATCACAATGAACTCGTAGAGAAAACCTTGGTAGAACTCGTGAAATAGGACGGTTTTATTTGCGATTACATTCAATGCTGGAGTTGATACGAGAATTATCTCAACTATTGAGAAACTTTAAAATAAGATTTGTCGAGATCTGTAATTAATTGAACTTTAGGTTATTTTTTATCCAGTATTTGAAATTTTAATAATAAACATTTATCGATTATCTCTTTAGATTAATATTCCAACAAGTGATGATAGTGGAACATATTTTTGTAAAGCTTCAAATTTCTTTGGTACAGCTATAAGTAACCGTGTATATCTACGTGAAATAAGTACGTATGAATATTTTTTAAATGTCAAATAAACATGTAGTGTTAAATTTCTATTTAGTTTTGGATCAATTTGAAAAACGTGAACGACCAAAAGTTATTGCTGATGGTCATCGTGATGCCATTATCGATTGTCTATATAAAAATACAAATACTCGAGATGTAACGCATCAATATTTATTCTTTTGTTCTCTTTTATATAAAATATTTTAATTTGATTTTATAGCTCAGCTACGCTTGGTTCAAAGGAGGAATAAGTCAAAAAGTGCAACAAACTGCCGAACGTTTCATATCTCAAAATGGAAATTTATACTTTTCTCGTGTTACAGATGGTGACTCAGGAAAATATTATTGTGCTGTTCAAGCAAAAAACACACGTCTTCGCTATTTGCCATCTCAAACGAGTGAAGGTACAGAATTAGATGTCCGTTCAACATTTGGTCAAGAGCGCAGTCCGCGTATCTATCCAAATTTTCCACAAGTATTTCCAACATCACGTTTACCAAAATTAGGTGAAAATGCTTCATTGGAATGCATAGCAGAAGGCTATCCTGTTCCTGTTTATCGTTGGTATCGTGAAGATGAATCTAGTAGTTTCAATCCATTACAATCAAAAGCTATTTTACTTAATTTTAATCGTGAATTAATTATACCAAATTTACAACGCGATGATATGGGTTCATATCGTTGTGAAGCATCAAATACGCGTTCACTTGTTCATCAATCAGTAGCATTACAAATACAGATCGATCCAGTTTTTGTTGTACCCCTTGATGATCAAGTACTTGATATTGGAACTGTTTTATCGTGGTATTGTGAAGCATATCCAAATGATGTAAATCAAATACGCTATACATGGTTCATTAATGGTACAGAAATTTTTTGGGAACGTTTAACATTAGCACAACGACAACGTTTAACAATAGCTAATAATCTTTTAATGATAAATAATGTTCAACCATATGATAATGGTATCTATCAATGTGCAGCGATGAATACACAAAATAATGTACAACGTTTTAGTACAGCTGAATTGCGTGTTATTATATTGGCACCCACATTTGGAAAAAATGCGATGGTATCAACATTACGATCAACTGTTGGCGGATTAGTAACTATTGTTTGTAATCCAGAAGGGGCACCTAGGCCACAAATACAATGGTTCAGAGATAATATTCCTTTAAATCCTGGAGGCACTGTACAAATTTTTCCTAATGGAAATTTAGCTATTACAAATATTCAATTAATGGATGCTGGTAAGAATAACAATGAATATCATCGAGGCTCTAAACTCGTAGAAAAGTTGAATAATCGATAAAAATAGTTTCAATATATTAACTGAAAACCATTTACTGTTTTTCAAGAAAAAACAATATTATTTTCACCTAAAAGTTGCAAAATATTCTATCAATTATACGGGGAAATATTTGAGATGGACGTTTTTCTCTTAAATGTTCATTGTGTCGCTAAAAACTTATCAATATGAATCATAGTTTCTACAACAATGATCAAGATTTTTTGTTATTTTACAATGTTACCTACTGTCATTGAGAGCTACCTATGAGTAAAAGCATAACCTTGATCGAGAGTCTCATTTCGTTCTTGTCTAGTTTTACAATTCGAATAAAATATACATAGATCCACAAAATAAAATAACCAGTATCTTTTGAAACAATTAAATAGGATTAGGAAAGCATAAAGAAACTATGCCATATAATCATCCGCTATAGTGAAAAGTTTTTCAGATCAAAATCTATCTTTATTTCAGGTAATTACACATGTATGGGAACGAATCCATATGGTCAAGCACAACAGAGTACCTATGTTTATGTAATGCCAGAAGGTACAACAATTATTTCAACCCCCGGTGGACGTGATGTTATCTTAGATCAAACTATCGTTATTCCATGTGATGCTCGCTCCATGAATCAAATGGATTTAACATTCTATTGGCGTTTTAATAATGAAATTTTAACAATTGATAATAAACGTTTTCGTCAAGATAATCCCGATCGTCCTGGTGATTTACGTATTATTAAAGCTCAATATGGTAATTCTGGACGATATACATGTGTTGCACAAACAACAGTTGATGAACAATCATCATCCTATCAATTAAATGTATATGGACCACCTGGCCCATTGGCTGGCGTACGTTGTACACAACCATTTCAACGTCAAGTTACATTAACTTGGGTCGTTGGTAATGATCATGGTGCGCCAATATTACATTATACAATTGAATCTTTATCGAATCATCGTTCGTGGTGGATTTTTCATGGAAATTTTACAATACCATCACCACCGAATAAATTTGTAACAATGACATTACCTGGTTTATCAGCGTATACAGATTATCGTTTTCGTGTATTTGCAACAAATATGTATGGATCAGGTGAACAATCAGAAGTTTCACCACCATGTGTAACACAACCAGATATTCCAGGTATAGCACCAACTGGATTAGGTGGTGGTGGTGGCAAAGTAGGAGATTTAAGAATTGTTTGGGACCCACTACCAATGGATTTCTGGAATGGACCTAGTCTAACATATAAAATTTACATACAAAGACAAGGTGAAAATCGACAAACAGATTACAAAGTATCTGATCCACTTCGTAACTTTTTTATTACTCGATTGTACGTAAACAAAAAAAGTTTTAATATAAACATATTGATGTCTTTTTTTCTTTTTCTATTATTATTATTAGAGCTGATAAACTCTATTATCATCCATACAACGTCCGTATTTCAGCTGTAAATGCTCTTGGCGAAGGACCTATATCTGGCAATGTAACAATTCATTCAGCTGAAGATCGTTCAACACGACAAGTATCTAATGTTAAATGTAATCCATATAATAGTACAGCAATGATTGTAACTTGGGATATGATTGATGAAAATGATCGTACTATTTTACATGGTCGTTTATTAGGTAATGAAATTAAAACAATTTTTTTAAAATTCTTATGAATTTTTATCTCTATTTAGGTTATACTGTTCGGTATTGGCGTAAATCTGTTGATGAACTTCAAAATTATTGGGAACGCCGTTTTCCTGGCCAACACTCACGTGCTATTATTATTGGTCTTGATTCAAATATTGAGTATGCTGTACGTGTATTCGTTTACACGCAATTTGGTGATAGTTCTGAAGGTAGTGTTTTTTCACATCGTACATTCCGTTTACCTCCACAAACTCCACCACAATATATAACTATTCGGCAACCAAGACGTGAAAAAGATAAACGTACACGACTATTTGGCGATGTATACATGTATAAATTAGAAGTTGAATGGCGTGGAATATCAACAACAGCTGATGAAGAACCATTAGAAGGTTATATGGTAAGACAATTGTGGCTGTTCTTTAATTAAAGAGAAACAAAACTTTCACATATATATATATATATATATATATATTTATTTAGGTTAAAGTTTGGGAACATTATCAATCGATACGAAATGCAACAATTTATTATGTTGACGGTTCAAAATATAAATTAATAATTGATAATTTATATAAAAATCGAAATTATAAATTACGTGTTCAGGCTTGGTCACTTGGAGGAGAAGGAAAATATTCATCGCCAGAAAGAGAATTTCGATTTGGTAAGTTTTGATTTCGTACAATTTTAGTTACTTTTTGCTTACTTTTAATCTTCTTTATTACAGATCACGATGGACGTTTATTGATACGTAAGTTTATTTATTGTTATTTTTATCACATATTCATGAACGAAATGAGACAACAGTCGCGAGAAATTTCTCTGAAAATGGATTCTCAATCTTTTCATATACAATTCAAAATCTACCTCTGTATCTCTTTTAATAAACTCATATTTCAACGAATCACTAATAGGATAAATATTCTTTCAGTACACTGGTATCGAAGAGAAACAGTAGTTAACCATTGTTCTATTATTATTTGAGGATTTCTCAAGAATTTTGATTCCATTTTGATTTTTTACTTGTATCCTATGCCATATTTCATAGTACATTGATATTGTCTTACTGCACATTTGAAGCGTACTATCTAAACAGTTCATAATAAAAACTGCCATTGGATTTACTTTAAATGCAAGAAATCTACATTGATAGCAAATTTTGTCAAATCCATTTTAAACTAATATCTAAGAAAATTTCGTGTCCATTTCAATGATATGAGTGTTGATTTTGAGAATTATTTTTGTTTGTTCCAATACTGACATTTATGAAACAAAAACAAGAGTATGCATTTTCTCTGAGACGTATTATTTATAACTAGTACAGAACCATAGAAGTGCCTTGAAACAAGAAAATTCGAAGAATAATCGCTATTGCTATTTGAAACCTCACCAAGAGAGGATGCGAAAAACGTTTATCAATGTAGTAGTTCTCTCTGAAGATCAACAGGATGCTTTTTTTTATTGATAGCAATTTAGAAAAATAATTTACTTTGATTTCAGTCTATAATCCTGATACAACTCTTATTCATCTTAATAAATCTACAAAACAATATTCATCATTAATCATATCGTTTATCTTGCTCATTCTATGTTGGCTACTCAAATAAATATGTATGCTTACATGTTTCTCAATCGCAATCAGATCTGTGTCCTGTGTGTATTTGTATTTTTTATAATTCTCTCATACGGCTATTAATATTTCATTGATTACTACATTCCGTTTTACTTATAAAATATATGAAATATACCTGTTTGTTTTTTAGACTATTTTTTCTTTGTATATATTTCTTCTTTCTTTCTTTCTTATTATTACCGTCCTTTGTGTCGAACTATCTGTTCTTTGTTTTTGTATTCTTTATTTACCATTGTGCAAAACCTTTTGATTTCACAATGTATTTCATTTCTTCTTCGTTTTTTTTGCTGTAGATATGTTCTATAATGATAGCCAATTTTATCGCACATTCTATAAGCAATTACGTTCTTTTTCTTTTTCGTATTTTGCTATAATCTGAGTGGTTCTCGATGAAAGAATTTGAAAAATAAACAACACTATCAATCACATAAATATATACTTAAATTGTATTAATGGAAAGTACCTTTTTGCTTCCTAGCCATGCAGATATCATAGGAGTCGTACTGTATTACATATTCTCAGTTTCTTCTGTTATAAATTTATGCTCGACCAATTATCAATAGTCTTTCAGAATAATTCGTATGGTCCTAGTTATAGTTACCTTTTTGATGTGTAACTGTAAAGACGATGTTCTTGTCGATAATTCGCCATCTTATTGAACCATTTTTATGAAATGTCTTTTGAGCTTTCAGTAGGGTGTTACTTTATATTTACATTATGAAATAAATATAAATAAAATGTTTATATTTGTAAAATAAAGATAAATAAATCAGATAATTCGAAAAAATAAATATAAAGTTAGCAATTTTTCTATGAGCGAAAAAGGAACAAATTTCTGATGTAAAAAGAGGGGGGGGGGCTACTTGCAATTGGCCAGATGAATGAATCCGACAGGGAATCCTGTCGGATCTCATGGGATCCAACAAGTCGACAAAATCCGATCAGATTCCTGGTCACGAACCTACTAACGGATCCGACGGAAAAAAACATTTTCTTAATCACCAATGAATGAGCATATGGTACCAACAGAACACATGGGTCGAATGCTTATGTTGGATTCCATTAAATTCCGACAATGGAATCTATCGGATTCCAACACTAAGGTTTCGATTGTCGGTCCCACACCCAGATACCGATAGGATCCCACTGTCGGAATCATTCTCCTGGGTGTGTGGTACAAAATATTTTCGTCGATTACAAATTCAATGTATAGAATGAGGATTTCCGCTTTTAGCGTGAGGGAAATGTTGCACTTTGTTCCAGGTGTACACAATAAGTAATCAATCTCTGATCATTTTTAAAAGCACTATTATTACTGTTCCTCAATGACGACATTAGTTAAATTGTCCAGCTCACCGTTTTAGTAAATGGGTTTGAATGTTCGTGTTTAAAACGTACTGACAATAATTGATTAACTGTTGGATTTATATCTTTGAGTCATTTATCGATATATTGTAAATAAGAAATTGTGATTCCTTCCAGAATATACCCTATCGATAGAATAGTATGAGTTCATCAGAAGAAAAATAAAACTCATGTATATATACATATTTGAATATTATATTCTCTTTATGATTAGCTATTATTCGTTGTATCTATATATATATTAGAAAACCACTTTAGTCTATATGAACAATCTCTCTAGATTGGTATGGTTTGTAATTTTACTTCTATATGTAATTACGATTCAGAATATCAGCTACCTTACCTTTTAAGATAAAATTCTATTTATTTATCATCTTTTTCGTGGTACTAGTACAATTCGTCGCACGACAATTCGTCGCGATCAATTCGTCGCAATCAATTCGTCGCATGATCAATTCGTCGCAGAACAATTTGTCGCGTTCTGTTCGTCGCATATTTTTTTCCNTTATTTATCATCTTTTTCGTTTAGATTCAGCTAAGGAGTTGTAATTAAAACTAGATGGTATTCGAGTTTCACTCGTATACGAAATGCGATGCGAAGCAAGAATCTGGATTTCCAACGAAAAATCATGAATTCGAAGAAATCTTGAATACTTGTTATGTAGCCTTAATGGTATTCATCACTGAGAAAACTCTATTCCTACTTAGCGATACATTCTCAAAGATCGATTTCGATTAAACAATGAATTATCTCTATGATTCATTATCTAACGACATTTATGACTGAATGGAACTTCAGATTGAAGTTTCGAAAACAGATGTTAAAAGTTCCATTTTGATACTTTCATCTCCCGCTTCAATGAGTTTTCTGTGATTTTCTGTTCACGAGATCATTCGGTCACAAAATGACAATTCGCGATGCGAACGCCGAGAAAGTAAAAGAAAAAAAAACTCGCAACGGACTACATAAATGCTATGCTTCGCATCGCATTAATAACTATTGACTTTCAAAGTCTTTTCGAAATAGAAAAATAACAGAAGCATTGCCGATTTTCTTGAGAGTACGAAAAACAAAGAAGAAATAGACATTCACGTTACTCGAAATAAAAACTGGCAATGAGAACTTTTTCAAAAGAATGCGATAATACTACTACTGTTCACTGTAAAAAATACTGTATGTAGCAAGTATCTGCTCTAAAAAACTGTTCGATTTCCACGTGAAGCTGTATTCGTCATGAAGCGATCTTCATCTCCTAAAGGAACAATAATTGATTTGGATTTAAAGGAGCCTTTAATGGCATCGCAAGCTGATGTTAGATAGAAAAATCAGCCTGAAAATGAATTGAAGATATTGCACAATAATTTCTTTATTCTTCATTTACTAAGGCTCCGCTGATTTGATTAAATTAAAGATCTCTGTTTTGTGCACGAAATATATTTTGTAACAGCACTTTTTGAATGAACTTGTTCGAATTAACCTGTGTTCTGTTATATTGTATCAGGTATTTGTTTCTTTGTCGCTCATAGAAAAATTGCTAACTTTATATTTATATTATATTTATTTCTTCTAATTATCTGATTTATTTATCATTGTTTTATAAATATAAATGAACACCTCTAGCTTTCAGTAGAAAGAGAAGTCGTTTTTTGTTCAAAATACTCCAAAAAAAAGGCTCGATTTCAGCAGATATAATATTCTTTAGAGATTAGAATTTTGGTGATTTTCAAAATATAACTGCAGAAAATTCTGTAGTTACAAGAAGAAATGTTTTAAATAAATATCTGTCAGCTTGTTTTTGCTTTAAAAACAAAATATTCGAACGTATAGAAAAAATAATTTATTAAGAAACGTTGTGAGCTTTACATGCCATTCATATGATCGCATCATTTGGCCTATAAAAAATTTCAATTCTATTGTGTTAAATCAAGGTTTGGATATTTTGTTGTAGCAACTTGAATGACGCATCTTCCAAAATAAAATTAAAAGTTTGAGGTTTCGTCTCAACTGATATATGTGAAGAACATGAGATGCCACAAAACTTTTGGCTCACCCTATAGAAGCAAAGTTAATACTCAGATTTGAATCACACGCGATAAAAATAATTATATAGAAAACTTACATAATCAATTTTGCTATTTGAAACAGTTATTATTTACCAAAGGATATGCTATATTCATTTTTTGATTCTTGACTTATTGTTTTCTAGATAAACAGCAGGATTAATTTGTTTCATAATTCAATTAAGCTACGAATATATAATTATAAATCTTATTTTATTTGTGCTACGAAAACATTCAGCGCTAAAGAAGCACCTAAAAATCTTAACTATTTTTTCTTTACTCGTGGTTCGAGCTATCGATTTGAGACATTCTTACATTATAAATTGGATTTCTTTCAGTAATTCATCGTTGTATAATATTGAAGCTTTTATCAAAAACAAAGACTCCAATCATGGTAAGATATTTCATATAATTTACTAATCCAGAGATAGTATACGTGACATGATATCTCTTAGGCATTTAATGATCATTCCCTAGTTAAAGGAATAGAATCATTAAATAATAGAAATTCCGTTTCGAGCGATTTAGATTGGAATAATAAAAATTCACAATTTAATCAAAACATACCTCAAAGAAGTACTTGGTTATCAGAAAATGTTCAAATTGTTTCAAAGTCTAGTTCTCAACGTGACAGTTGCATCTCAGCTAGTTCAATCAAATCGAATGCATGGAGCGAATCCACGAATGTTTATACAAATGCAAACAAGTAATTATATCTATAATCTATGGCTCTAAAATTCTTTGCATAGTTGATATTCATTTTCTTTCTACCTATAGATCAATTAAAATATCATATTCTAGACCCGTTCTAAAAGGCTTAATTCTTGGTCTACTAGTTGGCTGTATTGTTCTTGCTACAATTATAACTATATGGTTACAACCAAGTAGAATGATATGAAGATGAAACAATTTATGATATGCTTATCTTTTGTTTTAGTCACAGCAATTACTACAACAACGACAGGCATGACGAACCGTTTCTTTCATTTTTCATAAGATGTTTTTAGTTTGTAATTTTAGTAACTACAACAACATCATCAACAAGTACGACAAGCACAACAACTACAACAACAAGTACCACAAGCACAACAACTACAACGACTCAAACTACATCAACAAGTTACTATTTGAATAGTCATATTATTCTTATGAATTTTTATTGTTTGATTTTGTTAAGCTACTACGACCACTACAACAACTGCTGCTCTCAATATAGTTTATTCTCAAAGTTTTACGAGTGGCGTCACTCCCTCAAGCGCATGTACGGCATGGACAAATTTTGTTGCTCAACTGACACCTTTACCGTATACCTTATTGCAAATGAATGGTACATATGATTCAGTTGGTGTTACAATCACTGATTCTACTGTGATAGCTGCTATTGCTGTAGCTTTACGAACGGCAGCTGCATATGGACCCGTAACAACAAACGGTCGTTCATGGCAAGTCGGCGCTTGTGGGACTGGATCTGAATTGAGTGCTGCTGGTTCTATTTGTATGTGCCCAAGTCCAGATTATCTCGTTCGACCATGTATAGGTAATTCAAATTTTGGTGGGTGGTGTAAACACCAATACTTGTGGTGGACCCACTCAAATAATGACCGTAATATTTCAATAATACATATTGACAAGTTGATCATACTATGCATTGATTATTGCTGAACTCTTTGATCATTCATTTATTTTTGTATACTTCATTGTGGCCAATATATTTGTAAATAAGCCTTAAATTATGTTTTCATAGTATTAAAATTTTCATGAAAATCGAAAAATAATAAATGAAATTTATCCAAGATTTTGTTTTAATAAAAAAACACACAGACTTTGCGAGTATATGCATATTTTTACTTAGTTTTTTCCTTAGAAAATTCAAATAGTAATTTAACTGTAATCAACAGCTGGCGAACAACGTAAAGAGTACAATTGTATCTTTTTTTACTTAAGTTTCAATAGTTGTATTTAATTTATACTTCAACCATTTCAATTATAGCTTTATAATTGAGCACGAAACTAATAACATATTTTAGTTTACTACAGTCATGATGCGTTTCAGGTAATGATTTACAGTCATTATTTATCAATAAAATGTAGGTGCCAAGCCAAAAGAAAAAAAAAGAGAAATACGTATACTGCTTTATGCCAATATAATAACACTTTTTTTGTACCTTTTCTTTTCTCTCTTTTCGTGATAAAATAACAACACATTCAAGTGACTTGAAGCTACTAAGACAAGAAAAAGATGAAAGAAGTTTTCATTGCATATACATTTGCTTCTCACACTATCATCGTTCAGGGTTGAAACATAAATAGTAGCAATATTATTTTTACTCATAACACTTCGTTCGTTCTTGTATACCTTTCTTTTATATGATGCTTTATTACTTATTCTTATTTGTATAAGATTTCAGTTATACGTCGAACTCACTGGTTATCACGCCAAAATCATTGTTTCAATTCAACAATGCACAACCAAATTGAATCTCAACATTATCTTTATACACCAAGAATTTATGTTGATAAACGACCATTACATTGGTTTATTATGTTTATTTCGTATTTATTTATTTTTCTTCTTGTTCTCGAATCCGTAGCATTAATTGTATTGGGTGCATGGCATCTAACCACTCCACGACTTGAAAATGTGCTTAAATTTTCAAGTGAAATCTATCGAAGAGAATTAGGTTTTGGTATTCTTCTTGTAATCATTGGATCATTAGGTATTATTGCTAGTATTATTGGAATTATTGCTTTAATTACATCACGAATATTATTATTGAAAATAGTGAGTAAAACGAACTGGGAAGGACATTGAAAACTTATCTTTATTGTTTTAGTATGTATCTTGTTTATGGTTATTCATGATTCTTGGTATAGCTATAGGAATTATTGGAATTATTTTTGCGTGTAAGTTAAAATCTAGTTAGTTTTTCTATATTGACTTTGATTTTCACTAGCTCAAGTCAATGACTTTTTAGCCAATGATCAAAAGAACAATCCAAATTTAGTAGCGAGTAATGTAAATTTTAACAAATAAAAAAAAACGAGAAGATTTTTGAACTAAAAAACTACTTAATTGATTGTTTTAGTATTATCAAGAACAATTTCTATTAGGTATGAATGGTGGATTAACTTTACTCATGAGTGTAACAATAGTAAGTTTCAGATAGTTTTAGAACATGATCTAATCTATTATTATTATTATTCTTCAGCTTGTTGGTATTATTATTCTTCACTGTTTAATTAGCGATACAAGTAGTGGTTCGTATATTCGATCAAAATGAAATATATAATCAAAGAATAAAGACACAAATGCTTTTTTCCTATCTTGGCTAAAATATATTTACTTTGTATATATTATAAAATAAAAACAACAAAGGATGCTTGTCATATCATTTAATTCTCTTGTAAGATTAAAATAGAACAAGTAGAAAGAATGTAATGGTACAAAATAAAGCATGTGTTACTCTATCGCACATTACTTGACGGTATATTTTGTTTTAGAAAAGCACGATACTATTAATATAGGAGAGGCGTTTTTGTCCTATGCAATAAATATATGTTTGTAGAATCCAAACGGTATGCAGTTGACCATGCTATTACTTTTATCAATCAATATAAATTTGATCATTCTAAGCAATGCATCATCATTTGATTTAACATTGAATATAAACGGTAAGAATAGTTATTTTCGATTTTTTGAAACTATAACATCCATTGAAAATCTTCGAATGCCATCGGTTATTATTCTTGCTGACAGTAATGATCAGAGTGCTAATATAGTAGATTCGTCATTTATTCAAATCTATCGTACACAATCCAATGGAAACTTATTTCATATTGCTACTATTTGCTACGATTGAAATGCCAAATAGTTCCTTATATGAGATTTTTCCATCGGTTTCAATGAGTCAAACAAGATCAAAACGATCGTTTAATTATGATTATATTGTTAAACAACATATCAAAAACAATTTCCTAAAAAACCTCGCCCTGCATATCTTGAAATTATTGCAGTTATTGATAGTCTTATATGACATGATGTCCAAGCCCTATTGAATAAAACTCAATCGGAAACACTTGAACTACTTCAACTTTATTATATTCATCTATTTGTCGGCGTTGAAGAACTCTATCGAAAATCGTTGATTTATGAAACAATCGAAATTCATATTCGTCTATCAAAAATTATCTTTTCTACCTCTAAACATTGTCTACCGTGAGAATTATTCAAAAATATTTCATCTATTACAGATATCTATCGAAAAACACCTAATAACATACGTATATTGACAACCTACTATCAGTATGAATCTTCTCAAATCTTTACATCAAGTTTATACATCAAATCGATTCGATAAACGATATTTTACTAATACTACTGATCACATAATGACATTTACTCATTTAGATCTTATCGATCGAGCTGGTTCAGCCTATGTTTCAGGTCTGTGTTTACCTCTATATATATATTCAATTATTCAAGAAGATCTTAGAGCATTCGGAGTTATTTTAACTATTACACATGAACTTGGTCATAATTTTGGTTTAAGTCATGATGAAACCGAAAATGAATGCAATGATCCTCATATACAATATATTTATGACGTATAAAAGTATGAAAACAGCGGATCGTCGTCAAGTAACTCAGTTTTCTCCATGTTCAATACAACAATTAAATCATTTCTTCAATAATGCAAAAACAACCTGTTGGAAAAATAAAATAATTAGTATAGCAACTGGTAAGCAATTTGAAAAAAGAGAAATTTGATTTCAAGTAATTAAATTAGGACAATTAATTAATCTTCGTCAACAATATCAATTACAATATGGGCTAGACGCTATTCCTTTCATTTCGGTAATATACAGTAAAAGTCAAACACTATATGAAGAAAGTATATGTAGCCAATTGAAATGTTTTAAAAAATCATGCGGTGATTTTATGTAATGGCAATATTTTTCTCTAGGTACTCCATGTGGCGAAAATCAAATATGTTATCAAGAAAAAATGTATATCAACTAATCAGAAAATGAAGTCAAATAAGTTAGCTCTATGTCCGTATGGAGATTTATTTGTACCAATATCAATGTTAAATTTAAAAGAACAACTAATGGCAGATAATATAGCTTGTTCGAATGCTATCAATCTATTACAAGCATATGGCATCAATGTAACATATTTATGTTATGATTCAATATTACCTTATAGACGTCTTTGTTGTGAAGAATGTAAAAAGTAAATCACAAAAAACAACCTAATAGTATAGTAGAATTCAACAAATAAAAATTAATTTTGTTCCTCTCATAGATATTTAATGCCGGAATGTGGAGATTTGCATTCAAAACGTTCAACCTTTTTTCAGTACTGTCAAATGAAATTTGTTCGTATTGATGGACGATCTGCCGTGGAGCTATGTCCAGACTCTTTGAATAAAGCTGAACTCTCCAGAGTTCATTTTGATGATGATCTAATGAAAATTTGAGATATTTTTTAAAGACACACAATATTGATCATATTGCAAAATAAAAAAGAAAAGTCATCGTAACTAATCAATTTAGAATCTTTCTACCAACTCTCATTTCAAAAGTTCCATGCGAATGAAACTAGTATTTACCTGCAGAGTTCTTGTAGGAAACATCAGAGCTTGTTTGATTTGCATGATTCTATTTTATAATTTAAATTTCATTGTAGACAACCGTAAAAACATTGACAAAAATGGGAAGAAAAATAACTTCAACAAAACCTCCAAGCAAAAAAATAGTCAAAGTTATAACGCCCAAGCCTCGACCATATATTAAACCTAAAACATTTACTACGCAAACATGCATTGATTTGACTGATTGTTCTCAGCTGGTAAAATTATATTCTAAATTAAATAAAATATAAAAAATTGATGTAATGAATATTCAACAATGATTAATGGTCGTTATTTTGTGGAAATGTGTCCAAAACATTGTTCACTATGTAATATAACATCAGAATGTGGTCGATATAAATTATGTCGAAATAATGGTAAATGTTTTCAAGATGAATATGGTACTTATCAATGTATGTGTTCATCGTCAAAGTCGTCGTATGGTACATTATGTGAATATCGACGAACATGTTTAAATAATCCATGTTCATCAAAAAACGAATACTGTATGCAAATTTTGAGTGAAAATTATATTTGCTTATCGAAACAAATTAAAGAACAAATATATATTATTCTAAATTCAACTTCTAGAAATAATTCTAAAAATAGCCAAAGGGCAAATTAAGAGCTGAATTCTATCTCTTTACTAATTTTATCTGTGAAAGATGTGAACGAGTTTTTCTGTCAATAGATATTACTTATTTACTTTTAGTTGAACATATTTTTATGCGATAGGTATGCAACGCTCGAAGCTGGATTAATGGTAAATTCTTATTGTTATTTTTTGTCTCGCTTATTGTTCGTAAGTCAATAAAATAATACCCATCGCAAATGATATGTTTGTTTTAATATCAATATTGATAAACATTTGTCAAATAACATTGTAGGTATAGGTGAAAATCCGTAGTTTTTTCTCTCGATAAATTATGCAAAATAAATTTATGTAACTGTCTTCGTTTCGAATCAATGCTATTTCTATCAGTTTTATGAGAAAATGAGCAAGTTTTTCTCGAGAGAAATATTAATATATTTTTTTTTCATCAATTTTAACAAACATCGTTCAACATCTCATTGTTTGAAGGAAAAAAATATGATCGAATGTATGCCAATGAGTTCGATATTTGTTGTTTACAGATGAATATTCGTAATCATGCATTTCACATATTGAACAGCAGTAAACTTTATACAACAATTCAATTATCGCTAAAATTGTTCTACAAAACTAAGAAACTTATTCATTATATGAAGCTTTATTGTATCTAATGCTTGTTACACATCATAAACTTCAAATTCATGCAGTAGGTTTTCAGTAATAAAGTGAATGTCACTTGTATGGAAATAGAATTATGTTCGACATATTATCTCATGAAAATGAGTCAAAGTTAAATTCAAAGATTCGCGATGAACATTGAAGAATTCTTTTTGTTTTCATAATAGGTTGTTTCGGTTTCTTTTTCTTTAAAACATAAAATTAAACAATAAGAAGAAATAAACAGATAGCATGAAGGCAAACGCTTGCATACATAGATGTTAATAAAGAGCCAGCATTATATGGCTTTCGAGGAGGATGATGTTTAGTGAAACCTGAGCCAGTAGGTAAATAATCTGGACGTGGTACTTTCCATTTTGGAGTTATTATTTTAGTACGATTTTTCGGTGCTACTGTTGTGTTTAAAGGTGGCGTTGTTAGTGGTACACATGAAACAGTATAATTCGATGTTAATCGTTTAACAAGTGAGACAATAGGAAATTTTCCTTGATTACAAGATTGACCTGAACTATCATCGAAATTAACTGGATAAATAAAAATGCCACTAAGACGTTGTTCTTTTGCATAATTAATCTATTTTATGAGATTTAAAATAATGGATTAGCTTTCGAAAATATTTACTTACTTTTAATTCCATACTTTGAAGATCGTCATAACCAATAACTTCATCACCTAGAGAAAAACAAATATTGATAATTTCAAGAACAAACAAAAATTATTCGTCAATTCTATACCTTTGATCATAATTGGTACTTTGCGATCGTCGAGAAACACTCTTTGCCAACCGGACATCATATTTCGACAAAGCTAATTCAACATATAGATTTCAATCAAATTCTGAAATTTGAAATCGTGCTTTGCTTTTCTTACTTCAGTATATGGCACACTGCCTACAAATGTTGCTGGACTACCAAGATCATGTAAATCGCTTGTCAAACGAAATTTTTTTCCGAATGCTGGAAGACCAACTAATAATTTCGATGGCTCAATACCTGTATTAACAATATATTTAATTGCTGAATCCTATGATCAAAATGGTTGATTATCAATCGATAGTAAATAAAACGAGACAAACCTGATTGAGGTCTTTTTCATTAGATTCAGCATTGATTGCTTGCATTAAAGAACTATGATGCTCAGCAATTTTATCTCTTGAACCTCGATAATCATAAGTTTGAATATTGAGCCAATCAGCACATCTAGACAAATATAAAGATACTTTTTGGAAAACAATAATTCAAATTTGTAGGCTCGAACTTTGCAAGTTCTTGTAAATCAAAGCGTGATTCAAGTTGTTTTTTTATTCCTGATATTGTAACTGTCAATAGTAAACGTGATCGTCCTGTTCGACCAGCTTCTTCAGCATATTCTTCTTGAAGATCCTAATTATTTATTCGCTGATTATCTATATTTTTATGTTGATAAAGTTTTCAAATCTTACTTTGCAAAGTTTCGATAGTTTTTTTCTATCCTCAATCAATTGTGGCGTAGATGTTGATGGTGGTCCTAGTGCTTCACTTGGCTCAAAGTTTAAATCAATACCATCAAATTCATGTGTACGCAGAAGTTTTGTTGTTGAAATAACAAACTTTTGGCGATATTCATCTTTTGACATCATTTCATTTGCACGCTTAATAGCATAATCTTGACCGCCAACTGCTAATAAAACTTTTAAATCCGGATCTTTATTAGATTTAAAATCTTTTAATGGATTATTCCATACACCTATGAAAAGCTATGAATTAATTATTATGAAATCGTTGAAATATTTACCAGTAAGTGTATTATCATCTTCAATTCTTGCAAATGTATATACGATGTGTGTACAATTTTTGGCTTCTGGATGAATACCAGTCCATGATGAAAAATAACATACAATTTTAAATTCTCCACCGCAATCACTATGAACTATTGATGGAATCATACTTAATAAGAAAAATAGCGTTAAACTCATCGTTGACTACTTGTCAATGTATGTATCAGTCATTGAATAATAAGAACAAGAATAGAAAGAGTAGACGTCGTAATCGTCCATCGTCGTCATTTGAAGTCTTTTCGGACATTAAAAGTTACGAAGATTTTGTGCCCGATGTATTGAATAAATATAGGCTCAAACGATTAGTTCGCTTGTGCTTTTTCGGATACAATTGTACACAATGATGCTATACTACTATTGACACACAGTAATAGCTCTACTCTTTTCATTAATCAAACAAATAACTGTTTTCTATTCTCGACAACATTCACATTGTATTCTTTTAATGGAATAAGGTGAATGAAAAATAAAAAATAATTTAATTTTCCAACTATTTCTAGAAAAAGATAATAGATAAAAATAGAAATTAAATTTCAATAACATATAAACTATATTATGTAGTTTATCTAGACAAGTTTCTTTTAAACATTTTCAATTGCAACGATAAGAAATTTTATGAATAATTAATAGAGAAAATAATTACACATTCCAGCTTATAAGAGCTATCCATAATAATAATATAATTTGGTGAAAAAGCAGCAGTTTCTAAATATCCTATTTAGTCCCATCTTGTCTAAAAACAAGGTTAATGTTCGCCAAAAATATTCAATCAAATTAATTAGACTCCTTCCAAGCGTACAAATCAGCAGAGTTCTATTGTCACCAATTTGTTTTGTATTGGAGAGCATTTTACAAAATTTTAAAATAAATCGATTCCATTCATTGACGTACAACTGAACCTTCATTACAAATTCTTTCATCATAATTTTACAAAGATACATGTTACCTGATTTTTCTATTTTACGATCGGAACAAAAGGCACAAAATATAATTTAACAAAAAAGAAATGCAAATACCAAGTTTTTTCTTTTCAATATCAATGCAACGTACTTGAGGGTGAGGGTGTGGGTGTGTGTCGTCTCTTATGACCCACACCGACACCCTCATCCGGTGACTTTTAAAAAAGGCAACTGTAAAAACACATACTCGTGCAGAATTACAAAGTAAATCATGTTTCTTTTAAACTTTAAAATAAACGAATTGTTGAATTAAACATTTCTTCGGGTTACACGGGCGGGACGGGTGGTCCAATAAGTTTATATATACGGGTGCGGGCGAGATGGGTATTAGATTGAGTAGCAGCGGGCGGGCGGGGGATGCCTAGAAAAATTTTTCACGGGGATCAGGCGAGGTGGGTTTGCGAAATTTGACGGACAGGACCCGCGAGGCACGAAAATTTGCTGCCCCGCACATCTCTGGTTTGAATACATGTTTTTTATATACTACTTTGTATAATTAAATTATTCTTTTATCTGTGGTATCAGTTTTGCATTAATTCTCTCAGTACATATTGCAATACGCTTGATACTTTCATTTAATATTTTTTCATGCTACGAAACTACTGATTATCTGCATTATAATCAGATACTTCCTATTTTCCTTCGAGAAGCGGTTTTTGCTCAAAATTTTTCTCAGTTGGGAAAAGAGTTCATATCATATCTAAGAGGATTTACTCAGAAACCAATCAAGGCTCACCAAGGTAAGCGGAATTTAAAGCACAGCATGTGTTGAATATCTTTCACAGAATCTTACTGACCATGTTCCATAAAACCGCGATTAGTCGCGACTTAGTGTACCCCAGTGAAACAGATGGTAAACGCGTTTTCTTCGAAAAGCGGTGTACAAAAGCGCGGTTCACTGCGTTTTTTCTAGGAAACCATGGGGCGCCAAGGGAGAACTGCGATTTTTCCGAATTTTTTTCGTGGGTACTTTGTGAATAAAAAATGAATACATACTTTCTTCTTTCATTGGCAGACAATTCATTCATAACCCTTTACGGCCGGATGTTGCCATTTGGCAACATTGTGCCAATATTTTAAGAAAGGTATAGCTATACTGTGGATAGATAGTGAATCAATAGTTCAATAATTACTACAAGACATTTTAG